TGTAATTTCGTCCCGTCGTCGTCCTAGTCAGATCAAACCCAACTTGACAATTTCTCTGATGGGTGGTTTGGTTTGCTTGGTTTTGTGACATCTGTACTAAATCAGTCTGGATGAAATTACAGAAGAGACGAATGACATAACGAGTATTGAATTCGTATATACAAACATGGGAAATTCTTGATTTATCCGCATTCCGGTGAAAGTGGCGTACGTGGAGCAAGTCTCACTCTGATTTCGTCGCGAGATAAGAACGAGCACATGATAAGCAAGCGAGTCAGTTAGTGTGCACCGCATTCTTTCTTTCTGGCGGAGAAAGTTGCTACATTTTCATTTTTCTGGGGAGAAAGTATGCATGGAAAACTTTGTGCCGGCCGGGTCTCCATCTTCTTATCCGTGATAATACGTACGTACTGTCTGCTGGCCTAGTGGGGTATACATGCCACTATTATGCACTACTACTACTACTACTACAACTACTTACTATTATCACCACCACCACTTGGGAAACATTTGCCAATTTTTTGTCTAGTCCATCCGACTTCCCTTTTCTTCTTTCCTTTCCTTTCTTTCTTTCCCCCTTTTCTCAAGTCGTAATCGCGATCGTAAAGTAATGCGTTATCAAATCATCGTGACACTACTGTTGCCTTGTAACGTATAACATTCCACATTTTAGAGGAAGAGGGAAAGTTTACAAATTATGTGTACTTATTTAAATACTACTTTTAAATTTTGTCCCTGCCCGGCCAGACTGGTTACGTATTTTGACAGGGAAAAACAGTTTTTTGAACGGTGACACAACACGTGTTTGACCATTGCGGAAGGAAAGATGCCAGAATAGGAAGGCTACTACGTATGTACGTCGAGTTACTACAGAGTCACAGACAATGTCACAACTTACAACTTTCTTTTTTGTTGTGACATTGCTTGCATCCCTTCTTGCAAAGGGTTGACTTGACGAAATATATAACATAATTCCTCCACGGGACAACAAGGTCTGACAAGTTTTATGTGCGGAAGTGAAAAATAAGGTAGTGAAATAACAAGTAACAATGCACGATACGGTACAATTGATACATACACGACTGCTGCATGCAAGTTATGCCAATCCCGTCAACATTTCCGGTTTGCTTTCTTTACAACTTTTACTTTTGCTTGTCAGTCTGGGGTAGATATGTACGTAACGATTCGGATTACGTGGTATGATTGGAAGGTCGGTCGGTCATTGGGTGCAAAGTCCGAAAAAAAAACAGAAATTGGTACGTATTCAGATCAGTGTTATTTTTTTAGGAAAAGTGAAAGTTGAGTCGAGTCGAGTCCAGTCTATTGTCTGTCCCAGGGGCACGGTTATTATGTTGGGGAAAGTTGGCCACTTTGTTTTCTGGTCATGTCAATGTCGGGAAAAAGTTTTACACCGAAATCGGGATTGGATTAGGCTACGGCTACGATACTACAGATATTTGCAAAGTGGATGGAGTAAATATTTGTGGTTCGGTAACATACAAAGGAAAGAAAGAGGAAAGGATACACGGTTGTCTGGCCGGAGGGAATCGGTGTGGTGATAAAGTTACCGGGAGAGGAATGGGACTTGTAAGTAGTGTCGTTGGAGAGAGGTGATTGGTGTGAATTGACTCGTTTGTGGGGTGTAAACTGGGTGAAAATGTGTGTAAAAAAGGGTACATTTTTGAAAAAATCAAGGTTTTTTCGAATTTCGCAACGTGCTATATATAGATTTTTGTTTGTTTGTTTCCAGCTACTTAATCAGTTTTGAATTTTAGATGTGCCCGTGATGACGCAAGGTGAAGTCATTTGCAAAAATAAATGACACTATGTGATGCGAAACTTTCATTTGATTCATTTCGCAATTTGCATATTAGTCTGGATTTCACTCTGGAGATTTGATATAATTTGATTACGAACATGCAGGTGAGTGAGAGTTGAGCAGAGAGACACAAAATCAGGGTCACTTTCTCCCGTCATGCAGTATTTTGGCGAGGCGTGGGTGGATTTTGGGTAATGTGTTATCATCCGGAATTTGCGCAACTTTTTGTGTAATCTCTCTCGCTTGGGTTAATATTTAATCAAGTCAATTTCAATTTTGAGCTATGTTTTGTCACTCAGAACGACACTGTTACGGAGGGTTTGCATTGTTCTGCTGGTAAATTTATATATTTACATAGCGTAGGTAGAGGTTCATACCCTTTTTCTGGGATTACCTGATTTTTATTAAATTATGATATGCATAATTTTGATCTATTAAATGTTTAATGAAATGAAATGAAAAACAAATTACGAAACTTGAACCTCTTAAAATGAAATCAAATCCTCGTAATTCTACCTGAAAGTTGATCCCATAAAATATTCCGCCTTCTTACAACGTACTTATCTACTAACTAACTAATGTCCATACCAATTCATTCATCCCCGTCACTTTGTCTTCACAATTCACATATCGTGACCTGAACTAACATACACACGGACTGACGTCAAATGCATAATGTACATCATCATCTCCTCTGTTATAAATGTGACGCAATAAAATAATAATAATTATTGATTGAATGAATGTGACTGAATAAAAGCAAAAGCAACGCATGATTTCCAGCTAAGAAAGAAAACGTTCCTGTATAACATGCATGACTTGATGAATTGATCTTGATCTGATGCGTGGTACGTACAGCGGTCGGTGGTGGTATTGGTCATCATCGTGCAATATTTACCCAGATAGTCGTCATTTCGTGTATGTAGTATGTCGTTAGTTTATTACATTACTCACTCACCTGGCCAAGGCATGATGTCTCATCATCATCATAAACAAGTTACTTATTAGTTCTAGTTAAATCTATGCTTTTCTTTCATATTCGTCATCAATATTTTATGCCGAACCACTTGGCCAGATTCTTGCTTAAGTAGCAGTGTCACATTTTTAGCCCGAGTCAATAGGTGTGCTTGTTTATCGATTAAGTACGTTCGTAAAACTTATCAAATCGTCTTGTACACTTGTAAAATATGCAAAATTAAGTTCGCAGATGAGGAAAATATGCAAAAATTTAAAGTTGTAGAGGTCGTACCCGCACCTCAATTATTACCATTAAACAACCTGACTCGGGCTAAATATGTGAGGCTGAAGTGTGGATTTTGTTCCTCAAATCAAGTCAAACCAACCACCTGTATATTTATGTATTAAAAACGACAAGCATGAAAATATGACGACGACCGACGCCACCTTATTCTATTTGTTCTTGTACCTCATCATTTCACAATTACTGTTATTTATCACTCTCTTCTTCTACCCTTACCTAGCTCACTTTATGGTATAAATTCAACATTACAATTCCTGGAATTATTCCAGTATAACAACAACATTCAGGCTGTTTAAGAATCGTTTTTTTTACACAGTTTTAATCAATAAACCGGTCGCATTTCATTGCTTGGGGTGGGAACTAAAAATTCATGTTTTTAATGAGCGTAATTATTTGTTTTATTGGGTGTCAGGTGTCACGCGGAGAAGAATAAGTTGTTAAAGATTTGTAAATTGAGCATCATTCATGCCGGTGAGCGATTGAACTTTCTTGTTATTGGTTTAAGTGGAAAGCACTTGACACTTATTTGAGTGTGAAGAATGTCGCATAACTTTGCCAAAATAAGTAAGTTGAATGCCGGATGGAAATTTTTCTTTCTTTGCTTTACGATGACGAATGAGGATCTCGAAAGATCAAGCGAGGCAAGGCCAAGTGCATTCCTTTTTTTTTGTTGGGTGTAATATTTTTATTAGTCATTCATCCTCTGGGAATGAATTTATTGCTGTTAGTGAACTGGAAATTTCTTGTTTTTCTGTTAGTTTGTAAAACGTTTCTAAGAATTTGAGACGAAATTAGTGTTTGTTTCTTGTGGATTGTCTACATTTCTTAAAATGCAAAAATTGCAAGAAATGCGAGGTGCAAGAAACTGCAAGAAACTGCAAGAAATATGTCCATCTAGCGTATGGTACGTGCATTAAAATTAAACCCTTTTTTGTACGCATTTCTTATATAGAGAAAGGTCTAATTATAAAATACCAACAATAGTTTCTTGCGCCTGGCATTTCTTGCAGGTCAAAATACCACTTTCTTCCCGTCATTTCTGGCAAATAGCTACTTACACACCCGAACGAAATACTGGACTCGATGATAAAAAATGTATGTATAAATTACCAAAAATTAGCAGGTTCAAAATAGTAAAATTGTACTACTTGGATGTCCGGTGGGTTTATTATTAGGATGGGCATCCATACATACTCCTATTTCCGGTGGAATATTGTTATGTCATAATAAATTGTAATGTTTCCGATGCCTTCATAATTTGAGGCGAGAGAGGAAGGTGAAGCCTGACTGACACGTGTATCTCTCCTAAGTGGGTTGCATTTTGGATGCCGTTTTCGTATGCACATACCGAGCAATGTGTTCCGGAGACAATACGTACGGAAAATCAGTAATAATTTACCCCTCGCTATTTAATACATGCTCTATACGTAATGGGCATGGATAGGTCAGATCACTTAATTGACATATGTAAGAATTATTAAATACTAATGATTTTTTAACCGTGCCCCATAACTTGTCATTACCGTTAACCCAGTTTTTTTACTGTCAACAATTTTTCGTCATTTTCAGGCCTAGGTTAGTTAAATTATTGAACCGGCTTAAATTCATGGTCAAGCAAACAACAGATAAAATAATTATGCTATTTTTGGAGCACATAAAAAAGTGACATTACTATATACGAATTACGTTAATTGGGGGGCTAAAAATAGCAGAAATAAACCATCCAGGGGGACATAAATTGACGGTTTGGGGAGGAAACACCGGCCGGGAGTTTGTCACCAAAGTTGAAAGTACGAACGTCTCGTATTCATGCTTTTATGTATGTAGGTGCTACTACTTTACTAAATATTACCCATGCAGTGACAGGTCTGGATAAATTTGCATAATAAAAAATACACAAGAAGAATCATTTTTTATTACCTTGCATCCACCAGGAAGTGAGGACGATGAGGATGACAAAGGAATAATACGGGCAGCCGGAGCAGGTGGATTGCAGGAGTCGACCCATTTTCTGTGTAGATTTTGATTTAACGGAACTTCTTATTTTCTTGTGGATTAAGTTAATTTCCGAAATATTTTTCCGCTTTGTTTTCTTGATGGAATGTGTGTAACAATTAATTTCTGACAATTAGTTTAATATGAGATCAAAAAATTGTAAGTATTTTTTTCTTAAATGTCTTCTCGTTTTCCACAATAAATAAATGTTCAAAAAGTTTTTGAGACTTGTAACTTTCTCAGTTTTCTCGAAAAACTTAGGAATACTTTCGACCAAAGTGAGACTGTGTGTGCCGTTTAGCGTGGAGCCGAAGTTGTGTGTGTAATGGGTGACGTTTGTGGAAGTGGTGTTTGCTCGGGCAGAGGTGAGCTGAGACTGATTCTCAATATTTTTGTTCTCATCCTTATCATGAGATGGACAAATGGTTGGTGTGTGTGAGTGTGTGGACGTGTATTGTATGTCGTGTATGGTATGTATATTTAGTCAGTTATGATTACGACGAGCTTCTACTTCTTGTGGATGGAGAAGATGAGCGACCGGGTAGACGGATTCGCGTACTGACGAGCTAAACCACCAAGCTGCAGCAAGTCTTTAGGAAGAAAAAGAGTCAAAATTCAAGAAAGCCAAAAACCGGCATCCATACCGTATCCATTCCATGGATGCCTATGGATCGCTACAAATGGACAGAATCAGCCAGCCCTACGTTAAGTAAGTAAGTGGTTGACTGAGGAGAGGAGTCTTCTTATGTGCGAATATGTACTTATAACACAATCCGAAAACCGGGCAAGTACTAGAAAAGCATGTATGTCAGTGCGATGATGGGGCTTATGTACATATGTATGGATTATTACTGTAAATGTGCATACATGCCAGTAAGTAATTCCAGCGGGTGTGTAGTAAAGTATGTAACTGGTGGTGCTCATTTAATTGGTTCATTTAATAAGCTCACTAGATTAGCACTAGTTTCGGTATAAATTAGCAATAATACTAAATTTTAAGTATGTATGCGATACACGATTGGAATTTGAATATGTTGTTGCGTAAAGATTTTTTTTCTACCTTTATTGTGTAACATATTTATTCGTCTGACAAATTGATTTTGTGAAGAAAAAGTTATTTTAAGTAGTTGAAAGCACGTCTTAAAAAAATACAATAAATTCTTCAACTCACTTTAACTTCACTTCCAGTCCACCCACGCCGTTCCACGTGTGCACCTTAATCCAATCGAGACGACCTTCTTTCCTGATTGAAAAATAAGAGTGGAAGAATCAGGAAGGAGGTAGCCAGTGGTGGCGGAAGGAGGGGGACAAGTGGGGACAATGAAAGTATGGAATTGGAGGATTAGGAACTTATTAATGTGTCCAAGATATGTACGATTTTGCCGATTTTTTGGGGACATTGTCCCCCTCCTTCCGCGGCCAATGGACGCCATATAATATCCTTGTCCTTGTCATGTCATCTGAATAATACGTGTTGACGGATATATTTTTTGAGGCCGTATTTTCTCTTTCTTCCAAATGGAGAGGAATATGAGATTAATCTTTCAGCAGGGCTAAGATGCATTTTTATACAGATACGTTCGTATTATTCGCATCCGTAATAATCCAACAAGTGCAAGGAAATAATACAGTCACCGGATTTTCTCCAAGTCTCGAGATTTATTCGTATTCTCAGAATTACGATGCCCGTTTTTGTTTATGGCTCTACTTTCACTACTCATCCGCTGGCTGAGTGATTGTCATTCCTTGTGACATGCAGGAACTAAATATAGGAAATATTAAGCCAAATGGTGACTCTCTTTCTCTCTCCTTGTTGATAAGATGGGAAGTATTGCCGACAAAATTAGGAGGAAAGGTCGCTCTCATCATAAATATCTATCCATGCACTCGACTGATTTTATGGTAAAAATGAATGAATGGTAAAAGTGTGTGCGAAAATTAGAAGAATAAAATTTCAGTGTAAATATCTTCCCAAATTCCTGCATGGATTTGTCCTTGGTTGATTTTGTTTGGTTCACTTTCACTTTTTTGGTAAAAAAATTCTCCCGAAATGTGTGATACATTCGAGCCTATCTACTTACCCATATTATGAGAAGTACATATTAAAGTAGAGGCTTTTCTCTCAAAATGTGGAGAAATTGGGTCAAACAAATCCCTTCTAATTTTATCGTTATTGTCACCAATTCACACACTTTTTACACTTCCTCCTCCTCCCTCCCTCCCGAAAGTCGGAAACACTTAAAGAAATTGGAAAAATTTTTGCTATGTACCAAAAGACGAAAACTTTACTAATATTTTACGACTTTATAATAATTCCAAACCAATCCACAACTTTATTATGATGGGATGAAGTAAGTGAAAGTTGTGTGTGTGTCTGGCTGGCTGGGTGAAAAAAAATATGTGCGTTGCGTAATTACATGATGGAGGGAAACTTACATATTTATCTACTTACACAACCAACAAAGGCATTATTATGATAACCACCAACGAGCCACAAATAGCACACTACTTTTTGACAATATTTATTATTCTGGGGTTGAAATGTATCCCAATTCGTCTCAATTTATAGTTTAATCGTCTATTAGGCTTTATTTATTTAACTTTTGCATGTCGTGGAGTGGGTGGGTGGATATGAGACTCCCTCAAGAGAGAGGTTTTGTTACTTGGTCGGTTATACAAGCCAGCAGTGGCCGCGGAAGCTGTGGGGACATTAGAATTGTAGGATAGGGGAGGGAGGGGTTTATATAACATGGGGAGATGATGGGAACATCGAATACCCATGGGGACATTGACCCTCTGTCCCGCGGCCACTGCAGCCCAGGCTAAAAACGGATACGATTAAACTATGGTTCGCTGCTTGGTGAGTAAGTAATTCGATTTAAAAACGATTTGTCCTCATAAAACGATTATATAAATACAACGATTGGATTGGATTACATAATATTTTTTCTAACTGGACTTGTTTATAAATAAGAAGCGTTTTGTTATGTTGTGTTGTGGTCCTGGTATTCCGTCCCGTTCGTCCTCTACTACTTAATTAATTCCATCGTTAAGAATCACGAGTATGACACGGGATTAAAAATTCCAGAAGGGTCGGTCTACAAAGTTTGCTTGTTTTTGCTTGGTATGCAAATATGTGTACATATCTGTACAACCAGGAAGTAGGCATCTCGTTTAAATGAATGGGAATAAGAGAAGTGAAAGTCAAGAAATTTGTATTCCGGGCTACCACCTTAGACACAATCTTTCCCGGAGGACGAGGAAGGGCAGAGAAAGGACACAAAACGAGTTGAACTTTCAGTCAACTCAACTTTCTCTTGCAGAAAGTACATAAACTAAATGCCTAACTAAACAAGGAAGGAAGGAAGAAGAATCCGTCCGGAATGAAGGCGAGACGTTTGGAATTCTGGACATGCAAAGGGAGGAGGAGAACCTCAACCCTGAAAATTAAGGATCCCATCCGGGCGTAGTAAGTAGTAAATAGTATTTTACTGGAACCTTCCACGCGCTGTTTGTAGAATGGAGAAGAAGAAGTGTGTGTACCCTTTCCCAAGGTCACGGAGGGTGATAATATTGAAGGCTAGAAGGTTCAGTGTTGCGTTTCTGGTGGGTTTGCTACATTTGAAAGGAAGAAATGTAAGGTGCAAGAAACTGCATGGGAGAAAGTGCGAAAAATAAGCGCCACCCAGCCACGCGCCGTATGAAATATAGCGTCGGGGCGTAGCTTCTCGCGCCTTGCGTTTCTTGCAGGTCAAAATATTGACCTGCAAGAAACCACTTTCTCCCCGTTATTTCTTGCAAATGGTTACTTGCACCCAGGCAAATTGAACGCATACATATATTTGCAAGTCGCATCCATACGTAGGTAGCTTGCTTTGTTCCGTGGTGACAAGTAGGTTTTCCCTGCGATGCATGAGATAAAGGAAAAGAAGAAGTGTTATTTTCTGCTACCATTTGACCTTCAAGTCAACTTGGGTGCTGTCACCTTGTCGGGTTTCATTCCATTTTATCATTCGAAGATAAAGAACTTGGTCAAGCTCTGGTCTGGTTATTGTGTCCCACTCAAATTTTGTATTGTTCCTGAGAGAGAGAGATTCAGATCATGGATCATCAGACAGGAGGAAGTAGTACAAGTAGTTTTCGAGTAGGTTGTTGGTGGTGGTTCCATTTCGTGATATTTATCAAGGTAAAGTAAAACTAGGGGAGAATTTCTCTTGGCCTTTTGTTTGTTTGGTTTCTCCTCCTCCTCCTCCTCCTCCAGTTCGTCTGAAGGGGTCCGCATATTTATTTTAAGGATTCGTGTAGGAGGTTGTTTTGTACACATTTTCTCCCTGAGTGAAGCAAAACATGATACAGTTCAATTGTTTGGTAAAGCTCGGCATTGTCGTCGTACGTACTTGGGTTTGTTCTTTGTGGTGGTTTGGTTCGGACCAGTGGCCGCGGAAGCTGTGGGGACATTAACATTGTAGGATAGGGGAGGGATGGGTTTACATAACATGGGGAGATGATGGGGACATCGAACAACCGTGGGGACATTGTCCCTCTGTTCCGCGGCCACTGGTTCAGACTGGCTGAGGACCCAGTTGACGTGGGCATTTAGAGGTAATTACTTTCGCCAATTACGCGGAAATTCACGTGGGTGAAAGTCCTCGTAAGAAGAAGTTGACAATATTTTGTCTCATATTTACTTGACATTTTAAATATAAGTTTTCGCGTACGGGCAAAAATTTACGAGGAGAAAAACTGTCGCATATTCTTTCTTTGAGGAGACATCTTCCCCTATTTTTTTAGCTCTTAGAACGTGTAAGGTCACGGCCGATGCTTTTTGTTAATAAAAATGGAGTACATACACAACTAGAGATTTACGTGGGGAACATTATTATACGACAAAGACTATATACCTACATTTCAGAGGGGATAGATTGGTCCAACTGGTAGACTGCAGTGGCCGCGGAAGGCGTGGGGACATTAGCATTGTAGGATAGGGGAGGGAGGGGTTTGTATAACATGGGCAGATGATGGGGACATTGAACAACCGTGGGGACATTGTCCCTCTGTCTTCCGCGGCCACTGGTAGACTGTACTGGACTTGTAATGTGATGACCATCCCACTATTCAGAAAAGTAAGCAAGCAGTTTTACTGGGTAGATAAGGCCGAGCGAAATGTGTGCAGAATTTCAGCCATGAAATATGAATCCGACTCAGTCATCCAGAATTAAGTAAGATTGTCATCATCAAAGTTTTTTGCAAGTACTCGTATAATCATAATGGTACAAGTTGTGTTGTAAGTAGTGCAAGAAATGATAAAAAGGTCATCCTGGTGGCATGGGCTGGCTTTTTGGCGGAATTTTATTGCCTGCTGGGTATTTGCAAAACTAAACTACAAAACACACACACACGTGTCGGCAGTAAATTTTTGCGAAAAGGACGAATTGTACTTTTCTTTTCAAAAGTTGTTGATGTTGCAATTGGTCCAGGAAACACTTCCTCGTTGGGATCACGTTACTTTAAGAGAAGAAGAAGAAGGCCGCCGAACGACTAATTTGGGATGTTGGGTCTTGTGCGGAAATGAGTATTTTGATCTCTCACCACGAACCATGAAAAGTCGTCTTTATTTTTGTAAGGTGTGTACTTATCGGAAATTTTATTGCTCAATGATAACTCCACCAACATAACCTATTTATATATCTGGCCTAGATTTGAGTGTTGCAATTTCCTGGAATTTTGAAAAGAGAGAAATGTGCTCAACACTTTTCGCTCGGTAGTAAATTAAGTAGTGTGAAGAGAATAAATGTCAAACCGGAGGAGGCATAAAGTTATAATGAGTGATATGAAATGAAATCACGGTGGAGGAGGATGATTTTTGGTTTGAAGGAGCCTTATGTACGCGTTATGTCGGTTTGTCGAGGATAGCTTGATCCGCCGATTTTCATCCCATTTACATACAATGGAGGTCTCTCAGCGTGTGCTCTCCGATTTTGACCAAATTAGCTTAAATCGGTCACAAATTTAATGAATATAAAATTTACAAACGACGCTATCTGCCAATGATTTGGCCGAGATATTTGCATCCAAAGAGGAGAAAATACTCAGAAATTTTGGAAAGTGTAAAATTTGTCAACTTTAGGGCCCGTTCATTGGTCAAAATCTGAGAGCATACGCTGGAAAACCTCTATTGTTACGTACAAAAGGCGTTAGGTGATGGTTTTGACGAATTCTCGGGTGAATATCTTTGGCGGGGAGTTGAATTTTGGACTGATTTTTGGTAGGTTGCAAGATAATACTCTCAAAAAGATATCTTTAAAATTTTAGGGTGATAGCTTCACAAATGCACCCTACAGTGCCCCCGGAGTTGGTAGAAGCCAAAAAAACACTTTCCAACCTTAATTGCTTATATAGCATGATAACCAAAGAGGTCAGAGGTGAATGATTGTTAATATAATAACCCTAGATAATCATTGCATGTAATAATAAAAGAATCCGTAATGAATCACACAACGTGGGCCTTCCATCATCGCGGATAGTTTGCCCAAAAAATGATAAATCAGACCGTGCGCGGAAAAATTAACCTGCTGACCTTGAAAGTTGACCCACCGGGTCAAATGCAGCTTGAGGGTAAAGCTGGAAGTGTCCTAAGTAATATTAAAACAAACAGTCAAGATTTTGTGTAAACAGTTTTATAGAAGGACCCGAGCTAATCAGCTGTCGCAGAATCCTAAAAAACTCGTGAACTTATTTGGAAAATTAATGGTCAAATTTTTCGAAAATAAATTTTAATAATCTTTTGGTGTCCCCTGCTGCAGAACTATTTTATCTACAAGGTACATGTGACAAAATAATAAAATTATTGCGTTTTGGTTAGTTAAATTATTTCTGAAGTTCGACATCGAAAACGACGGGAACTTTTCCAAAAAGTTTATAAGGTCTGATGAAAACTCAGTCCGTGGGGTGTAACCACTTATCAAAATTTTGTCAAAAGTACTTACAGTGCAATATACTATATGTACCTTGGATAAAAACCACGTTAGGGATTTTTAGCATCAAAGTCGTAAAATGTGGGGGCCTTAAAAGTGGAAGAGTTGCGTTAAAGAGCGCATTTCATTAGGACAAGTATGAAATTAGACTGTAAAACGGACTTAAAAGATAAGCATGAGGCAAAAGTGGTTTTATATAGTGAAAAGCATGCTAAGTCCCTTAAAAATAGTCGCAAAAACTATTTTTGCATCAGGACCTCAGAAAAAAATATATCGCTCAACGCCATTTTATAAGAACACTGGTTTGGAAAACTAAAAAAGGACACCTCTCCAAATTTGACCTTGCCTCATTTCGCAGAGTACACAAAATCGGAAGCCAGATATGCTTACCTATAGTTTGAGACATGGGCTTTCAGATAAAAAAAGTTAGAAATCTCTACGACTAAAATCCATCCCGCAATTAAGGCATGAATTCGTCAAAACCATGTCCTAACGCCTTTTGTAAAATATGGGAGATAACTTTGGTGGGTGGCGTCTTCTGTGAAAAATTAAGTGGTCATAGAACGCCGAATTTATTGCCTATGTAAATAATGACTTCTACAATTAAATGAAATGATACCCAATTGCAAATATTCAATTAATTCATCTTTAGCGTTATCATGTAGCTACTGAATCTGGTTCGGGCATTTCAAGGCAAAGTATTTTTTTATAACGGGAAGGTCACAAGACCTTACACTGAAATTGGGACGACACGTGTATTCTCCAATTATTTAACTATACCAGCAAGTTTTATGGTGTTGCTTCATGCACAATTTTACACTGCGTTTATTATCATCTTTATTTTTCTATTGCACAAATTTAACTATTCATCAATCGTCACATGTAAATCTTTATCGTGAGGCAAGGTGAGCTAAAAATGGTCAATATGAAGAGGAACATAAAACTTACAGGTATTAAACAAATATCAAACACGAAAATCTGCTAATATTCTTTATGTAATGTACTCCTAAAATATATATTCATCTATTCAAAAAAGTCCTCTTTTTTCTATAGATCACAAATCAACGCGAATCAATGCAAATTGCAACTTTGAAGATGATTTGATCAAGCGAATCGTACATTTTTTCCAGGTCTCGTCGGACGTAGTTTTATAACCAAACTTTCTACATTCCTATTAATTACAAGGAGAGCTACACACATACAGTGGCCGCGGAAGCCGTGGGGACATTAACATTGTAGGATATGGGAGGAAGGGGTTTATATAACATGGGACAGACGAAAGGGACATCTAACAACCGTGAGGACATTGATCTCCTGTCCCCACGCTTCCGCGGCCACTGTACACACACACATAAATTGTAATCTTTTACCTACTTTGCTTTGTTAGTGTTTACTTCCAGATTACATATTTCCATGAAAAACTGAGACTCGAAAATTACTTCCATACGTCTAATCATGCAGCCATTCTTGCACGTAGACAAATTTGATATGATTTCTTCTACCCGTTCAATAAATTATAGTGTTTTACTTACTTTACCTCGTCTCTTTTTAGGGGACGATATGATAACTGGCACCACGACCACCACCACCATCGTTAGTCTACAATTAAGCTAGACACATGTACATACACACACGTCCATTGATCTTTAATCGGACGTAACAAGAGCCACGATTCTAGTGAAATCGGTTGCAAATCGGGCATACATATACTTAACCAAAGAAGAAGACCAGACCACACAGAGGAGAGAGAAGAGATCACAAAGATCTCATGATGGTGAAGAATAGTTTGACAGTACTTGGTAAAAATATGAAGGAAATGGATGGATGGACGTGTGTATGCAGTTTGAGGTGACTAACACACTTACTTCGGACTGGTTTGGTTATTTGGCTGGGTTTGATTAAGGGCAAAGGCTTACGAAATACAATAAATGGTTTAATTAATTTGGGACTGGCTGGCACCACCACCGACAAGTCTTGAGTTTCTGCAGGTTAAGTGGTTATCTACGTGTCACCAGTCGGCAGACGGCATAATTAGCACGATTAGATTGACCGGAAACAGGAATTAGAGAGGAGGATGGAATATGTACACCTTTTTTTTGCGGGGCCAAAATCTTATCCGCTAGAAGAATGAAAGAAAATGTAGGTACATGATTTTTAAAATGGCTGTGTTCCATGTAATGTAATTATTTAACGTCGATAATTATTAAGAAATATGTGTGACTAATTTAAAGTGTGGACAGGTTCCTTCACTTCTGTTATCAATTACATTATTTTTTGGGCTTTTCAATATTATTTTGCTCAAAATTAAATTAGTTCATACTTGATAAGCACTCAAAGTTATCCTTTCATTATACGAATTACTGGCGCATATACATAGATGCACATTACAACATACGAATTTAGTATATATGCAATATCTGCATGTGTAGTAATATGTTCGGACTAGAAGAATCAACCCTTCATTAAATTAACATCCGAACCTCATCACATTTTATGTCCTATATTTAACAAAGAATTGTACGTTTCATTTCATGCGTTTCTGGTGAGACTCGCACCAAAAGAAATGAGCCCGTACTTTTCCACTATCTTTTATGAATATGCTTACTACTCATAATATGTTTTATTCAACTTCTTTTTCTTTTACAGATGTATCCATAGTCCATACACACACCAAACCAACGAATTTACCAAAATTCAATCCAATCCAGGAAGAAGGAACAATAAATAGTTAGCAAATGGAACATGTTACGCATCACGCATTATTTCTCACACTGTTTCAAAGTTGTTCTCTTTCTGTTATATAATTATTACGGAATGGGTGCCCATTTCCATGCGTAAAAGCAATGCCAGCAGTTATGTAACAGGCATGAAATGAATACAATTGACTGCGGTGAGGTTCACGAGGTACGTGCATAATCTGGCAACTTCTTGTTGCATAAGTAAGTATGTAACATAATAAGTCGGTGCGTCGGAACTTCTTGGGGTGGATCGTAAAAAAATTGCTCGAATCCGGACAGAACCAGATTTTTCAGACTTTAATAGTTCAATTTTCTGCAGAAATAATGTCCCCCGCGTGTAATGAACAATTAAAACTTTGAGTCCCCTTTTAACCAGCTCGTTTTGTGGTACGCATCACGGGGGAAGGATTTGTTTTGCATGGAAATGAAGTGCACATAAAGCAAATGATGTGTACAAAATGGTTTGGTTTACTTTTGTGGTTAAACTTTCTGATAATGCATAATTATTGGTATTTAAATTTAATGGGGTGATGTAGCCTGGTGGATTTTGTGCTTTAAGGGAGTCGTCATCTTATCAACAACACACTCATTATTTTTGGCCTGGCTTCTAAATGCGTATGGTGAATGGTTGGATGGATGAACTGTACAGTTAGTTGTTCTCCTGGAAAACAGGAAACTCGAGCAGCACTAAAAATTCTGACTAAACGGTTTCAGTGTACATAGTAGAGTTGAACCTTGCCACACGAGCCATGAAATATAGATTTGTACCTATTTCCTTACAAAATTAGGGGTATTTGTTAATTTTGTAGGGTTAAGTTTTAATGGGGAACATTTTTTAGAAAAATTTCGAGCTAAATTCTCAAAATACAAGATTAATCTAAAGAATTTGGTAAGAAATAAAGGACGAAGTAATAAAACGAAGGGTTCGAGCTTAGCAAAACTTATAATTTGTGAGAGGTTTATTAATTATTACAAAATTCCCAACCATTAACTACGTACATATTTTTGATTTTATGTCAACATAGTTAATGGAATAATTAAAATTAGCAGTGAACAATGGTTCCTGTCTGACTCATCACACCATTCATGAAAAACGTGACGTAATACTTGTGTAAAAATTGTCCTCGTCAATGTCACTAATTAGCACTACGGGACGGAATACGTAGCAAGTGAATAGTGCGCAAACCGTCTCAACTCAACCCTTTCTGGAAATTTGCATACAAATAAATGGAAAATGTGTCACAGAAAAAGTCTCGGAAATTATAATTATAAATTCATGCAATTGTGGTTAGCTAAACACAATTAGTTGTCTAATTTACCCAATGACAAGTTCAAGCTGAAATCTCCATCCAACCATTAATTACTTCCCTGAACTGAACAATAATAATATTTAATAAGCACATACTTAAAATAAAAAAGTGCGATTGAGCGAGTGCATGTTTGCCCTTCGTTTCGTGTAAGAGAATCATAATAATTGTCATGTTTTCATCAGTACAATAAAAATACGTATGTATAACAAACAACGTCTCGTGCATATGCATGCAGTGAATCCTTTACTTAATAATGTGAACAGTGTTAAGAAATTCTTTGCGATAAAGCGAACTAAAAAAACATTTAATTCTCACGATTCATGGTTTGTTTTAGTTTTTCTGTTTTTACATAAACTTCAAGTTACGAACGATGCACCAACAACCATCTTCGTCCAGCCTGTAAAGAAGATAGCAAGTGACGTGAAGAAGGGGGATTGGATTTAGCAAGATTTTGCTTATTTTGCATGCATAGTTTCGCAACATCAAAGGGTTGTTGATGCTGCATGCAAGTTGTTGTGTCTGCTTACCTTCAGAAGAAGAAGAGCTAAATACTACTTACTTACTACAGCAAATACTTAATAATAATACCATCATCGTAACGTAACGTTTTAACTCTGGATTTTTTAGTCGGATTATAAAGAAGAAATCAAGTTTTCCGTGTGCACGACCGTGTTGTATGTGGTTCCCAGCCAGCTAGCGTCATCATTAAAATATGATGAGAAAAGTATACTGTACTGTATGATTTTATAATATGAGGGATACTTCTGGATTGGATTGTTCACCTTGTTCTTTGATATGAATAAGCTGGGTTGGTTGGTTTGCTGGTGGTGTGAATAATTATTATTGTTCTCCAAATTACTCACCTGACTTGAAAATATTTGGATTTAGAAAGTTTGTTGATGCATTTCGTTTCGTGGAATTGACCTGGACGGTTTTGGTTCAGAGTCCAAAATTGAAACTATTTTGTGCAACAAATACATATATCCAATACAAGAAAAGGGTTGAACTTTGCGATTCATGGAGTGAAGTGGAGTGCAATTTTGTTGAAAAACAAAAAAGATCCCAAATTGGAAAGGACCTTTTTTAGGATAGACTTAATTATTGCGTAAGAAGTCGACTTTTGAGCAATAAAGCGGAGAGATATTTTGTTTTGTTTGGAAAAAGAAGAAGATGAAGGAGTTGGATACCTTTGTAAAGATTGTGGTAATCGGGGACTCCAATGTGGGTAAAACTTGGTTCCTCTCAACGTTCGTGAACAACCACAAATTACCTGAAAAATGTGAACCTACGCTGTAAGATGATCACAACTATTTTTTTTACACGAAGCAGAAAATATATAACGTCATGTTTATGCAAGAAGGGAGGCATTATGTAATGTAACTATATATGTAAAAGAGTAGTTTAGTGGGCCCGATGTGGTTCTAGATTCGAGTATTGATGGGCAAATTGGTTGGTGCGGTTAAAAAAACGGATAGATGATTTAGAATTAATAGGAATTTTTTAAAACAGAAGTTCAATACACAAAGCAACCGGTTTTTATTTGCGTGTGTTATGTAACAATGTGATTTAGGATGTAAATAAATATGGGTAGACCTTTTAAATCGAGGATTTGGCTTTGTTTTGTTGGATGGGATCCAGTGGAAAATTTCCAATTTTAATTAATTAAGTTACAATTTTAGACGAGATGACAATACATAATATGCAAAATCTAGAAAGCTTTTACAGTTTGATGTGTGTATGTAAAATACGAAATTTTAAGTTTTTATTTTATGAATTTTTCCCTAGATTTGACAACCTATCGACACAATTTGTATTTCATGGGATTGAATACGAGCTAAGTTTGTGGGACACTTCTGGGGCTCCTGAACGGAAGAAGCTACGATGTCTTTCTTATCAAGATGTATGAAATGAAATGACATTTTGAACAAAATTAAGAAATTTACATAGAGATCATATTTTTCTCGCCTTATCAGGCCGACGTGTTTATCATGTGCTACTCAATTGATAACCGAAGTTCCTATGATAATATACGGTTCCGATGGCTGAAAGAATTACGGCGTCGGTGTCCCGGCGTGCCAAGGATTTTGGTCGGTTTAAAAAGCGACCTTCGTTCAAAACTGACTTATCCATTGTTACCAAAGGATGGCGAAATTTTACAATTCGATATCCAGGCTTCAGCCTTTTTTGAGTTTTCGATAACTACGCCAAAGAAGCATGCAGGTTGGTTGTGCTCTTATAAGTTAGCAAAATTAATTAGTAATTAGTAAATAATAATAATTAATTGGTTATTACTCGCAGATATATTCGCGGAAGCTGTAAGACTCGCATTGCTGAAGAAGGTGCATGTCCGGAGGCAGTCATGTTGTATGCAGTAGTTTTAATTAAATATACCAATAATTACTTGAAGGGGTTATGTTTTAGGATGGTAAATAAATAAATAGGTGACTGATTTATATATTTATGTTTTTGTAAAGATAATTTGTAATTAAATTGAATGTTACCTTTTTAAAGCATATTTATCGGGTGGGTGGGGTGGGATAGCTAAATAAACCAGTCAACTCTCAACTACAGTACGGTGGGGAGTAATTTAATAATTTAAAAATTAAAGTATTGTCAAAATTTGGAAATAAAAAGTTGTTCTTATCTTTCGCATGTGTTAAATATTTCTTTTAGAAATGCGTCTCATATTTTGGGAACTTTATATTTTTGACATATGTATGATTTTGGCGACCAAATTGTAAAGTTTTACTTTTAAGCCTACCTACACACCAAATTAATCAGATTCATCTCTCAATCCCCGTTCGACGTGGGAGTCACTCAAACTCTGAACTCCATGTGCAAAATTCTGCACTGCTGCATTTTTATTGGAGCAGTTATTTACTTTTTAATTGTTTAAACTAAGTTGCAATTAACAAAATGAATATTTGGAGCAGCAGTGTTACGAGTAAGAGAAAGGGGGTTGATGAGGGGCGTGGTAAGGCAACAACAGTTCCAGTGGAGGAATCTGCCATCGCTGACGATGAAGTAGGCGACGGAAAATCAAACATTACTTTTGAAACTTTAGGCCTTAGCCAACTAATTTTGGAACGAATTAAGAATCAAATTGGTAATTACAACTTATAGATAATTGTTATGTAGTATTGATTCTGATTTAAATAGGGTTTAATTGTTTTAGGACTGGTGAAACCTACAAAAGTTCAATCAGCCTGCATCCCTGCCCTGCTGAAGAATCAGAGTTGTATCGCCCAAGCCCCCACAGGAACCGGAAAGACGTTAGCCTTTGGGATTCCCATGATTCAGAAATGGGGGCGAGATCCGTACGGAGTTTTTGGACTTATTGTCACCCCCACGAGAGAATTGGCGTTGCAGATTAAGGATCAGATTTTATTTATGGGAGGAGAAAGGGCTAAAGTTTGTCTGGTGATTGGGGGTGTGGACTTTCAGGAACAAGCGATAGAGCTATTTAGCAAGCCGAGTTTTGTAGTGGCGACTCCTGGAAGGTTAGTGTTATTTGATAAATCAAATGGGGTGCATATTCTGAAAGGTTTTTTGTATATTATTTTTAGGTTGCTGGATCATCTCCAAAGTGCGGAGTCTACGTTTCGAAATACTTTTAAGAACTGCAAGTACCTCGTTTATGACGAAGCCGACAAATTACTAGATGGCCAGTTTGACGAAAATTTGACCGCGATTAGTTCTGCGTTGCCAAAGAAGAAACAAGTCATGTTGTTCAGTGCGACTATGCTGTCGCATGAGAAGATGGTCCCTGTAGTAAAGGAGTTGTCACAATCGACGGAAATGGTGAGTTTAAAGAGAAGTTGGCCTGGTTAAAAATTATTTAACTATTTAAATGAACTTGATTTGACAGCCCTTCATTTACGACTATCAAGAAGAGGATGAAGATAAGAGTAAGGAAGACAACAAGACGCCTGAAGATGGAGGTCTTGAAACTCCAGCTAAATCCTCTGAACCACTACTTTCCAAAATTCCCCTTACCCAGAAATACATCCTGTGTCCGAGAGATTTTAAAGATGGTTATTTAATGGAGTTGTTGCGTTCGATTAGAGATAAAGAGATAAAATTACCTGTTCAAGTGCGGTCCATGATTATTTTTGCGGCAACAATTCGGTGAGATGGACTAATATTTGTAAAATGATTTGAACTTTAATTTCCTAACTTTTCTTATATTTTGCAGAGAAACTCAAGTATTATCCTTGCTACTGTCAAATTTGGGATTTACCAATACCACATTACACTCACATCTCGATCAAAAAGCTAGGGCTAAAGCGTTATCAGATTTCAGATCATCTACGGTAAATACATTGGTTGCGACGGATGTGGTTAGCAGAGGTAAATCCATCATACTTTTTTATTCTCGTTGTACATATTTGAGATAAATAATAATTTACATACTTCTGCAGGCCTCGATATTAGAACAGTGGACCTCGTCATAAACTACTCCATTCCAATGCCTCCAGATTACGTTCATCGAGTTGGTCGAACAGGTCGTGCCGGTCAACCAGGGCTAACCATAATGTTTGTCATACCCACGCGCGACATTCCTTTTTTGACCAATGTGGAAAATTATATTGGGGAGAAATTAACCGAGATGAAAATTGACGGTAATTTTTTCGTCCACTGCAACCCTTTCAAGATATACCTGCATGTTTTAACTTTTTATATGCATACATTACAGAAAAGAAAGTTCTAAAAATACTGACGGACGTACAAGCAAATAGGAAAATTGCAGATTTAACAGTGACAGAAAATGATCCCTTTGAAGAACGAGCTAAAACCAACAAATTAAAGAAGGAAATAGAAGCCGCACTAGATGGGAAACCAATTATTAGCAAGAAAAAGAAAAAGCGACAATTATTGACAACTCCCACTCCTCCCCATAATCAGAGTAAATTACAAAAATTACAAAATACTGAGAAATAATACATACGTAAAGTACCTGCCAATAAACTATTTTATTATGACTCTTATATACACATACCTACTTACACATAAATTCAAATTATGCATCGCATTATGCGTAGCCAAAATAACTGTTATCAAAATTTTTAACGAGGTTTACACTATGTACACTTTTCTTCACGCTTCTTGACCTACGACTGCATAGGTATCTGCATACAGTGACTTGCAGTGGGAGTAAGCTGTAGTACTAGTAAGCAGAATTAAGTGAAATTCAGTTTAGTGTCTCTTACATTGTTGTAAATATTATCACTGTACAGTTTTGCTTTACTCGCTTTACTATTCATTTCTGTTTTAAATATTCCTATTCATTTGGAATTTTTTTTATGAAAAGTAAAACATGATTGACGAATTTCCATCATTTCTTGATCCTGATTCAATCATAATTAATATTTAAGTGCAATGGTGTGGCAGCAGGCGTTGTATTTGGTTAATTTGTTGTGCAAATTCGTCCCCTGTGATTACAACTTTCCATACCCGGATACCTCGCTCAGTGAACCACAAGCATTTAAGGTAATCCGGAACAACTTTCTCGTATTATGCATGTGTTGTTTTACCCGGCATGGCGTGGGTGAAATTTTGAAATGGGTGTGGTGGGCACAAGTGTGGCCAGGGCATCAAAACTTGGGGGTTAGGATACCATAACATGTTCAAAAGGCATCGGAATCTGAGAGGGACAAGTAGGGAAGCTCTGCTCCTTAAGGAAATCGCCTTGTTGAGACGGACCCCCGCCCGCTTATCATTCACAGTCTTATCGCATCTTATATTTATATTGATTTTCTTAAAGGATTTGATCACCATCGGTTTTGACGAGAAGGACAAGAACAATCCAGGCACGTTGCGGATCGGTGGGGGAGATGGGAACGGATGGGGGTGGAATCCACAAGGTCACATTGATGAAATCGACTACACGGAGAATGATCCTCTTGTCGCAATCACGAAAACGGGGAAATTGCGGGGGTACTGGATGCAGGTTGTGGGAGGGAGGAAGATACGTGCTTTCGAAGGGATACCTTACGCAGGTGCATTTTAAGTATAAAAATTTGATATATGATGATTTGCATGGTCATATCGCTAAGGCAAATTACCTTTCGTGATTGGTGATAACATGAGCAAGTGTACTGATGATGCACCATCCCCAGCTCCAAAAAGAGTGACGCGATTTTTGTCGCCAGAAAACTTTCGAATGTTATTCTGCACCCAGTGCAAGGCCATAACCTGATCCTTTAATCCTAAATTTCCTGGAACTACATCATCTTCTGTGTGTAGGAATCCTACATTTCATGTGCATTCATTTAAAGACATGTATATATATTAAGCGAGACAAATTTGGACAATATCTGAGTATTGATATGTACATGCCGATGCCGAAACAAAGGGATTAATGCGATCAATTATTATTACGCAGAGCCACCCATTGGCTACTTCCGCTTTTCGGTGAGTGAGCACGCACCTACGCATGAATACAGATTAAAATTAGTTAATGTTTTATGTTGCGTGGTATTTAGGAACCTAGCCCAAAAATTCCATGGTCTGGACTTCTCTGGGCGAATAAAAAGGGTCCAAAATGTCTCCAGTTTTCACAAATAGAGCTAAAACGCATAGTCGGTAGTGAGGACTGTCTTTGTCTTAATATCTACTCCCCGCAGGTACGTGCGACGCTATTGGTCATGAAATGATGCTGGACGTCTTACTATGTATTTGCAATGTTCTGATTGGATAGGTCCAAAGTGGTGTATTGGCGAAAAAAGAAAAGGAAAAATTTCCAGTCATTGTATTTATTCATGGAGGTACGTTGTAAAACTTTTGCCAGTCTTTGGTCAAAAATATTAAGTCTGATTTTTGTGCAAAGGTGGTTTCCAAATTGGTGGCGCAAATGATTACGGACCGTCATACCTTCTACAACAGGTACTTTGTATATAATCTTTATAAATAAACGATTAAAGTTTAAAAATTCAAAATAAAATGTACTTGACCAATTAATAGGATATTATTCTGGTTACTTTTAATTATCGAGTTGGGGTTTTTGGTAACGTTTTCAATATTTAATTACTTACTAATCTTACTATTAAATAGACTATGGAATATATCTGTTAAAATTACGTATTTGACCATTTATTATTTTCAGGATTTATGAGTACCGGCGACAAAGCTAGTCCAGGTATGGATTTTTTTTATTTTTGACTTCCCTGATTTTAACAAATTAATCATATTTTGAGAAAAATTTATATATTTTTGTAGGAAACTATGGACTAAAAGATCAAGCAATGGCGATCCAGTGGGTGTATGAAAATATTGAGCATTTTAATGGCGATCATTTGCGAATCACGTTAGTTGGACAGGAAGCTGGTACAAATATATAAAATTTGCAAATCCTTAAAAAAGACACTGCATGGTATATCTCCGTGTAAATTATTAGGAGGAGCAAGCGTCCATCTGCAAATGTTATCGCTTAGAGCAAGACCATTTTTCCAAGCTGGAATTTCCATGTCAGGGACAGCCTTTAATCCGTGGGTATTTTGTAGTAAAGACGCAGCTCGTGATCTTACAAAGTACTACGCGAAAAAATTGCATTGTCCAGTGCACTCTTCTGATGCCATTGTTTCCTGTTTGAGACGAGCTGATGCTGCCGAACTGGCGAAGGCACAGATTCCGCTTTTGGACGATCTTCCCATCCCGATTTACTTGTTTCGGGCTGTCCTTGAAGATAATGACCAGAAAGAGGTTCCCTTCATGACTGAAACTCCGGAACAAATATACAGAAAAAATTTGGCCGCACCGATACCTTGGATTGCTGGGTTTACAGAGGACGAGGGACTCACTTTTTTACTACGTAAGCAAATTAGATGCTTTTTTATTGAGAAACATATTTAATAAGCTCGTTCTTTATTTTAGCATCCGTTTTCCGTGGAACTATAAAACAATTGAGGTCACATTGGAACATTTTAGCTCCTGATTTCCTGGATTATCAGAATTTGAAGAATGTAGATCAAGACGACGTTACGAAAAAGATTAACTGGCTTTACTTCAAGCAGAAAACGCCACTCACTGCAACAATCAAGACGTTTAGCGATGTAAGACATTTTGGTGAATTTGTTGATTGATAAGATTACATAGATTGATAAGAGTTTTAACTTTGTTAAACATTGTTGAGTAGGCTGTGTCGCTGAGGTTTACAGTGGCTGGTGTCCACAAAGCGTTACAAGCACATTCCACTCTTGCTCCTACGTATGGCTACATGTTTTCGTATAATGGGAAGTATAATTTGGCTACGCTTGCAGGAATTAAACCACAGGAATGGGGTAAATCGTGATAAGCTTGTAAATACTACTTGGGGGATGTTAATTAAGTGAGATATTTATTAATTTATAGGCGTCGGCCAAGGGGAAGATTTATTTTACGTCCTGAACAGCACCCATTTGTATCAAGGTAGGCAAAAGCATTCAACCACAATTTTTCGATGTATAACATTTTTTGATGTATGACATACTCGCTTTATTTTGATAACTTTTAGGATTTCAAAAAACCGATCATGAAATGATTCTTGCAAAAATTATGGTGAACTTGTTTGGAAATTTTGCATCGAAAAGGTGAACATTTTTCGGATATTATTTTGCTCATTTTTTTGTTATTTGCAATTTGTAAAACTTGATTTCTTATTAGATATCCAACATTTACTCTTGAAAATCGAGAAGATTTCCAAATTTGGCATCCCATCACGGATCCTCGAAACATGTCATTTTTGTTAATTCACAAAAAGATCAAAATGATTCCAGAGCCATATTTGAAACAATCCGTGTACTGGGAGAGCATTGGACTTCCGGATACAACGCCGTACATAAATACTACCGAACACTATCGGGATTATCATTTCATTACGGCCACACCTCAGCCTCCTCCCCCACGAATTTTTTATTCAGTTTCCAACCCAGATATTTTTGATTTGAGGGGAAATCTTAGCCTACGCGAGGCGAAGGCAGAGCCCCCAGAAGATGTCAAGCTTGTGGAGGATGAAGGAGATAATTCTTTAAATTCGAAAGAGGTTCAAGACTCAGAACCAGATTTTAAATTCAATTATAACGACGTTTTTGATGGGATAACGTCGACGAGGGCTATTTCTACAACAAGTACCACACCAAGTACAACAACTACGACTACTACTACGACGACTACTTCTGCTACAACTACCGAGATCCCACCACCTTTTGACGAAAATATGGTATTTCTTCCTCCCTGGAATCCATACGGTATTAAAATTACTCCCTCGACAATGACAACTACCACAGAAGAACCACATACCACTCCAATTACTACAACTCCTAGTAGTACGACAGATCCAAGCATTTCTACAAGCACTACAACTACCGAAAACCCACTAACTGTAACTACTACAACAAGCATCTCTCCATTTCAATTTGAAATAGACGCTCCGCTCCTACATGTTCCAACAGACGATTCCCTTCCAACTCAAGAAGTGATCAATGAAAGTGGCAATGATGCCACCACCACTACAACAATATCGCCAGAAATATATTTAGACTTGTACAAATTTGAGAACGAGCTATTGAACGACATGATCAACAAGTACCCTGTTTTTCCATCTATTCCACCACTTCCCCATTCTTCGCTGCCAAATAGCTTTGATTTACTGGAAAGTGTTGATGTTACGGACAACTCACGTGAAAAGGAAACTGAAAAACCAAGCTCAGAGGAAGTTATCAATCCAGTCAAATCTGGTGATGAAGCTGTGCACCCCTTAAATCCTGATGTCGACCCCAGTACTCCAACTCCACCAACTACTTTACATGAGAATACTTCTACCGTTAATACCACTACTCTACCGCTACCAGCAACAACAACCACGACCTCACCGGAAAATATTCGTCACCCTGACAAAGCATTGGACGATGACAACATGGACTTGGACAAGTTCGCTCTGGAATTTAAGCAGGATCCGTACCCAACCGATGACACGTCTTCCGAAGAAGCAGAAAAGGACAAAAATATTATTGTCAGATCGACATCTTCGACCCCAAGAGATTACAATTATCATAATCATCATGACGAACGGTCGAGATACTCGTCAACTTACAGGATGCCACATTCTCCACACATATCCAATGAAATATCGGACCATGAACAGTATAATATTATGAGATGAGTCGATCAAATAATTTAGTTAATTTTACAACTTTATTTTAGAAAGTAGATATATTTCAAATTAAATCAAGTTAAAATAGATAAAATTATTAGGTTTGTACAGTCAAATGTATAAATTAGGCCAGAATTGTGTCATTTATACTAAAGTTGAGCAGAATATGTCCTGTGCGGGTGGAGCCTAATAGTGAAAAACCATTCATTTCTCCTCTCTCCAACCAACTCTCTTGTCCTGAGGCCTACGGTTTTTCACCATTAGGCTCCATCCGCACAGTACATATCCTGCTCAACTTTAGTATAGTGACCATTAACTGTGAGAATAATTGTCCACAATGCAACCACTTTTTGCGGTGGGCTGAGAACTAATTTGGTACAATAATGGTGGTGGGTATTGGTCAGTCGGTGTTGGTCATTATTCTTTTTTGTTGCGGTATTATTGCATACGTGAGATTTTGTTTTTCTTCACTAGGACTTGTTACATGTATTTCAGTTAAATTTTCAGCTTTGGGATACCTATCGCAGTCAATAATTTGTAATGATCATTAATTTTATGCAACAAAGTATGAAAAACGGTACCTTAATTTTATGCATTTTTGCTTCTGCACAACCACCAAACTGATTGAATTATGACATTCAACAAAATCGTCATCCTGTGCGTTTACGCGTAAAATTAAAGATTTTTTGCGACAAAACCGCAGATCTTATTTCTCTTTTTGTATTACTAATCCTAAGAGCTTTGTCCCAGTTGATTGGTGAAAATAAATAAATGAACTAAAATTGTTTATGAAGCGTGAAATTAAGTGGATCAAATTAACAACTAAAGCTCTTTCTTTACGCAACATGCATCCAGTACGGATTCTCTAGGCAAAGCTGTTGATCTCATGAAATAAAGTTTTGGACATTTTTCACAATTTCTGAAAATTACAATTTATTAATATGAACAAAGTTTCTTAAAAAGTATTTCAAAATAATAATAAATGGTTCTCGCAACCTCTGCCGTGTTTTTGGTCCAACTTTTGTGCGTTCTAGTGCCATGCAATCCTCGCTATCCAATTCCAGACTTGTCACAAGATGAGGACAAAGTGAATGATCGTTTCGCTGGCATTGCGGGGTCAAATTTTCTAAAGAGGTTGTGGCATAGTCATTCCGACGAAGGTCACCATGCCCTTCCACCTCTGGTTAAAACTGAGGGGGGAGTGGTGGAGGGCTACGTTATGAAAGTGGTGGGTGGTCGAGAGGTAATTATTATGAATTTATAACTGATTGATTAAAGAAGAGACTCCAACGTAGGACTCGATGATTCATCATAAAAATCGTCAAAATAAATACATATTTTGAATTATTTCTCGGCTCTGGGAATTTAGTTTAAAATTCTGGACTACAAATTTGCAGAGCATGTCATTAATTAATAGAATTGCGGTGAGTTTTTAACCCAGTTTCGATAAATGTCAATTTTTCTCAAAGTACTCTACACCTTCAAAAACTGCTAAAATCTGGAGTGTACTTCTTTATTTCTTAATTGGCAACAACCTCCTACAAATTTATCGTCCAGAATTTAAAATAAATTTCCAGAGCCGAGAAATGATTAAAAATGTGCTGATTTTGATGATGAATCATTGAGTCTTACATTACATAAGTGACACTTTGAAGGTGTATGCATTTGAGGGGTTGCCATATGGAGAACCTCCCACGGGAAATTTGCGCTTTAGGGTGAGTACGTACATATTTTCAACAAATTGTTACATATAATAATAGTAGAGTAAAATAATAATTGGCCGAAATAATTAACAATATTTTTTCAGTCCCCAGTGCCAAAAAGTCCTTGGAATGGGATCCTCAAAGCTGTTTCCCCTGGGCGACCATGTCTTCAATATAACGTTCCGAAAGGTTTCCGCGTTCTCGGAGGGGAGGATTGTCTGTTCCTGAACGTCTACTCCCCGCAGGTCATTATTTTTCAACTTTGACTGTAACTATTGTTATTTGTGAATAGAATTTAATGATTTTTGATGAAATTGTTCAGATGCCTTCTCCAGTTGGCCTCGATGCTAAAAAATTACCAGTTATTGTATTTCTTCACGGTGGTATGCATTCAGTTGACGAAATTAATGTAAATTGGGTGATATTAAGAGTCTGGTTTGATTAATTAGGAGGATTTTTCTTCGGGTCGAGTGGATTTTATGGTCCATCCTACTTGTTGCAAAAAGATGACAATAAAAATGATGTCATCTTATGCATTTTGCAATACAGGTAAATATTTATAAATGCTTACAACCATTTGTATTTTAAATTTCGTAGGACTCATGACTTATCGTCCAAATCGACACATTTTTATTAATCTCTCGGTTCTGAGAATTTATTTAAAAATTCTGGACGAAAAATTTGTAGAGTAGGTCATTGCCAATTTAAATAAAATAATTTGACAATTTTTGAAGGAGGAGATCTCAAGTTTAAGAAGCCTTCATAAAAATTGGAACTGTTCGAACCTTAATTTAAAAATCTCACCTTCTATTAATCAACTTACTGAACAAATTTGTCAGACCAGAATTTTAGTCTGTAAGTGATAGAAAGCTATCTTCAGTTCAGATTATATTTATTTTATTCTGATTTTCTAGGTTGGGCGTTTTGGGTGAGCAATTTGCGATTTTCAATTCGTCCAATTCTTATAGAGTGTTTTCCATAATTGAATTTTATCTGTTTTTCTGAAATATAAATAAATTAAGGTTTCCTGAGTTCAGGAGATGCAGCAAGTCCAGGTAAAAAATATGGCGTAACAAACTAATTGAAATCTTAAACAATGTGGATCGTATTTATTTTTAGGCAACTGGGGTCTCAAGGATCAAGCTCTAGCGTTGGAATGGATTTCCAAAAACATTGAATCTTTTGGTGGGGACAAACATCGTATCACAATTATGGGACAATCTGCAGGAAGGTGCAGAAATACAGAAATACTTATGCAAATCAGGAAATTAAACAATTATCTTAAATTGCTAACTTATTACAGCGCACTCGTTCACTTTCACCTGTTATCTCGACGCTCTCGACCCTTCTTCCACGCCGCGATATCAATGAGTGGGACCGCCTTCAATTATTGGGCCCTTCACAGCACGCATCAGGCGAGGAATTATAGCCAAACTTTGGCAAAATTAGTGGGGTGCCCCTCATTTGATTCGGAAGAAATGGTGGAATGCTTGCGATACACGAATTCAGCCTTGTTGGTGACACAGACCCAGTTCTTCTTGGTATAAATCTATATAATTTGGTCGAATATTCTGTATGCAAATAAAATTGATAAGGTCATCAATTTGACCCTCACACAATTCGGTTGATAGGACGATTGGCCTTATCCATCCAACGCGTGGCGACCCTGTATTGAACCCTTGGAAGGAAATTTGGACCCGTTCCTGACAGAAAGTCCACTTGCCCTGTATTCCAGAGGAGATGTGGCGAAAGTTCCCTGGATTGTGACAATAGTTTCGGGAGAAGGATACCAATTTTTGTTATGTAATGAAATATATAATCATGAATTACTTAATCATGAATTATTGACGATTATGCGCCTTTTCTGCAGATCCGTATATAACTTTCCAGATGAAAACTTTAAGAAAAAACTGGGAAAGACTTGCTCACGATTTGGCTGACGTCGACACGTTTCAAGATTCTCTGGACTTGAAAAAGATCACGAAAAAGTTGACACGATTTTATTTTAGAAATGTACCCCCGGAAAAGTCTCCCGTGCATAATTTTGCTAATGTATGTAAATATGACGCAAAACGGTCAGATTTTAAAATCGTGATTAGATGATAACTATTTTGCATTGTCTTTTTACAGATTATCACGGACAGATTCTTTCTTAGTGGAATTTATAAATCGATCCAAGCTCATGTACAAATTGCTCCGACTTATTCGTACATTTTTGATGTGAATGGGCAGTACAATATTATTGAAAATTTTGGATATTCGAGAAATGAATGGGGTATGAACCTTATTCATAAATTGTGACACTTGATTTTGGAATTTCTTATTATTAAGAAATGTGCTAAATATCTTTCAGGTGTGGGCCACGCTGAGGTGTTCGATTGAAAGAACAATTTTATATTTATTTCGTACAAAAATACAAATTACTTACATTAATTTTATATTTAGGATTTGTTCTACGTGTTTAATAGCTCGTTGACATATCACGGATTTAATAGAGAGGGTAATTTTATTTTATATATGCACCAAAATTTGTAACTTTGATACGTATTCATAAATATATATTTTAGACCCTGAATTTCAAGTTAGTCAATTTTTGGTCAACGTGTTTACAAACTTTGCTGCCAAAAGGTAACAAAATAATTTTAACTGTCACTCCAACGAGGTCATTATTGACCTATCGACTTATCGTTTAGACAACCACTCTTCACTCGATCGGACGGGAATGCCATCCAGCTTTGGCACCCACACGAGAGCCCCACGCAATTAAACTTCCTGAAAATTGAAATGGACACTGCTTACATGGTGTCGGATCCTTTCCGGAAAAGAGTCCGATTTTGGGAGAGGATCCGCATCCCTGACACGCCCACCGAAACAGACATACTATTTGTTCACAATGAGGCAGCAAAATAATAAATTACTCAACATACCCTGCATTTCAAGCACTTGGCGTCATTATTCCTGCTAAAAATCGTCCTCTTAAACTTGCACTTGACCACGTTAACCGTTCCCATCGAACTATTAATACTCGAACCACCACCACTCTGTCCATGCTCGAGAACTTCGAGCCTGTCCCCACTCACCGAGTTGAGAACATGCCCCCACCCGTAAACCCGCAAAACCTTCTTGCACACCACATTCTCCAGCTTGTGACCAAACCCGTTAATGAGGATGTAATGACACACGACATTCCTCAGTATAAAGTAATTAGCCTTTGTACTAAAACAGCTGAACCCCCACTCGGAGAAAGGTCGTTTAGAAATGTGGCACGTTAAACCGTCAACTTCGTTCTGATTTCCGGTTCCGTGACGAACCCCGGAGTAGCCCATGTCCAAATTGGTCGACTTTGCGGTGACGACTATGGCACTAAATTGGTTTTGGCTGCCGTGAATATTCACTCCGGCATAGCCCGATGCGCAGGACAGATTTTTGACCCGGTTACAATTTCCATGGATGGATAAGCCGTTCCACGTGGCAGATTTTATGACCAGATTCGTCACGCTGTTATTGGCTCCGTGTATCGTGACGGCGTTCTGGCTGTCTTTAATTTCCAGGTTTTTAACCGAGTTGGAATCTCCGGTGACAGAAAGACCCCAGTGAACTTGCGTCGAGTCGATGGAAATGTCCCGAATTAGGCAGGAATTTCCGATCACTTGTAAAACGGCGAGGGTGGAGCTGGTCAAATTGTGGGACTCGTTCCGGATTAGCACGTTCCCAGACTCGACCCCTTTTAAAACAATGTTGTTCTTCTCTCGAAGGATAAAAGTTCCGCTGTAGACACCGCTGTGGATCAGGATGTGATCCCCGTCGTGACAATGGGCAAAACATTGAGCTAATTGAGAGGCACTGGAGACATTTAAGAAATCAGAAGTGGGCATGAAAACATCTTCAATTGAGGAGAATCGATCACTCGTCTTTTTTCGGGTGAGACGAATCACTACCTGTTTTGCATTCGGGATGAGGCAATGTTCCAAAATTAGGTCGGTTTCATTGTCGTTGACGATCTTGTCGAAAAGTGTGTTCCTCTCGGAGTGTGGGACGAGTTGGAGGACTTCGAGGAGAACGAGGCCCAGAGCGTAGAGATCGGCAGGTTCGGCGTAGGTGTGAGAATTCATTTCTGGAGCGCGATAAGCCATAGTTCCTGAATAAATTAGGGAGAAATTATTAAGTATTTTGAGATGAAAGGTGCAGTGTTTCGTTTCTTGCGGGTTTGCTACGTTTTTTCCACTGAAAAGCAAGAAACGCAAGAAATACGAGGTGCAAGAAACTGCAAAAAAATGCACAAAAACATGCACCGTATGAACTAAAGTGACCGGAAGTAGTTTCTTGCGCCTTGAATTTCTTGCAGGTCAAAATACCTCCAAGAAACCACTTTCTTCCCGTTATTTCTTGCCAGTGGTTCCTTGCACCCGAAACACTCCTGAAACCTGCCGTTTTTCTCACCTTGATTTATCGTCAGTATCCCCGTACAACTTTGTTCCGTATGTATCTGCCTTGATAACCCGAAATCTCCAATTTTAACCGGAAGAATATACCCAATTCCAGAAAACATGACATTTTCCGGCTTAAAATCTCTATGAATGATTTTATTCCGATGTAAAAACTTCATCCCGTCCAATAATCCTTGCACAATGGCGGCCTGCACAGTTAAGAACGATTTATCCCACAGTTTACCCTCAACTCGTTTCTTATCAGGATGACACTGACATTTCAACCAGTCTCGCAAAGTTTCTCCGCACAACTCCATTTTTAAGCAGAACGCACGAACTTGTCCGAATTCATGGACACGATCCAAATAGTAGGCTCGCATCATGAGGTATTGCCTCTCATCTTCGATTGTGGGGGAGGACACGTTACTGAAAATGTCGACTAGTTCCCCTGGACTGAAACACTTTTGGATGAGGTGCTGAGCGGAAACGATGTGCGGGTGGGTCTTGCCTTTGAGGAGTTCGTATTCACGGGAAATTCTGACCTCTTCCTTGTCAAGGTCGTGGTCGCGGTCGTCATCTTCCTCGTCGTCGGCATTGTTTTCGAGAAAAATTATTTTCACGGCGGAACATTGTTGTAATTGTAAATCTGATTTTGTTTGTGTGCTGGTGTCGTCAACGGCTTTAAAAACGAGACCAAAACTTCCAAAGCCGAGACAAGTTTGGAGAATCGTGGAGTCGAACCAGCTCATTTTGTGACGAAATTTCCTGAATTATTAGTATTAATTTATTTAGATTTAGATTTTGTGCGCACATTCAGCCAGGTGCATTTATATAGATTCGATAGAGTACATATTAGTATAGACAACTTTGTTTTTAAAGAGTTATAATAATCTTACTTGCCGTATAACCTTTTTTTCATTCGGTTTGGATTTTCCTTAGGAGGACAAAAAAGTTTATGTGCCCTGCCTGCCTAACTTTTAAGATTTGACTTGCTAATTCGCAGTGTAAATAGAGAGAATACAAATGAGCATAAATAACTGTCCGATTCCTGTATGAATTTTAGCTTGAGTAGATAATATGGTAAACATATGTATGTATTTGTATAGATAAGATACGAGTCAGTCAATTCCGTTGTACTGCGAAAGCATCAAAATTTCAGAGAGCCATTGAACTGCATGGCACGCATGCCTTGGGAATTATTATCTTAATTGTGTGTGCACAAGACAAGAATTTAAATTTACAAATTGATTAAGGCGACAAAAACTAGATGCAAAAATATTTTAAGAGATTGAAGCTTATGCATACATGAAAATATTTTGATTCCTAGTAAAAATTTATTCTTCCAGGGATTATGCAGATTATAATTTAGCAATTGTTAGTAACTAAATATTGTTTGTGTGGGTGTAACTCGGAAACCCCCTGCGACGTGACTTCATAAATCGAAAAAAACCCACAAATCTCATCTTCATGTAAATATGCAATATTCATTCATTATCTCCTAAATATTTAAGCCAACAAAAACAAAATATGTAAAATCATGCTGGAGAAAAATCCCCAAAAAAACGTTATCATCTATGAAACATTATGTCACAGATGGGATAGAATTTTTTGAACAGAGGACCCAATCCATTCCACTTCCGGTGCTGTTGTGGAAAAGAAGAATACATACATATGTACATACACATAGTATAATAAATATGTAATAACGTACAGATTTTTATAATAAAAATCCGGCCACATGCAGTTCTTAAATGAGTCTCTCTTTATAGGTTTTGGTTCTCTGTCACCAACTGGGATTTGATACGTTGCAGTAATGAATCAAACGCTAGTACAATAACGACCCTACCAGTCGACATGACGCCTCAAATTGATTTCGGAGGGAAAGGTCATAGGTACTGGGGGATAACACGTGAAAGAAATATTAAACCGTCTCAAACGACCATACATACAAAAGTGGCGTCATACAGTAAAATTATACCAAAAATTATGGAACTCATGACCTTTTACCTTGTCCTCAAGGTCATGAGGTCAAAAATATTGAGGGTGTTGCTTTCGTGGTGAAATTTCCTTTAAAATGGCACCCCATATGAAAATTAAGGCTAAATTTAGTTGTGGACCACACCCCCTCTCGCGTGGGGGATGGTCCGACTGACCTCATTATCGAAATCGACCGAAAACTAAAACTTAGAAGCACAATGGCCAAAATAACGTTTGATTATGTTGAGAAATTCTGGAGTTTTTTCTGCCCACAGACGGACGGACGGACGGATAGATAAAGCGATAACATAAAGCAGCTCTGAAAATACTTACTAAATACAAATAACATCTGTATTAACCATACTTTGAGAACCATCAATGCAATCGTGACATTCAAAATTTAATTCTCTCATATGTAGAATAAATCCTTTCGTGGAAACAGATAATTTCCAAAAGAGGATGAATAAAACTTCCATCCGAAAGGTGAAGATACTTAAATGAGAATACTGCGAAATGAGGTGAAAGAGACCTCGGCCAGCCAAAGCAAGCAAGCGACCCACACCTACGCACTTTCCCTCTGTGCTTTCTTTCCCTGCTTCGTTTCCCGGCTGTTGTACGTAACTCGACTCACTTGTTCTCACTTGGTCTCAGTTCTGTCCCAACTTTCACCCCGAGTGGAACAACGTTTCGTCTCACTTTGGATCGCCATCATCATTTTCGATAGCATTGTCCAGCCTGGAGGTTTTTCGAGGTGAGGTGAGATTACGTGATTTTCCTTATCTTAATTATATTTGTGACGGGTTAGATAAGTAGTAATCGATAATTACATATTGTTACAAAATGATTGCGTTACTTGCATTACGAGATGTCGTACATATTTAATAATGAGGAGAGAAAGAGAAAAAAGACTCCTGAGAAAGTAAACAACTTTCTTTGATTGTTTGTCATTGTGTGTGTGTGTAAATACTTTGGTGTGTTTGTTGAAGCTGAGGTTTGAAGTTGAGAGGAAATTGTTCTTCGTTTTTCGCAGTTTTTCTGAGTAGTGGACAGACAGGGATACATATCGTGAGAAGGACGAGACAGATATGAAATGGAATCAATTATTAGTTTATGTATGGCATACACTCTAAGAAATCTGCTATTAAAATGATACCAAGCGGTATTCGGATATGACGCTACATACCAAAGCGGTATTGACAGGTAATACTGTGTAGTAATAGCTCAGTATTAAAGTTTTGCCATATCGATAACAAATTTTTACGGACTGGTATACATAATTTTGATACCGAGTGGTAGCAAGTTTAATATCGAGAAATCAATACCAGATTTCTAAGAGTGTTTGTACATACGTATTCTGAGTGGATAAAAGATTGGTCAGATTGTTGAACAATAGTTGAAGTGATGGTGGGCGAAAAAGTAATAAAAAAACACAAGGAGATCAAGTCCCGATAATGTAAAGAAACTTATCCATATTTTTCCTAGTAACGTTTTTTTTGCATGAGAGCACATCGCAAAAATTGATCGATAATTTTAGATAGCTGACACAAAATTGATTCACGATTCCACAATCAGCGCTTACATACTTTCTTCTCACCTTGAAGAATATTAGAATTTTGTCGTGTCCAAACAAACACGAAGGATGACACGACCATCCATCCATCCATCCATAAATAAATACAGATATGTCTGCAGCATGACGACCGATTTTGATGTTTGGTTAGCAAATAAGTCGTATTTGCATTTGTGCTTTCTCCAGCCGTGTGGTGGTTTGGTTGGACTGGACGAATTGTTATCTGGTGCTTTACTACTCAATATTTGTCCAGCTTAGGTGGGATAAATTCAAAGAGACGAGTTATTACGGGAGGTGGTAGTGGCTATACTTACAAATCATATTTTGTGTTTGCATACATATACAGTTGGTCGGATTTTGTGCTACTTGTCATATTTAGAATTTGAGTGAAAAGGAATACATACACGTCCAAGGTCAGCAGAAGTGATTTAGTTTTCGCAAATCCGCCATGAATTGGCAAAAAAATGAAAGGGAAACTTTCTCCAAGTTTTTATTTTTATCTTCACCTTCGCAGTCCAGTAGTCCACTTGAAGAATGCAATATACCGTAAAAACTCAAATAGTAGCCGGGGGCTACTATTTAAAAAATCAGTAGCTGGGACCCGGCTACTATTTGAGCAAGGCTACTATTTGGGCACGGTCACTATTTATAAAATTATGAAAGGATGCACTGCTACTATTAGCAAACAGCTATTGTAATTTTGTTTCCAGAATCAAACTCAAATTATATTTTAATAAACCGTAGTAACGTTAGAAGTAGCTCACCCTGGAATAATAATATGGATATAGCTTTGCAACAAAGGTGCAGAATAAACGATCAAAACGGGCAGAATTTGGATTTCATTTTGCATCAAAGGTGCAGAATAAGCCGACAAAGGAGATACATAGTTTCGACACAAGTTGATACCAATAGTGGGACGTAGGCGTGAAAAACACATACATAATTTTAACATAATTTCGACTCTTATCCAGCTCCCCCAGAAAACGCGGTGTCAAGATTGCTTAATTGACACTGCACATTCATCAATTGCCCCCATTGTTTTGCACTATACAAACTAGATACATAACTTTGATATAATTATGCACCAATTATGGAAAATAAGCGGGAAAAATTGTTAAATAATTTTGACATACATTAATGCATACCAAATGTGCAACCAATTAGGGTAAAAATGGTTTTGGGACTTTTTAAATAGCATCAATTGACGCAAAAAACTCGTGAACACACGGACGGACGGACAGACAGACGGACAAGAGGAATTCAATAGCTCTCGTGCTACGCAGGGTGAGCTAATAATAGCACCAAATTCTCCCTTAGATTCGTATTAGATGACAATTCTATAGGTTAGGCCTGCCCTTAATTTTAATAATTTCTTCGATGATCCGAATTTCGTATTCAATTCAATTTTGTATAACTGAGATTAAATTGAAGTGTGATTTAATTACTTAAATGAGCTGGCTAAGCGATATCTGGTTGTATGTATGTACATTGGAAATTGACGAACGCCTATAATTCGAATAAGGCTACTATTTGGGCAGGGCTACTATTTGAGTAGGGCTACTATTTGAGCACGGCTACTATTTGGGCACGGCTACTATTTGAGCAAGGTCACTATTTATAAAATTATGAAAAAAGGCAGGGCTACTATTTGGACACGGCTACTATTTGAGCAAGGGCTACTATTTGAGTTTTTACGGTATACTTTATTTTTTCTGTCAGGGTTTAGTCTTTCCAAGAGAAGAATATTTGTGTCACGTAGGTAAGCAAACTAATGATAAGCATAGACTCGTTATAAAATAAAATGACGTTGAATAATCTGTCCAGGATGAACAGAATATTCGTGCACGTAGATAAGTGCGTGGGATTTTGGGGGCCAAGTGGTCGTGGTTTGACTGACTCACTTTCTTGACTTGGCTTGGCTTTACATCCGACAGGGAATTTGTCAAAAACGAGTCATATTATGCACACTGGCGACTTATGACTTTGAAAGTCAGACTTTCACCCTAGACGCATCATGAATTTTGAGGTTTGGCTATGCTACATGGACATGGAAGTAATTTGACTTTCTCTTTGAAGTGCTGGTTGGCTAGCGAGTAGGTGGGTAAGCACGAGGCGACGGCATAGTGTTTGTGGTCTGGTCGAGTGGATTGAAGAGTGTCGATTGAATTTTTATTGGGTGCCAGACCAGCCACGTTCGCTTCACGTAGAGTTGAAACATTTTATAATTCATGTAAAGTGTTCGACGAGAAAGTATGTATTGATTTATTTACACGAGGAAGAGGAACGAATGAGTAAAAGTGATGTGAGGACGTGATGTGTTTGCAACCAGCCTAATCGGAAAGTGCATGTGTCCTCGTAGGCACTTGTGTTTCCCGACTGTCACTTACTTGACTTCTGGCACAACAAAATTTAAAATGCAGGCAAAACTGTTAACTTCATTTTGAGAGAGAGAAAGCAACCAAAATTCATGAGGCTGCGGCCAGGCCACGGGTTCGACATGTTTTTTTCAACTTTCTCCTTCAAAATTCCGCAAAGAGAGATGGATAGATGTGACTTATTTCCTGAGTAGGTCGGTAACATTCTAACCAGTTACATTGATCATCATGCGGTCGTCTAAATCGTGATTTCCTCCCACTTTTCGCAAAGGCACGAAGACGACAAAATTTCCAGGTGAATTCAATTGTCTTTTCTTTTCTCGGCTCGGGTCTAGAAATCTCCAGCCAACTTCCTCGCCAATCTGACTTCGCCAGGAGGAAAGAGGTAAACGAATAGTGCAGCCAGAAGATAGTGATGCTGCCAGGAGAAAAGAAGAATTGAGTGAGTGGAGATCACATCTTCTTCTCGTCGACGACGACATGATCTAATCTTGTTCCAGATAAAATTAAATAGTTTTCCCAACGGGGGTAGGTACGTAGGTAGGAAAAGAATCAAAAGCACGGCTTGTTTGAGGACGGGGAATTATTTAGACTGGGCTGAATAACGAAAAGTGGACGTAAAATATATGTACTTGTGGTTTCCTTGTTGTTGTTGTGGTGCGGACCAATTTGACATGATTGATACTTGAACCAGTGGTGAAAATACGAGCGGAATCGGACACACCGCAGATTAAGAATCATGTTGTCAGGAGAAAGGAAGCCAAACCACCAGCAGCCGCAGAATGGATGCCACACTACCGTTGAGACATTGCCAGTGTGAATACTGCATTTTTCAGCAGCGGTGATCCTACACCGTGGTGAAAGTGAAAGTGAGAATATTTACTTCGCTTCGAGTGACTGGGAAAAGACGGGGAAAGTTTTTTTTTCCTGGGACGAGTCATCAATCGTGTCAGAATAATTAAGTGACTTGTCTTCAGCTTCATTCACCTGCTAAGACGGGAAGTGGAGAAGAAAAAACTTGAGAAAAAGTTGGGACGGAGAGAAGTGCGTTGATTTGTAATTATATTAGAGCTGCTGTCCGTCTATTCGCCACAATTAATGCCGAGACCACCTCAAATCCGCAGGGGGAGTGACAAGGTACGTACGTACATACGTTAATCAGTGTTTTGGAGACGTTTTTTCCGTAGTTTTTTCGTGTTGCACTTTTTATTGCCTCGTGTAAACAGTTGGTAATTTCGATGTAAAATCGTATTATCCAACGAGAAATTGGCAAAAAAAATTTGCAATTTTAGGATAATGATCACTCTGAATAATGAAAAAAGGCGCTATGTCGCGAAGGAAAGGAGAACGATCTATGAATTACGTAGGGCTGATTGCATTACGTAAAGTCAACTACTAAATTATTGACGGAATGCACAGGAATTTTGATGGGGGCGGGTTGGAAATGTCAATTGTTATGTGGGTACTGCATTAACTTTTTATCTTTTTAGTCCGCTGGGTATCGAGTGATTTTTAAAGTTCAGGCTAACTTTTTTCAGTCCCTTTGGACAGTCTGGTGGTATGGATAGCTCTTGACTTTGGAGTGTACACATTATTTGTTTGCGGACCTAAGTAAGTAGTTGCATAGTAAGTTACAATTCTGGTTTTAGCAAGTTATGTAAGTCATCATTTCGTGTTGGTTGTTCGGTCAAATGAATTGGATGGGGCAACTGGAAAATTTGGAAGGTTAAAATGCCAATTAGGAAAAAATGTGAGAGATCACTATTAAACGTACACTTTAGGTTGATCCATGGAAGAGTGTTAGAAAATAATAGTTCATGTTGTAAATTTTTGCGTGATTTTGAAATTCCATAAAGAACGAGATAGTTCATGACTGCAAATTAAATATACGATTATTTGTATATTTTACATTAAGCATTACTGGTGTAAGTACTTGTATATTAAGTTGCTTAACTTAATTAGTTAAGTCATTATTTCTTGTCGGTTTATTTGGTGAAATGGATTACGTAGATGGGGCAACTTGAAAAATTGGAAGGTTAAAAAGCCAATTAGAAAAAAATGCATCAGATCCTATTTGATGAACACATTAGGTTAATTCGTGGTTGGTTGTGGTAGGAAATAATAGTTCAATAATAATAGTGCTGTAAATTCTGGCATGATTTTGAAATTCGATAAAGAACAAAGATGGTTCAGGACTGCAAATTAAGTATCCGATTATTTACATATTGGATTAAGCACGCATGTATTTAACAATGTTTTTTTGTTAAATGGATTAGATGGGGCAAATTGAAAAATTGCAAGGTTAAAATGCCAATTATGAAAAAATAGATCAGATCACTATCCAATAATAAATATAAAGGTTTGGTTAGCGTGACGTATTAATAACTTTTCTCCCATTGTGACTTTAGGAAATATTAATTCATGCTCTAAATTTTGACATAATTTTGAAATTCGACAAAGAACTGAAATAATGGTTCATGAAAGCAAATACGTGATAAATAGCCGATTATTTACATGCTATGGGTTAAGCATTTACATATTTTAGTACTGTTTTAAACTCTTGACATAACTTGAACCTTTTTAAAATGTACTGATGACGAATAAAACAAAGTGAAAATCAATCCCTCCTCCCAAACTAATAGCATTTCACTACTCGCATATTTACACAAAAGTTGAACATGTACTTCTTTCTGTAATGTCTCAAGTGGTAGTAATATTTTAAACTGTTTTATATACTAGCCTGCGTCATTCCAGGGAATAAATACATCTAAAAGTGACACTAGTTTATCATCACGTCGGAAATGGTGAGGTTTGAAGGGTCTCATCTCGTCCCACCTTCTTTTATTTCATTCCGAGTACTTTCAGTTTCAAGAGAATTTCGTTACTGTCACTCAACATTTTTCCGCCTTCCTTCCTCCTCCGCGTCCTCCCACCTCAATTACGTCACTGATTGAAGGGCGCAAATAAAAATAAAGACGAAAATGTAATTAACACCATCGTCACTCTTCTCCTCTTGATCGGCGTTTCTACTAGTTTGGAAAAAAAAGTTTTAATTGCAACAAGAAAACGATGTGATGATGCAATTCTGCTCTTTGGATGTGCTACATTTCCTACAATGTTACGAATTTAAGTATGTACATATGTACTTACAAGGGAGGTCTCCTAGCGTATGCTCGCAGATTTTGAGCAAACTAGTGTCAATCGATCACAAATTTAATTAATATGAAATTTGCAAAAGACATAATCTCCCAATGCGCAGATTTGGCGAAGATATTTGCCTCAGAAGAGGAGAAAACGTGCCCTAAAGTTGACAAATTCTGCACTTTCCAACTTTACAGCACGTTTTCTACTCTTCGGATGCAAATATATATTAATATAAGTAACCTGCGCATTGGGAGATTGTCTTTTGCAAATTTCATACTAATTAAATTTGCGATTGCGATTTAAATTTATTTTGTCAAAATCTCTGAGCACTTGGCAGATAGTGCCATCTGCAAATTTCATATTAATTTCTGCAATCTATTGACACCATTTTTCAAAATCTGAGAGCATACGCTGAGAGACCTCCAGTGTTGCTATTTACTTATTGCTAGTTGTGTACAAAAGGCGTTAGGACATGGTTTTGACGAATTCGCGGATGAATATCTTTGGCGGGGAGTTGAATTTTGAACTGATTTTTTGTAGGCTGTAAGATCATACTCTCAGAAAGATATGTTTAAAATTTTAGGGCGATAGCTTCAAAAATGCCCCCTCCAGTGCCCCCAGAGTTGGAAGGAGCCAAAAAAACACTTTCCAAACTGAATTACTCATATAGCATGATAACCCAAGAGGTCAGAGGTGGATGATTGTTAATATTACAACCCTAGATAATCATTGCATGAAATAATAAAAGAATCCACAATGAATTACATAACGTTGTGCCTCCATCGTCGCTGATACTTTTCCATGAAAAGTGATAAATCGGACCGTGCACCGGGAAATTGACCTGCTGACCTTGAAAACGGACAGACTGGGTCAAATGAAGATTGAGGGTAAAGCTGGAAGTGTCCTAAGTAATATTAAAACAAACAGTCAAGATTTTGTATAAACAGTTTTAGAGAAGGACCCGAGTTAATCAGCTGTCGCGGAATCCTAAAAAACTCGTGAACTTATTTGGAAAATTAATGGTAAAATTTTTTCGAAAATAAATTTTAATAATCTTTTGGTGTCCCCTGCTGCAGAACTATTTTATCTACAAGGTACAAGTGCCAAAATAATAAAATTATTGCGTTTTGGTTAGTTAAATTATTTCTGAAGTTCGACATCGAAAACGACGGGAACTTTTCCAAAAATTTTATAAGGTCTGATGAAAACTCAGTCCGTGGGGTATAACCACTTATCAAAATTTTGTCAAAAGTACTTACAGTGCAATATACTATATGTACCTTGGATAAAAACCACGTTAGGGATTTTTAGCATCAAAGTCGTAAAATGTGGGGGCCTTAAAAGTGGAAGAGTTGCGTTAAAGAGCGGATTCCATTAGGACAAGTATGAAATTAGACTGCAAAACGGACTTAAAAGATAAGCATAAGGCAAAAGTGGTTTTATATAGTGAAAAGCATGCTAAGTCCATTGATAATAGTCGCAAAGACGATTTTTGCATCAGGACCTCAGAAAAAAATATATCGCTCAACGCCATTTTATAAGAACACTGGTTTGGAAAACTAAAAAAGGACACCTCTCCAAATTTGACCTTGCCTCATTTCGCAGAGTACACAAAATCGGAAGCCAGATATGCTTACCTATAGTTTGAGACATGGGCTTTCAAATAAAAAAAGTTAGAAATCTCTACGACTAAAAACCATCCCGCAATTAAGGTATGAATTCGTCAAAACCATGTCCTAACGCCTTTTGTATATAATCAGCCAATACACACAACAATTTTGTTCTATTCCCCCAAAAAAGTTATCTGTTATCAAAAAGTTTTGGCAATATTTTTACTTTTTTCTCCCCAACTTTAAACTAAATAAGTGGGTGGTAGTGATGGTCATTAAATGCGTAGGTTACATCACGTATTCATTTTCTGCTCGAGTGAATATCCACTTTAAGTGGACGAGTTTCAATTTATGTAAGTAGTTCGAATAGGTGAAAGTTATTGCACCCCGAAATAGCGAATAAGTAATATCGCTTCGTTTCACAAAACAAGACGATAACTCATACTTTCCATCATCACCACGATGCCAACAATAGCCCCGCTGGAAAATGGGCTTATCACCTGAATAATTTATGTATAAATTCAACTCGTGCCTGATCTCATGTACGTACGTAAAAGCAGTGGCCGCGGAAGCCGCCGTGGGGACATTAACATTGTAGGATAGGGGAGGGAGGGGTTTACATAAGATGGGCAGATGATGGGGACATCGAACAACCGTGGGGACATTGTCCCTCTGTTCCGCGGCCACTGGTACGTAATAGCAATACATGGCAATATTGTTTCTTTGTTAGTGTTCACGGTTAAATTTATTCGCTACGTATTTTCGTCCGCATAATTTTATCCGGGTAAGAAAACCAGGCCAGGTTGATCTGGCTGGTCGTAAATAAAGCGAGGCGATATATCTATACCCATACCGAAACGGAGAGAAAGAGGTGGCTTGAATTACAAACAGGTGCAACACAACACCTGCTTAATTACAATTCCGCGTGTGGCGAACGAAACCTTTGTTGTAATAAATCTGAGCCAGAAATAAATCCGTGTGTGTGTTTTAGTCACCTTCGAACAGGTTCAAGTTCACGGAGCTAATATAAAATCTAGTAAAGTAACAAAGAGAAAGCACATATATTTGTGATCCTTTTCCATAAACATTAAACTCTTCGACCCACACAAACCGTGGATCGGTGGTGCTACCGTGGATTGGATTTGTTTGTTTTTAAAGCATTCTTGAAAATAAATGGATTTTATATCTGATAAAAATAGACATTTTTAGGTATATTCCTTTATCTTCAGCAAGTCCGGTTTTTGCCTCTTGTTTTTTATGGAGCCTTATTTTTTTTTGGTGGTCTTCTTTTGTTGTGGGTCCAATTTGCGTAGAGAATTGGAAGTTGGAATTTAGGAACAAAGAAGAAGACGAGAAGCAATTCCAATACTTCAATTTCTTTTATGCTATTACTTCCAGACATGAATTGTAAAGATGGCATTTGGTGCGTTGTTCTACTTCTGATGCTGCTTGTGCTGGGTGGACAAAGGGGTTTGGGAGAAATCATTTCATATGCGTGGATGGCAAGGAGGGTGAATCGTAGCAGTTTTTTATGTACGTGTATTGGGAAGAATTTGCTTTGTATTGTTTTTTTGTAGGGGGTTTTCTCAGAATTTCAAAATTACGTAAGGGTTTTTTCTTAGATTTTCGAAATTACATAAGGATTTTATCGAGTTGGTAAACTTATCTAGTTTGTGCAACCCTGAAACAATATTATGCAATCTTAATTACTGAATAGAAAAACAAAACAGACCCAAAATTAAATATTTGCTAGAATTGCATTACGTGAATAATCTTTTTTTAGCGATCATCTTATATACCATCGCATACTCGTGCTTATCTCTAAAAGAAATAAGGTGTAAATTGAATACGAATTTTGGAACGCAACTCCCTCCAGCAAATTCCATCAAGCGATCTAATCTGATAGAATATAGACAGATATTTATGTACATTCGAGTAGATAGTCGACGTACGTAGGAAAACTGGAAGATCGTGCCTCACCGAAGAACGATATATGTACTTTCTCCCTCTCTTCAAAATTTAATACCACGTCCAACTTTTTTTTCTATATGATTTTCAACTTTTTTTCTTCTTCTTCTTCGCGTGGTTGGTTGTTTGTTCGATGAGAAACACAAATGTGAAATTGGCAACTTTTTAAAAAGAAACAAGTTCACTGGAGAAAAAAAAAGAGTTTAAAAAGTAGACAAGTTCAGTTCTCAGGTTAAGTATAAAAAAAAGTTTCGTGTATGATCCTCCATACTTTTTTTTTGAAGAGGAGGCATATTTTTGATGAGATACTTAACTCTTATTATTTTGAAGAGGATATATGTTCAACGTGCGCCGTGTTGTGGTACGCAGCAGTGGCCGTGGAAGCCGTGGGGACATGTGGGGACATTAGCATTGTAGGATAGGGGAAGGAGCGGTTTATATAACAAGGGGAGATGATGGGGACATCGAATAAGCGTGGGGACATTGCCCCCTGTTCCGCAGCCACTGATGGAACGTATAGGTCATGCTGATGAGGATCGCTCGAGACATAAATCAACCATAAAAACAAAACGAATCGCAGACAGTAATAAATTCCCGGTATATTTTTACATGTTCGATATTGCCCATTGTTGTTGATGCTGGTGGTGTTATTATCCCAGTGAAAATTCGAGGACCTTAGTTTAGTTTGGTTTCTGTGTGAGAATCATTCAACTCAAAAACTTATTATTGTCAGTTGAGGATTTATTGTGGGAATTGGGCCAATTTGCGCTGTTGTCGAGAAATGGAAAAAGAGGAGAAACACTCGAGTTTTTTTTACTGGTAGATTTTTTTCGACCGAATTTTTTTTTCAATGGAAGATCCCAAGTTTGGTTTGGAGTGCGTCTCAAAATGGTGAAAGTTTTATTCGATTGAGTCTTGTTTCGTGTCAAGTGATGATCCTCTCCGTGGGTTGGATGAATGGGATCCTAAATTCTGGTTGTACACGCATTTTTGATGCTCCTCCTCTTCAAAAGGTTAAGTTAAACGCAGGAATGTTGGGAATTATGAGATAAGAAAGTCAATAAAATTCCGAGGCACGACATAAAAATATTTGTGTGCGTATGGATGAACGGATGGCTCGTGTGTGGTGATAACCGTTCATGGAATGATGACCCATTTATCTTTATCGTACGTACAATAATGATTCCGAGTATCTAAAAGTGAAAGTTCCTGTTAAGAAGAAATCATGATTGGAATTTTTAGGAGCAGTTTTTACGAAGGGAAAGAGATATTTTTTATGAATTGGAGGATCATTGAGTACGATAGAAAAGTGGTGGTGGGCTGTATTGCATTGTGAGAATTGGATCGGGTGGGAGAAAGTTGTTGTATTGGAGATGAGCTTGATTAGAGGAAATGTTACGTTGTAGGTACGTACACACAATGTGGAGTAATTTGCAATAAAGGAACATAAATATATTTTATGTAGTTAGATACGTACGTTGTAGTAATAACGATCCAATCCAAGTATTGACCAACTGGGAGAAATAATAACATTTCTGTCTTGTAGTTTTGTTCTGTAGCTCTTATACGATGTCAACATTTCCTTTCTCGCTTGGTTGGGTTGGTCCAGTGTCATTAACTTTGTACATTCGTTGCAAACTTGTGTAGTATATACATATTGAAGAATGTGCAGTTTCTTCTGCCGATTCATGTTTGCATGGTGGTAAATTAGGCAGTGTTTTGTATGTCTAAAAACTAGTCTTGTCCAGTCTAGCATAACCAAATTGATGTACATGCATACACAGTGGCCGCGGAAGGGTGAGGGGACAGAGGGACAATGTCCCCACGGTTATTCGATGTCCTCATCATATGCCCATGTTATACAAACCCCTCCCTCCCCTATCCTACAATGTTAACGTCCCCAGATGTCCCCACGACTTCCGCGGCCACTGTACATACGGCAGCAGAGACTGTGTATATTATGTGACGTGCCCCTGTAATTAACTAATTGAAGCATGTTTCTCTCATTGAGACAGACATGCTCTGGGAGATGTCATTAATTTGGAGGACTCGTCCCAGATGAGATTATTTATTTGTTATTGGGATCGTCTCGTCGGTCCTTTTCTAAAATGTTTGTGTGGTTTGTTATGCAATGTAATGTAATGTTTGGTTATTTATTCTGTTTCGCTTGCAGATGGAGGACGACGAGGAAACAGGGGACGCAGGAGGGTGGCGTTGCTGGTGTAAATGTTGTGATCCTTGTTGGCAATGTTTGAACGGACTTTGGTCCTGGTGCTGGGGGCGTGGGGAACGAAACAAGGCGATCAAAAAGGAGGATATCACATACATTTTGCAGGTGAGGGAAAAAAATCTGTATATTTTTTATAATTACGAAATTCAGAGAAAATTAGGCGTAATAATAGTTGGAGGAAATTGGAAAAGTGTACAAATTATTGGTTCATAACCATTTCGATTATCATCACATCAAATAAAGACAAAATTTTTGCGATAAGCTTGTCATAATTTGACAAAGAAGACCCGAAGCAATTTCCTTTTTACTTCGTCTCAAAATCCCCTCTTTATTGGAGTTACATAAATAAAATACATATGCAAGTATGCCCAATATTAGGATTTCATATACCGAAACGTCACTCTATTTGTTATCATTGCTTAATGAAGACGAAGAGCGTGTCTTGATTCTGTGTGAACTCTGGGACTGACTCCCTCTCCAGAAACGGCAACAACTTTCTCCACGATCCTTACTTACTTACTTGTGTATCTGTATCTCTGTACTTGTGTAAATAAGGAGTGGGAAGAAGCGAAGCAGATAAAGTTGCGGTCTTTCCTACAGCTTCTTCGTTTTCCTCTTGCATGATTGTCCACCGATTCGGACAGTGGCCGCGGAAGCATCGTGGGGACATTAACATTGTGGGATAGGGGGGAGGGAGGGGTTTATATAACCTGGGGAGATGATGGGGACATCGAATAACCGTGGGGACATTGTCCCTCTGTCCCCTCAAGCTTCCGCGGCCATTGAATTCGGATGCCATGCCACCACCACCACCACCCCCGGTGTCATGTGTCCCAGTTGAATCCGGGTGGATTGCGTGACAAAGAAATAACGAACCATCTGCTCGTCTTCTTCATGCTCATCATATCATTCACATGACGAGAGAGGCTCAAAAAGGGACTGGAATTCTTCTCATGTCGGGTGTAATAGGGTGGAAAGAGAGACAAATTTGACCCAGTGAGGGTTAAATTGGGTCGAAATTAATTTCCGGAGGGGTGAAAATGCCAAATTATGATGTATGTCTATATCGTAATCTAATTGGTGATGATGCTCCTTAATTACAGGGGCCTTCCGAGGGTGAAGGTGAGAGTGACGGGGGGTATTCTGAAGGTGGTGGGAATGGGGAGCGTCACGGCTCTTTTACGTCCGCTTCCTTGTCCATGGGTTCCAGCCATTCCGCCGGCGGAGGTGGAGGTGGGAATGGGAACGGGGGGAGTGGGAATAATGGGACGGGAGGGGGACATCGAGACCTAAAGGAGTTGCATTATGATATGATTGAGGTGATAAATTTGGCGTAGGGGCCGGAAATAAATTACGTAACGCGAAAAGGGGGAAGGGGTCTAAGATTCCAATGATATCGTGTCTATCCCGAGTAAAAATTTGAACAGATTTCCTGCGGAAAATTGGCCCAATTTTCTGCAGAAAAGCTTTATGCAGAGAGATTTCTGAAGAAACCTATGCAGAATTATGCAGATATGGTTCTGCAGAATAATAGCGACACAAATTTTCTGCAGGATTATGTAAAAAAAAATATGCATAATACAATATGCATAGAGTTTTTGTCGATTACTGCAGAATTCGACACATAGGTTTCTACTCGGGATGTTACACATGCTAAAGGGAATCGCAATTTTTGCGTTACGAAATTTATGGACGGCCCGTACGAATTTTTAAGACGGTTTGTTAACAATGAATTTGTTATGTATGTCCCACAGCAAAATCGGAGAGCGAGCGGATGGACAATGCGAAAGGAATCGACGGCCACAACCGCGCCATTATTGGACCTTAGAGCGCTCGACTTTTGGAGCGGTTTTACCGGAAGTACGAGATCTTCGACGTCCGAACCGCAACCAGTCCAGCCCAAATTGTTGCTAAGTCCGGGACGGAGGGATACGATCAGTTCACAGGTTATTCAACTTATTCAATGTCTTAAAATAAAATACTTAAGAATAAGTTGAGATAAAATTATGAACAAATTATGGGCAGATTTAACAAGAAAAGTTTTAAAACTTACATTTACTTTAAATGATTACTTATTTCTACCGTTTGAATAATACACTGGCAGAAAATAGTAAGTGATATCGCAGTAGAACGCATCTCATCTCATCACAAGAAGAACTTTCACTTTTCCAAGAAACTAGCCAAACTTTAGATCTGAGTTAAGTTGCGTACAGTGGCCGCGGAAGCCGTGGGGATATTAACATTGCAGGATAAGGGAGGGTGGGTTTACATAACATGGGGAGATGATGTGGTCATCGCATAACCTTGGGGATACTGTCCCTCCGTCCCCACGCTGTTCCGCGGCCACTGGTTGCATAACCATTTTACACATAACTGTTATGTCTACCCACCCACCTGACATTACATTTAGCCGACTTTTGATTTGGATTTTCCCCCCAGGGAATTCAAACTTTATTAACGTTTGTGACATACATATGTAACAATTGCATAACAATCCTCTTTCTACACGTATTTCTGCATGCATGTATCTGACAGGGCTCTGCTGACCAAATCCGACCCGACCTTTACGAAACGATATCTGCCGAGGACGACATGGCCGCGAGCGAACCATGTCCATCCGGACCTTTCGGAGCACTCCACTTCTTCCTCAGTTACGACATCAACTCGAAATCTCTCATCGTTCGGATCATCGAAGCTCGCGATCTTCCAAAACCCATCCAACTCGACTCTTCCAAAACTGATCAGGCTCATTCCAACCCTTACATAAAGGTCAGTGTCGCGTCTTATTTTCCCATAAAATTTGAGTTATAATTAGAATTCCAAAAACCAGAAAGTTTGGAGAAAGTTTGTGTTTTCGCGAATCACTCAACTTACTTTCGTTACCAATTTAACTTGCAGATTTGTCTCCTCCCGAATCAGAAAGACTCAAGACAAACAACGCTCCGGAAGAAGACTCAGAATCCACGGTTCGATGAAAGTTTTTCGTTCGAAATACCCTTCAGAGAATTACAGAGAAGAACTCTACAGGTTAATTATAGATATTTATTCTTCCTTTTGCTTGCGTGTGTACGTATTCCTTTGAAAAGTGAGTAATCTAATCATGTCACGACCACGCGTTTTCGTTCCAGATCGTCGTTAAAGACTTTGATAAATACTCGAGACACCGCGTCGTTGGGCAGGTTATGCTCCCATGCGAGGATATCAACGTGGTGAAAGGAGTCCATTTCTGGAAGCAGTTGGAAGCCGTGCAAGCCGTGAGTTTACTTTTTTTTATGGATACATTTTTTAAGGGTATGTTTTTTTATTAAGGTCTTCGGAACAATTGGGATGATGTAATTTTGGAAAAATGTATTGCATCGTTAAGTTAAGAGTTGTGAGAGTGAATCATGAAGGCGAGAATTAGCTGGGGAGCATGGGCTACATAAATTTGTAGTCATGTATTTATATACAGTGGCCGCGGAAGTGTGACAATGTCCCCACGGTTGTTCGATGTCACCATCATCTGCTCATGTTAGGTAAACCCCTCCTTCCCCTATCATACAATGATAATGTCCCCACATGTCCCCGCTTCCGCGGCCACTGTTTATGTACGTAGATTTCCATTGAGAACGACTATGTTTTTTCAGTTGCTCGTACATATATTTTTGTATGTAATTCCGCCTATTTCACGTTATGAATGGCGCACTTATACGAGATAGGAAAGCACTCGAGAAGACGTAATAATTCTTAATTAACTCGCTCAAGTCGAGAGTCCGGTCTCTGAACTTGGAGAAAACACAAAGCCCAGTAGGACATGAATGTAATGGTCAGTGGCCGCGGAAGCCGTGGGGACATTAACATAGTAGGGTAGGGGAGGGTGGGGTTTGAATAACATGGGCAGATGATGGGGACAACCGTGGGGACATTGTCCCTCTGCCCCCTCAAGCTTCCGCGGCCACTGGTAATTCTAGTCGGGCTGGATGGAATTCTTGTCAGAAATGGTTTTGCTGCCCAAAGAAACAAATGTAAAATGAGACAAAAGAAAGCTTCTTCTCTTCAGAAATCTTGAGACAATTTACCCAGAAAACAAATAAGTCCTGAATTTGGATGTACTTTACTTTGGTTTGATGAAGATTTCTAAGAAATGGTTTTGACTTGAACTGCTATTCAGCGCCACGTCGCATCACATCGGATTGCTTGATGGGTTAATCTTATGATGAAATAATTGGATAATTAAATGATTGATGTTTCTCTCAGATGTCTCAAGAGGATTTGGGCGAAATCCTTTTCTCCTTGTGCTACCTCCCGGCCGCTGGCAGACTCAATGTTGATATCCTCAGAGCCAAACAGCTCGTCCCGACGGATCTCGTCGGTGGGGCGGGTAAGTTATTTAGAGAAGAATAATTGATCAAGAAAGAGCTTATTCCTTCTTGATCAATTTCTTTGGATGACATTTTCATCTCACAATACATAACATAACGCCATAAAGTACACTATACAGGCTGCTGGTTGACTGAAATATTGATCTTGCAGCTCCATATGTCCGAGTTTCTGTCGTAATCAACGACAGACACATCAAGACTAAAAAGACGTCGTATAAAAAATACACCTTGGACCCCGTTTTCAACGAGAGTTTAAGGTAATCCATTTCACTTTTGGGCGTCAATCTGTAAGAACAGATAAGTATTTATGTAAATCTGCGTACGAGTCAGTGTTCGGGTGGAAGTTACCACTTGCAAGAAATGAGGGGGAGAAAGTGGGTTTTTGCGGGTATTTTGACCTGCAAGAAATGCTAGGCGCAAGAAACTACTTACGCCCCGACGCTGTACTTCATACGGCGCGTGGCTAGATTGCGCATATATTTCTTGCACTTTCTCCCAGTTTCTTACAGTTCCATGCACTTTCTTGCAATTTCTTGCAGTTTCTTGCACCTCCCATTTCTTGCTTTGCAGTGCAACTAATGTAACAACCCCGCAAAAAACGAAACACTGATCCCACCAAAGTTATTGCGTCAATCCTTAAACTGCAAAAGTTTCGTAATTCCAATGCAATGCACCCAAACTTTGACCGGGCATGTCTCCCGAGATAAACTGCTATCATCACCAAACTTGTTTGGTTTTTCATACATATGTACCAAACAAAAAAGTACGCTCCATATTGCACTTTATTGTTGTTTTGTGTCTCCTTATTATGACCTCTCTGCCTCCCACTCGCACTTCATCGCGTTGTTTGTATCGTATTCGTATGTTGGCGTTATCGATTATTGATGAGGCGAATGACATGACATGACTGACTGACTAACTGATGGGATAAGCAGGATAGAAAGTAATAGAAACAACACAGCACCACATTTATTTTACCGACTGACATGACAAGAGCTGACGGACGGACGGATGAGGAGAGAAAATGCATGCTCCAGTTTTCTTCGGGGAGGCAATAGTAATATAATTCTCGGCAAGATACTACATACGATTGCACTCTGTTGTGTGTCCTCGCAGTGGCCGCGGAAGCCGTGGGGACATCGGGGGACATTAACATTGTAGGGGTTTATATAACATGGGGAGATGATGGGGATATCGAAATACCGTGGGGACATTGTCCCTCTGTCCCTACGCTGTTCCGCGGCCACTGTGTCTTCGTGTATATCGTGGTTGGTCATTATTATTGCTATCATGCGTGACGTGTCATGCTATGTACGAGCAGAAAGAAAGAAAGCATTGGTCCAACTTTTGCTACTAGACTACTTGACGCAATTCTTCTTGTCTATTTATTCTGGAGAAAGCAACAGCATCTGTTTGTTTATTATTGCGGTGGACGGACGTACGTATGTTGGAGTTATTATTAGAAATTTTATATCGTAGCTCGGATATGAAATAGGATGTGCTGATCACATAGATTTTTTTCTGTTATTTATTGTCTCTGGTCAAATGTTGGTTATAAATAGATGGAATAAATCACAATTTTCTGGCTTTCATGAAAATTTTGGGTTGTGTTAAGGAGGAGGTCACTGATGCATTCTTTTCACAGATTTTGATGCCCTTTTAGGATGTCATAGTACTGCCAAAAGTGAAAAAGGGTTTTACTCCAGGGGGTCCAATTTGCGACAATTTTTGTCCTTTAAATAAAATACAAATTGTTAAAGTATAATACGCAAAAAGAAAACACTTGTTTATGATGTGTGTATCAAAACAGAAAGAAAACAAAATTTTTTTTGAGTAGTGCCCAAAAGTGCAAAATATGGAGAAAGTGATCTTCCCCCCTTTTAAATAAGTTTTGTTAAAAAGAAAGCAAAAAAAGAACATGTTTTGTCTAGCTAGACAAAATACAGAAAGATTAGCTTCGTTACATCATATGTTGTCATGTCATGCAATAATGGGATGGAGGAGGAGGAGGTGCGAATTTGTGGTGAAAGTTGATATGCGTAGGTTGGACTTCGTAAAATACATACATAATAACGTCCCCTAGGCGAGGTCACATTAGAGAAATGGTTACCGTTATATGCATAGTTTACTACTTGTTCGCATTGAGTCTGCAATACTTCTGTTTCTCTACGTACATACTGCGAATTGGATGGATTTAGTTTTACGCAGTTTCGTACATACATAAGATTTAGCTCGTTACACATTCTTGGAAGAGAGAACAAAGCAGCCCAACCAACCAACCTACACAGTTGATACTGCTGCTGTCTACATCCTAATTGCAATCATGGTAATGAAGCTGGGAGAAATATGTCTGATAGGAGTTTTGTTGGTCCTTTATCCTGACCGAATATAATGGTTTCCAGGTAGGCAGACGTATACCCGACGCAATTTGACTTGATGGTCTTCTTGATGTTTCTTTTGATTGGGTATTTAGTTTAGTTTACCAGTTTAGTTCCCCGTGTCAAAAGACGACTTTTTAGATTAGGTGGCTGCACTGAAACCAGATCAAAGTCTTTTCAGGACGACGATTAGCCGAAAAACAGCATACATATCATGAAATGGAAATGTTGTGTTGGGTGGAAAATCAACTATTATTCTTCTTCTTCAATGTCTACGCAAATTGCGAAATGTCAAAAGGCTGCTTCGCCTTTGAGACACTTGTCCTTGGTTTTCGGAGTGATTTGGCAAGATCCACTTTGATGGATTGAGAAAGGAATTCTGGGATTTTGCATGAATCGAATGAATCCAAAATCAAAATTCAGACAAAGACTTTGGCTTTAGGGTGACAATGAGTGAGTGGATGCTTAATTGCGTTTGCTTTTAGGTAGACGTACAATCTTTCTTCTTCTTCTAGAGAGAGACCTGGAGCAATACCACGTCTTTATCTTGTAGAGTTGGACGACGAATTCGTGACGAGACTCAGTTTTGGTTGGGTTACTTGCTTAGTTAGTTTACTTGCTTGGGCACCTTTCTCTCAAATCCAAATGCAGTCCAAATATACATAATTGTGCAGTTTCCAAAAGTTGGGAACATTGCATCCTCCTAACAATCAAAAACTTTCTGTAACAAATTCGTGACACATTTCTTCCATAAATATTTGTATTTATGTCTCCGATGCACATGTTTTCCTGGTATTTGAGACATGTCAAGGGACCAATTAGAGTCAGACGCAACTTTCTCCGAGAGAATTTTTACACACATTTTAATTCTAATTTCTATTTCAGCTTTGACGTCAACTCGGTCCAACTCGCGGACTGTGTGGTGGTCGTGTCCGTCATGGATTTTAACGGGGGCGTGGTGAAGGACAATTTCGTCGGGAGAGTGATTCTCGGGAAAGAATCGTCCGGTAATTTCCTGAATAATTAATCACCTTACATAATTATATATGTGTTTATACTCATAATCATCACATTTTCTGATGGGAGCGAACCACAGTAAAATCAACGACCTATGTAAAAGATTTACTAGTCTTGCATACTTGATCTCTCCTACAAAATATATAAATTCCCGACTTTTGGACCAACTCAAAAACAAAACTTTTCCCAAGAAGAGCAGTAAGAATGCAATCCTGCAAATAGTGAGATTCCAATTAGCAAGTCGTTCATTGTTTGGCTGCTCTGTCGTGGCGGTGTGTCGTGTATTTTCCAGTTTGAAAAGTACAAGGAGAGGACTTGTGTATTATTCAGTCATGCATTATTTAGTGCCTCCACTTTCACTCGGGTGGTTGCTGGCTTCCGTCTTCAAGCAAGAGTTCCATTATTCACTTACTTACTTACCCACCTACGTACGTACCTTTGTTCACTATCTTTTACATGCCACCGCTGCTACTATTATGAATGTACGACGACGACACGAGGGACGTAATGCAGCAGGGACCAAGTCACGCTAACTTATTGTTCGAACAAGTCAAGTGAAATAGATTTGGAAAGTATTATTAGCTTTGTCAAGTTTCTGGTGAAAGTTGAGGAGAGGGTATCAAAGCTAGATTTAGATTAGCGCACATAGCCCCAAAATTCCTATATATGTAAAGGATTGATTCAGGTATATTTTGAGCTGCATGCATAGTTAGTCCGTAATTTTAAGGTGATTACCCTATCTCGTATGCATTTCTATAACATTGCAAGACAGGATAATCACCGTGAAATGATGGACTTTGGACCCTCTAAAAGCTAGGAAAGCAGTGTGGGTGGGTCACTCACTATTTGTGGAAATATTGCTAACCAATTTTATCAAAAAATAAATTTTCCCTTGATGACTATAATGACATCAAAAGTTTCTCAACTTTTTCTAATTTAATCTCACCCTTCGCCAAGCAGAGAGAAAGAACGGCCCGATTTTATTTTAGAGAATGGCTGTCAAATGTCAATCTGTTTACAGCGTTTAGTGCGAAAATGGAAAATGTGTAGGTTAGGTTTCACGAGAAACACTTTCCCTTATTCGACAGGGAAAGTAAATGGGAGCGAAATTTCTCTCTTTACGTACAAACCTCAAGCTCAAGTGGATCGGTTTCCGCAGTTCTGCAAAACTAAACCACAAAAGCTTACAAGTAATATTACGTAGTATTGATCCGTCATCATCGACGTCGTTATGAAGGGTGACACCCACCACTCAGGCGGGGGTGGCTCGTCATTATCCGTGGCAGCCTGAAATTTTTTAATACCAGCAACAACAGCAGTGGCCGCGGAAGCCGTGGGGACATCGGGGACATTAGCATTGTAGGATAGGGGAGGGTGGGGTTTATATAACATGGACAGATGATGGGGACATTGTCCCTCTGTCCCCTCACCCTTCCGCGGCCACTGACCAACAACAACAACATGCAGCTTTTCGCATCACAATTTTGTAGGTTAAGTAAGTGCGTCCTTGTTTAGTGCGATCTTCTCGTTCTCATCGTCCCACTTTATGTTAAGTGTCCCAAAATCATTAAACCCATTGGAGAGGAGAGAATTCGCCTGTGAAATTGTGGTAGCGTGGTTTCCGAGATTTTCCATTTCTACGTATCTATGAACCAAGAGAGAGAGAAAGCTGCAATTTTGCTCGTGCGTGTGTTTCGTGGTTATTGGGAAACCTAAAACCGCAATATCCGATTAGAGAAATTGAGACAGGTTGGGTTCGAGAGCTGAACAGAGATTGATGTAAAGATTGGATTCTCTTGTTTCCATTTTATTATCATTATTATTATTACTTGTGCCCCGGAGGAGACAAGTACGGAGGATTATTGCATGAACATATGAGCAGAGAATCTATGCATACTTCTAAAAATAGAGTATGCAAATGTATCTGTGCGAAATGCAAATATGCAAATATGCAAGATGACACAGAAACCAGATCAGATCGCGAATCTGCAAATTGTGATGGATGATCGGGATGATGTACGATTTTTGAAATTACGTTGATCCATATTTTATTATGCATGCTTCAGGTCCGCATGAAGTCAACCATTGGAAGAACATGGTGCAGTCGCATCGAACCGCCATCGCGCAGTGGCATTCTCTCAAATCCAAGTCCCATTGTGACCAACAATCCACCGCGTCGAGGGCGATTTCTTAACACGGACGGAACAAAAAAACGAGGTGTTATTTCAGTTATTTATATAACTCGAATTTTTACTTAGAAATGTTTTCACATTCTTTAATTTGATAAAAATTAATGAATTTCGTAAACTTGTTTATGGTTGGTCGAAACTTTTCAAACGCAGGTTAGCATTGAGAAATTTAATCAACTTGTACATAAAACGAAACCCTACAAATAGTTCATAAAAATAGTGTTATGTACTTATACACACGTATTAAGGTCGTTCTAAATGTCAAGTTCTTGTAAGACTTCCATGCATTACTCTGATGAGGTAACGACCAATGTCATGTTAATTATGCAACCTAAAAACTACTCCTTACTTAGTTGACAAATCATGTTCGTGTTTATCCCTAGAAAGAGAAACTTTTACGAATTAAATACGTTAGCAAATTGTTACAGATTGTGATTCTAAAATAAAATATTTAGTTAGATAAGTACGTGAGGCTGTGTAAAAATAACGTGATGAATTTTCCGGTGCTGAGAGAACAAGAGAAAAACCAGACGTATTGTGTTACATATTGTGAACCGCCTCGGACTAGAATTGCATAAAAGAATCCTCCGATCTGACCAGCAGGCAGACCTCTCTCGTTGGTCACACTACCAGTCGCTGCGGAAGAGTGGGGACAATGTCCCTACGGTTGTTCGATGTCCCCATCATCTCCCCATGTTATATAAACCCCTCCCTCCCCCATCCCACAATGTTAATGTCCCCACGGCTTCCGCGGCCAATGTACAGAACTACACAATTCCTTTACACCAATGACCAACGGCAACGGTTACTGCTGGTGATGACATATCAAAATCAGACCTTATCTAAACAAAGGGGTTTCTCTCTTTGTTCGTTTAAGTACTTTTAGTCACTCTTCCAGTCCAGTCATGCCATGCGACGGCACGGTTACTTGAATACAATGGGAGCGATGCCGAGAAAGTGCTTCTGCCCCTTGTAATGGGATGATTCGGAGAAGTGTAAAAATAAAAATGTTGCAACAACATGTTTTCTTCGCCGTTTTTTATTATTCTTTTTTGGCTTCTTATATGAGGGACTCGAATTTTCTCCACGTGAACGAATGGTGCTAATAATAATTATGATAAGTACTTATATATATTTTAGGCTAAATATTTAACACGACTGGATTGCGTGAATGTAATAAATCTTATACCTACTAACCTTTTACCATGGTCTGGTACTAAATAGTTGTAACTGTATGTAACCATTACCGTAATTAGTTCTGTTACGTATCTATAATCTAATAATTCGATGTATTTCTGTATCGGTAGCATTTACCTAATTAATAACCTTCACCTCCTCAATCAAGGAATGACAGGTCAGGTCACTCACAACGAAGCTTTTCACGTACTATACGGATCCTGCTGGTATACATGCATGCATAAGAAGAAAAAGTCAGTGGCGGCGGAAGCAGGGGGACATTGTGTCCCTAGAAATTAAGCAAAATTGTATTTGTCCCAATCCCAAGATGCAAATGTCCCCCCAACTTCCGCCGCCACTGGAAAAAGTCCCTTCATATGCAGCACAGAACAACAACTAGCCAGTAATATAGACAGGTTTCTGTATGTACCTTTATTGCATGACTCTAATTAAGTAAATCCATGTATCTATCATTAGTAAATGATATTCTATGTAGGTAAGTAAATTGTACTAATAAATGTACTATATTTTAAGAAATATGTATCTACTATATGTCAAGTCAACTTTAATGATGTCCTCCTCCCAAAACTTATTACGATACGATAGCCAATTCCATGTAATGTAAATGTGCATGCCTGTTACTTGTCATGTAGCAATAAGCCAACAATTGAAGAGGGGGAGTGAAAGTAAAGTACGGAAAATAAAGTAAATTTTGATAGCACAAGCGGCCTTATTTGCATACTTAATTTAATCTTTGGAGGCAATAAGCAAATTTAAAACCTTCATCTTTCCTCCAAGACAGAATCGTCAGAAAGTAAAGACGACACGACAAGACAATGACAAGGAGTCCCTCGAGATGAAGTGGCAGCAGCAGCAGCAGCAGAATTGCTATTACTTTAGTAAAGCAGTTTTCCTCCGCTTTTACTTTGACTTGCATTATATTTTATTACGTTATAAGTCTCCCACCCAAAGCAACAAAAATTTGCACAGTTTCGCGACATTGTGCTGAAAGAGGAGAGTCCCTCGAGTTTCGTGCTGTGGAGAAATTCGCAACGAGAAATCCTGTCATCCTTCGCCTATTCATCCATCCATTTGTGCATCTCGCTGTAAAGGAGTTGTATGTACGTGTAATTCCCTGGGTGAAGAAGGAGGCAGCCTTGTTGGTTGGCTGGTTGGTTGGAATTGCTTCCATTCGAGGAGAAAGTGAGAGTGGAAGTAAAAGAAGAAAATGTTGGTTGGTATGCAGGGAAGAATGTCTTGTCACTTGTTGTTGGTGCTATTTATTGAATTCTGCTGCATTCACATTCGATTTGGGAAGGTTTATTTTATTCGAGTTTTAAAAAAGGGAAAGAGGTTGATTTTGATATGATCCGATTTTTCTATGTTTATGAATGAAAAATTTTAAGTGAGTTTTTTAGTTGGATGGATTTCTTACAAAATTCAATGTGACACCATACATACATAAATAAACTTATTATTGCATAACACAAGTCATGGCATAAAGGACGGCAAAATTTAAGATTGGACGAGCTGGCTGCAATGTAAATAATCTTATTAATCTGCCAAATGACTTATAGTATGCATTATTTAAAAAAAACAATGTGACACCATACATACATACACTTTTTATTGCATAACGAAAGTCCTGCATAAATAAATGGATGGCAAAATTCAGGATTTGGAGAGGTGGCTGAGTTGAAAATAATCTTATTAATCTGACAAATGACCCTGTATGAATTATTTTGCAAAAACAATAAGAAAATTTAAAATTAGACGAGGTGCCTACAATGCAAATAATCTGCCAATTGACCCTATGCATTACTGTGCAAAAACGAGTGCTGATTTTCCACACGCGTCAAAGAAGTGGCCAAGCGTAGAAACATAACAGATTCGTTAAAATCAATGGTGTCATTTGGCAGATGCGCAAAGAAGACATGCAAATAAGATATAAAAAACTGCTCACAATTTTTAAGTTGTAAATATATAAATAACAACCAATAAAAAACGTATGGAACCATGTAACAAATCATTATGAGGATTAAGGATAAAATATTACATATCATATTTTTTTTATCGTAGAGATGTGGCACACTTATCCATATGAATTATTGTAAAATACACGAACGTCCAATATTTATTATCCGTTCAATCAGTAGCCGCGGAAGCTTGAGGGGACAGAGGGCCAATATCCCCTCAGCTATTCGATGTCCGCATCATCTGCCCATGTTATACAAACCCCTCCCTCCCATATCCCACAATGTTAATGTCCCCACGTCTTCCGCGGCCACTGCGTTCAATTGTCCTTTCGAGTTGGACAGAGAATGCATTGTCTTTCGTTATCTCGTATCACTCACTTATGTACGAAAAGCGCATAAGTATTATTATTCTAACCTGAGCTAATCAGCTTCTGTGCATGCATACGTAAAAAATCAGGGTCGACCATATTAATAATTTCAGCCAGACCCAAAGCACTTCGGAGTCAATTGTTTCTTAATTAAGTTGTCCGGTTTGGTTGGTTGGTGGCATTAATAAAACTGAATCAGAGAATGGTAATGCTGCCAATAATGTAATGTGCTCGGCCCGATTCATTCACTTTGCATGTCCATGTGCAGCCAAGCCAAGAGATAGGGTTTTATAGAGCCAAGTAAAAAGCACATGTAAATTATTAAGTGACGAGTCAAGTGCATAATCTAGTCGTCTCGTCCACTCCACAACCCACAATTTACTAAATTGCAACTATTTTTGATGACCAAGGGCAATCTTTTTTTCTAAACGAATCAGTTAAACAACAGCGGAAAAATACGTATTATTTATTCGTGACAAGATGAGCAATGACAAAAAAAGTCAGAATGCGATTCAAGACTTGAATGAATTTTATACTAAACTGAACCCAGAAATGGAACCGTTGAGCAGTCCGACGAGTGATACGGGGAATGAGGTAAATTACTATTTATTTTATAAAATGGGACGATTTTTTTCAATTATTATTGAGAAATTATTGTAAATCAGAGCCCCAACACGCTGAAGAATGGGGGTAAAAGTGGGGGTAAAAATGGGAGGAAAAAATGCACCGATTTTGACGACATCCTGACCATGATTGGATCTGAGGGAAAGTTTCAAAAGATTATTTTATACGGGGTCGTGTGCCCGTTTATCACGGTTTCGCCCTTCCTAGTTTTAAACAACATTTTTCTCCTGGACATACCCAACCATTGGTGCACCGTACCGGGGATGGGGAACGATACGGATATCGAGACTTGGAAAAATTGGACTTTGCCGACGTATGTGCATAATAATTTTTATTGGAATTGTATTTTAAACCAGGGTTTCGTTCCTTGGGGGTTTGGTACGTTTTTTGGACTGCTAAGAAAGCAACGCAAGAAATGCGAGGTGCAAGAAACTGGGAGAAAGTGCAAGAAATGAGCGACATCCAGCCACGCGCCATATGAAATATTGCGTAGTTTCTTGCACCTTCCATTTCTTGTAGGTCAAAATACCTACAAAAAACCACTTTCTTCCGTTATTTTTTGCAAGTGGTTACTTGATACTGTTTCAAAACTGGAAATTATTTGTAGAGAGATAGGACCCGATGGAGAAACGCGATACAGCCAATGTCTCATGTACGACCCGTCCGATCCTGACAGAAATACGACCATGATGTGCAACAATGGGTGGACGTATGACAAAACTGATTACGACTCCACGATACCGTCCGACTTTGACTGGGTTTGCGACAAGGTGGGCTATGCGACGGATACTTTCACCGTGGGCACGCTCGGAAGTGCGATAGGAACTGTGGTGTTTGGAATCCTGGCTGATAAGTGGGTGCACATTCTCTTATCAGTAGAAATATTGTTAAATTTACAAATATTTTTTTAGAATTGGTCGCAAACCCGTCTATTTTGCGACATGTTTGGTCAACATTTTATTTCGAACGCTGAGCTACTTTGTTCCGCATCATTTCTGGGCTTTTCTAACCCTGCAGGGTTTAGCTGGGACGGCATTTCCTTCAATTTTTTCCATGCCGGCGCTTATCGTTGCTGAAATTTGTGGAGCAGGTACAAAAAGTCACAGAATAACGATGAGTACGTATTCCTTTATCATTAATTCGCTGAAATTGGATAACATGTTTGTTAAGAGTATCGTTCTTGGACGTACGCGGCAACGTGGATGGTAATCTAAATGCATAAATTTTTATTATGTTTTTAATTATCATATCCATTTCATAAAGATATTTATAATCCAGATCTGGGTTGTGGGTAACTCACTCCTGCCATTTGTGGCGTGGGCGTGTAGAACCTGGTTCTTTTTCGGCATAATTTCCGCACTGCCGGGGCTTTTTCTGTTCTTGTATTACCCAATAATTACAGAATCACCGAGATGGCTGATAACTGCGGGGAGGGGGGAAGAAGCACTTCAAGTGAGTGAACATATGCATAACTATGGACTATCACTAACAATGGAAGTCTCTCAGCGTATGCTCACAGATTTGATTAAATTATTGTCAATCGATCACAAATTTAATTAACATGAAATTTGCAAACGAAGCTATTTGCCAATTCTTAGTTTTTGCGGAGATAAATATTTGCAAGAGGAGAATGCGTGCCCTAAAGTTGGTGAATTTTACACTTTCCTTTGTTGCACGCTTTCTCCTCTTCGGATGCAAATATCTATCTCCGCCAAATCTGAGGATTGGCAGATCGTGTCTTTTAACTATTGACACTAATCAATTGACACTAATCTGGTCAAAACATGAGATCATGTGCTGGGAGACCTCCATGGTACATAAGTTATTTAAACAATTCCACTTCAAATCATGGTGATTGTGCTGCACAGATTATTAAGAAAATTGCTAAAACCAACCGGGTTGAAATTGACAACGACGAAATGGCAGAAATGGTAGCAGAATTGATTCAAAAACAAAAGAATGACCAGAAAAGGAAAAGTATCGGATTTTGGACACTGTTTCAGAATTATCGTTTAGCAAAGTAAGCATAATCAAAATTATTTCCAGTCTGTATTGAAATTTAAAAAAAATCCGAAACTTATTTACTTAGAAATACGATATTCCTGGTAATCGCGTGGTCTATGAATTGCCTTCTTTACTACGGAATCACCCTGAACACGACTTCCATGGAGGGCAACAAGTTCGTCAACTACTTTCTCCTCTCCATTATCGAACTTCCTTCCGGTTATTTGGCCGGAGTGCTTGTCGAAAAGACGGGGAGAAGGTGGACGCAGGCAGCTTTCTTCTTAATGTGTGCCATCTCATGTGTCATCTGTGCCGTGGCCGTGGTCCAAACGGGCGTCGATTATTTAGTTATTGTGGGAGCTTTGGGGATCAAGTAAGTCGATGAAGATGCAATTTTTCGCGATATATAATTAACCCCACAATTTGACAGGTTTGGTATCACCATCACTTCGATGGTCGTTTATCTTCAAGGAGCTGAAATATTTCCAACACAGTTGAGAAGTACGGGATCTGGATTGGCGTCTACGATCAGTTCAATCATTGGGATTACTGGGCCGTACATTATTTTCACGGTATTGTTTCAATGTTAACGTAGGATTCGATCACTAAAATCAGCACATTTTTAATCATTTCTCGGTTCTGGGAATTTATTTTAAAATTCTGGACGACAAATTTGTATAGCAGGTCGTTATCAATTAAAAAAAATATGTACTCAAGATTTTGACAGTTTTTGGAAGAGATTTCAAGTTAAGAAAAATTCAGAAAAATTGGAACTCAAAGAAGCTAGCTTAAAAAACTCAACGCCATTTTATTAATTACTGACTACAAATTAGTCTTTCAGAATTTTAAAATAGAGTCGAAAAACGATTAAAAATATGCTGATTTTGGGAATTTTTGGTAATGAGTCCTACGTTAAAAAGGATTACAAATTTTACCCTCCTTTTATAATTACTTTTACAGGGTAAATTTAATGCATCTCTACCCTACGCAATTCTTGGCTTGATTTCTGCTGTTGGCCTCTTATCGTCTGTCAGTTTGCCTGAGACTTTCAGACAGCATTTGCCCGAGACAGTGGAGCAAGCTAACAGGTTCGGAAAGGGGGTGAAATTTTGGAGCTATTTACCGAAACCGGACCACATAACGGAAGATAATAATAATGCGAGTGATATTGAAAAACTTAAAGAGAAAACTTAATTATTACTCATTTTTAATAAAGTTGAAGAAATGTTTACAAAAAACCATATCTGGAGAAAAAAATTAAAATTAAAAAATGTCACAAATTAAAAAAAATAATCTAGTTTTCTTTAACATACAGCGATTTCATAAGTGACGAAATACACGTTTCTCACGGGACTTGTTCTTTGTCCACAATTCAATTTCGTCAGAAAACTTCATCTTTTCTTCCACACAAATCAAAAACTTCTTCGTATTTGACTTTGATGACGTATTTAGTTACTCGCCTTAAAAAGTTTATTGATTGTGGCAAGGTCACATTTATTGGTTACATACATTCTTTAGCTGACCGCGGAAAGTTGTCGGATGACCAATTGGGATTTATTTAATCAATTCTTCAAACTTTTCTTCCGGTCAATTCTCCGTTCATTTTCCCTTCTACGATCTCATCAACCTTTCCAATACAAAATTTCAATCCAGTCAGTGAAAGTATATCCAACCGAGAGTTGGACAAATTTTTTTTTGACCAATCCGTCCTCCAGGGAGAAAGAAAAGTTGTACAGAGTAAAATGGCACCTTAATTGGGTCAAGATGTAAAGTAAAAGTCCTCTGTGCAAAAAAAAAGACGAGATTTCTTTGCACTCTTTCCACTTGAAAGTATTTATTGTGATTGGAATAAAATTAGCAGATGTCAAATTGCAAAAATGAATGTCTCTGTGTGACATGGCTGGTGGGTTGTTAGGCGAAAATGAAAGTGTAGAGTGGATTGGATTCTTTTGAGCTTTAAGTAAGTAAAAAAACGAGAGTGGAACAGCTTTCTCTTTTCTCCTTTTTCTCTCACTTTCTCCCCACTTTCTCTCACCCTTAAAAAAGAAATCTTGAAATCCTGGCAGGCTTAAACAATCATGCATCCATCCATACATCCCACTCCTCCTCCGCGGCCACCCCATCAAAATGCAAAGGCAGCAGGATCTCATCAAAGAGAATGTTATATGTCCCGTTAGCTCGGTTACATGCAGTTGGTTGGTTGGTGGATTAGGTAAAAGAAGAAGACGGGGAAATAATAGGGTTACATTTTACTTGCAAAAATCTTAAATCCGACGCGAGTAATCTTTTCCTCTCTTCTTCTTTTCACTCAAAGGGAAAAGAAGGAGGAGGAGGAGAAAGGTGAAGGTTATGCTTTATTATGGTTCGCTTTCTCTTTGCTGTTTGAGTGAGCATCAGTGATTCGTATTTTGAGGAGGGGACATAAATCCGTCTTACTAACATTGACACCATAGAGAGAATAGAGGTGTGCCGGTGCCTGTGACTACCGATCTACTGTGGTACCCGAAATCCCCGGTTTTTAAAGTGAGTGACCTCGGGGAGACCTACATATATATCAAATTGAAGGTTTTAATGAGTAGATCATTTCTAAATAAAAAATTCCAAAGTTTTACACTCAAATTTTTTTTAGGAAAAATCAATATATATGGGCAAAAAATGGGAAATTTTTTTTTTTTTTTTTTTTGTAGATATCTATTCTGATCTTTCCTAAAAAAATTTTGAGTATGAAATGTGGGATTTTTTTCTATAGAATTGATCTATTTATTAAACTCTGTTTCACAATGGATGATCGCGAAATTTATGGGGCCCAAGTCACGCGCTTATTTACTTAATATTAGAGCTTGGCTGAAATTCAATTTGAATATGCAATTACCCACTGTGAAACAAAGTTTAATACCTTCAATTTGTAAATATTAAATAAGTATTAAATTAAATAAGTATTAAATTTAGGGTACCATCCGGTAGCTAAGTGGTTATAGGTAGCGGTACACCTCTGCCATAGGCGTTCTCTAACCGTCGTCTAGCGCTTTCCCTACTTTCTCCAAAGCCTGACATTATCTGAAGACTTGTAGAATAGAAAATGTGTCTGCATTGGCATTCTAGTTGAGACAAATGCATGTACGTAGAATTATATACGCGAAATCCACACTGCAGCTGGTCCTATTACATACTTTTTCTCTTGGTCAAAGTGCAATTTTTTTTGCTCATGTATGCTACGAAACGTGATACTTGCGATTGTGGGCGATCTTGCATGCAACTAACAACTAAACTCTGCTTCGTTTTCCGGTTCTTTTACACTTTTGATACGTATCCGATCCACCTGCAGAGAAGAAATCCATCCAGACCCACCCAATCCAATTGTCCAATTTGTGATTGTTCAAAAGTTTTCCTGGCCCATTCAATCCGAGAGGATGAAAGGTTGGTTGGTAAGTTTTAGGTGGCCACTTGACATCAAGTTAGTTATACGGACGAAGGGTGAAGAAAACGAGGAGAATAAAAGGTGATGGAAAAAGTTGGTAAATCGCATCTTATTCCTTCACAACTGGATTGAAATGGATCCTCCGGTCGTGACAAAATCAAGGTGAAAGGAAAAGAGAAGGGAATTATTTTTAACTTGCTTATTTTCTCCCATTCTTTTTTAATAAGGTGGAATAAATACTTATACTTATTTACTTATTTAACTGTTACGGTTGAGATATTTTCTAAAGAATGTTAGGTTCAGAGTTACTATTACGACAGTGGCCGCGGAAGCTTGGGGGGACAGAGGGACAATGTCCCCACGGTTATTCGATGTCCTCATCATATGCCCATGTTATACAAACCCCTCCCTCCCCTATCCTACAATGTTAACGTCCCCAGATGTCCCCACGACTTCCGCGGCCACTGTACATACGGCAGCAGAGACTGTGTATTCGATGCCCGCATCATCTCCCCATGTTATATGTATAAACCCCTCGCTCCCCTATCCTACAATGTTAACGTCCCCACAGCCTCCACGGCCACTGGGGTCTCATTATTATTAGATTATTGTCAAAAATAGGGAGAGGAACACCTTGTAAATATTTGTGGTTGGTGATTTGAAGAATGGATAATAATGACTCCAAGTTTTGTTCCAAGTTTTTGAATAGAGTTATTTTCATCTAACTTAAAGCTGGGAAAGCCTTGAGGCTACAAGGTGTGCATGTATTGAAAGAGAAAGCACAACGTCACGTCAATACCAGACCAGGGTCCACATCGATCAGGTTTAATCTATTTCGAGCAGTTCTTTCTTCTGGGGGCAAAAGGGTGACGGTGGAAAGTTATTTTCCCAGAATTCTCACCCATTCTAAGAAAGTATGAGTTGCATAAGTTCCCTTTGCGCGGGAATTATTTATGACACATTTACATGCTGAAAACATGAAAGTGCCGGATTTGATCGGTTTTTCTGAAAGGTAAAATTTCCATAAAAATTATGCAATTTTGTTAAAAATATGGCGACAATCAATTGATTCAAGAATACAACTTACAACTTACAAACGATTATGAGAAAATTATGAATTAGCAAAAAAACACGTGTTTGAATTACGTAGCTAAAAAAATCCTTGCAAAAATTTTGCAAGGATTGCATAATAAGACACGTGTTATATTATATAATTCTTTTCCATCCTTTCTCTCTCTCTCATTTCATCTCATCTCAACGGATAAAAAGGAATTGGTGTCGTAAAGAGTTTAATTGAATGGACAAGACATTTGTTTGTGGGTGGATGGCTGGTAGCGTAGAATGTGGTTACTTACACACGAGATTTGCTGGCCCCATTTTATTATCGTGTCACCAACATTACAACTAAATCTAATCCACTAACTTTTAAGACCACGACGCTTCGTGACAATCAGCTCAATGAGACCGGTTTATAAAAGGTTGGCTGCCCAGAAACACGTTTCGTTCCCGAGAAGAGAAGTACCCAGAAATCGCAAGGTTTCATCTTTAGGAGAAATTTAACAAGATTTCCGAGCGGAATCCTCTTGCAATTCAGCCGTAACACTTTTGCGTAGCTCACTTTATGTAACTTGCGACTTGCGTCCGTAACATAATAAATAGAGTTACATACACACTCCGACGGTAAAGACAAGGCAGCAGAGAAGAAAGTAAAGTGGTTCGTAGCATTTCTTATTATTCTTTTCCATCACCTTATCTCACTTATCTTCTTCTTCCCTCCAAAATAATACCACACATGCAAAACAGGACTTATCTCTGGTTTTGCATGTGGTTAAATTTATTCCCCAGAGCGGCACTTTCACCTGGAGGCTTCCACCATACCACCCCGGGTTTGGTCGACTATGCGTATCTGAGCATAAATGGGGCACATAAAAGCAGAGAAAGTGCAACAATAAACGGGTTATGCTTTTGTATTTTATTTAATACGTGGCTTACTTACGTCTCTCTACGTTTTACGATCCTGCAGGGAGGAATGCATACGGGTGCGATAATCTAATAAAGCCGTGCAGATTTTAATATGCGAGGAGAGAAACAAATATTGAAAGACTTGTGCAAACTGTCCGCCGATTAAAAGAGCGAGATAATTGCAAAAGATTCGAGATTTCGCGTATGCCCATCGCTTATATATTTCGCATCCCATCGCCGGGAGCCATTCTTCTTCTCCAGACTGACATTTAACTCGACTTTGGGACTAAATAAGAAAGATTTTCTTGTTTCGAAGAATAAGAATCAGAAGTTTTGTTGGATTCCGAGAAGTGGATTTGGTTGGTTTCGTGGGGAGAGAAACATGTTCGATCTTCTGGACGGATGTAGTGCCCCTGAGGAGGAGGAAGAGGTGATGGAAAGAGATGCGGTTTTAGCTCTGTCTGTGTTGGATTTCTCTACGATACGATACTATGATGATAGTACTTATTTTGCTGGGTTTTGTACTTTTAGGAGGACGACGACCAAGGACGCTGAACAAGAGGTGGAATTTTACTCTCTGCTTAGTTTCAAAGAACGATAAGATAAATTGGAGGAAAGAATTGCTCCCCAAAGGTCCATTATCTGCAAAAAGCGTGTAATGAGAAGTTACAAAGTGCACATTTTGTTGGACTGTTCACTTACTCATTCACAAGGTGGGAAGGAGGATGACGACAATGGGGGAATTGTTGTGTTTAAGAAGAAAAACTGTGATGCCAGAATATTTTGGATTGCTTACTTGCTAACTAAACACAATTTTCAGCAAGAAAACACGCATCGTTTTCAACTTTTTTCACAGCTAATCTCTGTAAACACATGCACGCATGTTCCCGAATATTTCCATTTTTTATTACGATTTCTCCACAAAATCTTGCAAATGTCCGTAGTAAAAGGGAGAAAGTGGTTCCAGGGTGCGTGGGTATTTATGTAGAATGGTGGCGTAGTAGTACGGGTGCCATAAGCTGTAAACCGTTTCACTTGATTCCATGATCTCTCCACAACAAAATGACTATCGGGTAATTCCTCGAGGCTGTAAAGAAGGGAAGTAAGTTGACCCAGAGGAAGGAACATTGGATTGGATAGTGTAGAAGCTGAAACGCTTTCCAGAATCAGGAATCATGAGATAAATGCATTTAAAGGAAATGGATTGTAATATAAAACATAAAATCTCCGCCACCGTGAAAAGCAAATGTTCTTTCATCACGGGAACAATGCAAGCTCAGAGTGGAGGGCGACCAGCGTATGCTGGCAGATTTTGGGCAAACTAGTGTCAATTGACCGGCAATTGGCAAATGACACTATCTGCAAATGCGCAGCAGAGATATTTGCATCCAAAGAGGAAAAAATGCGCCCAGAAACTACACTTTCCAAATTTACTGCGCCTTTTCTCCTATTCGGATGCAAATATCTCTGCCAAACCTGCGCATTTGGAGATTGTGCCCTTTGCAAATATCATACTACTTAAATCTGCGATCGATTGACACTAATTTGCTCAAAATCTGAGAGTATACGCTGGGAGACCTCCGTTGTCAGATTTAAGCAGAGCAGTTCTGATAAAAGGGAAATGAAATGGATCAAATCAAAATTAAATTGGGACATTTTCCTAAATGTTGTTTATTATGCATTCCTAGATGTGTATCTAAAGTAGGCATGTTTTGTTCCCTCTAAATTGCGTGTGTTCTCCCCTAAACGATAAATTTATTCAGTGCTATTTATGTATGTATAAATTGTGTAACTTATCTTCGTAAAAAGAACACAATGTCAAATATATTGCATACATTTTTTCTTGTGTTAAGAACTTTTTTAAAACGAACGAACCAAGGAAAGACCACCACCACTAGATCGGATAAAGGTTCTTTGAATAGGTGTTGTTTAAAGTTTTATGTCCTCGTTCTGAATGAGATTAAATAAGTCGCACTTTTTCATTGACGAAGATAATAGAGGAATATTTAATGGAGTTAAAAGTATAGATTTGTTTGTACAGATTAATTTTGTTGTTTCGATGTTTTTCTTACTTAATATGCAAACATACAAAAGAATGATTTCTAGTGATTCTATTTTCATCTCTTATTAATGAGTTTCACTTATTTTTTAAGTTTGTCTCATTGCGTGTGCTTCCTTTGTCTACAAATGCGAACAGTTAACTAACTGACAGAGCCAATCCACGTGCGTAGTAAAATAATGGAGAACAAATATGTAAACAACAAAATGTTAAGAAAGGACACTTTTTACATTGCTTGTGCAAATCATCCCTGTCATTAACCTTGGCGAGGTGTGTTGCATTGTAGCTGTCCCTTGGCGTTGTAGTTCACATGTTATTCAGGATCAGGTTAATAGGTATGTAACAGCGATGCATATCAGTAGATAGCTCAAAGTCCTATCCACTTCATCCTGCATTTTTGGCTAAAACAATTCCATACTTTTAGGTAATGCATAGTGCGAATTGGCTTGATTTGTGCGTGATAGCATGCAGCGAATCTGTGTCGCAAATCTATTCCTTACACATATGCTACACAATCGTATATACTTACATTTGTTATGTACTACAGGAACATGAGTACCTGCATTTAATAGCTAAATGAGATTAGCTTTTGCATCTTGTATGTGCAGTATAATTACTTAATTGTATTGCATTATTATCCTGAAATGGCTGGACATACTTATTATTATTCACTGGCAGGAACTAAAAGCAATTACACATTTCTGGTTCCGGATATTTTTTTTGAGGAAGTTGGATCAGAAATACAAATACACATAGAGGAATCGTGATTAATGACATTTTCTTATTCGACATGACAGTGATACATACTTTTTAAGGTACATAACTGGACTGGATGTCGGGTAGTTGCTTGTTTGTTTCTTTTTTTGGCTGTGTTATGTACATTTTAATGAATACGTAATGAAACACAACCCGAAGAAGAATTTATTACCGCATTGCATTCAAAATACTACAAGAGTCATCCCCCAAGATTGCGAATGACGTAAATGTTCCATTTGTAGTAAAAAGTCATGCTGTTGCACTTTCCTTATTTGGTGTGACTTGCATTTTTTAAACAAATAATGTTGAGGTCCCGTTTAATTTAAACGGAGTATTATTATTAATTGAATTCAAAGCCATGTAAATAAACAATAGTCTCGGTCTTGTAATACCTACAAAATAGTTGGCAAAATACCTTCAAGAATAACCCCGACCATGTCTCAAATTAAACGGTAGTCGAGCCATGTATTTATTTATAAGGTGTTAAACTAATTTGCACCTGTCACCTCCCATATATTGCAAAAACCCAACCCTCTTAACAGGCAATTATTATAAGTATGAATGGATGATCAGTCGTGTATATTTTCATGCAAAGTAAGCGATTCCATGAAAAAAGCCGGAAAGTTGAGCGCAAGATATGTTAAGTGCAGTTATCCAATGCATCATCACGAATGTAACCAAGTCATGATCAAAGTCAAAGTCATCTTCTTCCTGAGGAAGCAGTGTCTGTGGTTTGGTTGGAGTGAGGCGTTGATGTGCAAGAGGTGTAACTTCCTTCCAAATAAATTAGCCAAGATCAGTAGTTTCCTCCTTCCTTCCTGAAAACCAGTTCCACTTTTTTTCGTGTATCGCACATGTACAGATTTACGTATGACGTTTTGCTGGAGTAACGACAAAACAAGATTTCATCACGGTAATAATGGTCAGTTCACGGCAATCGTATATTCGGCCAAGATCAAGATCATAACGCCACGCCAGGATTTAGCCTTATTTTTAATAGTTTAAGTTTAAGTTGGGATTTTTGCCCAAAATAATAATACAAAATGGTACTGGTCTCGGTATTTTTTATGAATTTGCTCTGCGCCATGGTGCCTTGTGATCCGGCGAATAGTTTGCCGGAAATTGATGGCGTGAGGGTATCAGGTATGAGTGGTTTTCGTGGGAAGCGGTTGATCAGTGGGGGTGGCGAGGATTATCCAGTTGTCGAGTCGAGAAACGGAGCTGTGAAAGGGTTTCCGATGATGGTGATGAGTGGGAGGAGGATATTTGCGTTTGAGGGGATCCCTTACGCCAGTGCGGCGAGATTTCAGGTAAGAAATTCAGGATTGTCTCAATTTTCCCAGTCCGGAGTCTTAAATGCAGTGATAACTTATCACTGATAAGTGTAACGCAAAATTTTGGTGGTATCGTTTAGGACCCTGTGCCAGCCAAGAATTGGACAGGGATAAGAAAAGCGTTCTCTCCCGGGTCTTATTGTCTGCAGATTCATCCGGGTAAAATGCTGAGGGTGTTTGGATCCGAAAATTGTTTGACGATTAACGTTTACTCGCCAAAGGTAACATTTCTGGAGTATGCAAACGATAATTAATTTCTGCGAAACTGGGAAGGTTTCCAAGAATCTATTGTAAGTAATGATACATTTTTACGCAACTAATAAAAACAGATACCGGCGTCGGAACAGGCTAAAAAGCTGCCAGTGATTGTTTTCATCCACGGAGGATCATTTACTTTCGGTATTAAAATTTAACCGAAATTTTAAATTTTAAATTTTGAAAATTGTTAATTTTTATTCATAAATAGGAAGTGGTACTGAATTTGGCCCCTCGTATTTACTAGAGAAAGACGTGATCTTTGTCAGCTTTAATTACAGGGTATAATTTTTGACTTCTTGTTTACTGAATGTAATCATAATTGAGTAATGAATTGTATGAATTATTTAATTACAGGTGGGCGTCTTGGGTAAGGGTTGATAAAATATTGCATGAATTTTAGAAATTTCTCAATAAATCGTATCAATTGAAGGCTTCATGAGTACCGGGGACAATAACAGTCCTGGAAATTATGGTAAAAAGCCGAGTTATCAAAATTACTTGATATCTAAAGCAAATAATCTGGATCGCATTTTAATTAGGCCTCAAAGACCAAGGTCTAGCGTTGAAATGGGTTTCTGAAAACATTGAAAACTTCGGTGGTGATAAGGACCGCGTCACTTTGATGGGACAGGTAAGCACATTCGACTCGTCCACGGTTATCATAATCTCATCTGTAATTTGCAAAATTTTTATATTTAGTCCGCGGGGTCAGTCAGTGTCCACCTGCACATGTTGAACCCCACCTCGCAAAAATACTTCCATCGTGCCGTGCTCCTCAGTGGGACTGCCCATAATCACTGGGGCCTCCAAAATTCGACCAGGGTTCTCAAACTGACTCGCGCCCTGGCAAAATGGGTCAACTGCGGGACGGCAAGTAACCAGGAAATTGTGTCATGTTTCCGAAAAATTGATCCCAATTGGTTGGTCGCTGCTCAAATGAATCTCTTCGTAAGGAAAAATCTTAATACCATTCGCCCATCAAGTCGAATCTGATTTTGCATGACATTCCATCCTCAAAATTATTTACATAGGACTGGATCCCATTCCCCGCAGTCTTGTTCGCTCCCGTTATCGAGCACGCTGAAAGCCCATCGCCTTTTATAGCGGAATCTCCCTCGGTGATAAGTCAGAGTGGGAGAGAGGCTAAAATTCCTGCCATTTTTCAAATGACTAGCCAAGAAGGGTTGATGTTAAATTATGGTAAGTGTGGAACTGACGCCACCTGCTTAAAGCCTTCTTCTTACGTAAGAAGAAGCATAATATCCATGAATAAAGCAGAATTCACTTTGCTCTCCCAATAATTTAGCGCTTAACGGCATGATGAAAATTGGAGGGTTTCGTAACGCCGTGAAAAAGTACTTGTCCAACTACCTCGACTACGACTACGTCACAAATGATAACCTAAATCTACAGGGGAACATTACGGATCGGATTTTAAACTATTATAATGTTACGAATCCGAGAAACGCCCCCCTGTCGGCGTACGGAGAGGTATGTAATGTACATGGATAAACTTATAATGGAGGTCTCGCAGCGTATGCTCTCAGATTTTGAGCAAACTAGTGTCAATCGATCACAAATTTAATTAATATGCAATTTGCAAAAGGCACAATCTGCCAATGGTCAGGTTTCGCAAAGATATTTGCATCCGAAGAGGAAAACATGAGTGGCAAAGTCACAGATGACATATTTGGATTATTATACATGCAAATTTAGATTGGCGTCCATGCGCTCATGATACGCAATGTAAATAGTTAAACATTATTTTATAATGAAAAATATTTGCAAAATTGTACACACAGCAGAAAATTAATAGTTTTCAAAATTTCCCAATGATCTGAATTTCTGACTTGAAAAGTGGTTATAATCTGCTGACACTTTTAAATATTCAAAATTGTAACAAAATTTATATTGGCGTCGAGCACGGTCGATCGAAAGTTTTGCTCTCTTGATGCACGATGCAAATAGATAAAAAGTATTTTGTAATGCAAAAATTTTGGCAAAATTATACACAGAAAATTAATGCTTTGTAAAATACAATAATAGCCAATGCACTGGTTTGGCAGAGATATTTGCATCCAACGAGGAGAAAGCGTGCCCTAAAGTTGACAAACTCTACACTTTACAAATTCGCTATTTCCTTTTCGGATGCAAATATCCTCGCCTAAACTGACCATTGGCAGATCCTATCTTTTAAAAATTTCATATTACTGAAATTTGCTATCTATTGACACCAGTTTGCTCAAAATCTGAGAGCATACGCTGGTCCATCTCCCTTGTCAGTCTAAAAATAATCTTGACCTGAGATTGTCAACATCCATTAACATCTCACAAACTACGCATCTTCTCCGTCCAGATGGGGACTGACAGAATGTTTTCGGTCGGGATTTCCAAGGGCATCAAGCTCCACGCCAGAATTGCTCCCACTTATGCATCCCTTTTCTCATTCTTTGGCAAGTACAATCAGGGCAAATTCCTCGGAGTGCCGCAAAATGAGCTGGGTAAATCTGAGCATAAAAAACTCTTGGGTTGTAAATACGTAATAAATAATTATGACCATATTCTTTCCTCAAAAGGTGTTGCGCACACGGAAGACCTATATTATTATTTCAGTAATTAATTCTTATTTTAATTAATTAATCAATCAATTAGTTAATTAACTAATCTCTCCAAAAACTTAGACGCATCGATTTACTTGCCCGGATTCAAGCAGCACGACAAAGAAGCAGAATTGAGCAAAATTATGGTCAATTTGTTAATAAATTTTGCGTCAATGGGGTAAGCTCAGGATTAATTAGGTAGTTATTACTTATTTGCATATTATTCAAATTCATATTTAAATAGGGAACCACTCTACACTGATAAAAAGAGTGGGAAAGATCACAGGATTTGGGACGCCGTGTCCCCCACGGACGAAGTGATGCAGCTTCTTCAACTGGACAGGGACGTTTTGATGGTGGACGATCCGTTCGCAGAGCGGAAAAGGTTTTGGGACTCGTTGCATCTCAAAGATACAATTCCACTCGTAGATTTTTCACCACTGTTAAATGAGACAGGGACTGATAGCAGTAATGATATTTAATACCATGACATACACAACCTCAACCTCATTTCGATAGATTAACCTATGGGAATTAGTGCAAAACGGTGAAGTTCCTATTTTGTCGTAGGATTTGTTAATGATAATTTGTGTTGTTTTTATTGTTTTTATGTATTTATTGATTTTTGGGTTTAATGAATTATGTAAATTATTTATTTGTTGTTGATCATAAATAAAACGTAATTTAATATGAGATTTGTTTGTGTGATTTGTGAAATAAATTTTTAATGAATGATTATGTAAGAGGGTCTCTTTGCAAATTTGACCTGATGCAAGTTCTCAAATTGTATAAAAATGGAGGTGACCAGTCATTCTGTGCTCAGTTGGATATTAAGACTCAAAAAGTTTTTTTTACATATTTTTTGAAATTTCATAATAATGGTGCTAATTCTGCCTTCATTCTTACTGAACATTCTCTGTTCCTTATTCACTTGTCGGAGTAATCATGTCAGTGTCGAGTTGGGTTCGGTCAAGACAAAAGTGGGGTTGATTCCCATACGGTTTATGACATTTCCTAAAATCGGGCTAAATAATAAACCTCTTCATCCTAGCGTGAACTTCAATCCGAATCAGGTATTTTTAGTGTTGTAGTGCAAAAATTCAATAAATATTGATCAGCTACTAATTTATTTGCAGATTTACCGATATGAAAACTATTATGGTCATCAAAAACGGTACGGGGCCAAATTTCTTGGCAGACGGAGGAGAAGATGAGACTCATTTGTTTCTCAGTTGCTAAATTTAGATAATTCGCCAATTTTTTTCCACGCCTAATAAAAACCTCACGGTAAACATCACCTCCACAAAGTCAAGAGTGACAACGACGCCACGAGTCAATCAAAATCATGACCACATCTTTTTAGCTCTGTAAAATGTTAATAAAAACAATGTTTTAATTAAAGTGATGAATGCAACAACTGTCACTTTTCACTGTTTAAAATAATTAAGGATTAGCATTTAATTAAATGGAATGGATAAAGAGTGATGTTGATGAATTGAATAACGAGGCTAATTTTGCTTAGGAATAGAACAAGATGGTCATGTTCATGCAGAGGGCGGCTATGTATTTACGAAAAGTTGTTGAAATATGTATTTAATATTTACGAAATATGTGCAAAAATAAAACAAAAAATAAATATTTATAAAATTCATATATGCGTTTTCGAAAAAATTTCTAAAATATTTACGTATTTTTTAAATAAAGTGGAAATGTGAATAAATATATTTGTATATCTTACCACCTAGAAATATGTGGAAATATGTGAAAATATTTTGAAATTTTTGTGATAGATCACATGGGTGTGTTCCCTACCTAACTCTTACAGATATTTAGGTAACACACCCACAAAGTTTGACCGTGGGTCGTCATCAAATGAAATAGTTGAAAATAAATACATATCCACCCTATGATAATTCTGTTTAGGAATAGAACAAGATGGTCATTTTCATCATGATGATGGCCAGCCTTGACATTCATCTTCATCTGACATTCAGTTCTGAGATTTGAAATCACAAAATGCCTCCACGACTCGGCAACAATATATCAATCGTCGTGCATGTATAAAACAATCTCATCTGTCATTGTTTATTTGCATTGTTCAGCAAATGCTTAATTAGTTGTATCCAATCATGCTGGCACGTACGCTTATATATTTTGCTTTGTACACAACATGTGCTAGTAATAATTCGTTCGTACCAGTTTACAAAAGCGAATGAGTTAGTGATCTAATAAGTGGTGATGAAGAAATATTCATACCAAGTCGAGAGGTGTTAATCAGCAATAAAAAGGAAAAAAGGTGGATATACAAAAATTATCATGTACATTTTTTACGAATCCGAATTATGTATTTATTTATGCATTGTGTTAGAAGTACATATACGAAGTAAAACTTAACATTTTGTTGATCAGGTTTTAACAATTTCATGGAACTGTTTCGCATCAAAAGTAAGAAGAAATCCGATTTTGGTCAATTCCAAGCAAACAGAAAGTTTTATTTACCAATGAATATCCTACACGTTCACCTAACATTTCTTATTTTATTCCATTTCTTCGGTGGATTTTGATGTTCGGCGTTCAATTCCGTAAAGGTGTCGTTTATTTGGGGAATTTCTGCCCAAATATTATTTCATATTTTTTATCATTTTCGATTTTTGTTGCATTCTTATAAATTCGATGCTCGTAGTTCTAGTATTATCCTTCCTGACTACTTATCATTCATACAACAAGTACCGCACATAAATTCCTGTCTGCATGCATGAAAACCCATCCTGGAAAAATAGAATTACCATTGTTTAAACTTTTTGTGTAAAGTTGTTAACCAAAAATAGATATGGGAATAATGCAAGTAAAGTAAATTATTTTTATACGAGAACACGCATCTTTTCTTATCCTTCTTGACCGTAATCAAGTAAGTTTCTAGATTGGACATCACAAAGATAATTATAAGGATTGTATCGTGCCACGTGGTGATAACAATGGATGGAGGTGGTGGTGGTCTAATAATTTTTATTTTTGATAATTGTACACCCACACACAATTGTACATTGCATGTCTCCAGTGGTAAACAGTAAAATTTTCTTGTGCGAGCAATTATTTTTGCCTTGGTGGTCATAATTTTTAACGAATTGTGGCAATAAATGTAAAAATGAATTGTTTTTATCATTACACAAGTCATAAGCAAACGAGCGCATGACGACCTTCATTAACCTTCATACATATTGTCATTCCTCCAGGAATGATAATCCTGGACTTGAAAAATTTAATAATTGTGTATGAATGAATCATGAATTAGAACTGCGCATCGCGTTCATTTCATGGTGTTTATTGTCCAATTATTGTCCATACTTTAACTAAACGGCTATTTTCGAGACGTGGTTAATTGTTTAATTTGGAGTCGTCAACATTTTCATATTGTTGTCCACTTGTACATAATTTGAACCCCTCACAACAAATACATATGTACAATCAGCGAGACAAATTTCTTCACAGAATGTCACTTCAACTGGAAAATGTCCTCTGGGGGTAAAAATATGCCAGGGTTTCATTTTCTACGGGTTTGACACATTTCTAGCATTGCAAAGGAAGAAATGCAAGAAATGCGAGGTGCAAGAAACTGGGAGAAAGTGCAAGAAATGTGGGCGTAGTTTTGTGGGCGCCTTGTATTTCTTGCAGGTCAAAATAAGAAACCACTGCAAGAAACCACTTTTTTGCCGTTATTTCTTGCAAGTGGTTAAGTATTTGCACCCGAAACACTGAAATATACGCTACTTTTCATTTCATCCAAGTCTCTAGTTCAGGAATAATTCAGGAAACAGACCAACAAGCACGGCGACAACATCTTGTCTCCTCTCCTCTCCTTTGACAATGACAACAACAATTTTGAAAAAACAATGACATAAAAAGTAATGAGTGGAACAATGCTTATGGAAATAACAATAGGAAGATGAGTCTAGTGTCAGTTTCATGTCAGTCGGTCTTATAATGGCAGTTTTTTTAGGGTTTTGGATGGGATTTTGCCTGACTCTCTTGGATAGAGGACTGGACACGGTGTACAAACACGTTAATTACTTTTTTACATGGAAGGAATATATACTGTGCCATTTCTAAAGATGAATTAACTGATTTCTTTTGATAAGGATGAGGTTGTCGAGGATGAATTAATTTGAATTTAGATATAAAAATGCAGCTTCATCCTCCAATTAAATAACAAAGTCAGTGTCAGGGTCAGCAATTAATTATTATCACATTATTTTAGCCTAAGGAAAATGACACAATTCAAAATTACCAGTTAAACACCGTGTAATGGAAAAGTTGCTCAAGTTCGTCTTCATCAAGTAATAAATGGGTAATTGCCATCTAAAAGTGGTACTGACGCACGCACATAAAGTTGCAGGTGAGGTGAGAGGGCAGATTTTTGTATCTCGTAAAAACTTAGTCATTGAATTTATTACTTAAATTGACCAATTTCTTGATCTTGTTGTTAAAAATTTTGCCGAGTGATTGATGATGATGCATGCACGCGAAGACAAAGTCCACACAAAAATTTGCACATTTTTACGAAATTGGAACTCGGATTTGACATAGATGCAGGATCTGAGAAGTCATAATGAGTGATGATGATGGTTATTGTCTCTACTAATCTGATCCACTGACGCAATTTAGACCCAGCAACTTTTTGACGTACTGAATTCTGAACTGACGCGTGGGTCGAGGTTCGATAATGAAAAGTGTACCAGCAATTAGCACATTCTCACCTGCTGGATAAAAAAAGGTAATCATGGACCCGTAAAGATCGTCCTATTTGTGTTGGCAACAAATTTGAACTTTTGCACTTTACCCGTCTCTGAATCATTTGTAATTGTGCAACCATTTCCAGGAAAAAAGTCACATAAATTAGTAGGTTTTATGCAATATTATGTACATATGTAACTATTTATCGATATTAGTCATCAATTATTTAAGTCGTTGATGCGCAATAAACCGACAATTAGTTACAGTTTTTTAATATAATTACTAGACTAGTGTTTTCTTCTGGGGCGATAACCACATGAAAATATCTACATAAATATCTGCGGATGTACTCCTATTACTTGCCGACAGACTGGTGTGGTGATGTATTCCCACGAGGTTAAATTTTTTGCAGTCACCTTCAGAAACCGGTCCAGCATGGTATTTAGCAGTGTGTATAATATCTACATATGTCCGTTTATATTACTTGAAAGAAATGAAAAAAAGGTAAATTTTGTACTGCACCGTGATTATGTTTGGGGGGAAGTTAAATTAATGTGGTTATGATACGTGCTTTTCATACTTTCATACAGATGTACATATGCATTCATATGTACGTATTTTGTATATAATTGCGCAATCAAATCAGAGGCTGGTACTGGATATGAGGCGGTGATAGGGTATACCGGGAGTACATCCCTTCTTTGCTTAATTAATTACTTAATATGTGCCAGACATGCGAAGAAAAATGTGTGAAATATGTATTAAGCGTACGTAAATATCCGTGGGGGGTGTCGTGTAATAGAGGAGGTTTAGAAAATTAGGCGAAATTAGTTTTGAAATCAGGCGAAATTAATTTTGAAATCTGGCAAAATTAATTTTTAAATCTGGCTAAATAGTTTTGGAATTTGAGGAAATATAAAACCTACACATGAATGTCCACGAATGTTTTGAGTTGACCTTGATTTAAAGACGAAACCCGAATTATGCATATCCGAGCAGAAATTAATTATAGGGACGACTACTGGATTTGTCTTTGGACTACTTATTAACTCCACGAGTCGAGACCTTTCTTCCCCCTCCACGTGTCGTATGCAAATGAAATTTACCTACAAAAAGTCTCGAATTCGGCGATGTTTTTTTGTAAATAAATGCGAATTTGTAATTTACCCAGTTTTTATCCCTGTATCATATCAGAAGAACGTCTTGAATCTTGTTCCTTAATGCTTATTGTGGTACATAAATAACTAGAGGAACAACTTTTTATCGGTCCTTCGGGACACGTCGATGAATGTAGAACAAGTTGATGTGTAAATGTGCGATGCGCATTAACTAATATGCATAATAATATAAAAGCCAAGGTTTTAGCACATGTGGGGAGACGGATTGCACGGGGGGAATAATTTGATGCAAAAACCTGGAGCTGATTATTATAACTCGATAATTTTCCCTTCTGTGTGAAAAATTGTGAGACCAGTTTTTTTTTGCCTTTCAAAACTTGTCTGACCTGGATGACTGGACCGGTAATTGATGAATTCAAGAGATAACTGATGGCAAATACTTGGTATTGATGACAACTTTTCTGTGAAATGGACTCGTCACAGACAATTAATTAGGCAAACTTATCACCCAGTTTTATTTACATACTTACTTATATTCAAGCTCACCTTTTGTTTTATGGATTCCAGACAAACTTTATTATGCAATTATTTTTACATCGTCTACTTTATGTATTTTCATCTGCTGAGAAGGTTCTGCTCCATGCCGTAAAAAGCATTCATATAATAAAAACTTGCCTTATGTATTGCGACAAAGAGATTTTTGCATAAAATTCACTCCATTTTCTGCCAGACCTTGTTACACGCTTGATTACCTTTTAAATTAAAATTCCGGTTTTTTATTCGATTTAAATCTGTTTATGTTCTTTCCCACGAAGAAAGTCAAAGTCAAAGAAAGTGTTAAGAATAATTCTAAATTTTCCGGTGGGAATCACAATTGTTTGCAAATTTTTGCCAAATTAGCAAATTTACCTGATGATAATAGTAATGATATTGAGGAAAAAGTAACATGTTGTAAAGCTAGGAATGTTGTACTAATAAGGAAAATTAAATTAAATGTGGCATAAAACTTTATGATCGGACAAAACCTTATTTTGATGATACAAAACGTGATAATTCACTCCCATCCACAAGGTAATTGTTGAGAGGTATGCATGTTAGTTATGCGCATTATTTTATTTTACGTTAACAAAAAAATTATTAAGTGTGGACATGCATACGACGAAATTTCTTGAAAACTATGTAATTTCCGAATGAATAACCTACATTCATCCTGCCACCTTTCCAGAATTCCCCAAATTTTCGTCTGCTTCCCTTCCGTCCGTTCGTACAGCAAAGATTGGAACGTGCAAGAAAAGATAGTTCCGGTCCGTTATCACAAGTTTGGAGGAAAAACTAGTCACAAATTAGATAAATAGGTGCATTTTAATTGCATATTTACCATTCCAGGCAATTTTTAACAATTCACAAACATATGCATCTTACATCCGCCAATCTATTATGTAATATATTATATATTAGTTGTTGTTTTGTTTTGTTAGTTTACAATGTTGGCTCAAAAATCCAATTCCAGAAGGACGTCTACCTGTATGTAGCTTGTTATCAAACTCTGTGACCTGTTGATTACAGATTTGCCCATCAATGTCTTAGCAAAACTACCCAAATCACCCAATTCTGCACTACATTACTTCCACACATAATCATAATTGCATCCCTGTGTAAATAATAATTGACCAGACCACAAAACTCTCCAGGTATACGTATACATAATTGTTCTTAAAAAAACGAATCCTTCCATAAATCTGGGCTTTATCATTTATATACCAGTCGAGTTTTGCTTAATACCTACGAAAACCAAGCGAAGCAAGACTTCTCAAACAATAAAAAGGAAGACCACTCATTATACAGGACTAGTTCTTAATTCTGATCATCACACAGTACCACCACCTCCTCTGCAAGATTAAGATTTACCATTTTTCTATCCCACATAAACACTTGCACTGGCACGGAAAGCGTCTCAATTGTTGCCGAGGCTTGGTCGAGTTGAGATAGGACAAAACATAGGTTTTATCTTTATTATTTACACAACAATATTGTGCTAAGTGCGTTTACGTCTCGTGTAATTTGTTACGTAACGTAACGATAAATCGTAGATTAAGTATTTAGTAAAGGCCTCGCAGTGCCTACGTATGGAGAAGCATGGTCACCAAAATGTGAGGTAAAGTAATTTAAAAAATTAAGATGTATTTATTATATTTCTCAATAGTCTTTTTACTTTGATAAGATACACATTGTATTGTCTCATCAGTTGGGCAAGTAGGTAGTGCAAAAATATGTAGATATGCAAAAATATTGCATGTGCGTGCGTGAGGCAGAGTGAGACGGTCAAAGAAAAAGTATTGCTATTATTACAGTTTGCTCAAGAGTAATGCGATAATAACAATGTGTGATGGATGGCCAGGGGTACGATTATTTAATCTCACTCACTGCCTATTTACTTACTTACTTGGAGAGGAAGGTTGCCTTATATTTAGTTAGATGAGTACACACCTGTCAATAATTAAGACGCTTTTTTGGACCATTTTAGAGGACGTGGAGTTGCAGTATCTAGTAGTCGTAAAGTAATAACCTTACTAGCGTGCAAATGACCAAACAATGGTGGACAATGTCATCTCCTTCCTGCAGTTTCTCAATTTCATCTCAATGTGATCCACTAACTCCTAACTGACTTACTTACTTACTCAGAGAGCATTGCAAATTTAGTGCCAGTCGTAAAATCAACAACAACATCGTAAAACAAATATATCCAGTTGAAACGTCTAAATCAACCATGGTGTTCACGGCAGCGGCTCATTTAATCAACATGTTTTGCAACATGGTCCCCTGCTCGGTTACACAGCCCCCTCCACAAGCCTTCATTCGGGACAATTACAACTGGGCGGGTAGTAGTACCACGACACCGACCCCGTTTTATTATGATGTTCCCCCAACGTCGCACCTCCCTAAAAACTCCTCGAGTGGCCAAGAACAATTAGAATTCAATTTTAATTCGGATGAGCTTGCGCTAAGTGCGAGATCCAAGCGGCTACTTGGACATCCGAGACATAGATCCAGGTCTAAAAATCCATACCCGCAAAATAATCGGGGACAGAATCAAGCAAGACAGTCTAGAATGACGGTGACCACTCCGTACTCGACACCGGTGGCGAGAAGGTCACGGACAGACCAACTTTCTGGAGGTTCACCGGGTCAAAGTAGAGGGCTTAATTCCGTACTGCCAAATATCTTCTCGGCCGTTCCAGTGATTCCGGTTTTGTTCAATAATCTCAACGGTCTCGTGAGGTCGATGACGAACACGATCGAGAGTTCGGTGGGGGGACGAGGAGGGGACGGAATTGGGGATCGGAGTGGGAGAAGTGGGGCTGGATTTGAGCCCCCTCTGCCCATCGTGAGCACACAGTATGGAGATTTGGAGGGGTATTTCATGGGGACGATGAAGGGCAGGAGGATATCAGCGTTTGAAGGCGTGCCTTTCGCAGAACCTCCCATTGGAAAGTATCGATTCAGGGTGAGTAAACAAAAATGCATGCACAAAATTTTCATGACTGTACAAATTTGTGCAAATAGTAGGTGCAAATTTGGCATATTTTTTGTGTCGTAAATACAGAAGTATGTATTTACTGTGTAGTTTTGCGATAAACTTTTCCGGGTTTGTCCAGCCATTAGTAGATTAGTAGGTGACACATTTGTTTTGTCCAAGGCGAGTTTAGTATTTGCTTTAATTTTATGATTGCATAATTACATATGTGCGCAAAAAAACTTGGAAATTTTTAATGATTACTTTGATTGAAAATCTCACCTTGGAATTATGGTTGACAAATTACATGCATGCATTCATTATTACTGCACACCTTTAAACAAGCAATTGACTCGAGAGAATGCAACTCATAGTTTTGTAGAGTGAAGATGACGACGGTTACGTAATAATGATGCCAATTTAATTGATTATGAGGGATGAGATGACATTTGTATTTGTTTGTTTGTGGCATATGCAGTTGTATTGTATGAATAAAAAGGTTGCATGCAAAACCTTACATAACAATTAAAACTAACAATTGACAATTAAATCTGTTCAGCCACCCGTTCCAAAATTCCCGTGGAAATCGATCTATCCCGCAAAGAAGACGGGGAGCAGTTGCAGCCAGGCACACCCACTGGATTTCTTCATGGTGACGGGATCAGAGGATTGCTTGTTTTTAAATGTTTACACTCCACAGGTGATTAAAGTTACGAGTTCATAAAAAATGTAGACAAAAGCAGTGGCCGCGGAAGCTGTGGGGACATCTAGGGACGTTAACACTGTAGGATAATGGAGGGAGGGGTTTGTATAACATGGGGAGATGATGGGGACATCGAATAACCGTGGGATCCCTCTGTCCTCACAGTTCCGCGGCCACTGGACAAAAGCCATACATAAATTTGGAGATAATCTGCACACATAATCGGTTTTTTAATATGTAAATGTACACAAAAATAGATTCGGCAAGGGTCAACATCTCCGAAATTGCCAATCCTCTTTTTAATCCATGGGGGATCTTTTCAATACGGTAATGACAATTCCAATATGGTGAGCTGAGCTTACATGCATACTCCACCCGATTAGATCATTTAATTTAGATGACATAATCCGCTCAAGATTTACATACAATTTGATGGATATTCGCAGGATCTTCGGCGGAGTATGGTCCCACCTACTTGCTAGACGAAGAGGTCATCTTAGGTGAAAATTTGTTTGCATATTAACACCTACGTACGTACAATTCTTGTCCAAATAATAATGCGATTCATTTTTTTTTGTTGAAATTTTAGTCACGGCTAATTACAGGTAAAATAGAGGATAATACTAGTTTGTAGGTACACAATTTGCAGATATTAATGAGATTTCATTGTCTGTCGGAATTCTAGGTTGGGACCATTAGGTACGATTTGTACATATAATTGCATTGTTAATTATTGTGTAAATATGGACGGTTTTTAATGAATGTGATAATCCGTGCAGGATTTCTGAGTACTGGAGATGAACAAAGTCCAGGAAATTATGGTAAAAATATTTACAGAGGTATTAAAATACTAGCAAAAAATAATTTGGATCGTGTTTTGATGGATTAGGCCTCAAAGACCAAGCTCTAGCGTTGAAATGGGTTTATGAAAACATTGAGGAATTTGGTGGGGATAAAAATCGTATCACAATAATGGGTTAGACAATCTTATGAAGCATCTTCATTTTTGGAATGCAATGTTTCTAACAAATTTATAACTTTTATACTTAATTTGCAGGACAATCGGCTGGAGGTAAGTATACGTAATTATTTATCACAATTAACCTAAAAAACTGATCCGACTAAAATTTGTTTCACTTTTCCCAGGAGTCTCAGCTCACCTCCATCTTATCGCGAATAAGACGACGGCCTATTTCCAAAGTGGGGTGAGCCTTTCCGGATCAGCCTTCGGATTTTGGCCCATCGTTGAGAAAAAGAGGTCACAAGAGTTGGGACGAAAATTAGCATCTGCCGTAAATTGTAGGCGGTCGAGTTCACGCGAGATGATGAGATGTCTTCGATCCGTGAATCCTCATGTCATCACGGCAGCTCAAATGCAACTCTATGTAAGCATAATGCATATAAGACTTTATTATTCACTAATTATAATAATTAGTAAACCCCAGAAACTTATTACTTACTAAATTTTAACAGGAATGGATCCCATTCCATCCTCTCGTGCTGTTTGCCCCCGTGATCGAGGACGAAACTCCCGACGCATTTTTAACCCGACGGCCCGAACAGGCTTATGAGACCGGAGAAGTGATGGATAAACCTTGGATTTTCGGTCAAACTTCGCAAGAAGGACATTTCGATATTTACTGTGAGTTGCACTATTTTTTCTGTTTTATTTAAACCAACAAATATCTGTGTACATATTTAAATCCATGAAAAACTGAACGATCTATGTATTCAACAGTCATGAGACTGATGATGCAAGCCCCCAGCATTGCCTTGAATGGGAGGCGTTATCTCCCCATAATTCTGGACTATGGGCGAACCACCCGACAACCCCTCACGAGCCAAATTACAGAAAAACTACTACAATTTTACGGAGGTGCATTAATCGGTCAAGGGATAAATATGCGTTCGATAAGTGATGTAAGCTATATATTTTAGCTAATTATTTTCATAATTTTATGAAAAAATGATTAATAATTTGACAATAACTTTCACCCAGATGTACACGGATCGTTTTTACACTTCCACGATAAGAAAAGCCATCAAGTCGCATTCAGCCATTGCCCCCGATTCTACATATGCGTATGTCTTTGATTACAAAGGGAAATACAATTTGGGATCCCTGTTCGGAAGTCCAGAATCAGAGTGGGGTACGAAAGTGTATGAAACATTGTGTAGTACCAAAAAATATTAACATTTTCACTTTTTAGGCGTTTCCCACACCGAGGACATGTTTTTCTACTTTAATTCCTCCGTCTATCACCACGGTCTTCAGCGAGACGATAACGAGTACGGATTGAGCCAAATAATGACTGATTTCCTGGCGAACTTTGTGTCGACGGGGTGCGTAATCCATCTCCTGAAAAAATTAAGGACATTTTCATTAAATTAATTAACAAGTAATTGTAATTTAGGACACCAATGCACATGAATGCCAATAATTCCGAGGTCCCATTTTGGGACCCTGTGAACCCTTCCTCCACGAGTGAACCACTCCAGTATTTACGGATTCGGAAAGAACTCTCCATGATGGCTGACCCATTTTCTGAGCGCGTTCAATTTTGGGAGTCATTAGGTTTAGATTAATTCGCCTCCAAGAGAACATAACATTTTTATCGAGAGATTATTGACTGATTTGCATAATTAAATATTAAATACTTATTAATCCTGTTAATTAGTTAGTTAATTATGCAATGTATTTAGGTAAGTTATATATGGTTGTTTAAGTTTGTAAAAAGGATTAATTAATAATAACAAATGAGTAATAATGACAGATCAATTTTAAAATTTTTAGATAAAGTTTATTTTTCATCATCAGGTGTTATTATTTTTATACTTAATTAATTCATCATCATTACATTTTATGCAGTATGTATGTAACGTAGTGAAGTGGACGTGGCATATTTATTTAGCATAGATTCAAACTATTCATTACGCCATTCGCATTACGCTTTAATTGCAACTTTCTGGAACATATTTAATATAATATTTAATTAAGAAGAAGGTACCAATGTCGTCGTGTTTATATTATCATCATTTTCATGTCGTCATCCATAAAATCAACATCTACCCGACAGAAAAGGTACACATTTTTTATTTAAATTATGTAAATTAAATTCTTTACTATTCTCTTTTATCTAGATAGAATTTTTAACCACACTTATTTATAAATATTATTTAATGGTCAATAAATTTATTCACGGAGTATAGAAATTTATTCGCAGAGATATTATTTCTACCTAAAAGTTCAGTTTTTAAACGGGTCACTTTTGATTTAACTAAATAATTAAGCTAGCATGGGCGTATCCTTTCTTTGGATAGTGTGTAGAATGCAAGCATATTATAAACTATCATGATGATGATAAGCTTTGATAAGTTGGGCAGTATGCTTTTCTATATTGGTTTAAAACTATGTACAAGAATGAGTAGAAAGTGATTTGCATTAATTATGTAGTTAACTAATTATCATATAACAAATAAATCTTAAAATTTGCAAACTATAAGAAAAAATATGTGATGTTTTTTTTATATACGCAGATATACAATTTTGGGTACTTTTTTTACACAAGAGAGAAAAAGAGAAGGGGTAATCTTTAGTGAAAATAAAAAACGAAAGCATTTCAAAAATTTGTATGTAATTAGTTGATCTATTTTCTACGAATATGTCCAAAACCTAAGTGGTAGTAAAGTGGCGATTTGTACATTTCTTTCTTACTCTTCTTCTCTCCTTCGCTTTGTTTATCGTAATTTCGGTATATCAAAAAATTGTGCATACTCACTCAACTTCCTAATTATTTACTAATTATTTTACATAATAATTAATTTACTAAAATTAAAAATGATTTTAAATCAGAGACAAAAGTAATGATGGGACGAGAACTTATACATTTTTGGCATAGTTGGTGTTAATAAGATTTCTTATTGCATTTCTAAAATTATTGAATTTTTGTCTCATTAAATTTTCAATAATTTTCCCAATAAAATAAAAATATATTTAACACTTAATGTTTACTTGAGGCAAAGAAGGATCATGCATGACAAATACTATTATTAATGAATTGAAATTGGTATATTTTACATGAAATGATATCAGGGACGATATAATAATACAACATTGTGTGTGGGTGTGGAATTATCTAACGATACTGTTTAATTATTATTATTTTGCACGATATAACATTGCTACATCTCGCTATTAAAACATCATTTGTAGTGGCTAAATAAATATTTTGCATGCAATAATTAAATTCCTATTGGTTAATGTTAATATTTTCAGTGTTAATATTACAATTCACGGCAAAGTGGTCAATTTAATGGTATTATCATCATCATTATCATCATAAACCAAGTCAAAAAATAAGGGATTTGACTTGTTCATCAATTACGTATTTCGTAGTCTCTTAACAAAAAATAGTGAGGTGAAGGTAAATCTTTCGAAATAAATCATGATGTCCTTTCTTTCGATCGTTAATTAATTTATGTAGTCAAACTAACTAACTAATCTACTACTATACCTCTGAAAATTGTCTGGCGAGAACAAAAATGGAGGAAAATACTAGATGAGAAAAGAAAAAAAAACATCAACAGCATCGTCATCATCATCGGGTCATGTCCATGTCATCCATCTGTCTTGCTGCTCCAGAAGAAGGTTTCGATCTGCTATCCGTAATAAGACTAAAGAGATTTTACGAATTATCATTAAAATGCTAACCATTTCTGGTAATATGGTGAGAGTCGTTCCTATGGGCTAATTTCCAGCCGAGCACATTCTTTGATCTTTCATAACTTGTTTACACTGTCATTTACTCTGAGAGAGGGTCGTCGTCCTCAGCGTCATCACCATAACTTTCTTCGTCCATGTCACCGTCATCAACTAAATCTTGAGCAGCGTCTGGGTGAAGGGATTGGATAGCTGCTTGCATTTCAAGATCTTCCACAGACATGTTAATCCCGGATAGGTCTCCGGTAGTGGAGAGACCGAGGGTAGAATTACCGGTGACTTCGAAGCAGACATTTTCTGCGTTGTCTTCCTCCATGTCGCCATCTTGGTAGTACTCTTCATACTCTAAATCTCCAAATTCTGCACGCCAATCATTCGTTCGTTTGGCAATTTGGTCGACATAGATTCCCAGTGCTTTGGGAAGAACGGACTTTGCTTTTTCAACGTCCTCGTCCGTACATTCGCCCTTGTCCAAGCCGAGAGCGAGGCCCATTCGTTTCAATACTTCGATGTCGTCGTGAATTTCAAACGTTCCATCAAAGTTGAACAAGTACTCCATTCTATTATTAAACAGAAATTTCAAGGTAGGGAAAATGATAGAATTCTTAAAATAAACTCGCGTGTTAACTCACTTGTCATTGGAAATGGAGCAATCGATGACAGTATTTTTCGCAGTGTTGACAATTAAGAAGGGTAAATGAATTGATCCGTGAGGAGGTGGAGGACCGGTTTCTTTTTCTTTCTGCTTATTACGTTCCACCAGAGATTTAAATGCCACTTGCTGTAAAGAAATAGATTGGGCAAAAATGATTAAAATTTGTTCAAATGATTCGATTCTATATCATTGTCGTCGATAATTGTGATACTAACCTGAATTATGAGGTCATGAAGTTGTTGAGTTTTCTGTTTGAGTCTTTCAATCCTTTTTTGTCTATCCTTCTCAAGGGTGGTACATTCTTGCATGGAATTCGTAGGAAGGCCTAACCACTTGATTTCTTTTTTCTCTTTGGAGATGATATTCATAGCCATAAGGACGTTGAGTGCATCGTAAACTCTTCTCCGAATGTTCTTCTGATCAAATTGTTGCTCTATTGTGCTAAAAAGCGAGAAAAAGTATGTTACTGCCTGATACAAAATAGATCGAGTAGTTCAATAATTAACTAACCTAAGTCCAACACCGGGAGTGGCAAATTCTTGTACTAATTCATCTGCGACCTCATTGTACGTTGTGATGCCCTAGATTCGTAATTAAAGCAAATGTTAGGTAACAATGAAACAAATGTACAAATTATATATGCAAATGTAAAATTTAAAATCCTAACAAAATGTACTACTCACCTTATTTCTAACTTTCTCACAAACTTTCATACTGAAATGTCTTAAACCTTTCCCCCCCTTTTCGGACTTCCTTCTTTTGCTCTCATAAGAAATATCGGAAGGAAAATCTACCCTTTTTCGGGCACCCGTGTGATCAAGAATAGGAGAGATAAAGTTTTGCTTGAAATTTAGATTGGAACCAAGGCTGAGTGTTTGTGACCCTCCTGGCGAAGAAGGGGATGCTGCCACTAATTGAATTTGTTGACCCATATGGTTCCCTTGACCAAACTGAGAAGTCTGCATCAATTGTGGACCGTTGGGGGTTTGTGTGAGGAGGAGTCGTTGGTTCCCGTGCTGTATTACTTGCTACAAGTGATATTTTCAAGATTTTAGTTTGGGTGTAAAAGAAGCAAGAAAGTACTGACAAAAAAAAACAATAAATAATGTTAACCAACCATAACTTGGGAATTTCCAACAACCATTTGACCTCCGCCTGATCTCTGAATAATTTGATGTGTGCCAGGCTCCATTTTAATATTGGCTGCATTAAGAATTCTGGTCTGACCCATTCCTCCCTGATGCTGAATTGGAATTGCCATCATTTGACGACCTAGTAAAAAGTACACAGAAATATGCATTAGCAAAAGACCCGGCTGGTTTTCGCTACATCTTAATCAACAGTACCTCCTTGTGTCACAACGCCGCTAGGTTTTGTAACAATGTTAGATGTTCTAATAAACTGCGACGATCCACCGGTTATTATATGTTGGCCCTACATTATTGGTATAATGGGTCGTTACACAAAATGCACCAATTTGTCGCATGCAAGTTAAAAATATTCTGATAATTACATATACCTGCGTCCCGGACGATGTCCTAATGATCGTTTTGACACCTCCCGGCGTCCCCGCCGCCTTGATTGCATGACCACTTGCTGTCACAAATTTTCCCGGAGCCGTCTGCACGACTTCGATCATTTGAGTATTTCCTGTAAGCACAAAGTTGCTCATGACTAATGACATGAAACTAATGACTTGATTAACCCAAACTAATTGACCGACAATAGATAAGCACCCCACCAAATCAAATCACAAAAAAACTGACATCGCATCTTTTGCCGCCATCATCTCCACCCCTTACACCACACCCATACCCACCCCTCCCTCACCAATCATTGACACAATGATGCCCCCAATTAATGCATCATTACATGTTATCATCTCCTTAACAATGCATTCGATTCATTCATTCATGAGAGTGAGACCGAGAGCAGCTTTTTATGAAATGGACTCCTCCGACCACCACCATTTATACAGACGGCACATAAATATACATTCCATCCTACCCCGGGCATAAAAAACCGAAAGTTCCCTTACCACTGGCATCCTTGATAAGTAGATTCTTAACGACCGGATTCCCCGTTGTCGTTGCCATGCTGCTTCAAGAGATGATAAGCGCCGAAATGACGACAGTATAACAACTTTTAAACGGGCCACAGTTTAATACCCGGCTGCAGGTTAAAACTCGAACTATTTACAGGGAGGAATTTGGGGTCGACAATTTTTTTATGCCGAGATGTTGACCTGACCGTGACGTGACGACGTAGGCGTCAAGGGACGACTTTGGCGAAAATCTTGTGGCGTGGTTGGTGACGACGGATCGTCGAGTCGTATCCAGTTTTGTGAGTGGTTTAGTATATTTCTTGGTCTTTTCTTTTCCTCGCTGACTGGCAAGCATACAACTAAACTAAGCTCGGAGAGTTTTGGCTTGGAAGGTGGGAAAAAGTTGGTTTTTTGCGCTAAAAGTCCGACACCATCTGCACAACCAGGATCCAACAACTCTTTGCCACCGAAGGACACAAACATAAGAGGAGGATTTTAGGACGGTGGCTAAGAGTGAGTTCAGATACGATGTGATGGGATGAAATTTTAAAAATTTTAAGAATATGAAAATTTTGGAATTTTGTTAAAAAAGGAAGTTTGTAATTTGCGGGAGTCAAATGGGGAAGCAAAGACAATTTTTTTAAGTAGTAAAGATAAAATGGGAAACGGTTAAAGAATCATTTTTGACTTGGGTATGCTCTTTAAGAAACAATATTATGATTATATGATGTAAATTTATCAAAATTTTATAGATTTATGTTTTGATTGAATAATTATCAAGGTTTTGATTAGAATTTAGTAGATTTGGGGTGTAATTTAGTAGAAATTTAATTTAGAATTGTAGATTATAGTCAAATTTCGGATTCTGGCGTTCAGAAATTACAAAACTGAGCTTTAGCAAGTCAGGTAAATCGTTACACTTGACTTATTCTCCATTCGGATTGATTTTGAATTAGTTTTTTAACGATGCATGATTTGCATGAAATTGATCTCGAGAACAAAGAGAAATCACGAAATGTCTGATTTATCCAAAATTTCACCTTTTTGTCCGACCATTTGTACAAGTCAGGTGATATTTCTGGTTCGAAAAGTGTAATCCTTAGATGTCACATCAATAATCCTTAGGCAGCGCAGTTGGCGCAATTTGAGAGTTAATTAATTATCGTCATTAAAGTAGAATCATAATATTTATAAGTTTTTAACCACGACAAACAGTAGGTGATGTAGGTTTAAAGTAAAGACGTATATTTACGAAACAAGTATTAAAAAATAACAACTTTGACGCATTCCAAAAACCACAAGTACAAAGTAAAGAACAAAAGTGATTTTTATTTTTGAGTGATTTTAATAAATGTTTGATTTGACACGTTTGCAAATAATTGCTGGGCTGCTGAAGGATGGGTTAGATGCGAGGGTTGGTGAGGGGGAGGGGTGGTAATGGGAGAAGGACAACAGTTAAGAAATGTGCAAGGGATTTAATAATAAGATTGGATTGAAGATAAAGAAATTTCAAGTTTAGGTCGATGGTGGTATTCAAATTGTGAATTACAAGTTGTGGCGACTTCAAGTCACATCTAGTCAGTAATAATCTAGTCAGTAAATAATTACCCAAGTTGTACAAAGTATAAGTGTCTACAATTGTGGAGAAAATACTGATCTGAAGTACACAATTTAGTAAGTAAGATTTCAGATGGGTTTGATTTTACTGCAGAATAATGACAACAATATTCAATAGTGTATATTATTGCAGATGTCAATTTGACATTTAATTTGTTCTTCTAGGTGCTGAGTGACTGATCTCATTGTACGCAATACAGTACCACACCCTGATAAGATAGATGTCTCATCGCCAAACAGGCCCACCTCCTCCTCCTCCTAAACACCAGTCCCCCAAACCAAGCAGTAACAATCACCATCATCACGGAAAAACTCGTGCTGGACCGAGCAATGGGGGACCCAACGCTACGACGACGACAGGAGGATCACCCTTGATCTCCAGTCCCACTCACAAGCAGAATGGTCGAATAGCAGTTGCCGCCCTACCATCGACGTCGTCGTCGTCATCATCATCAGCAACTTCTGGACCTTCTGTTACTCCTACTGCTGCTGCTGGTGCTGTTGGTGGGAAGAAAAGTCCCCTCTTGTCCAGCCTCGCCCAGAACAAACCTTCGACATCCAGTGCAAACTATAAGGACATGATGGCAGCGAAAACCTTACAGAGCCCGGCAGGCGTCGTGGGGGACGAGAACAACACTGTGGACGATGTCATCGATCCTGCTGGAGGGGAGGGTGTACCACAAGATGAAACCGCCACTTCGCCAGATCAATTTGAGGTGCTCTTTGGGTCAACGGATTCAGAGGATGACCAGTCTAGCAGTATTAGCATGATCCCGGATAATGTTCTCGAGAATTTGTTCACCTTTCTCGATCTTCCCGACATTGTGGCGGTTGGGTGCGTATGCACTTTGTGGAACAGGGTCATCAGCGATGAAAATGGGGACGTGTGGCGGAGTCTCTGTCTTCGCAGGATGGATAGGGAGACGCTAAATTCAGAAATGTTGGCAATGTGTCCGTCATACAAGACAAAGTTGAGGGCATTTTATCACGCGTGGAATCCACTCGATTGCTCGAGGAATATTTATGTTAAGCCGAACGGATTCACGATTCATAGGAATCCTGTCGCACAGAGTACAGATGGTGCCCGTGGAAAAATTGGTAACCAACAATAAATCTCAATAATAATATTGTGGGTGTAGTTGTTTGTTTGCAAAATATTGTAATATTGCTGTTTCTTAATTTAATTAGGGTTTTCCCATGGAAGACACGCTTGGGAAGTAAAATGGGAAGGACCGCTCGGAACTGTGGCCGTTCTTGGGGTAGCTACTCACGACGCAGACTTGAGGATGCAGGGTTATATTGCTCTCTTGGGGAAGGATGAGAGATCGTGGGGTTGGAACCTTGTTGAGAACGTTCTTCTCCATAATGGCGACTCGCAGGGGAATTATCCTCTCGTTAATAATGCGCCACGCTATCAGGTAAACTCAATCAATCGCTGGGTCAATTTGTCGTGGGTCAATGTGACTGGGTCAATTTGACGCGTCACCAACTCAATCACTTAATTTTTGTTGAAAGATTGTCTAATTGAATTGACTGTTGATTTAGGTGGGTGAGAAAATACGTGTCATCTTAGACTGTGAGGACAACACGTTATCATTTGAGAAAAATGATGAATTTCTTGGCGTCGCTTTTCGGGGGTTACCTCAGCACGAACTTCTATTCCCTGCAGTGTCTGCGGTGTACGGGAACTCGGAAATATCCATGATCTATCTGGGACCTCCGCTTGACGGATAGAAACATAAATCTTACTGCCACCGGTTTGAATTGGACATCGCATTTCGATAAAACACATAATCCCCTTTCCCTCTATCCCCCTATTCAATTTCACTCTCAGACAGAATCAGATCAGGCATATGTGTATGATGTCTCAGTTACAAAAACAAACAAATCGTCGTCATTTTCCACCGTTTTAGTACTTAAAACTATGCAGTACAAGTGATGGATGATTCAAAAACATAATGTCAGTCAACTCAGTCGCTGTAAAAATTAAGAATTCCATTCTTCTAGTCGTTGTTGAACTTGTCAATCGTGCTATTCCAGATTAACACTGATTAATTAATATATTACTATCCTGCGATGATCTCACTCATGCTATATATTGAACCAAATATAAAATTCCACCAACCCAAGAATGAAAACGAATAGAGAAAACTCTTGCACTCTCTCTCCATAAAATTTTAAAAGCTGCAGAAGCTATAAATATTGTGTACCAAATCAAACCCAAATCCATTCCATTTTAATAAGTGTTGCATAATTACTAATATTTTATCACGACAATGAATGAATTGACTAAAGCTAAGATAAAGAGATGCAGAAGGGACTTATCACTCGTATAGGAAAGGAAACTCATTTGAAAATTATGTCGATCTCAAGTTGAATCTCAATATTGTTGTGCTCGTAGTTTCGTAAAAAATTAAATTATTACTTATCTTGCTTGCACTGCAAGTAATCATCATACTTCAGCTTCCATTATGACTCCTCCTCCCCCAAAAGAGAGACGATCCCCATGAGCATGAGTAAATTTTAGAAAAATTGTAACAAATCTAGTCGTCAGTGATAAATGTACACCTCTAACTATGTAATAATCTATCCTCCTAATAATCCTATAATTACAATTGTCGTGCTGCCGTACCGTTTATATAGTTGTTGTTGCTGAAAAATACATGCACTCGAAAGGAAATGAAGAATATGAAATAGAAAAGAAAAATGAATCGGTAAAAATAAGATGAAAAACATAGAAGTCGGTTTTAAAAAAGGTCACGCAAATAATGATGCAATGAAAAATCAATGAAAAACGAAACGAAAATGACACGAGTTTAGCTTTTAGAAACACAAGTGGAGCTTTGGACTGCAATTTAATCAATGTTTAAAATACTTAATATTCGTATTAAATTTAAACAAAATAATCTCGGTATGTTTAAAATATTATGATTGTTTATTTATTCATTATGATTACGGCGAACATTTATTGTGATATTTGAAAGCTTGGTTGGTTTAATCAAATAAAGATTTTTTTGATCGATGGCTTAGAAAACATGCAAAAATCTGCCTTGACCATCACACTTTTTAAGCTGTATTAAATTTCATAATGTAGCAAAGTAATCTAACCAGGAGATTCTTATTTAGTGCGAATAATCTCTTGCCAACCAACAATTGCATAATTTCTGTAAGACTTGAATCATCGAGATGAGTTGGAACTTGAGGAAAAGGATGCAAGTTTTGATCTTGATCTTGAACTTGGTTTCATGTAATTGCTATGCTCACTCTGCATCAAGTATCCTATAGTGATCTTTACTTACGCAAGTAACAAAAAGTTAGAGAACCACTTGTTTTTCATAGCATCATCAACATCACGCCATGCATTATAACTCATCTTCAACCTAAAACGGGACCAGATCTCCCAAAATTCTCAACCTGGCCTGCTGATGGTTTTCCTGGTTTGACTCGTGCTTACAGATTCCCTAAACCATAAATATCGGACAGAGGCACGAAATATTTTTATAAAATTAGAACATTACAATGGTGGATGTAAATAGTAATAAGAATGGTGGGGTCAAGGAAGCCATGGATCAAGCTTTCTCCACTCTGCAAACAATTTTTAGCTATTTCCTACTTCCGGTTGCATTGCCGTTCGTCTTCTTTCAGGAATGTTTAACTTGGTTTAGAGAGAAAGTTGGGCTTAATAAACGCAGTATGGAAGGAAAGGTATGTAAAACTTGGATTTCATGTAATACAAGGAAAAATTGAAAAATATGGTGAAAGTTAAAGAAAAAACATTTATATTTCAGGTTGTGCTCATAACAGGAGCAAGTTCCGGTACACAAATAAAAAACAGATCGCATAAAATATGGGAATTTGAGACACATTGTTGTAATTTATACCATTTCGAAATGCAGGAATTGGAGAAACTTTAGCTCACAATTTTTACAATTTGGGATGCCGACTAATTTTGGCGTCAAGAAGGAGAGAAGAACTTGAAAGGGTGAAAGATGACCTCGTTCGTCAAAAGTCGGTTGGTTAAAAATATGCATAAATAACACAAAATAGTGATATTTATTATTTTGCGATGCATATAATTAATTACGTATGTGTTTCTAGACCGGATGCAGAGTCTACGTCCCGGCAGTGTTGGAAATGGACCTCGGTGAAATTAAAGCCATTCCTGCCAAGGCGAAAGCTGCTCTCGCAATTTATGAACGGATCGACATTCTCGTCAACAATGCTGGGATTCTGCATACCGGAAATGTGCTAGCTACTGATATCGAGGTGGATAAGAAGATCATGGATGTAAACTATTTCGGAACACTTTCACTCACAAAAGGTGCACAAACAAGTTACTAAATCGACGTTTTCCTGATCATGAATGGGAATTTGTAAAATAATAAAACACTATTTTTTCTCCCTAGTTGTCGCCAATAGCATGAAGGAGAAGAAATCCGGTCACATAGTTTTCATGAGCAGTGTTTCCGGCAAGATTGCAACCCCACACAGGTGCATTCATCATCTAAAATTGTCAAATTAATTATGTTTCCTAAATATTTTTACTTCTTAATTTCTCCCCAGTTCGGCTTACTGTGCGTCGAAACACGCCATGCAAGCTCTCGCCGACAGCCTTCGTGCAGAAGTTGCCGATGACGGGATCGAAGTGACCTCGATCTGTCCAGGTTACGTCAAAACCAACATTTCCGTAAATGCCTTGACCGGATCAGGCTCAACTTTTGGACGAACCTCGAAAAACATTGCGACCGGACTTTCTCCTCAAGTTGTTTGTGATCGGGTGGTGAAAGCGGTCCAAAACGGAGAGAAGGATCTCGTCATTTCTCCCTGGATTCCAAAGATTGCTATATTTCTGCGATATCTGACCCCGAATTTGTTCTTTTACTTGATGCGAAGAATGGCTAGAGCTTACAATAAAAGAGATAAGGATGAAAATTCGTCCAAACAGTAAAACAAAAACTTTCCACTAATGTAAGGTACCTTACATTATAACATAACATTGTCACTTGTCACAAAAATGCAACGAAACCAAAAACTCTTGTTTAATGCAATTATTATATTAGGAATGGCGTATAATTAACTGTTTAATAAACTAAAATCATTTACTATTTGAAGTTACTTTTAGTTATACTTTCACTTACTTTCACCATCTTTCATTATTCATTAAAATACATTGATAACCAATTTTGCGAACATTTTGTAGCATGAAATAATAACTTTACTAAAGTGCAGACTTTTGGCAATTCGTGCACTTCGTTCTTATCTAACGAACGATAAGCACAAATCAACGGCCAAACAAGGAAAACTGCGAGGACGGGAAAATGAGACGAGTCGAGTCGAGTCGCGAGAGAGACTAAATTTTGGTGAAAGACGTGCTCATTATGTTGATGCGGGCATAAGAGTGGAGTATAAAACATGGCAAACAACTTTTTATAAATTTCTTTCAAGTCGAAAAAACAAATAAAGAAAATAATGTCTTCATTTTGAAATTTAATTTTTCGACTCTATATTTAGTACTTGTGTGAAAGAAATTTAGCGATAAGTCGGTGGTAAGTTGGTTATCTCAATTTGTCCTTGTACTTTTTTGTGAGGAGGGGTTTAAGTGCAGAATATTTAATTTATAATGGTTTTGTTTGATTACTTGTTGAAGTTCTATAGAACAGAATATTGATTTGCTGATTAATTATGTATGTATAGGATAACATTTGCTCGGAGGAAGGCTTTATACTAAATAATCGATTTGACTGACCGAGAAAGATCATCTCGAACTTTGACCCGTTTCTCTTTACCTTTGGGAGGATCTTTTTCAAAATGGAGCCCATTATTTGTGAATATTTATAGGTATAATTTAATTAAAAATGTAGCTATTATTAAAGTAATGTAATTTGTGGTGTATTTTTTCGTTTTTTAACTATATATTTGAATATTTAGGTTAAAACTGTAAAGATGAACAACCGATCTCCCTTCATTCCCAATATCCCCACCCCCCAAGGTCACTGGAGTGACCCCCAACTCTTCGGTAACCCTAACCCGTCGTCATCATCATCGTCAAATCAATCGAACGGACAACAAGTCCCATTCACAGCTCATCAGCAAATGCAGCTTTCCTCATCATCTTCATCGTCATCTCACCAACACCATCAATCTTCGTCACAGCCACAATTTTACAATTTTATTAATACGACCTCCCCGTCGGCAATGAATACACCGGGCAGTATTTTCACCTCGGACCCTTGGGCTACAGCGAATCTAAATGTGACCTCCCTCTCAAACCAGGTCAACTATTCCTACCATCAACTCAATCAACAAGCCAACAACTATCAGCAACAGTTGCAACAACAACAGGTCCAAGTTATGCAAAATATTGTGAATCAGACACCACGAGGGATGCAATTGACCCTTGATACGCCACATTTTGTTCACTTTCCCGTAAATCTGTCGCCTCCGGGAGGATTATTTTCGACCGGGCAGACGAATAATAGTAACAACTCTCAGCGGAGTAGCTCGAGTGGGTCTTCGAGGCCAAGTAATATATTTCATGGCGAGAGTCCCCCACCATCTCCAGGATTGGATTCCAGATCCATGGAGTCGATTTATGCTAATCAGCAAACAGTTTCAAGATCATCTACTGGTGGAAGTAGCAGCAATAATAATCACCACCAGACTTCGAACATGATGAATGCAACGTATCTGCCCTTTTTAAACTTAAACTCACGCCTCCCATCCATGCCCTACCCGTCCTCGACATCCCCGGCGGCATCCCCATCTCCTTCATCAAACATGTCCCCCTATTCCGGAGGATCTTCTTCCCCCAGCCCAACGCCACAGTTGCAACAAATTAATTCCATCTCTTCTGGAAATATGGGAAGGTCACAACAGACTGGCCAGCAACAGCAACAATCGTCGTCATCATTTCATTCAAGTGGTGGAAATAATACGTCAACTTTCAATCAGACCTCACCTGGAAGTAGTGGTGGCGGTGGAGGCGGCGGTGGTGGACGGATAAGTAATAGTTCCAGATTGCCACAAAATTCTCCATCACCCGCACCCTCCCCTCTCCCTTCAATGATAATTGGTGGACACCAATATTTTAGCTCGTCGCGAACCCCACAAGCCCCACAACTCCACCAACTTCAAACTCCACCAGCGGCTCATATGTTGTCCAGACAAGTAATACCCACGCCTGGAGCGTACGTTCCCCTTCCTTCGCCAAATTCACGATCCCCTGTTCACCATCAGCAACAGCAACAGCAACAACACGCTCAACAAAATATTCATTCTCATCACCAACAACAAATTGGAAATCAAATCCAACAGCAGCCAAAGGCACAAAGCCCACCTCCACCAAAGCCCAAGAAACCACGCGCCCCGAGAAAAAAGAAGGAACCACCAAAGAAACCTCTCGCGATACCAGGAAGCACAATCCCTCCACCTGCATCCTCTCCCATGATGGCGAGTCACCTCAGCATGCCAAACTTGACTAACTCTTGGGGACATGTGTTGGATCTCCCTCCCTTTCCGGCACATTTGGCCGCCTTAGCTCAACACCAACAGCAGCAGCACCAAAAACATCAAGCTGCTTCGCGAATGATGACTCCAACTCCTAATAATATGAGGCAAAATTTAGGTCAATCTGGGAACTATGTACCGATTCAACAGCAGCAACAGCAGCAGCAACAACAACAACAGCAGCAGCAGCAACAACAACCTCCTCCTCCTCAGCAGCCTCCTCCTGTGATGAACATTAGATTTACTCCACCCATCGGAGAATATCCGAAACCACCGAATTCTACGAGCTTGCCACAATCCGTTATACGAACCACGTCCGTGATACATCAGACTCAGCCTAGTTTTGTCTCGTCAGCAGCGCACCGTCAATCTACTCCGGTCACAGTGACGGCTTCACCACAAAGAGCGCCTCAGCGAAGAACGTCATCACAGCCTCAAGCTAAAAATGTCCCCACCACCACCACCCTTACTGCCAGTACTGCTGTCAGTAATACTACGACTACGTCAGCAGCCTCGAAACAATTGTCTATGTTGGACTATGCGATGGAGAAAGCGGGCATCCCCTCCAGTGTGAATCAGATCAAGGCGGAACTATTTAGTGGAGAGGAGGACGCCGAAATTATGCGACTCGTCAGCGAGTTACCCGATCAGGCGGGTAGTGAAGCTGGTATCCGCCCCAGCGGAGATTTTGATCTCGAATCGGAACTGAATCGCTTCTACAGTCCACCATCGCCAGGGAAAGATCAAGCGAATAAGTCAATTTCTGTGACATCAGCGACGCCCACTACTGGGACAGCTAGTCAAACTAAAACTACAACAACTACTACAACGACGACGACTACGAGTCAGTCATCTACGAGTAGTTCAGCCAAGCCAGCAACAAAACCACCCCAGTTTTCTGACGATGACGACTGCGAAGTCATCCTTGTAATGCTGAATAATAAGAAGAGGAAGCCGCCTCCTCAAAGGAGGCCACCCCCTAACAAAAGAGCAGTTGCTGGTCAAGGACCTCGTGGCCAAGCTCCTCTCCCTGGTCGACCAAACGTTACAGTGGCCGTGTCCCCAAATACAAATGCGTTACGACATGCTGCCCCCAACACTCGAAGAAATGCTGCAGCACAGGAACCCAAAGGAAAAGATCCCATGGTGCGAGCTGCATATCCCAATGGCAGAGTTGTTGCTGTAGCTCCAAAAACTACGGTGTTAATTCCACCCCTTCGTCGAGGAGGAAATGCGAATGCAGACAAAAAGCCCAACACAAAGACTACTGCACGCAAGAGTACGGCACCAATCCCACAACCTCGTAGTGGGCCTGCTCCTCCTCCAATTGTTGTTGCTACCGGGAAGCGTGGTGCTCCAAGCACGAATAGTAGACAACGCTCGAAACGGGGCCTGGACGAGTTTGAAATCTACCCCATTAGTGATCCAGAACCGGAAAAGAAATTGACCCGACAAGCAGCAAGGGCCCTTCTTGAACGGGGAATCAAACAGGAATTAGACAGTTTAACCCTAAACTCACCAACGACCAGCTCATCTTCTGCCCAGTCCGTGACAAAACGTAAATCTTCAACGGATAAGCCACCCATAAAGATGAAGTTGAATTTGAAAGATGGCACAGCGAAAAATGTGACTGCTTCATCTCCATCTTCATCTCCTCCAAAGCGCCCTGGCCCCAAGAGCAAGACAAAAGCAGCTGCTGTACCGCAAGCACAGAGTAAAACCAACCCAGACGAAGATGACTTGGTAATATTAGACGAATTTCTTGCTGATTCGGACGACTCATACGATCCTGACGGGGAGCGAGATGAAGCGTCTTCAGAAAGTGATACTGAACCTGAACACGATGACGATGATGATGACGCACCCGTGACGCGAAAAAAGCGATCAAGCCCAGCCAAACGGTTGAAAGGTATTGACCTAGACGAGGAAGAGACGCCAATATCAAAATCAGTGGAAAAAGTAGTCAGCAAAGAGGATGATGGAGCTCTGCCCATTCCTCCACCGCATGACGAAGACGATAACGAAATGATCTCTGCCCCATTCGATGATGGCTATGATTCTCCTACCAGTTCCTTCTCACCGCCATCCCCTCCATTCAAAAACATTGTGTTGGAACCGGAAATGGATATTCAAGAAAAAATATCACAGCCTCCTCCCTCCTTCACCGAGACTGAAATATCAGACCAAAACTCCTCAAATCCTGTCAATGATCACGAGTCAAGTGATGAGGACGGCGACGACGACGATGACTCGACCGTTGCCACCCCCAAGTTTGAGATGCCCAAACCCGCAGTGATTCTCAAGGGGACGAAGGAGGACGCAGACAAAGCTGTGAATAACATGAGAGAAACGCTGGCCCAACTTACGAAGTTTAAGCTGCCATTTTTTGGTAGATAAATGGAAAGTATTTCAATTAAATATACAATTCAATTATGTATACCTTCTTTTTAGTTAACCTTGTGCCTGCTAATTAATACTATAAAATACAAATCTAGTTAATCTGTGGCACTATTTGATATGAATAATTCTAAGAATTATTATACTTATAATCCAGCCCAGAAGGATATTCATATTTATATATATGATGTTATGAATTGCTTTTAAAATTTTGATTATTTTATTTTTTATTGAAGGAACCACAAAATGCGTTTGTGTATATTCATGAGTTATATTTTTTGTTCATCTATCAAAATGGTGATTATATAAAAATGTATCGTGTGTGAGTGAACATTAAATATCGCCATTTATTAAATATGAGAGTACCTCAAACACGCTATTGTTGTGTACCATGTAAGTTTTACCTTGTCTGTTGACAGTTTTAAAATACTTAGTTCTAGTATTAAATAATCATGAAGGTTAAGTTTATGCTATATTGTTGTACAAAAATTGTTGATATTCGTTACATGTAAATAAACTGATCAATCATCACAAACACAAGTTGTGTTCTTTTATATTTTTTATTATTTTTACTTAAAGGAACAATTCTAAAATAAATTATCGTAAGAAATTAGCCCCATCAAACCAACTAAAGGACTAATAATAAAACAAAAGAACTGCCAAAAATATTCAACCTCACACAAACAAGCCTAACATTGCATGAACATTAAATATTCGGATTTTAAAAAGATTTAAATAATTCTTCAGCTTTTCTGACGAGTTTTAACTTTGTAAATTCAGTACATAACTATGTAATAACTGTTAATGACTAAATGAAGCTGAAGAATGAATCGCATATCACAAATGTATGTATTCCAGACTCGATCATACTAATATTAAATACACTGTGTGTGTGGGGACCAATTCTTGAAACGACAAAAGGCACTCATCATGTCGTCAATCATTTTTCAAGTATCTAGTTTGCATAATGTAAGATTGTTGAGAAAATTAAATCGAGTCAGGCGGCGGATCAAGATTGTTCATTTGTTCAATTAGCTATTAGAATTAACAATTAATCAATAAGAAACCCATCTTCAGTTCATATCATGGCAATATTTTATGAGCTACGAACTGTATACGAACTTTGAGAGAGAATAACCAGTAAACATTTTTTTATAATCAAAACCTATTAATCTAGTATAAATATTATGCGATCGATACCTACGTACAAACATCCGAATTGAGATAACGTCATACTTATCATATTATTATTTAAACCATTGTAAACAGGTAATTACATCATTCTTGCACATTTTTTTAAAACTTGAATAAAGTCGAAACCCAGAAGAGAAGTCTTAAGTCCGCGTGATCGTATCAATTTGTTTGGTCAATAATGGTGGTGAATGTATATAAATTGTGATTGTTGTTGGTATCACCACATTAATTGGAGTTGGTTAATTTAAACGCTTTGATAGCCTCGAGACCTGGAGCGGCGTCTTCCAATGAGATAAGCAATTAGGACAATCACCACCAGTCCAGCAAGAGCAGCTCCTGTACAGGAAAGTTAACAAGAGATTCAGAATATTTTCACAAATTAGGATTGTAAATGTAAAATTGACATTGACTAACAACTTACCCACAGCGATGGGGACAACGTCAGAAGCATCATCAGCAGGGCAGTCGATTGCTATAAATTAAAGAATAAAAAATTATGTATATGTACATATTGCATACCTAGATTAAAGTTAAAGGCAATTGTGTAATGTATATAGTTATAACATTTCACTTGGGTTAGAAATAAAGTATTTCCAACGACAGGATACACAATGTTTAATATTATAATTTATAAACTCGTGTGTTTAAAGCTGGACTATTTAATTTTCCCTTCATTTAAATAAACCATAATAGCAATTGAATTTTATATGCTTATTCTGGTGCGTTGAGAGGGAGCGTGCAGTTTCACAGACTCATAATTACTGCCATACTACATAAATAATTAAATCAATTACATGGGTTGAAGTTTGTGTCATTCTTTCCGGTTTTCCTGAAAGCATCCAGCCTCATGTCAGTCAATTTGAGGGTGACAAATCCATCTTCGGACTTTAGTGTTTCTTGCTGCAGACAAGAGTACGAGTGGTTGAATGGTGTTTGGAAAGCAGCCTTATCCAAGATGTTAAATGTAAAGTCTTTATCTGTAATACACAAAATGAGGACACATTTACATGCATTATTGATTTAGCGATAACGCAGAATTATGGAATTCTGTCGTCTGAGCTTGAGCACGAGTCTCAAAGATTTATGCTATAGTCTTCTACACAAGTTGAATATTTCCATCGACAGGATACACATATCAAATATTAATTTAATCATGAGTTTGAGATGGAATTTCATAATTGATCTCCCCATTTGTAAATAAAACCAACTCAATCAACAGAACATGAAAGAATTGGGCGTTGAATGGGGTTGATTAATACCTAATTCTTTTTAAAATTATTGCTTACTTGGGTTGGTGGCGTTCACAAAAACTGCTGGATCCTTGTACAAAGTTCCGGTGACGTTTTGAAGGGCATATTTTCCAGCGCTAATTCCATCCGTGGTGATCGATGCAGTTTCATTCTTTTCAAAAGTGAACTCAACAGAATTTGTGTGATTGGTAACAACAGTCCATGTCAGTTTAATAACACCCAGGGAACAATTGCCAGAAACAGTGACGCCTTTAATAGGAATATCTACATTGGCTGTTCGATTCTGTAAAAGTATTAATAGAATAGGTGATAGTTCATAAGTTGTAAGTGTTGATGGTAAATGTATCAAGTCTAATGTACGAAATAATGATTACCTTTTTCTCAACGTCAAGATAAGTAATGCTAACTTCGATGGCACCCTTGATTATGATACAAGTCTCATTGTTCGCATTTTCCAAGGTCCATTTACCATCATTTCCTGGGTATTTTGGGGCTGGGGCTGGCTTAGCGGTTGTCGTGGTAGGAGCAGGGGCTGGTGTTGTTGGCGGCGTTGTCGGTGCTGGCGTCGTTGTTGTAGGTTTGACAGTTGTAGTTTCTGGAGGGTCTTGCTGTGCGGAGACTCCGAAAAGTAAAACTACACAAAGAAAAAGATAATCAATAATACAAGAAGCAAATAAATCAATTTCTCATATCAACAATTCTTACCAGAAACTCCCACAATTAGAAGGGCGCTTCTTAATGAGCTCAGCATTTTGAAAAGTAAAAATCCAAGGACCAAACTGTTTTCTTTTTCCACAAAACAATGATCTATTGGAGAAGAAACGACATAATAAAAATAATTTAGCTTGAAATCTTGAATAATAAATAATTTAAAGTAGAACGCCCCTTTATATATTAATTATTCTAATGTGTGACGCATCACATTTAGATTTCTTTATAGGTTTCTATTATCAAGAAGTAAAAGTGAGTCCAGACGATGGTCTAATAGTCTAGAAGTGCGGTGGGTGGATTCCTTTCGAGTTTAATCTCTTAACCCCTAATGACTAACAGAGAAAGGAATGCTATATCGCCATTACAGAAATATAGATGAGTCACACGGTTAACTCTCATGGACGGGTACATGCAATTTCCTTCAAGAAAGGATAAGAAACTGTTTCCATCGACAGGATACACGTTATCAAATTTGTTTTTTTGATCATGCGTTTGAGATGGAATTTCATAATTTATTTCCCCATTGGTAAATAAAACCAACTCAATCAACAGAATATGATAGAATTGGGCGTTGAATGGGGTTTATTGAAGGCACAATACCATGCAAAATAGCAGGCTTAACTAAAACGTCATGTAATCAATTTTTGCAACCTATGGCTTGACTGATCATTTGCAATATCTTTATCTACTAAACTAATAATTTCTATTAAACTTGCAAGATCGACAAAATAATAGAAGGAAGACATGACTAATGTGATGCATAAAATATGATATTAATTGTATTAATAGAGTGGAGTTACTCATCATATTCACCCAAAATTGCATAGATGGGAGTTAATAATTCTAATTTAAGAAAAAAACAACGCAAATCATGTAATGTAACCAACCACCACCAATTCCAGTCGAGCCAAGCCAAAACGATACTCCTGCTGCTATAACTATAACGTTTTATACCGTACTTTTCCAATTGTGTAATGTAATGTGGTACTATGCACGACTTGTAAGAGTGAACAAACGAGTTTCGGTGTTATATATAGTTTTTTCTTTGATTAATCGATGATCTCGATCTCAATCGACGAACTTTCTTTGCTAAAAATATCAATAGTTACAAAAATCACGCTATCTAATGTACAGACACTACCTTCCAAATTTAGAAATATAATATGTGAACAAGCTAAAAAAGATACGTGACAAGGGACAATGCAGTATGAGCCAATTAATTTAATTTCCAAAATTAAAATGAAGCCCTCTCTTACCAATTAGTTTCCTCGTTCGCAGAGCCCAGCTGCTACAATTTATTGATTGCGTAAGTAATACTTGACTGGACAAGATGCGGATTTAATTGGATATTAAATCTGAGTGACAATATCTTCGTATTTAACTTTTCTAACTGCAATGTCGCTGGTTTGCGAGATGGAGCATGAATAAGTGAACTTTGAAGTGAATGATGGAGAAGGAAGGAAGGCAAAGCAATGTAAAGTTAGCTGTTGTGCTATGGTTGTGCTAAGGAGCCTATTCTGTTGTCGCGCAAAACAAAACTCGCACGGGTAAGGATCCATCACATAATGTGTGACGAACAAAATATGTTATTTTACATAGAAAAATATTAAATGTATGTGTTGTGAAACTCGTTAATTTTGTTGAGAATTATATTCCAGGTTAAATACGGCAACAAAATTGATGGGAGCTATTTTGTGTACTATTTGATACGAAAAATTGTGAAACGCCCATTTCCATCTCCTCGTAAGCTGGGAGGACAATTTAACATGATCAGTATTGACTAAACATTGTGTGTAAACGCTGTAACCATAAAATTATCCCTGGAAGCCGTATTATTTAACACGGGCGATCAGACTAAATAAATGTTGGTGGATGGAATTATGTTGATTAATTATGTTTGCATGTAGCTAATATAATCTACAAAATATACATACATTTTAATTGGCTTGCTACTGCTATGCCCGTAAATAATAAGTAGAACAATTGTAATGCAACGACCACCATCATCCAGTCAGTCCATTCTATTACCTAACAGATGAATTATTATTCTATTCTACCCAAAATTACTTGTAAAGTTGGACAGAAATTTTGCATTCATCTCAATCCACCCCTGTAAATACAGCATGCATTGCATAATTAATGTCAACTCCAGTCAACTCAGAGTCACATGACAGGAATAGACAGACAAAGAAGTGTTATTATGTTGTTGTTATAATACGGGTTGGGTTGTTGGCAAGGGCGAAGTGACGAATCTCCTCGACGACCAGATGCAAAATTTGCTACTCCCGCTTCCACGTAATGGACAAGGTTGCTCGAAAACGTTGCGGGCTCTTGCATCAAAATCGGGCAAAATGTATGAAAACTTGTATCAATTCAGTATCACTCTAAAGTACAATTTCATGATAAAACTTGTATTAACGAGTTAAGTTAATGCATGTAAATCTAAACCTAATCAGCATTATCTATTTCTTTGCAAGTAACCAATGTTGGCAAATACTATTTTATCCTCAATTAATACCTTGATTTTGTAATTATTTTGTTAATCAGTTTGATAATTAATGAATTGAAGTTTGATACAAAAACAGAGAAAAAAATCAAGAAATTGATGCAGGTTCCCCGTTGCCAGTGGGGCAGTGTGACTGTTTTTTGTGTGGAGTTTTCTAATGTGGAGGGCACGCTTAACGCTTTTCTATGCTCAGTAAATGCGAGCTCTATGATGATGAGTTACATCATACAATACACACACACAGACAAACTCTTGTACTTCATCTTTCATCTTCTCTCTCTCTCTCTTCTCCTGTTCAATCTCATCAATCAAGTTTTGAAAATAAATCAAATTTAATTATCAATTATTCACCATAATGGAGAGGAAAGGACCGAGTTTAACACTGTTCCCTCTCCCACGTTGGTAAGAGAAAGGTTGTCAACTTTGATTGCAAAGTTTGTTCGAGACGAGTGACGAGGGAAAGCTTTTCTTTTTGGAAATTAATAAAATAAACAATCAGAAATTGAGTAAGTTGGTCAATTAGCTACATTGCCGACAACAAACAAGGTGGTTTAACGACATGGTGGAAATTGGAGGGCGACGATGGGAAGACGGGTAAGAAAATTGAAGAGTTTGATAATTGGTCGTTTTTTAGTGGTACTTAGATATTTATTGTGTATTGAGGATTGAGAACTGAACCGATTCAAACTTATTTATTAGGGTGTATAGTGTATAGAATTTTAATGATTGCAAAACTATTGTTTCTTTGATTTCAGTTGATGAACACAACGTCAAACCTCGTCCAGGAATAGTTAATTTGTAAATAAATTGAAGAAAAGCCACATTCTTTAAATAGAAGTAAAAAGAGAGTTCAATCAATCCGGACAGAATCGTCTATATTGAAGGTGTATCATCATTTTGACGGATGTTAAAACAAATAAAGACCAACAACCTGGTCAAAATCGTAGTCGATGAGAAAAAAATGGAGGGAAGCACTAGAGTCAATAATAAGGCGAACAATGTACAGCCGCAACAAGATAATGGATCAAACAAGTGGGTTAATAATAATATATTAAGCAAAAATTAAGTAAATCTAAACAAAAATGAAATCGTTGCAGGGTTTTATCTGTCGGGGATAGAGTTGAAGCAATTTGGAGCTCGGACGGACAGAAATATCCAGGACGAATTGTCCACGCGTTTCCAAATGGTACTGACTAAAAATATCTAGTTAATATTAATTTCAAGTTCACAATTTTCTAAATTTTGTATAAAATTACTTGTAGATTCATATGAAGTGCTATTCGACGATGGAGTCAAGTCACGTAGAAAAAATTATCAAATTTTTAAACTCAACTCTTCATCTCAACCCCAAACGACAGATTCTCCTCTTCCACCTCCACCCCCTCTCCTACCAAAAGGTCGGCAGACTCGATTTGTTGGAAGAAATAATGCGGCACATAACAAAACGACGCCAGTCAAATCATCTCTATCAAGGCAATCTTCCACAACTTCAGTGATTCCTCCACCTCCCCCACTCCGGCTTGGAATTGTTAATTCAAATAAGAACAGCATAGAATTGATAGAATCATTAAAAGAAGATGAAACCTCATCTCCAACTGATGTAACGTTATCAGGATCCAATTCCTCTCCCTCTACTACCACCAACACGACAAGCACGGCCCCAGCCCTCACCACAAAATCCTCTGTGTCATCAAAAGCTAAAATAAAACACGGAGCGACGGGGAGACCACCCACATTGATACCCAAGCCGGCCAAACCTTCCAACGCGAATTCCTCTCCTAAAAATGAAAGTCCTCTCAAGAGGAATAAAGTCACGAGTGCTGGTGATGATAATGCCAGCATGTTATTATCATCTATAAATTCAACTACGACGATTGACGACGGCGTGGGCAATGAAGTTGTTTTAATCAATACCAACGGAAATGCAAGTACTAGTAGTAGTCCTTTAACTATCACTACAAACCGTAACAGTGATGAAAGTCTTGTTAATAGTGATGCTAAAAGTTTAGAACATATTGCACATTCTTTAAATTCTCCATCATCCACTGATTCTAATTCAAGTACAAAGAAAGGATTCGTATATGTTCAACAACCCCACTATTCAGTCTTTGACCCACCCCCTGTCGACCTGGGGAAGCGGCAAAGGAGGGTCCACAACTATTCCATGCTGGCAAAAGGTCCTTCATTGAAGAAAGGATTTGCTACGAATGGACTGGAAGAATTGATTGATGGAGAATTTATTACCCCAACTTCGACTCCCTCCTCCTCCAAGCCAAACTCTAGAAGTTCTTCGCCTAGTATCTTTATCTCTTCGTCGTTAATTAATAATGTTAATTGTACCGCAACCTCAACATCACCACTACTTCCTGGAGCAACGCCAACAGCAACTGGTACCAAAGGCACATTGTTCTCTACCAAGCAATCAGTTGCACCACATGTCAAAGTATCCTCATTACCAACCCCTGAAGGAGGCTCCCGATTCGTGAGAAAGAGACGCTTTCTTAAATCTCCCACAAAGTCGACAGATAAATCACCAGTTCCTAAAAGTGACAGCAGTTTTGATTTGTCAAACTTGAATCCTTTTGATGACACAGATACTTTATTAATTGGAAGTAGTGAAACAGCAGCAACAACGACATCACCGACAACACTCAATTGTGAAAGTGTAGCACCACCTCCTGCTGAAGCTGAAAAAACTACTCTGACGACATCCGCGACGACCCCAAACGCACCATCACCAACGACGCCAAATATTGTAGAATCTTCTGATACGACTACCCCACCCGTTATTAAGAGGAGGAGGAGGAGGAATTTACATTTGATCAGTACACCAGAATTCCTAACTCCGCTACCACCATCGGCGGGAGACTCGGACGGAGATGCAGTTCCATCGAAGCGATTGAGGAAGCCTTCCTTTAGATTTAGCGCAGAGGAAGGATATGTCAATGTTTTCGCGCAACAAAGAAGAACAAGACGATCGGTATGCTATAAAATTACAATAATTAAGATGCATTTTTCCTTAGTTGTCAAAGTTAATGTTTGGCTTCATATTTCAAAAATGATTTGATGTTGCAGTCGCCATTATCTACGACGCCACTAAAAACGAAAGTCGATGAAACTGCTACTAAAGAGAAATCCCCCGCACCTCAAACCCCAACAGCACCATCACCAACATCTTCAACTACCTCGCTTTCAAAATCTCACGGAAGAAAATCCAGAAAAGGGCTTGGCCATCCTGAACCTTCACCTGCTTCCTTACTACCTCTTCCTCCTCCCATAGTTGATGCTGCAAAATCCAGCAGGAGTCCGAAAAAGGTGTCACAAAAACAAGACGAAATCTCAGAAGAGGAAGAACTTTTAGATATTGGAGAGTACACGATCCCACAATCTTCTCCATCGCCATCCAAACAACAACGGGTAAACAGCAAGTCGCCAACTAAAAGACCTACCAGGCACACGGCCTCTCCAACATTATCGGATAAAATAGTGCCATCAGAACTCCGTGTTGAATCTCCTTTGACAGCAGAAACAAAATCCACGGCCGACACTAGTACCACCGAAACCTTGAATAATAATCTAGTCCATTCTCCTCCTCCTCGACCATTAAGACAAACTTCTAGGGGACGGATAGTGAGACCGGTAAGTAAAATGTCTTGATGGTAGAAATGTGCACACACATACAATAAAATTAAACTAATATGTATTTTCACTGTTTCAGCCTCCTCTGAAATCGGACACTGCTGTCAAAGAAGCCTCCGTCGTACTCGACCGTCTCCAGGCTATTCCAAAAGTTCAAATTCTCGTTGAAAAATGTGATAGTGCGATTCCAGCAAACCAGTCCAGCATTGGGAAGAAACTTGGGGAGAAGCCAGCATCCATTAATTCTTCCTCCTCCTCTTTTCGTAAACTACAAGACAATGACGATGACATTGTTGTTGTTGATATTGATGACGGAAGGGAAGCTGACATTCCTCGTTCAACAACTTCAAAGTTCGCTCGTAGTAGGAAATGGAAAAACAAGAAACGTTGGACCAAGGGACGTGGGCTTCTTCCTGGTATCAGGTCAGGAATGAGAGTAAGTGATTCACATGCGATGCATCTGCTCAAGAGGTCACGACTGCAGAGAAGATTTGATAACCGGGGACGTCCAAAGATCGTTTTACTCAAAGGAATTACAAAGAAAAGATTCAAAAAGATCATTGAATCCATCAAGAGAAGGAAGATAAAAAGGAAGAAAATCTCTGTTCTGACCAAATTTAAGGATGTGCGTGTCGATATTATTAATTGTGTTTGTGGAAGAACTGATGAGTTTGGTTTGATGGTTCAGGTATGTTGAAAAATATGTTATAAAAAAATGTTGAATTAATCGAAACTATAATTAACTAATTTACTTAATTATTACACGTTTTACAGTGCGAAGTATGCATGTGTTGGCAGCATGGAAATTGTTTCGGTTATTTCGATGACTCAAAACTCCCAAGGTTTTATGTTTGTCAATCTTGTGCAAATCCAAAACGTGTCCGTCCATCGTACCATACCGAAGGAGTGCGACAAGAGACTTATAAAAAGGGAATTTTGCCAACGTAAGTCGTCTCCATTAACTCTCTTTCTGCTTAATTAAATTACTCCATTATTTAGTCAAATCTATTCTTGCTAGATTCCAATTTGCACCGAAAACATCACTCAAACAGCAGCGGATATTTAAACGATGCAACGATCTCACCAAAATGATAAGTGGAATCGAGAATGCTATCCGGCAAAATCGACTCAAAGAACTTATCGCCACATCCGAACCCGAGCATAAAAAATTGTACCAATGGAGTGCTCCCAGAACTCACCCGAAAGATTTAATTCAAAAGTGGCAGTTTCGTAAATATTATAAGGCAGTCGTACGCCGCCTTATAATCAGACACAAGGGAAAGCCCGACTACATGGAAAAGCTTAATAATACGATCGCATTCCGAGAAAAACTGAAAAAGTACTCGCAAGCATTTGACGAAGCCAAGTTAGCAATCAGTCGCAAAATTGGATCCCGTGGCCTAATATTGGTAGAAAAGCTATCCGAACAGGAATCTAAACTTAATAAAATACATAAAGTCAAGGACAAATTGGATTCTGAGCTTTCAATGATACCCGAAGCTATGAGGACATCTCTCTTGTCTCAAGTTATGACTAATCAACACAAATCTCTGCTAACCACTGCGAGTGGATTTAGTCTTTCTATGACCCCTTCAACTTCCACCCCAAGCAGTGAAAGTAGTGACCCGTTGGCTTCTGCTCCTACTACAATTGCAACACCTTCTATGATTCAAGAATTCCTTTCCCAGTTTGATGGACTAATAGATTCAGACGATTCGGACGATGATGTACTTCAAGAAAGTGTGAAAAATGCATTTTTAAGCGCTGGAGAAGAAAATTTTGTCAAAGATAAAGTGGACGACGATACTATTGGTGCAAGTAGTAGTACTACGGCCGAACAACAACCTGAAAATCTTGACGACTCCAACAAGTCAGAACTAGACACGAGTCTAACAATCACAAATAATGAAAATGCAGACGTCATTGAAGATATTATTCGATTCAACTTGGAACAACTGAGAGATCATAACATTCCCATCTTGGAGGATGACGATAGCGATAATTGGATGGAAATGAAAAGGACTTCCATTTCTTCCACATCTGCTGACAGTGACATGATTAAGCTTACACTGCCAAAAACTAGCAAAAAGGCAGCCTCGACAACACAGAGTTTAGGAACAGAATCGTCATTATCCGTTCTTGCCAATGTGGACGTTGAGAGTGAGAGTGAAGCTACCCTTTCAGGAGATACAACTGTTTCTGTCGAGGATAGTGAGGGCGGAGAAGAGTATTGGTACAATCCCATAAGTCATCTCAATTGTGAACATGATGCGATGCGGAGTAAGTAGCCATGAATTTTCAAGTCTTAATTAAGTCAAATAAATTTTAAATTAACGGTCTAATTGTAATTTAGAACTCCTTCTTCACGACCCTTTGATTGAGTATGACAAGAAGACGGATGGCTTGTGGAGATCTCGAGAACTTCAAACTTTGAAGCGTGATTGGATCGACGAGCTTGATTTTTATCTGAATGGTGATCTCGGCCTCGGTCTGGACTCAATTTCTGATTCGGATTCTTCATTATCACCATCCGACGATGAAGACGATTGTCCAGAACTTGCCTCCGACTCAACAGATGAAAGTGAATCGGATGACGTTCCTACTGCTGTAGAAAATGGAAAGGAAATGGCTGAAGGGACGAAACAAAAATCCTTGCGTTATTGGCAAAAAGAAGTCTTAGAACTTGGGAATAGGTCTCCACGCGAAGAGGAAGATGATGAAGAGGAGGATGAAGAATGGAAAGCTGATGAGGATTATTTGGAATCAGATAATGTCATGTCAGATCCTGAAGAAGTTGACATGTCCTCTCCTACTCCGAACAGTTCTAGTACTATAAAGAGACAATTTTCCTCAACCTTAACAAGTGAGACCATTACTCCTCCAGAAGTTAGTGACATGATGTTTGTTACCAGCAGTGATTCAACAGACACTTTGGCTGGGGTCGGAGATGTTATTGATGTTCGTGTCAGAGTCGAAAACAAGCCTGTCATAAGCAAAGCCATCATTCTTGGTGGAATCAGAGGGGAAAATTTTGTTAAACTGATAAGCACTGAAGGAGTGGAAAAGGATCAGCAGAGTTTAACAATGTCCAATTTCGGAAATATGCCAATCTCGCAGTCGCTTCTATGTAAATCGTGTCAAGAGTCTGTAGGCGTAAAGTGGAATTGGAAACAACTAAATTCTGCAAAAGGAGTCAACATCGTTTTGGAGGATACGGTACAAGTTTTATCCACAGAAATTAACCGTTGCAAGCAGCTCGCGCTTAATACCTTGGATGCTAAAGCTTCTCTAAATCTTGGTCATATTTCCGACTTCAAACCTTACCTCAGAGACGAGATGCAGATGACGTCCGAACACAAATTCTTGCCCCCTTTTCCCAGGTCATCTACATCCATGCTTTATGAACCAAGGAAGCTGACAGAATTGTGTCGTGACGTGTTGAGCAAACCAAGAACTCGTACAAATCGAAAAGTCACGAATCACTTGTCCAACAAATCCAGCAACAATAATACTGCTGCTTCTGCCGAAGAAGAATCCATCCTCACTCTGCTCTCCCTAAGTAAAGCTCCTGTAGACTCCAACGGTGAGAATGTGAGTGAACTCAGCATCGAATCTCTGAGAAAGTTGACAGATCGTCTCCAACACAACGGACCTCTGAGCGAAGACTTGGCCAAAGCAGTGACCGGCCTACCTCTTACAAATGGCAAAATTGGTTTACAAAAACTAGACAAGTTATCGTCACAAGTAAATACGTTGTCGTCACCATCTTCATCCCTCTTGCCCTCAACTACAGAACCAATTTGCACCCGTTGCAATTTACAACACGACAATGCTCAAAAGTTATACATTCTCATCACTCAGAATCCATCTCTTGTAAATTGTGAAGAAAACAAGCAAAAGTTGCAACTCTGGTGTAGCAGAATTTCTAAAGCCATAGAAGATCTCCGCCTAGCGACGCATGCCATGAGGAGCATTCTCTACTTCAAAGTGCAAGTCATCGCGCAGAGAAAGAGAGCAGAAAAAACAGCGAGGGATCTGGGCGTCAAAATCACTCCGGACAGTATGAAAAAACGACTCCAAATCTTAAAGCCTGACCACTACCTGACTAAACTGAAGGCAGAATTTGTCGACGCTCTCATGCCCTACGCGACCTACTTTATCAGCCGTTTTACCAAAAAGGATGAACTTTCCGCGGCCAAGAAATCTTGGATTGGAGGCATGATTCAAAATTATAATAATGTCAAGAAAACTCTGAAATGTATGTACTCTGTTGAAAATGAGGATGGTCGCCTTCAGTCGGAAGATAAGTTTTACGCATCACTGGACAATTTAAGGAAATCTTTTGATATCGTACTCACCAAGAAAGATATCAAGATGAGAAGACAAAATCAATCCTTTAGCCAATCCGATAGTACCCAACAAGGTGAAAGTGGTGGTGGAGAAAACCAAGATGCTCCAAAATCTGAACAAATGGAAAAGTCGGCAGAACCAGAGCTGGAACAAGTTATTAACGCTAATAATAACATGGATGTGGATGCCGACACGACCACCCCTCTAGTCAATGGTCTCAATAATGATGATGAAATTACCACCGCAATCCTTGAAGAAACTACTGCCCCTGAAGTGAAAATTGGAGATGATAACCCAGAGAATAAACCGAGTCCAGAATTATCTTCAACAACAACTCAGGACGACAATGGGACGTCATCTCCTCCTCCTCCTTCCTCACTACCAGAAATATCAACAACAAAAGACGAAGAGCAAACTACAACTAATAACGAAGAGCAAACTACTACAACTAATAACGATCTTCAACCAGTGGTAGTGGAACAAGAACCTTCAGTTGATCAGAATAATATGGCCGAGCAAGTCGACGCGGCAACCGCTCGGCAACTACAAGAATATGAAATTTTGACGCGTTTAGCCAACTATCCGATTCAAGTTGAAGATGTCAATGCGTTACTTGGAATTGCTAACGAGGTGGCTGAATCCGCAGCAGTATCGACGAATAACACCGAATGCCCCGTCCCACCATCATCAGTGGCAGAACAAACAACTGACCCTCAACAACAACAACAAATTTCTAGCAACAATAATACCGTGACAGAACAACCAATGGAGCTGGACGATTTCGGCACTTGTCTCGAAAACTTGTCATCATCCGGAGGGAATTTGGTGGGGGATTTGGACTTGATTAACACGATTGGCTCTTTGGGTGCAACTGGAGGCCTCAACAATGGCGGGACAGCAGAAGAGTCCGATCTGCTCCTTAATGTTTTTGACGACCCAATTTTCTCTGATCCACCAGAAGAACCAGTTCCATGTTCTAGTCGAAGTATTACCAATACAAAACAGACCCAACCGTAAGTCTTTTCTTTATTTGGAAGTACTTGCTTCAGTTCGAGATTTTTTGCCTTTAACTAATGACCCTTTTTTCCTTCAGATTACCACCACAGTCAATGGCACCATCCCTTGCAAAACTAACTCCAGAAATGTGCAAAGGATTCTTACTAGATGACATAAAAGCGCACCAACAAGTTATAGATTCTCAATTGGATAAAGTAGACGGAGAAATTATGGGTAAGCCAAACTAAACCTAAACTAAGTAAATTAAACCGTTCTTAGATATGCATTCATTTTCAAAACTTCGTTCACAGAACTTGAGAGACGAAGAGGCAACGGACTAAAAGACAAAGACGATCACAAACTGTTTGAATTTCTCTACGCCAACATGCAAATTCTGTTAGAAAATGCAGAGGTCCTCAAAGAATTAACGAATAACTGTGCGGGATTGGACAATGCAAAAGTGCGCCCTGATGACATGGAACTGGACGACGGTTTCGACATGGACGCAGTAATACGTGAAAATAGCATGAGGCGAGATGCTGCTTACGAATTTTCAGATAATATCTCATCGGAGTCAGAGGAAGAAAAAGAAACAGATAATAATGTGTATGGTTTAAAATCGTAGCGACAATTCTTAATGGAACATTATATGTAATGTGTCCCCTACCCGCTCTCTTGTATTCGCTGTATTAGTTGAAAATATTTATGTGATTATTTCCTTTCTGGATTTTATTTACTGAACAATTGTTTTGTTAAATTTACTACGTTGTCCCTATCTTATAGCAAAAAATTCAGAATTGCAGACTTCTCAAGCGTTGTAACGGAATTAAGGAGCCCAAAACGCCATAATGTATAATGGCCTAGCTAAGTAAAGTAAGACTAACTACAGAAAGTATTTATATTGCATTTATCATGGATTTTTTTTATCATATTTACAATTTAGCGCACACAACACACCCACTTTGACTACTTTTGTAAACAATCTCTCACTATTATTTGCCATTTTGCAGAATAATTTTTATATTCTCTTCTTGATTAATCTTTTTTTGTGAGCTTCCTCTCAAACCAACCACTCTTTTGATGATTATCGTTATCATCATCAGGCATGTAAAAATAAAATTATTATTCAAAAGAAAGACCCGAATTTGTGTACCGTCAGTCAGTCCGATTTGGTCTTGCTCTTGATGAGACTGAATTTTAAAATGCATAAAACGATTTGCATATTCAATATTTTGTGTGTGGTATAAGAATTATGTGAGTGAAAGGGTGCCTGAGTGATGAGCCTGTATGTATTTAGAATGATGTACATTTATAGATAGATTATTGATCCAGTCATAATATACACAAATTTATATCAACTGGTAAAATTTCGGGGAAAATAAAATGATGGTGATGATATCTACGTTTTGACCGTGTAGTAAAGTAGTAGTTTTTTAGTAATGCTAATGTATGGTACGGTCAGTCAGTTAAAAAGAAAAAAAAGTTGCTACTTTGTAATTTCAAGATAAGAAAAAATAAGAAACAATTATGTACCTTGTCTTTGATGAATTGATTGACAACTCCAAGTTTCTGATCGTACTCCTCCTTCTCCTCAAACAGTAGCAGTGATTTTAACTCCGAAATCTTCAAGTTGATGATAACGAAAACTTCCGTCGTGGTGAAGAAGAAATATTGACTCCACTTTTAATTATGTATGTCCAAACTCTTCCTTCCCCTCATTCACTTCACTAACCACATATTTTATATATATCTTTCGAGATACAAATTATTACTTTCTTCGTATTGTTTCTTGTAGCCAGTTGTTAGCATAATATTAATAATAGTAGTACGATTCCACTAGTGACGAGGACATAATTATTTACAAGTTTCTTGTTAAATATTTGTAAGTTAAATTATATTTAACTCATGATAAAGCTATGATTTAGCCTGATCGAGCAGAATTTAACTTTATATAAAAATGATGAATATATTAAATCTGTATTTTGTACTGGATATTTAGATAGAAGAAGATGATAAACTTGTTGTTGTTAACTAAAATTTGGTCAACGGATTCTCCGAAATATTAAATCTACGACACTATCACCAAAAAAGTGCTACTAATAAAAATACATACTTTTATCAAATCTTTTGTTTCTTTAATATCACTGATGATCATACTTTGCCGTTGGGTTTCTTCTTGTTATTATTGTCATTATTTAAAGTTTCGTATAATGATTCGCCAAAAACAATTTCTTCCGGTTCGGTTTCTTCCACTTCTGGAAGGAGTTTTGCCGTCTTCCGCTTTTTGTTCTTTTTCATGTTGTCCAAATTGTCTAAATACGAATCGAATCTCGTCACGTGTTCGTCATCCCCTTCGTCATCAGTGTTTAACTGAGTGGAGTTCCGATGCCATAACCCATCGCCAGAGAAGTGAACACTTTTTTCTAAAAAGTAGAGAACCATATGAAGAAAGTAATCGTCTGTTAGGCTGGCTTCCTTCGAGTCGAGGACCGCTTGGAATTTCTGCTGCAAGTTCTCCCTCGGATACAGGATAATCGGCAGGGCGGAAAATATTTGAGATTTTGTGAACACTTTGAATTCTTCAATAAATTGGAGTGAGTCTTTCATATTTATTGAGCTGCTGTTGAGCCAGTGGGGCTGCATGTGAATCGCTTGGCGAATTTCTTTCTTCGTTTTGCTAAAGTACGTTTTTAAATATGTAAGGATATCCAGTCCCCTCGTGCGTGGTCCACCCTTTTCCAGTTGCCTCTTGAATTTATTTTTGTCCAATGAAAGTAAATGTAACGAAGCTCCGGTCATATTGATAGAGCGGAAGTATTCGACGCGTGCTTTTGCCTTCTTTTGATAATAGATCAGCCTTGACACGCGAGGATGATTTTTTAAGACGCTAAATTCTGGGATGCTGTCAAATTCCTCGAGTCGTTCTCGAAGAGTATTTGCCGACAGGGTGTACAACTCGGGATGTCGGAGGAGGGAATCTGGAGGGATGCCGTGTTGAGTAAATAGAGATTCCACTTCAAGCAGTGTCTTTCTTGACGACATTAAAATTTTGGGACGTTTGTGTAATAATTTTTCCATCGGGATGCCTGACAAGGACTCGATATTGCGGAGGACGTCGGCCGTATTCTTTGGATTTGCTTGAAGGAGATAGCCGTGACGTAAGATCTTAGAATGAATGGAATTACAAAATTAAATTATTAATTTAAGATTATTAATTATTACTTAATTAATTAAGCATTATTAAATTAGAGGATTATTAATTTAATAATGTTTTACCTTATCCTTTTCCAATGTGGTTTCCTCCATTAATATTTCGAGTGATTGTTTAATCCAATTCAGGCATCGATGACTGATTCTTAAATACTTTGGAAAGACTAGATGCACTTCTGCTGGATCACAGTTTAATTTCCATGCGATAAATTGAGCCATCACAATTTGTCTGAGTTCCTTGAGAGTCAACTGCAATCGATTAATTAAGTAAAAATATAGATAATCCAAAATAATGACTAATTAATTATACTAATGTATTGTTGTTGCACCCTGCTCATGTCATGCGGTAACGCATTCCATACGGAATCTTCAGCCTGAGTATTTTTCTTCATTTCCAACACGGCAAAATAACTTTGAACAATTTCTGGTGGCGTTGGAGTCACTTTCATTTGATGGAGAAGTTCCACCGATCGTTTTTGCAATGGACTGAAGCTGTGGAAGTTTAAAATTCCAAGCATTAAAGGTAAGTACATATTAATACATATTTAATGCATATTTAAGTACATGCATTATTCGCATACTTTAAGATTTGAGACAGTCCCACGGAGGTGAAAAGCGACTCCTTCATGATTTCGATATAGTTAAACGTAGCCATCGGGGACATCATAAACAGATCAGGGTAACAAAGCACTTCTCTCGCGAGGAACCCATGCTCCTGAATAACGAGAAAAGAGGACTAGAATTTCATTTTTTTTTTACAAAATTTCATAATTTGTTTGAAAATTCTTATAACCAAATATAATTTAGTGAATATTCTCGGAAATTTTTAAGACGGCAAACAAAACATTGTGGTATCTATTTATTAATATGTATGTACATATATGTTCCCCTATGCAGCTGGGAAATGAAACGGGCTTCCGAATTCTACCAAGAAAACACGTGTTCGTACTAGTTCGTGTATGCTCACGGTCATAAGTAAATAAATGACATTCATAATGCACCCATTAAATGATTAAAATTTATATTTAATTAACCACTCACCTGTAACACGTTGAAAGTTTCTCTCGCATTTTCCTCCACAATCAGCTTTCTTGGAGGTTTCCTCACATCGGATTCTGACACACCTGTGATATTATTTTTCGATAAAATAACGATATGAGGTGAGATATCTAAAAAAAAAAGTGTCCAACAACTTTCTCCATCATATCTCACCAACCACTATATCATTACCATAACATGATGCCTAGCATTTAACATGTATAGAGCACCACAGTCTTTAATGTCACGTTGAGCAATTATGTATTAATACATAGAGTATGAAATGAATGCGAGTCAGTTAACTCTAACCACTAAACTAATAAGTATTAACATGAATATTATACAATCCAATATTAACAATACCTTACTTCTCACACTCTATAATATTACTAAACAAATCGATGCGCTTCTTTCCACAGCCTACTTTGTGTAGTAGCCATATGACTTCTGATTCGGCTATCATGTAATCAACCTTTTTACAATGGGGCCAGCATTCTTAAAGATGTAGATTTATGGCACAAATTCGGAAAAAGTTTTCCTGGCCAAATTTCACCTCCAGAGTACCAAATTATAAAATAATAAAATGAAAAAATCCTATAAATTTTGCTACACAGAAACAAGAGAGAAAAAACGAGAGCTTCTTTCTACTGCATAAAACGGGACACATGTTGGCTTTACTGGATGTGGAATTATGTGGACGGATAAAAGGATGATGCTTTGCTTAATACGAGTATGAACATGAATGAAGGCCAGGTTGAAAAGCAAGGGTAAATTCCGATGGAATATGTTGTAACGCTTTGTAATGTATGTTGGGGTCAAAATTTGTTTAAGGTAAAATTTTGAAAATTGTGTGACTGGGTGTAAATTTTGATGGAATTGTTCTTCTAGTGAGAAGAACAGCAATTATAGCTTTAGTAATAAGGAATGACTAGTTAATTGCTGCTACAATTATAATTAAACGGGTGATGATTAGATTGGATGAAACCATTAAGAATTACTGTACACTAATTGAGGGGATGATGATTAAGCAATTATTTCAAAATCTTGGACTAATAAAGTGATAATTTACAAATGTTTCACTTGCCTTGTTATCATGATGATACTGAACTGAATGAATATCATATGGATTGGTTGGATGGAGGAGGAATGAAGGAAAACGTAGGCTAGCTAATTAATGGGTTTTGGTTGGTGCTCGCTTTTCTTTTACTGTCAACTCAACAATATAATGAAATGAAGTCAGCTATCTCACAATAATGATGGAATGTATTAACTCATTAGTTAGTTAACTAACTAACTATTGACTATTGTGGTGGAGAGTGAAAATAAAGATATGCTTTCTCTAACGAAAAAAATGTTAATGCTGGGAAAAAATATTTGTGTGTATAAAAAGATGATCCTCTGAAATTTTGGCCCCGAATAAAAGATTAGGGTGAAACTATTGTTGACAAAGTTCACATTCATACATAGGCGAACGAGTTTTAGTAAACAGACTTTAAAGTACAAATTCAGATGGGCAGTAAATTAAATAAGTAATATAATGCAATGATGCCGAAAATTATGAAATCTTGAAATATAAAACGAAAATATAAAATTTTATGAATGTGATGTCAAAATGAAAGAAAAGCGATGCAAAAGAAAGTTTACTTTCTCCCAGCCAATAAAAAGTGAGTAGAACGGGGAGTGTATGAAAATCAGGAAATGGTCCGACTGTTACACCGATGCAAAATTATGATTTAGAAATTGTAAACAATGCACAATTTTTTACCAAAGTTATGACACTTATCATTACATTATTGATTATAATAATCCCAAGTTTTTATGTGTTCATTCAACTCAAAATTTAATAAATTCTATTTACCCAAAATTCTTGCAATAGTTCCAATATTCTTCTCCCGAAAATCTGGTCGTGCCGATTTCGATTCCTCCGTCACGCTATGATCTTCTTCCGGTGGTAAGGATGACGATGTCAATATTTCTTTAGACCCTGAAACCTCACGCAATCTCATCTTCACAAATCTACGGGTGAAAGTCTTTAATCCCACGCTACCAGCATTAATTTTCATCAATGTGGGAAACATTTTCTACAAGAAATATGGAATCAATTAAGCTTTAAGTTTATAAAAATTTTAACACAACGACTTACATTAATTGACGATACTAATGGTCCAGATTCAGAAAGTAGATCCAAGTTAGTGAGACCAACAGCGCAAAAAGGTATGGCTTGACGTCAGATACAATTTTTGAAAGTATTTCAGAAATATTTATGCAGCTTGTTTCGAAATCGTAATTAGTAACTTAATTGGAGGGGAGCGGTCTTTATTGGTGTGGCGTTTGTTATGACGGTATGGGAAATGAAAATGCTTTTCATTCTGCGAGAAGAAGAGATCATGTAAAGTGGTGTAAGTTCTGGTTTTCTTTCGCGCTGGGGTAATCATGCACAATGTCGTCTGAACCCGAGACAGGTTCAACTATTTCTCGGGGCTTTAAAATTAAATTGTGCAATTCGGGGGGTGCGGATAATTGTTGCAAAATGCCGTGTAGCGAAACTATAACTAATGAGAATGGAACATTATTTCTGGGGTTTATTCTAGTAGCATAGATCATTCATTTAGTACCATTTAGGGCTTGTTTTTCAAAGCGATTTACTTAATTTTTGTCAAAATTTTTTTGAGCTTTGGCCTTCATGTCCATTCGTCCGTCCGATCTACACGATAGGATGATTGCAAAAAATATTTTGTATAATAATTATACAAAATATTTTTTGCAATTGGGTGTGTAAGTAATTATTACGTACACTAATTAATTGCCGGATGGTTAAGTGTTTCCATAAACACTGACCTTATAAATTTGAAGTAAAAATGTCTGTCTCGTCAGTCTGTATTTATATAGACTTGAATTTGACGCTTCACTTTTGTTTATGTTAAAAATGTTAGTCAAAATTAAAAATTAGTGAGTATAAGTCAACCTGGATTTTGTAATATGCCAAAATCAACAAGGTCCTCCAAAGAGGATAGTAGTACCAGTAAGACGAAGTCTGAATATGAGTATGACCCCAACAATGGTTTCGATCTTGTTGAGTATGAGAAAAAGTAATTGCTTTATAATACTGACATTACTTTTGCTTTATGCTTGTGTTAAATTTAGTATTATATTTATTTATGTATATGTTTTTCAGGAGGAAAGGCATTTATCTGATCGGTTGTCGGTACGATGTAGTTTTACGAGTCGCAATGGAGTTCCATTTCAAAATTGTGAATGAAAACGAACCGTGGGCCATGTGCTGGAGTGACCTTCCACTTTTGCCAGATAAGATTGCCGAATTAAAGAGGAAACAGGTGTTTAAAATTGGTTAATTGGTTAATTGACTGATTAACTTCTTATTAATTTTACACTGCTTACTGTTTAGTTGGTGGGTGGACCAAACTCGCCTGTCGTACAGAAGTTCAATCATTTCCCAGCAATGTACGAAATATGTCGGAAGGATCGCCTGGGTCGAAATCTTAACCGTTTTAAACGAGTCTTTCCTCAGGACTACAATTTTTTCCCGTTAACCTGGGATCTGCCGTCAGAGTTGGTATTCATTTATTTGTGTAGTCTTAAAATTTGTACCAGTTTCGAAATTCTGCAGCATCAGTGAAGTGACCGAGTACTGGAAGAAGCACAGGAACACGATTTTCATTATAAAACCGGACGCAGGAAGTCAAGGGAAAGGAATCTTTCTGCTGAAGAATATCAAACTTTTGTGCTCTTATGTGAAATGTGTGTGTCAGCAGTATATTTCGCAGGTATTTTATAGAATTTAGAAATTAGAATGAATTTCATCTTTTTTTCGGAAACATTATTGTATCCTTGCAGCCACTTCTCTTGGACGGATTTAAGTTTGACTTGAGGATTTATGTTCTTGTCTCGTGTGTCGACCCGTTAAGAATTTATATTTATCGTGGTGGAATTGCGAGGTTTATGAATAATTAATTGTTGATAAGGTTCATATAGTTATGCATGATTTGTAGATTAAGTTCGGAATTTTTGTTGTAGATTTGCCACAGTGAAGTACGAAATGCCATGCGACGCCAATCTGGAAGTGGCTTATATGCACTTGACAAACTACAATATCAATAAATTTAGCGATGATTTTTGCGATGATATTGGCGGTGGTACTAAAAGGTTTTATAATGTCTCTCCTAAACCTTTTAGTTCTATAATGTAGTAATAAAGTTAATTATTTTTCATGCAGGCCATTGACTGAAGTTTATAGTCAAATGTGCGATCTTGGTAAGAGAAATAACGGTATTTACTTAAAACTTACAAAACGTAAGACTTATTAAATTATGTAGGATACAACGTTAAGCAACTCCAGGACGATATTGATGAAATTGTCATAAAAACAATCGTAATGGTCACCCCGTCTCTGCGACATAATTACAGAGCGACTTTCCCCAAACGGGACAGAGGTTGCTATTGCTATGAACTTTTAGGATTTGACATTCTGGTTGATCGTGATCTAAAACCTTCACTGATTGAGGTGAAGAATAATGCAAAAATAGAAATATTTCCAAACAGTTTTATGAATAATGTTTTAATATATAATCTAGGTGAATTCTTCGCCCAGCTACAATCTGGACACTCCGGCCGACAATGTTATAAAATTTAACCTGGTGCGTGACCTTTTCAGCATGATTTACTTCAGCAAAGACTCTATGCCACCCGGTCATTTGTGGAAGAGCAAGTTAGGCGCTCAGGACAAGTTCAACATTCAGCGAAAACCAGGCACCGCTTTTGCATCTTCAATTCCTGACGCTTTAAAAGATCAGTTTGTTCACGAGGAGAGGAATCAGAACAACTTTCGACTAATATTTACGGAAGAGGATCCTGGAAAGTATTCGAGATTTATTGATCAAGAATATTTCATAATGGATGATGACGACGAAGATAGGAGATTCTTCAAGAAAAAATCGGACGCGTCCATGTCCATGTATTCCGGGTGTTCCGAATCTTTTCACCACGAAGCTGGAAAAATGCCTTCACCGTTTCGACATAACCCGATATTTGGGAGTCGACTGAACAATTTATTCAAGTTCAAGAATAATTATTCCCATTTTACGGAAAGGACAAAGACATTATTATTTAGACCGCAGATAGGACAAGCTATAAGCAGGACGTCGACTGAGTTGAATAGAACAGCAAGTTGGGAGAGTAGAAGCAGCATCGTGTCAACTCCTTCCTTAAAGTAAATAGGAATTTTCATGCGTACTGGAAACATGCAATTTGTATACTTTGCCATAATTTCTCGTTTTCATTTAGCACTGATATCGGGAAACCTCCCCAAGTACCACGATCTCCCCCAAACCCTAGGAAATTTACTCTCGTCAATGTCCAGTCTTTAGATGAATATGGCATGCCCATTCTCAGCCCAAGTCAGCGTGTCCAGAATGCACTCGAACAGCTTAGGAAAAAGAACTTGGAAAAGTTTAAGCTCATCACGCAGCAGAATCAGGCCGTGTTGTCACAAATTTCTGGACTTGACATGACCCAGTTGACACAATCGTGTCACCCATCCTCGCCAGTACTTCAGCCCGACGCCGAGTTACAAGAACCAGTGAAGGTGAAAAAGGGGAAGAAAAAATCCGTCAAGTTTGATGAGAGTGTTATTGCAACTAACAATAAGTTAAAGGTATGTGTGTCAATTTATGAGTGTGATGATTTTAGTTTTTAAAAAATGCAGTAATTATACAATTCTTCAGGAATCAAATAGCAGGGACACCATACTGCCTCGAGATAGTACCACATCCTTCAAACCGCTTGCTATGGACATGCGAGAAGAACGGAGAAGAATTCGAACCTTGGCTTCTAGAAAAAGAGCTCTTGGTGTGTTTGGAATTACAGATACGGTATATTAATGTTTTTTTAAATGCAAACCTCGTTATTAAGCTTATTATTATCAAGCTATGCATTTTACAGATACGCCAAGTCGTAGAACATGCTGCCTCAATGAATCCAACACAATCTCCTGAAAACGAAACATAAGTCATCATCACCGAGGGATGGATAGCGAAGGGAAAAAGTAATGATGATGAAGTTAATTAATGACTAATTAATCATCTCTGTATGAAACCTTGTGGGCCCAAATTATCGTGTTTAATAATTAAACCAGTGTTAAGATGAGATTTTACTGTTTTTTTTTCTGGAGAATGGTGGAAGGGGATCACCATGAAAGACTTGCACAATGCGTTACATAACGAAGGATAGCAGTCAAACTCATGAATCATTGTCCATTTTTCTGCATATGCGAATCGTTACGTGACAATCAATCAAATACCAATTTACCGACAAGAACTTGAGTTAATTGTTAAAATTATTTATGTATTTATGTACCCGTTCTGCTCATACTGAGAAAAACAATTGATACTAAAAGCTGAGTATTTTTCAGCTCTTTCAATTCACCATATAGCAAAAATATAATACATTATATGAATAGTTGGAATGAAAATATTGATAGATTGATTGATTGACCTTCGGAATATTGAGAGAAAAAATGTTACATTATTAACTAAACCCACGTATTTAACTATTGCACCCACTTTACAAATAGTTACATAGACAGTTAGGCTCATTTAGCGAAAAGAAAACCAAACTTTCGCTTTTAAAACAAAAATAAATTTCTTTGTTTCGTTATTAATTAAATTGTACAATTGCAATTGTTGTCAAATTATAGTCTACACAATAATTCTACGGGTCCACTGTTACCTAAACTTGGTTATGTAAATTGAAAATTTGTCACAGTTTTTTATAAAAAAATATCCAATTTTTTAACCAAAAGTAGACATGAAAATTAAGGTGTCACAAAGTTGTAAATTTTCTGTAAAAAATTTAACCCTTTATTTTCTCTTAATTTTCCTCCCGTGTCGCCTAAATGGGGCTAAATTGCATTCTCAAATGAAAATGCTGGTGTCCTCGAAAACTTTACATGTCAAAAATTTCAAGCCTGGCGTTAGCGCAGATGCTCTCCCGGAAGCGATTCATTGTAAATTAAAATACATATGTATTTACAAGATATACATCAGATTTACATATATTTTGAATATTTGACAGATAATAAATACATCCCCCTCGTCTTCCAACTCAGGGTCCCAGAATGGTCAACAGAGACGCTCCGATTGAATTCAACCCTGCACTGCAACTCGGACTCAAGTATTTTTTTATCACATATTCTGTTGTCAATATGCGTGAAATATTAATCACACTGATAATATTGCGTCTTCCAGTCCAGCCAAACCCTCTTTGTCCCGTGGCGTATCATTTGGACCGTCTCTTGTCCCCGATTGCAGACTCGATGAGATTTTCCAAGAATATTTACACCCCAACGGAAGGTATGTATTACTAAAGAAATTATAACATAATCATTATGCTAGAAATTTATGAATAATTAAATTAGGATGGGCCTACTTTGGAAAATTCAGCTGCGAAGTGATTGAACCTCACTTTTTCCACTTATCCGCTCACGTCGATGAACTCCACTTATACACTGATAAGTTAAAGAAGGACTGTCCCCTTGCAAGAAACTTGAACCCTGTCGTCAAAAACATGACGCTTGCCGCTGCTCACCATGTCGTCATGGCCAGCACCAAGTTCAACAGTTACGCCCCCTCGCCGGCCACAATTAAGCAGGACTCAAATGAGGCCAGCTTGGTCCAAATGGCTGGATTTATTGGGCTTCAGACAGCCCATGTTTTGAGCAAGTATATCGACACTGTCCGGTGGAACAACGCTTTCACGCAGTGTCAATCGGCACGGTTGAGTATTGGACTTGTCAACTCTTTCTGGTTGCGGAACGCGTTGAACTCTGTGCAAAGGACGGCGGAGATGAATGGGTACAAATTGTCCATTCCGGTGCATGAATATCTTCCCCATTACTACAAGTTGCCATTGACTGATTGTGTTTTGGGGATTCAAACTACGAAGAAGACCGTGTTGATGTTGCGAGTACTCATCCCAGTAATGAAGAGGGACACGAAATATACCCGATTTCGGTACGAGAATTAATCAAAATTTTGGAAAATAAGGTTTAGGAAACACAATTTTGTAATTACAACAGGCTCACCAAAATTCCCTACCTCGTGACTGAAGGAGAGGAGAAAAAAATATGCGAGATTGACAGTTTCGACCCTAAGGATGATTTCCTCGTGGAGGAGACACTCGGCATTCCCGGCGGAAAACCGGTCGTGACCATGGCCCCAGAATGTTTTGAAAGTGAGCTCTGTCATATCTCTGAACAGCCGAGGTCACTCGTTGTCGACCCGTGCCTCAAAGGGCTGATGAACGGATCGGTAGACCACATCCGGGACTATTGCTCTTTTGAATGCTATCCAATCGAGAATGAGGAACTGCTATTGCCCATCATTATCAAAGTGGCGAACAATCAGTACTCAATTACCGGAAGCCATAAAACCATACCGATCAATGTGTATTGTGATGACCACCTGCAGCGGGTTCTGGGTGAGTTACTTATTAATGGAAACTTATTACTATAGTTATTAATTAATTAATTATTTCATCAATTTTAGATCCGAATAAGACGAATGGCGTGATGCAGGTAAATAATACGCAAATAAACATGTGAATCATCATCTCTTTACTACCATCACTTTAATATTAGCTGTATTTGTAGGTCATTCTTCCCTGCAATTGTGAGATTCGTTTCAAGGCTGAAGTATACCGAAGTTCACGTCCCTGTGAGCAACCTTTCGAGGTAAAAATTATTTATGTACCCACTCTGCATGCGTATGCGGAAAATAACAATAGATACTAAACACTGAATATTTTTTAACGTTCAATAGTACCACTACTTGAGCTCAGTCCCGTTCAAGGTCGATTTTACCGGAAGTCATCCAACTCCCGAGGCTATCGCGGACAAGATTGATTCCCTGGATTCAACAAGTAATCCTGAATCGAAAACGGAAAAAGAACAAGAAAATGTCGACACTGCGGATCAAACTATTCCCGCAAGTTATATTTTGCCTCCTGAGGGCAGTGGCGTATTCGAAGCTTCCTCTGGCATACCAGCCGTACCACCTGCTTCCTTATTGACGGGTGGATCACACCCACCCCCACCGTCACACACAGGACAACTCGTCATTATTTGGCTCCTCCTGATCCTCCTCTTATTGAGCAACGGGCTTCTCATTTATGTCGCATATGTCAACCGACTCATCGATCTGGGTGGGATACGAGCAACCCTGACAAGATGGGGAATAGGGGGCACAACCCCTCCCAGAAGTCGGTTAGAAGAGGATCCCCCAAGTTATCCTGGAACGATAACTTCAGTACATCACACTAACGGAGTTCAGTCTCCGAACGTGGTGCAGGAGAATAATCGAAATAGTGCGGCTAGTTTACAATCCGACAATACGATGTGGCCTGCAAGTTTGAATCGGTTGTAGTGCAAGATTTTTCCGGATTTGTAGTTATTTTTATCTAGTAAACTATTTAATTAATTGATTCATTAAAATTCTGACTAAATTTAGACAATTTGTTGTCGGTAATGTACAGGTTTTTGGACAATAACTTTAAGCATTTTTCATTCTACACCTACTTCAACCTGTCCGTATATCCACTCCACAGTTCAGGTCATTATTAAATAGATTCTCCATAAATATATGGACACCTTCCTGAATTCCATGACTCTATTTTACCTTTTATTACTGTCGTACCATCCACATTGTTAACTTGCTCCCAACTTCCGCTCTATTCAGGAGATAAAATAATTTCTATTCCTGTTTATCTTTAACTGTATTCTGACTATCTCGCTCTAATGTAGGAAATACCGAATGCATGTCCTGTACGTATGTACATACGCTCAACTGTAATACCGAGTCATCAAGGAATTATAAATATATGGTGAAGCAAATCACTAATGATGAGCGTAACCGGGCCAGATTGTTGTTTTTTTCGTTCAACGAACGACCGACTAAAGCATCTATCTACTGATATGAATGCATACGACGTAAAGTTTGTGTGGATGGAGATCATGATGAATTTGCAAAAAAAACTTTGCTTTTTCATCTAATTCAGGATAAATGTGACAGCAGCTTTCTAGAAGTACCACCAACCAGCGATCTGTCCAGTAGCAGGAAGCTTAGCTAAGCTTGGCTAAATAGTCAGTCATTTTGGATTACAGCATCAATCACACACACTCATTCACGATTTTATGCAGTGCGGAGGGCAATAATTATAAAAGACATTGAGTCGTTTCAGTGACATTGGTGGCCACATTATTAAATTTTTACCATTAAATTCATCATTATTTATGAAAATGAAGACAAGCTCCAAATTTGTCCTTGTGCTGGGTGAGTAATAAATTATGCAATTTTTATTTATTTATTATTTGCATATTATAAAATCTCATCTGTTGAAAGGCGTCCTTGTCTCATCATCACTGGCGGAGCTTCCCAGTCTGGAGTATAACTCGGCCGAATTAAATTTCGTGTCAGGAACTGTAGCCGAGTACTTGGAGGATCCCATCTTCTACGATGCTTATCTTCCATTAGTCTTCCAATTTCAAGTCCCAAAGCATATGGATAATGCAATGAAAATCATGTGGCAACACGCCACCGTTTGTAACGTTTCAGATTCAAGGTATGAGGGCAAGTTGTGTCCCGTGGTGCATCATTTGCACAAAGTCGTGGCCAACTTGAGTCAAGATATGGGATTTTGGAAGGATTTCCTACCCCACATTGATACAGGATTGGGTAGGGAAAAATTATGGAGACAAATTTCTGAAATTTATAAAACTACATAATTTACGCTTCAATCTTTAGCCGATGGAATGACCACTTCTTCCGATCAACACGACATACATGGAAACCTCATCCCCACCACGCAACCCACCACGACGACAGGGAAACCAATAAGTCTCACAAAATCGACCTCTCGTCCCCCCGTTAAACCAAACTGTGCTGAAATAACGTCACATTTTCGCCATACTTACACCTCCCCGGAACACTTGGAAGAATACTTGGACGCTTTACAAGGCTGTCCACTCGGTTCCCACGTCCATCCTCCCATCACCCCACCGAGCAACTGGATAATCGACAAGCAAATCTACTACACGATGGTGGACCGATTCTACTCCGAGTTTTACCGGACCCTTCCAGGCACCGGGAACATCGACTGGGTCGTGACCCTCAATTCCTACGTAACAATCCAAAGCCTCCTTCTCGCCAATAATTACATGGAATCGAACCGCGTCATGAACGCTTTTTTGCAATGTGGACAACAACTGATTCCAAGCTCCTTCATAAAACCGGAACTTCTTCGAGCCGCCTTGATCCTGAATAAGGCCAATGTTTACAACAATCACCTACAATACTTGTGGGATTCTGATTCGACGGAAGAAATTCAATCCTATTACAAACTCCCCATCGCGGATTGTACTTTTACAAAGGATTTCAAATTAGTTATCAGGATTCTCATTCCTGTCAAAGTTCCGGACGTGGAGACGAGACTGCTGCAAGTTAGAACGTTCCCGTTTATGGAGAAACTTCCCCTAAAAAAGGACAATAGCGATGTCACACGTTCCCATCACGATGAGGAGTATGCTTTACAACTGTGCAAACTCCAGAGTCCCGGAAGTATCGAGATGATCCAGTCCAATTTCGGGCTCTTGTTTGAAAACAAGGATAATTGTGCGTCAGGAAAGCTCTGTGGGAGAAATAACCTCAATTCCTTCCTCCCATTGGATGGGTGCATTTCGTCAATTTTGTCCGGAAATGAGAGCCTGGTCAAAGGTGGGTGCAGACTGGGCTGTTTTCCCGTCGATGAGAGGTCACTCCCCATCTTTCAGAGAACCTCGTCCGACACGTTTCTCGCTGTGGGGACTTCGAAAAATAAAATCTTCATCCAATGCAACGGACAACCTTTGGAGAAATTGGACCTCGTTGATTTGGGCGTGTTGGAAATTAAGTTGAGTTGCAATTGTCAGATTTCGTATAGGAGTTTAGTCCTCCAACCGAGCTCTCCGTGCAGCAGGGAAGAGATGCCAAAAGTGAGACGATTACTTCCTCTGCACTGGAATGATTTCTTAACGGGGAGGAATAATGAGACCGTTTCACTGGAAAAGATCATGGCTGACGAGAAGGACAATTACTACCATTACGATGTCGATAAGCATGATCAGCACCAATTTACGACTACGACTGGGGGGTCTGCTGACCAGCATGAAAAGACGGACAGACAAATTTCGATCCAACCTACTCAGGATTCTGTTTCGACGGGGATGATTGTGCAGATTTCTTTGCTTTGGATCCTCGTCGTCGTTTTGATTGTGGCGAATGCCTACTTATTTTACGAATTGCATAGATTGCTGCAATGGAAAAAGATTCAGGTTTATAAAGATACCAGGATTGTGTATAGTGTTCCTCCCTCGCCACAATTTCCGAATAAGTTTTGATACAATAAATAATAATGTTGGAGTCGATGGCTCTTCACCCAAATCGTGAAAATCAAAACGTTTTTGATCATTTTTTCGGTTCTGGGAATTTATTTTAACATTCTGGACTGGACGGGAAATTTGTAGTCAATAAATTAAATCCCGGTGAGATTTTTTGAAGTTAAGATAAGTCAGTTCGATGAGTTCAAATTTTTCTGAAGGGTTCTTCAACTTTATATATTTTTAAATGGTAACCATCTGCTCTACAACGTTGTCTTACAAAATTTTGAAATAAAATCCCAGAGCCGAGAAATGATGAATTTGAAAATGTGCTGATTTGATGATTTAGGTGATGAGTCGTCGACACCTATAAATAAATATTTTGATTTTTGAGGAGAATAAATTTTATAAAGTTATTATTTATTTGATTAACGATGTGTTGTTATTAAGACGATGGCTACCGAAATATAGAGATTGGACTGGTCTCCTTTATTCTTTAAAGTCATAATCTTCTTTAATGAGACTGGATTTATTGGGATCGATTCTCGTGATTTGGCGTCGTCACATAATTATCCGTTCCAGCAGCCAGAAGAAGATTGATCCTGTCCTGAAAGATATGAAAAGTTCAATTGGTTCGACAATCATGTCAACCGCAATTATAATTATTTGAATTCAGTATCGACGTATGTATTGGAGGCGTTTTCATAAAGGAATGTCAAATTGACTTTTGATCAGACAAATTAAAATGTTCTTTCAATTTTCCTCAAAATTTCGTAAATTATTCATTCCTTTTCTGTTTGTTTATTTTCCTACGTCAACATTTTCTGCCGGAACAACAACAGTTTTACAATCTCATCCTGAATCCGGCATTATTAAATATTGCACAATTTTTGCTACTGTTTCTGTCCGCTTAAATCCAATTCTTCTCATAAGTCGCCCGTTGTTTCATTCACTGGAGGAAAAGATATCTGAATTATCAGACATCTCAGGGAACAAATAAATTGTTGTGGATCTCTCTTTGCATACTTTTTTTTCCTGATCCGCTTACACAAATCGTCATCATCATCATCTCAGCCCACATGTCGTGATCGGTATTGGACTCAAGGCGTGTTCTCCTCCAAGTTATTAGCAACGAGGACAAATGTGATTATTTTATTATACGGGATAAATCGTGGATTAAGAAGCAGAGGCATTAATGCCCTCGTCGTCGTCATAAAGGGCTTACACAGTTTGGATGGAAAATGTGACGCTCTTTTTAATTCCATAAATCCAATCAGTATCGATCGACCCAACCTACTGCCTGCCCACCACATGACACGACACAAGACTGGCTTCCAGCCCACCACGTTCGCATGAAATGATAAGCGTCTGATGGACAGTCGCCGCGGAAGACTGTCTCTGGGGACAGAGGGATAATGTCCCCACGGTTATTCGGTGTCCCCATCATCTGTCCATGTTATATAAACCTCTCCCTCCCCTATCCTACAATGTTGATGTCCCCACATCCTTCCGCGGCCACTGCTGATGGATATGAGGTACATAACATAAGTCATAAGTCTGTACATATTCATTAAATATGTTCATAATTATTTAAATTTTACATGGCCGAGGTTATTGTTCAAAGTAAATAGTGTCCAATTTTAACTGGACAATGTCACGATACATAGATGACTAATGCAAATATGACTACTTTAATAATAGTTATTGTGTAAATCTATTGTGTGGACTAAATAAATATATATGCATATAAATAGAAATAAGGTTTATTCCCCAAACTGATACCAGTACCTTCCCTGGGGCAGTAATCCAACTTTTGCACAATATTATCGTCCCACTTGTGGACGGGATTTGGACTTGACGCATGTAGGAAAATTAAGAAAACGTGTGCATCCTCCAGTCCAGACCCGTTAATAAATATGTCACGAACAAGGAGCTGCTTCTTAATTATAATATTTATGAAATATAATCCGTCCCAGGCGAGGAATTGAATGAAATATAATGCAGGATGAGACATTGAACACGAATTAGTTCTGATCTGTTCTGGAATCGGAAACAACACTCAACGATCAGTCTTACATTTCAAGTCGAGGATAAGAGACAGACATTTTTTTTTGAGGAAAATCTCACTTTTCTCAATTTTCAATAATTCAATAGTCAACTTTCAGTAATTTAGATTTTAATTGAAAGTAAGAGTAAAATCAATCCAGGGAAATGACTTCCTTAGAGAAATCCTATCTCCCCCAATATATCCAGTACGACTCAAAACCTGTCGGCGAATATGCCCGACTGGACAATGAGGTCACTGAGTACTCCGAAGTTCCTGAGGTTGTCACCTTCCCCGCAATCCCCCACCACGGCATTGCCATTCACAGTGACACCGGCGGATATCAGCAAAACCTCGCCAATCAGACTATCTATCCACCCCTGACGCCACAAAAAAATGGGATCGAACCAACCCACAAGACTCCACTGCTCGCCAAGAAGAAGAAAATTGTCCCGACAAAGACTAACTTTTTCGGAATTTTGTTAGCTTTCATTTCTGGAGTATTTTTCACCCTGTGTTCCGGTACTGTCAAATATTTGACGGATATCGATCCGATGGAGTTGCTCATTTTTAGGTCACTGTTTCAGGTATGAATTTACAGTTTGATTTTAGTTGAATATTCAACAAGGGAAGAAATATATTTTTATTGTGAAAATTAATTTACAGGTCGCAGTGACGCTGCCTATCGCAATATACATGAAACAGAACCTCATGGGTCCGGAGGGATCAAGACTGCTACTCTTTTTCCAAGGAATCATTGGAGGTACGACGCTCGTCATGTTGTTCTATTCCTTCAGGCTGCTTCCACTGGGAGATGCGGCCACCATTATTTTCAGGTTAGTTAATAACTCAAGTTAATAATTTAAAATACTCTCACCTTTCTTAATGAGAATTTACACCTCAAAATTTCACTTTTTTACGTAGTTCTCCCGTCTTCGTGATGGTCATGTCCCACATCTGGCTTCGAGAACCGTGCGGCTTTTACCGCACTTTGATCGTCTTCATGCTCGTTACTGGCGTCGTTTTCATCACAAAACCACCATTCCTCTTTGTCCGTGAAGGTGAACACGAAGATTACAACATGCTCGGATATGCAGCCGCCATTTCTGGCACGATCTTCACCGTGAGTATTTACGTTATACATATCGGTCATTATAGTATAAAAAAAGAGCCTCATTATTTTTCCAGGCCTTGAACATTGTCATCATGCGAAAGTGTAACAAGTGTCACTTTTCCGTGGTCGTGTTCCAATTCTCCTTCTGGTCTCTGGTCATCAGTACGATTATCCTGTTTGTTGGGGGACAACCGGAAGTTCCGCATTTAGAAACGGTGCAATGGGTGTTGGTCCTTTTCGTGGGGATTTTCGGACTTTCTGGTCAAATCTTGGTGGCTATTGCGCTCACGTATGAGGGAGCAGGAAGAGTGGCGGTGACCAGGTCGATGGATATCGTGTTGGCTTATGTCTTACAAGTATGTGCATCTGATAAGTGCAAAAAATGGTGATGTCTCAACTTATCCAACTTAATTTTTACTCATTATTAGGTCATCATCTTTAATGAAGTTCCCGACTGGCGATCGGTCATGGGGGCGAGCATGGTCATGGTACGTATTTATCAATATTTGCCTTTATCAATGCCAATCTCATTCAAATATGTGCATCTCTAGATTTGCGTTATCGGGATGGGAATAGAAGATGTCGTTCACAAATGGATGCATAATCTCCCTTAAAAAAATTGATCCCATATAATTTTTTCACGAGATACATACACAATAGTGGGTAAAACTCGCCATATTTATTCTACTCTAATCATACAAACTTAATATTACTCTAATCGACATTGTACATATAAATATGTTACTTGATACCTTAAAATATTTATGGTTTATTTTACAATGATATGAAAAAAAACAATGGAACAATTAATGCAAGCATCTTGCTCTCTCATGACCCCATCGTTCTTCACATTAATACTAAATACATATATGTACGTACGTACTGCATGTCATTATATTGTGTAATACGAGCAAACAAACAACGGACGGATGCATGAAATGGAAATTCTGTGTACAAAACCAAATAGCAACAAAACCGAGATGAGCAACGCTAAAAATCTGCACAACCATCATCACCTCGTTTGACTTTGACAGTTGGCAATGAACCAGGCCACCAAAGGAAAAAACATGAAAAGCAGTAAAGTTAGCACAACGGCAAAAAGTGCACAGAAAAATACGCAAACCTACCAAATTGCAATAAACCAGAGCCCAAATCTTGACTCAATGTTTACACTATACACCAAGTTTGCTAAAAGTGACACTATTATAAATGCAAACAAGCCCCCAAACAACTAATCCTTATGTGCATGACATACATTACAACATACGGCAAAATATGCAAATATATACGTCCAGTTGCACATCCATCGATGGATGGCCATCCAGTAACTGGTTTTCCATTCAACATTGATTTGCATCTCGTCCATGTTTGTCATGTTATTTATTTACATTAAATTTGCAACACTTTGTTTTGCAGAATAAATAATTCATCCGCACTAGATAACATACATATCAAATAAACGTGTCGGTCAACGTATAAATTGCAAAGTCAGGACTGAACTCGACTCGAAATTATTTATATTCCTGTCATCAAGGAAAACGTTCCTGTTTTGTTTGATTAAGTAGTTGAGTCACATTTCTGGAACAATGTAGAAATTTTTGCATTCTTGATTACCCTCAAATGTGAAAGTTTGTTGATTTGAAAATTACAAAGTTATCATCATGATAAGCGTTATTTTTGCGTGGACATGAACTCTTACTGTTTACTTATTACTCATCAGTTCTTTGGCTTGTTTTTAAAAGCCCTCTAATTTATGCATTGTTGTCGATCTGTAAAATAAAATAACTTATTTATTTACCCCCCTTGTTAGTAGCTAGTCATCACACATACATAATATGTACTCAAGCATTGTTGTTATTCGTTTCATACACATTATTACGTATTCCTCAACAATATTATTATTTATTATGCAGGCTACACACTTTTATCAAGGGAAATGCTAACTAACGAAGCCGTGATAACGTCTAATATTAGTACAGTACCGAGGAGATAGATATTTACATCACCACCACCATATAAAGATATCCACATATATATATATATGCTGATGATGACTAAAACGTCTCTCATGGTCCAAACAAACTGCACTCTAACTAATATTCCTTCACAAAAATAATCAACATATTATTATTCTCCTTAATAACATCATGTACATCATCATCCACTAACTAACTAACTAACTAACTAACTAAAACCACGAGTCAAAGTCGAACCTTCGTTAGTTATTTTGCACTTTAAAAAACACACATCGGCATCATCACCATCCAAATCCAACCAGTCAGTCACATCACATTTATAACATTTTAGTTTGCATTACAACACACATTGCATGAAAGTAAGTAACGTCAACAAAGAGAAATTTCAATCCAACTGCATCCATCCACCAAATCCTAGGAGAGCCGACTCGCAACTCGAGGCTTTTAAACCAGCTCCTCAGTTCTGTTACCAAGCAAGCCCAGGCTGAAAAGTGCAGTTGGTTTGGTAGCAGCAGGAAATGGGAAGGTTAGGTTTTTAGCCAATCCATTTCATTTGATGGCATGTAAAGATCAGCTGCTGTTGTGCTGGCACTAAGGCTTTTATACATTTCTTCTCTTCTCTTCTCTTACCTAGTAACTAGGCGAGAAGGAGGAACGAGTCCCGTTTAATACCAGCAGCTCAAAGTAAAGAAAGAAGCAGTAGGGACCCGGCTTCTCTGCCCAAAAGTGCTATCTCATTCCCTGCTCCTGGAAAGATAAGATAAGATAAGATAAGGTTACTTTCTCCTAATAGTTTCCAACGGAAAGAGAAAGTTGTGATAATGAGGTCAAAGTCGTCCTCATTTTCGGGCGAGGTGTCGTCCTCCGGGGCAGGGGGAGATGTACGGAAGTTGGTTTTTATTGGGGATGCCGGGGTGGGGAAGACGTCCCTGCTAAGTTCTTATCGGAAAGGGGAGTTTCACGATAATGAGAAGGAACCCACACCGGTGTAAGTTATTTGATTAGTTTTGATTGGATTGGAGAAAGTAGGGGTTAAAGAAAATTTGTTAATTGGGTAATTTTTTTTTTATAGGCTGGAAGGTTTTACAAAATCTGTTTCTGTACAAGAGAAAGATCACGTTTGTCTCTTGTGGGATACGATTGGATCTACAGACTTTGAAAGACTAAGGCCACTCTCTTATCCTAAGGTGAGTGAGAGGGTGTGACAAGTGTGGTGTGTTATCATATGGAAAATATTTTGGGAAAAAATTGTACAAAAACAAATAACTTATTTTATTATGAGTAGACTGACTGCTTCGTAATCTGTTTCGCAATAAATGATCGGACTTCATTCGATAATTTGAAGACGATTTGGATCCCAGAGATTGGACTGCATTCGCCAGATGTGCCGTATATCTTTGTCGGTAAGGTTTACATAGTTTTTTAGAAGGTGAAAGTCGGAGAAAGTTTTCATTGACAAATTTTTTTCTACTAAAGCTACCAAAACGGACATCAAAAAATCAATGGAACCATTATCATCCAAACCATGTACTAAATCAGAAGATCTCACTACCACCCCACCCTCTACGATTCTAAATATTGAAGAAATTATGGCCTATATCACTTCGACGGATGGACTGGATTATGTCGAATGTTCCTCGCATGATTTGGTCAGTGTGGAAAATATTTTAAAATCCGCAGTGAAAGCCATTCTCACGCATGAGGAGAAACTGAAAGCTATCGAGGAGGCAAATAACTCGAAATCTTTTTGCGTCATTTGCTAAGAAGAGTAAATAAGAATGATAACGACAACTTTCTCCACTTTCTCCGCTGCACATGTGCAGTTAAAATTAACCAAACACTACCAAACCCATCGTAACTTTCACTTTTGTTAAATTTTGATTGAAAGACATTTCTGAAAACAAAGCAACTAATTATTCAGTCGTATTATATTAATTTACTAGTAATAGTAGTTTATAGTAGCTAAACTACTAAAGGGAGGGCAGCCTGGTGGATACGAATTTGGCCTTGAATAACCCCGGAACGGTTTGTCGTAGCGGGTCAAAATTTTGAACAGAAGAGCATGTTATCCTCAGATAGTTGTGTGCAAAAATTCAACTCTCTACTTTCAAAAATGCCTCCCCCACAGCCCCCAGAAGTTGAGACACTCGTTTCAACTTTTTCCAAACTCCGTCTAAAAAATTCGGTCCCCACAGAAAGATTTTCTTTTCATCTATCCGAACTCAAACAAGTCGATTTGACTTATATCAGGGGATTGTATAGGTATTTCACTATTCCAAATGATTTTTATCCCCAATCTAGGTTCAAGGTCATTTGCATAATCTTGGGTCAACTTTGCCGTCTGGGAGGACGCTCCGTCATGATGAAAAATCACCTTAATTATTATTTTACCGTGCAAATTAGGAAAATTGTATTCTAAAAGTGGTTTCAGTACAAGGTCCACATAATACTTCGAAGATTCCTTCACTTTTTGGGGGACTTTGATAAGTGGGAGGACACCACGACAGGACATTGCACCCACGACCATCAACTGTTTAAAAAAGTTCTCCTCACTGAAAAGCACCAAATTTCTTGAATTTTTTTTCGGCATTTGTCGTGTAGTAAGCTCTTCGAACCCAATTAGTAACTTGTAGGGAAAATAGTTCTTCGTCAATTGTCACCAATAGCTCACTTCTATTCCTCAACAGAATATTCAAATAAAATTTTTTGCAAACACGGGCGAGATTTTTTCTGGAACTATTTGAAATGACTGTCTCAGCTTCTGGGGGCTGTGGGGCAGGCATTTTTCAAAGTAGAAGGCTGAAATTTTGCACACAACTATCTGAGGATAACATGCTCGTCTGTTCAAAATTTTGACCCGCTACGACAAACCGTTCCGGGGTTATTCAAGGTCAAATTCGTATCCACCAGGCCGCCCTCCCTTTGGTATTGATTAGTTACCGGCTATGGGTGGATAGATAACACCTAATTTAAGAAATTAAATGAATCCCGAGCTAAATTATTGATTTATCGGTTGCTTTAAATTTATTAATAACAATGATTCAACATTCCGAATGTAACCTTCTCTTGTCAGAATCAATCATCCCAGTTAATAATGTATGCAATAACCTATCCCACTGTTTTACAATAATTATTATTCTCCCCAGCAATCAAATGCATGATATGTAAGTATACATAATAATTGTGAATCTTCTGCAAAAACAGACATTATTATTATTAGTTTTATGAATTTAAATGGTAATGAATCCAATCAAGGTATTATCTACTCGTGTAATTTAATGTTCAACTCAACTGTGAAAAAAAAACCTACGTTTAGTTAGATTTAGACACCGAAAATATACCGCAGGCAGAACCAGAACAGAAAATAATTGACCCAAGACCAGAAAATATAAAGACTTTTACTCATCATGTACCACCTTTTTTCGAAAACACGAATAATTTGATGTATGTAATTACATAAGAGTAATAATCCTAAAGACACATCAATTATTGTATTAATTAATACGATAACAATTACTACGAACCCTTGTTACAATTACAAATTACTACCTATGCAATGTATAATTTCTACATTTATGATTTCAACTTGGGACAGAAAATGACGTGATCAATAGTCTCATCCGTTTACATGAATAAGTTTGCAAGTACTACTAATACATAAAATATTATTAATTCATTCATTTACACCAAACCAACAACAACTAAGTAAAACTGAGAACCGAAAGAAATGGAATTTTAAAGACTGTAAAACATATTAAAAGTATTATTAGTTTTAAGTACTTTAATTGATTGATAAAATGCATATTACGTATGTACGAGACAATTTTGTGTTACTATTTTGTTCATCACTAAAAATCCTTACAAAAAAGGTGAAAATGTATGTACCACCAACAAACACAGTTGATGATTTCCTCTATTATGATCCTATTATTTTTACGATACGAATTTACTGGTCTTATCCTAGATGATATTTATTTACAAATTTATTAGTTTATCTCATTGAATTATGAATTCTGCAAAAAGTTTCTATTGAAAGCAATATTTCAAATAATCATGAATTGTGCATGTATGCAAGCGGAATCCCATAATAAATCGGAAATGACGAGAAGATTATTTTATCATATTTTATTCCCACTATTTTACTAAATTTTAATTAAATTATGCATGTGCAAATTTTATTACAGAAAATAATTTATGATATGTATACATTTTTATGAAGATTATTTAAATGTTTTTGGACGTTTGGCTTCGCTAGATTCAAGTTGGCGATGAAAATTCAAAATTATCAGTCATTTGCTTGGAAATGACAAAATTCGAATTCATTCCGGCAGAATTCAAACGTCTTATCAATTACATATTTACGTAGATAAGCCCAAAACTCCAAAACAAAATATCACTAATTCCATTACTATTCACATTACTCACATACTTTTTTTACGCACTTTCCAATAATTAGTTTTCACACAGGAAGAAGAAGCTCATCAAAAACTTTCCTGACTCGACGAGTTTTTTGTCCCAATTCTATTTCCAGCAATACGCTAACTGTTAGTAGAACTCTGGGAACGTGGGAAAGTGAGACGTTCCATAACATGCTTCACTCACCATGCTTCAATTATTTGGCCAAAGTGCACAAAAAAACGCGACACACTTTATCTTTGTTGTTGCAGCAAAGCGTGCAAATGCAAATTTTGGCAACATTTTCATACATATCCACGACAAGTGTATTTACTACCCGGGTAGTCAACAACTTGCTATTAGTCTTCATTCCGGTTTGCTGTTGTGACATGGGAAATCCTGGTGAATCTCTTGTAACCGAATTCTTTTACGAATTTCGGCCAAATCTCACAGTTCAAGAGTACATTTCCAAAATAAATTGATACAGATTTAGTGCTTACTTACTCAATTAATAATTAAATTAGTCCTGTCAAACAAAAAATATAAATCATCACAATCGTCATAAATCGTCATAAATCAATTCCTCATTCCAAACAACTGTCCTGCATTTAAACCCAATCGATCAAGTTGCATATGTACATACAAATTTCTCCACCACACTCATTTCATTTTATCGTCATCGTCCATGAATTTAGCAACATTGGCAACCCAACCCACGTACAGAAATCTGTTCCATTTTATCGAATTGTACATATAAAACTGAGGAGTGAAATGGCCATCCATCACTCGACAAGAATCACCACCACCACCACCAGTGACCATGGACTTGATAAGATTATTTTATTATTTTGACATTCATATCCGTTTCAGGATAATAATATTAATTCATACTGTGCATGCATTCATTCAGCAAGTTTTGCTCAGTCTTTCAACCCACATACACTACACACAAAATAATACAATTTATTATTATATAGGTGGCTTGGCTGCAAACTAATAAAACAGGCCAGAAGAGTTTGTTAAGCACGTATAAATCCTCCTTTGTCTCGGTCTGGTTTATTGTTGCTGTTTCTCCATCACACCATTTTTAAAGTGTCCTCCTTCTTACCACTATTCTTCTTCTTCTCGCCAAGTTGGTTAATAGCTGCATTCAATTTTAAGGCGTCATCATCATCATCACAGTAAATTAGGATTTTCATTTTCATTTGCATTCACTTTTGTCCAAGTTGACAGACAGAAAATAGTTGATACCATATTATCATCATTCTTAGCAAGTATTATTACTCTGTATAAAAAGTTAGAAAGGAACAAGGTTGACCAAAACAGACCAGACCACACAATTAAAAAATAAGAAGGAGAGGAAATACTAATACCACAATTGCATACGCGACTTTTAATCAATTTAAATCAACTTACACATAAAAACTGTAATGATTTTAACTTTTGAGTGTTGAAACTTTTTAGTATTTAAAAACGGCAACGAATCTTTGGAAATAAGCTGATAAAGTAAAATGCAAGCCATAAAATGCATGTTAGTTGGTGATTCTAAAGTTGGGAAGACGGATCTCTTTCTCACGTTTACAACTGGTCGTCCTGCTCCAGGCTACAGTCCGACAGTGTAAGATTTTATCAGGTTTTATGTATAACAGATTTTGATTTTTTTATAATTTACCACAAGGTTTGACATATTTACAAAGCAAGTCGTGGTGGAGGATGAATCGTACAATTTGGCTTTGTGGGATTCGGCAGGAGCTTGTTTGTATGATGAGATTAGACCAATTTCATACCCTCATGTGAGTCGTGAGACGTATTTATGCATGGTTAATAAAATTGAAAAGGGTTTTCGAAATTGTAGACGGATTGTTTTCTAATCTGTTATTCGGTGGATGATCGAACCTCCTTTGAGAATGTGGAAGTGAAATGGAAACCGGAAATATTACGGTTTGGTGATGGTCCCACGGTCCCATTGATTTTGGCTGGTAAAACACATTTGCATAATTAAAAATATAATATGCATACGTTGATTTATTTTCGGTCGGCCTGCTGAAAATGATAATTTATTTGCTTAGGTCTTAAATCTGATCTCAGACCGAAGGAGTCAACAAATAACGAAGGTTCCAATTTTGTGACAAAAGAAGAAGGAGAAGCTCTTCAGAAGAGGCTTGGTGCTCAACAATTTTTTGAATGTTCAACAATCTCAGGAAACAATGTGGACCTCATTTTACAAAATATGATTCAGTCCGCGATGGCGAAAAAGGCTGGAGAGGATAAGCCAAAAAGTAATAATTTAATAATTTGTAAGGCATCATTCGTAATTATTTAATTTTGACGGAATGTGTGGTACAGATCCACTCTGGGGGTTTGAAGATCTCAAAATTTTGCTGGTTGGGGACAGCACGACGGGAAAAAGTAGCATTTTAAACGCCTACATGACGCAGAAACCGATGAAGGACGGGCATGATCCTACCACCAAGTAATAAGCAGAAGATTTTTCAAATGTCTCAAAATGTGTGGATAATTTATCGGAAATCCAATTTTACAGAGGTGTTCAGCCCTACCAAGATTCTGCGTATAGCATTCTTGTGCTGGACGGAATTGAGTATTTTCTTGGCATATTTGATGTACCAAGTACCCCCGAATTTTTGCACGATCGTATAAAAGAGTATCAAAAGGTACTGATCATACTCATCCCTGGAAAATAAATATACTGTTGACTGTAGATTCTACAATGCAGAATATCATTATGATTTTAATTGTGTAGGCGAACGGAATAATACTCTGTTACGCTGTCAATGATCCATTTTCCTTTCACAACCTCGAAAATCAGTGGATTCCAGAAATACGGAAATATTGTCCGACCGTTCCCTTGATCATTATTGGTGAGAGAATCGCTTAAAACACCAATTCTAATCGTGAGTTTATTCAATTTGCATATACCGTTTTCGTCCAGGTAATAAATGTGACCTGAAGGAAGATTCGGAAATCTTAATCCCCACCGAGGACGGGGAAGAGCTCATGCGTTCCACTAAAGCGGTCGCTTTTGTCGAATGCTCCGCAAAAACTTTAGAAAATATTAAAAATGTTTTTATCACGGGAGTGAAAGCATTTAGAAAATCGATAATACCAGAGAATGTAAAAGATTCTAATGGTGAAAGTGATAATACAAATTGTGTACAACGTTTGACGGCTTAACAAAAACAGAGAATTAAAGTAGAAAAAGAATACAAAATCACATTTTATTTCTATATTTATTTCCCATTTATTCGTGATTTATAATTTAATCGGGACCCACGGAGTGACATCCGTAATGTTGAGATTTTGCCAAAATTGTAACGCCTTCAGATCTGGATAGTCAATCATTTTCACTTCTTGGTTATATTGCAGCATTCGAAATTGCGTAGTTTCATTAGTGTTAGATTGCGTAAACGGGTCCCAAATGTGGATTGATTCACCAGCTTCGGTTGTGTAGGTTGGTTCAATGAGGGTGATAAGTAATTAATCAATTAGTTTTCAATAAGTCTCCTCTTTGGCTTCCTCCGTGCACGACGTATCTCTCTCTCGCTCTGCATCTGGATCCTCTTCCATCTGGGTCGCGGGTGTGCCAGGGCAAGTAAAGTGTGTCCTAAGGGCTTTTCGCCACGTGAGCCTCGTCCACTCACACCCCCCACCTGCGTGCCTAGTGACACCCCCTGCCACACCCGTCCCAGCAACGACAAGCTGAGCCAACAGGCGAAGATGGATTCGCAGGACCCAGTGCACAGGAGGATCTACGCCTTGGAGGGGCTCCCCCAGGTAGGTTTTTGTTTGGCATATCGGGGTGGTGACCGTGGGGAGTGGTTGGTTGAAGAGTGGAGGAGGGGGTCGTGCATGTCGGAGGGCGGCATAGTCGGGTCTACGGGGGTCCCATGACCTGATTGTGTTGTGATGGGAGAAGGGGCAAGTGGGGGTGTCGTCGGCCCCGGCTACGGCTTCCATGGGGGACGTGGGCAAGATCCCGCGGTCCGTGGACAGCCCCCGCCCAACAACCTTCAACCGTCTACTTCCGCATGCAGACGCCACCCTCATTTGAATATCACCACCACCCCACGGAATCCGCCTATGTATCCCTGCCATTCATTTTCCTACCTGGTGTCCAGCAGTAATGGGCCGAATGGTGTATTGGGCCAACTTCCCAATACATGTAGAGGTTTTCCGAGACCATCTCCGGTTTTTCCTCTACACCCATACTGCTACATACATATTATCATTAGATTTTATAAATTTATCATAGTGTGTGATTAGCCTGTATTGGGATGCCGTGTGCTACTTGTGGATTATGCCCACAACTGAGCACATACTTTGTTAATTCTTAGATTTAATCATTATGAAACTATGTATGTAATTTGAATGAACTTTTGTATGAAATGAATGAACGATGATGATTGTAAGAGCTTGCGCTTTATCAATCTTGAATAAACCTACCTACCTAATATAAATTAGTTTTCAATATATTTTGCAATTTTGCAAGTATAAAGTACCCCGTCGTGACGAAATTCACTAGAAAATTAACCATCACTTGGGACATTTTATAATCAGGGTCTGACTCTCTGAAGCCCGGGTGTTGTGTGGACGTGTTGAAGTAATAATATTCATCTTCTGCATGGCCGGGGCCTAATTAATTTAATACCAATTAAATGTTATTAATTACGAGATAAATGACTACAAATGGTTTAACATAGGACTCGATGACTCAAAATTGTCAAAATCAGCACATTTCTAATCGTTTCTCGGCTCTGGGAATTTATTTAAAATTCTGGACAACAAAAGTCCGTACTCCGTAAATTGATTAATAGAATTGTGGTGAGGTTTTTATTTTAAGCCAGTTTCATTGAGTTCCTATTTTTCTGAAGGCTTGAAATCTATCTTCAATGACTGTCAAAATCTGGATTTATATATTTTTTTAATTGGCATCCCTGCTCTACAAATTTGTCGTCCAGGGGAGGAATTCAATTGTAATTTGCGCAACGCGTAAGCATAGATTTTGAATCAAAATTTATGCTTACGCCTTAAATTAATTTAATAATTTATAATTAATTTAAATTAATTTAAAAATAAATTCCCAGAGGTGAGAACGATTAACAACGTGCGGCGAGTCATCTTAATAAACGCACCCCACTCTGACGATTTGTGTCCATACATATTTCCCATGTTGTAGTTTCCCTTGTCAAATGAAAAGTAGTAAGCGTAACTTGGAGCAATGGCGGAATGTACTTGGAGACCTTTTAACACTCCAAATTGAAAGAATCGATGTGAAATTATCTACAAATTGTTTGATATAGTGAAAAAATTGCCATAAAATTATTATTAGTTTTACACACGCACATTTGTATTACGTAAATACTTACGCTGGCAAATTCAAAATTACTTCCTTGCATTGCGGGTTTATTCCCAAAATAAAATTTTGTAACCTTCTCCACAATCTGGTCAACGTCTTCAACACTTTGTCCAAACACGGTGGACAAATAGTTCAAATCCAGATACGATTTACTGGTCAATTTCCAATTTAGCCGGAATGGTAACCAGCGTTGGAAAATTTCCAGGACTGAAATTATCATTTAAATGCTTAGCTAATTACAGAAGACATTAAATTGAGTAGCACGAACCCAATACTGCCGTCATCCCTTCATGACTAGTTGTCCCCGTGATCCACGGTTTTTTAGCTACGTGACCCCGATTATAAGCATCCTCAGGACTTTCCAGGAGAAAAGCGTCAGAATGCGGGGGTTCAACTACAGGGGCAACTAACACTGGAGGTAATGGAAACCAGTCCTGGAGATTAAAATGTTTAAGAATCAACTCAAATTTTAAGAAAATCTGAATGACTTTCTCCTTATTACAAATAAATTCAGCGAGTCTGCCACCAACGTGTTGACCGGAACTTTTTTGAGACATTGGACCAATTCCGTGCTATCGTTTGTAGGACAGCCTAACCTTCTTCCTACCCGATTAGCATAATATCTGGCCCGTTCTTTGGACTGCACTGCCCAATATTGCAAAGCGCTGCCCGTACCGAGTGACGCCACTCGTATGAAGAGGTGTCGTGTCCGGTTAGAAATCATGTGCAGATGACTAGAAATTCCACCCTGGGCATGATCATTTAAATTAATTTTGAATTTCTCTAGGCTTAATTTAGGAGATAATTCTTTTAATTACGGCGGAATATCCGACCAAGTTGATATTGTCGGGATCACCACCGAACGCTGCAATATTTTTATGCACCCATTCGAGCGCTAGGACTTGATCTTTCAATCCGAAATTTCCGGGCAGAGAAAGGTCGCCAGTTGAAAGGAAGCCTGATTTTATGGCAAAAATTAAAATTAGCTGGACTGGTTTACAAAATATGAGTTTCCGGAAAGTCACCTAACACTCCCAATCTGAAAAATTTTTGGAAAACTCAAATGAGTGAGAATTGTTAAAAATCCGCGAGATTTTCTGAAATGTAATTTACCTATAGTTGACCGTGACCAGTACGACATTTCTCTCCAACAGGTACGCAGGACCGTGTTCTGATCCGGATCCCTGTGACACACGCATAAGTTTAAACTCATCAGCATTTATCAACCCTTTGCGTTATGCACAATAAGGATTTTTACAGTAAATTCTCTCGAAAGCGCTAATTTACGCTATACACATAATGATAAGGGTACATTAGTAGATATTTCAGTGAAAATTTAGTGTAAGAACCTCAATTCGCAATAACCCGAATACGTATGTACAAACCATAAAAAATGCCCCCGAGTGGAGATATATAATGACTGGATATCCCCGATTATTTCCACTCTCATTACAAGGGAGCTATGCACAAAAATTTATTTATGTAATTAAATTTTCAAAATTCGAATTTTCATAACTCATGTGCAGAATTACCCGAGGGGAAAACACATTGGCGAAAAGACAATCTTCACTCCCATAAACACGTACATATTTTGCAAGGCTTAGTTGGAGGCAGTCACTTCCTCTTTTATTTGCCTTCAATGTCCCTGTCCATTCTTCAGCAGGTGTTGGAGACTACATAAAAGTTATTTGCATATTATATTTTATTTGCATATATTACAAAATTTCGCAGTTTTTCGAAATTATAAATTTTAGCATGCAACGTATTTTACATGTCACGAACCTTCCATCGCTCCGCTCTACCGTAACGAATTCCTTCAAACGCAAGGATCGGCCGACCCTTGACCGTTTTCATGCCATAGCCTTCCAGCCTGCCCCCGCTTGGAAGTGTGACCACGGGGTCACTGGTCTCGGACTCATTACAGGTTCTTCCCTCCCTGAGAAGATCACTTTCCTTATAAGGAACCGAACTCACGATAGGATCACTGTAATTGGGATCACACGGAACCAAACCACACAGCAAGTTAAACAAAAATGTTGCAAATAGTAGCATTTTTGAGTAAAATCTGGGAGGGAGCAATGGCAGCAATGAAAGGTCAGATTGAAATGGTGGCGTCAGCAGTACGTGCATTGTTAGGTAGGATAATTTATCTAAATATGAAGATTTTGATTGTATCAAACTGTCCATAATTTTAGTCGATTGTTCTCACTTACCTCCTCGCAGGTACTTGTACAATACTTGATATGTGATGATTATGCCTTACATAAAAGGAATATCTTTGAAGCAATCGCGTTATTACGAAGAGGCTGATCAAGTTTTTTAAGGTAGACGAATGTACATAGATATGCATGTAACTTTGTTGTTTACAGTCTTGACCAATCCAAGGCGTACTAAATATACATGCAATACCTTCACTGGAACCGGTTAGCAAAATGGAAAATTCACAGTATTCACATTTCCAGATAAATGGTGAATTTGTTATTATGATTCTTTTAATTACTAATATGTACATCCAGACTGTGTATCGTATAAATTAGTCTAATCGTTAGTATACATATACATACTTATGTTACACCATTATTTTACTACAACTACCCAGAAATGTTACAATGCGTCTTAGATATTTTCATACTCAGATGAGAATTATGATAACCTCTTCTTGAACTGATGAGCCTGTCGGGAGACGAGCAAAAAAAGTTAGATTTTTCCCAGTGCACAATTACAATTATGGATTGCATTCTTACATAAGCCGCATATTCCAGCTCGTTAATGGCATCGATGGGGTTTTCTCTTTCGAGAAGGGTCATCCTCTTCAAATTGTCTAAAACTTCTTGACCTTCTTCCTTAGCACGTTGGGTCATCGGGACAGAGTAAACGTTGAGTTGGGTGACCACGGATAAAATGACAGCCATAACTTTTTCAAAGTCTAGGTGAATTATTTCAGCTTCCAACATGTTTTGCTCAAGTGCCCCGATCACTGCGAAAAAACGGAATTTGCATATTTATCATGCGAGTAAGAAATTTACATATGGTATCAGAACTTACATTGAATATAAGTCTGCAGTCGTCTAAGAGAGAAATGTCGTAACGTCGGAACTTTCATGGGACGTTGGGCCAAGAAAGCTAAATTATGCTTGGCAAAGAGTTGGTAGGTTGGAGTGATGTCTAGATGATTAATAATGAATCCGTCCTGGTGTCATGAGTTTATTGGTATTGTATGAATTTCATAATCGAAATTTAAAAAATATATATATATATTTCGAACGTTAGTGTCCAACGGGTCATCATTCTATAAATAAAAATACGATTTGATTATTATTATTACTGTAATAATGGAGGTCTCTCAACGTGTGGTATCCGATTTTGACCAAATTAGTGTGAATCGATCACAAATTTAACGAATATGAAATTTGCAAAGGACACAAACTCCCAATTTGGATGCAGATTTGGTAGATATATTTGATCCGAAGAGGAGAAAATGCGCAGAGTAAACTTGGAAAGTGTAAAATTTTTCAACTTTAAGATGCAAATATCTCTGCCAAACGTGACCATTGGTAGATCGTGTCTTTTGCAAATTACATGTTAATTAAATTTGTGACCGATTCACACTAATTTGGTCAAAATCTATGAGCATAAGTTGAGAGACCTCAATTGTACGTTGCATTACAATACATAAAATGCGAACAAAGTTACTCACGAGTATCTGTTCTTCCCTGCGTTCCTTCACAGATAGCTCTAAATTCGCCACAATCACGGCAACAATCAAGTTTGCAAAGACAAACGCTCCCACCGACACGGCCAAGATGAGGTAGATCGAGAGGAGAGCGAAATGATCATGCTAAAAAACAGGCATATTTCTTATCACTCATTTACATAATAAATTAGTACATATCATTGTGTAACCCTACAAAAGACCGAAACTCATCTAACGCTGAATTCCATCCATCCTGAGTAACACAAATGAAGAGAAGATACCACGCGTTGAGAGCATTTAGGAACCATTGTGTCCTCAGATCGTTCAAATCGAACAGAATGACGCCCATGACGGCCATGACGAGCATGAAAATGATCAACACGAGGAGAATGTTGCCCATGTCTTTGCCTGACTTGATGACCGTGTGCGTCACAATGGTCAAGCTGGAGAGAGAGCTGAAATGGACGTAAAAGTTTATTATTCATGATTTTAGTGGCATCATCACAATTTTTTGCATGCCTGATCGATTTCAAACTTCGAAATGCCCTCACGACACGGACAATCACTAATGCTTTTGAACTGTCATCGGATTCGCCGGTGATTGGAAATATAGCGATAAGCACGATAACTGCGACTATGAAGAAATCCAAGATATTCCAGGATACCTTATATAATAATTATAATTTGCTGTATTTTTGGTAATATGTAAATTAAGCTATGGTTTAGTAAATTTTGGTAAATTTTGGAAACATACTTTCCAAAATAGACGAAAATCATACATCCATTTGACCACAATTTCGAATATGAATACGCTCAGGATGACTTGGTCGATAATTTTGAACCATTTTTGATACTCTTCAAATTCAGTGTATGTAGTCAATCCGATCATCAACGCGCTCATCATGACGAGCGTGAGGATGAGAAATCTGACGACAAAATTAGTGACGGTGGTATTATCAATCTTGATAAGCATGAAAATTAATAGATAACTCGTAATACCGGAACCATGCACTTTGCAGGACGGAGTTGAGATACGTATGAAATACAATTTTATGATACTCGAAAGCATCGAGGTCTACGACGTGGTAAAAAATTTCCGTCTTTTTCTCCTTGTATTGGACCTTCTTTCCGCGAAAATAGTTATCGCACTCGGTTCCAACGTCGACATGGAAGAAATTGTCGTCACCTTTGATAATATCTTCGTAAAAGAATTTATTCTTCTTGTTCCTGTAATGCAAAAAGTTTCCAGCTTTGGGGCCATCTTCATTCTCCAGGGAAATCCTGTCCTTTTTGGTCAACCTTGATCTTTGTTCCTTCTCGCGGAGAGATTTTCGTGAGTGTAAGTTGTCGACTATGTATAAGTTGAATAATTATTTCATTGTGGTACAAGCATCATTTACATATTTCGAAGGGGAGCATACTTATCGATCCAGATTTATTTTTGACCGCATTATTTCCTGGTTTTGACATTTTAATGTAGGTTTTTAAAATGTTAACTTCTTATTTAAGGTAAGTAATTTATGGTGGAGATGCATATGAAGTTTGAGAGTCACACCTTGTGACGCTGCATAATAGCCAAATCTATAAAATCACGGATTGACACCGTTTCTATGGTTCGGTGCCTCACAATCGAGTTACAAAATGCAAAAAATATTACAAGAATTCAAATTTCGACAATTTGTGAGTAGACACAGCGAAAACTAGATCCATGCCAACGAACAAAACTGGCGTCGTCAAATTGGGGGTCGCGAATCTCGAGAAAGTTGGCCAGCAAAAAACTGAAAAAAACTCTGAAAACAGTTTTGTCTAAAAAAAACTGATTAATTCCAACTTCCACTCCCACCTACCTAACTAAGCAAAAGGTGACCAGTGATCACCAGTGATGGATTCCGACTTGGAGAGCGACAATGAGTATTCACCCGAAGACGACAGCTGCAACACATCAGCGAGTGACCACAGCAGCGAAAAGGATGGAGATACGTCAGGGGCGGAGGAATTGAACGAAGAATACGAAGAGTACGAAGACGTCGAAGAGGACGAGCCGAAAGACGATGAAAAGGGCGAGCACGACGAAAAGGACGAACAGGAAGCCGAGGAAGAGGACGATGTGCCAGTAGAGGAGAACGTTAACGGTGAACTTCTCCCAGAATTCTGCTCGGGGAAGATCCAGGGAGGGAAACAAAAGCGGCTTGATACCAGAAGTTATTGCGGACCAGGCCCGGATGACTGCCCCAAGCCAAAGGATCCCCCAAAATGCGAGAAGCCACATCCTCCGGCAAAGGTCAAACCACCAAAGAAGGAGAAGTCACCTCCCCCACCGCCAAAACCCAAGTCACCTCCTCCTCCGAAAAAAGGCAAGAAATGTGTACCTCCACCCCCAAAGAAGGAGGAAGAGGGGGGTTGCTGCACTGCCGCACCAGAGAAACCCACAAAAAAGAAACCTGACCCACCTCCACCTCCACCTCCGAAGCCTGTTCCCAAGCCCAAGGAGGTTGATGAATGTGTACCAGACAAGAAGGTGACCAAGAAACCGAAAGGCAAGAAGAGAAAGCAGTCTCGTTCAAATAGCCGTAAAACGAAAACCAAGCGGACCAAGAAATCGAAATCGAAGTCGAAATCGCGAACTAAGGTAAATTTGCGTCATGTCTACTCTCATGAACCTGAATTATGACGTGACCCAATTTAATTTATACATAATCCCCAAATTAATCTCTCATAGGCTGCCGGTGGTACGAAGCGGAAGTGTCCTCCATGTAGTCTCCCTCGGACCAAGGCAACAAAGCGTCCACGCCCTTCAACCAAGACCCCAAAGAAATCAAAGCAAAAGGATAAGAAGAAGGACAAAAAGACGGATAAGAAGAAGGTCACAAAAAAGGTCCCGAAGAAGGCCACAAAAAAGGTCAAAACAAATCAACGGGGATGCTAGAAGAAAAAGTGACAGCTCCTCTGAACCCAGCCGATTATATGTATGTATGCCTGCGTGCTAAAAAGATTCAAATTGTATCTACAAAATTCTAATGAATCAAATTAACATTGTGGAACTGTAATTGGAAATAAAATGTTGAACTCAAGCGTAAATTCAAGCTCTTTGTAAAATGGTTATAACTTGATTTCCTTAATTTTATAAGTCTAACTAACACTAACTTATAGTTTTATTTCTATTTAATATTAACTGCTCAATGCAAACTATTAGTTTTTAAAGAATTTAATCCGCAGATAAATTTATTTCACTATTTATTATTTACAACATGCAACTTTGAATTAATCAAAAAAATCACTTAACGTCGTCGTCATTGTTGTCGTCGACTTTCTTCGCCCAGAGGTACGCCTTTTCTCGTTTTTTCTCGAGCTGGTGGCCTGAGTCGGTGGCTGCGCTGGCGTGTTTGTACCGCTGTTTATCAACTCTGTCGCAAACAGGGACCTCCGATTCTTCAATATTTGCATCTACATACACGCAATTTTGTCAATTATAACGTTTTCTTCGAGCAGAATAAGTGTGCAAAAACTTACAAAAGCTAAGTTTGCTGTCGCACTCTTGTTCGCAAGATCAGGCAACGTTGTCACCATTTTTATATTTTTTGCCGTCATTTGCCGAACTTGGGACGGCGTTGGTGGCGGAATTATGTTAGTCGCTCCGTCAATTTGCTTACTTTTTGCCAAGGCCACGTTATACGTTCGCTTCAACTCGTTTTCATGAGCTTGTTGTTGAGAATACATGTCCAGTTGGAGGACAACGGATAATATAACGCCGAGGATTTTCTCCAAGTCCAAATTGATTATTTGGGCTTCCAGCATATTTTGCTCGAGAGCGACGATCACTGCGAAGAGCAATTCAGTAATTAATTTAATTAATTAACATTTAATTAAATACTTGAAGAACGTACGACTAATATAAGTTTGGATTCTTCTCTGCGTCAACTTTTTCAAATTTGGGATCCTCAACGGTCGCTGGGACAAAATGTGCGAGTTGTGTTTCGATAACAGATCGTAAACGGGTAACATTTCGACAACATTGTTGGAAATTTCGGGCTGGAATATTCATTAAGATGAAAATCATCCCAAAACAAGACTACTTTTGTTAATTTCTTACATGAAATTCCAACGGATTGTTTGACGCCTTTGCTTCTTCCCTCATTTCTTTGACGGACAACTCCAAATTCGCCACAATCACGGCAACAATCAAGTTTGCAAAGACAAAGGCCCCAATTGAAACGGCCAAAATTAGGTAGACAGCCAACCACGGAAAATATGTAGTATTCTGGACAATATAATTTCAGAGTAATTTATGCAGATTTTTTTATCAAAATTTTACATATTTAGTCAAGTAAATTTTATGTAGAAACCGGTACCGATCTAAATTCATCCAAGACTTGATTCCATCCGTCTTGTGTCACACAAATGAACAGGACAAACCAAGCGTCCACTGCGGTTAAAAAGTGTTTGGTTTCCAGTTCCGGATAGTCAAAGAGAATCACTCCCATGATGGACATGACCAGCATGAAGATCATCAAAACGATGAGAATGTTTCCCATGTCCACGCCAGATCGGATGATCGTGTGCATCACAATTTTAAGACTTGATAGAAAACTGAGAAATACAAATATTTGTAAGTACATGGAATTATTTGTATAGCGTGATTATTGGAATTTGCATGGATTTTGCACATGCCTCACAGATCTTAAACTACGGAACGCTCGTACAACTCGGACAACTACGAGGGCTCTACTATTTCGAAAAGTAGGTATAACAGCGGCCAGAATGATGAGAAAAATAATTATAAAATCCATAATGTTCCAACCGACCTGGAATAATCGAATGCGCAAAATTTATTATGAAATTTTCAGATTTTTAAATTTTACTGTTTTACATACTTTCCAAAACAATCGAAAATCATAAATCCACTTGATCAGAATTTCAAACAGGAACACGCTAAGGATAACTTGATCAAATATGTAGAAATACGTGGCATAATTGCTGACCATGTTGGGGTCAGTCTGTAACCCGATGATGATTGCGTTGACCAAGACAAGAACCAGGATGGATAACCTGATTTCAAAATTTTAGTAGAAACATGTAAAGTTTTCTCAAGCATTTTAAGGATTTTTAATTATTTAAAGTGTTTCGGGTGCGAGTAACCACTTGCAATAAATAACTGGAAGAAAGTGGTTTCTTGTAGCTATTTTGACCTGCAAGAAACTACGCCCGCCGCTATACTGTCGCTAAATGGCGCATATTTTTTGCACTTTCTCCCAGTTTCTTGCACCTCACATTTCTTGCGTTTCTTAAATGTGGCAAACTCTGATTATTTACCGAAAGAAGGAACTTTCCAAAATCTCATTGAGAAAGAGATGAAAGACAACTTTATGGTATTCATAAGCATCCAAGTCCACGATGAAGGCAAAGTGCTCCGTCTTCTTTTCCATCAAACGAACTCGCTGAGCTTTAAAATATGTTTCACATTCAGTGGCAACATCGACGTGGAAGAAATTGTCCTTTCCTCTCCGAACGTCTTCGTAATCGAAGCGTCTCGTTTTCTTGGGAAAATGTTGAAAGTTTCCGGACAATCCTTTCTCCGGTTCGGCCGCCTCCTTCTCATCTTTGTCCGACGATTTTTTTGACGGCTTGGGATTATTTATGGAAGCCGCTGAAGCAGTGTCCTTGTTCACATGCTCACCAGCACCGGAAGTTGAATTGAGATCAGTTTGAGCTGTTGTTGGGGCGCCATGGTCTTCTGGGCGTTTATGATGCTTACTGTAATGACGGTGATGATCATTTACGGCGAGGCGAGATGTCTGCTGACCAGATTCAGTGACCAGAGTGGTACTATTTTCTTGGGTTGGTTGAAAGCTCTCGGATTTCGCAAATTTTTCCGAAACTCCTTGAATACCTCGGCCCATGATGGAAGTTTTATTAGAGAGGAATGAATATCATGCATAAATCGTTAATACAAATCTCATTTCTTATTATTTTTAGTCGAGTAGGGAGAATATTCTATTTTGGGTTTGATTTTTAAGAATTACGGCACAAAATGGAGGAAATTTCTTGTTGGTTGGTAGGACAATGAGTGACGCTAGTAATTTTATCACTCAGAAAGCAAGATTATTTGACACTTTATCAGTCTATAAGGTTACGACAAATGGCCGAGTTACAAAAGAAATTTTCATTTTTATTAGCCCGAGACAGGGCTTATGGAAACGTCATGTCCGTCCGTCTGTTTTTCGATAACTCTTTAACGAGCTGACCGATTGACTTGAAATTTTTACCATGTATGTACATCTTGGACAAGTTAGGAAACGAGTTCGAAGATGGGCGAAATCGGTCAAGTGGTTGACCGGTGGAGGTCATGGTAGGTGGGATTCGAAATTCAAAATTGTCGTAGAAAGCTGAAATTTAGTACAGAGGTAGCTAGTGACTTGTTTTTTAGAAAAAAATGAATTTAAGTTGGAAAATTTTTCTTGAGGAACGCAATGGGGTGACCCATACTGGTTTTTCAAAATGGTCATATCGAGCTGAAATTTGGTAGAGACGTTGCTTATGGGGCCTAATGGAAGAATATGAAATGACATTGGTAGAATTTTATTTTGAGGGACCCTATGGGGTGACCCATACCGATTAGAAATTGCTTGAAAAACATTAAATCCGGCACGGTAATACTTAATGACTTCTCATTAAAGAATATGAAGTTAAAATGCAAAATAGTACAAAATATCTAACAAACATTTAGCCATCCACACCAAGGAGGTTGGTAATATTATCATGTCGGTGAATTCGAAAAAAATAGAAGTGAGCTCGGACTCACCGAGTCAGGGACAGAATCCCTGACTCGGGCTAAATGGACTCTGCATTGTAGATTTCAAAAAATAAAAGTTGTTAAAAATATCTCATGGAAATCTCATTTTTAGGCCTTTTCAGATGGGCTTATAGATTTGTCAAGATGTCTGTGCGCACGATAACTCTCTTTAAACACAAGCTAGCGACCTGAAATTTTGCGAAGTTCATCTTGGGGTCAAAAGTAAGGTTTTATTTTTAGAGACGGGCATGATCGGTTAGGTCGGTGGGGTCTTTTAAGTGGTTAGGGGTTGACTGAAAACATATTAAATGTCATAAAAAAGTCCCAAATTTTTCGTAGGAAGTTGGAATTTTGATAACGGGTGAGACCGTAGGGACTAATCCATACAGATTTTTCAAAAATATGCCACTCCACCAGTCAATGGTCGTTTTGACCGACAACCGCAACGCCTGACTCGGGCTAAATAAAGGCTGCACATTGCAAATTTCAAGTTTACTATTAGACATAGTACCCTCGAGATTTTTAGCTTAAAAAATCAATAAAAAAATTACGACGATTTCATCCTCAAGAATTAAGTCTCTATGTCTGCCCATTCAAAAGTTATTAAAGGTTAAAGAGTTGGTTCTCACGCCCATGGGAGAAGAACCAAAGATTTTTAAAAATAATTATTTTATTTGTAACTCGACCATTTGTCGCAACCGTTAAGGGAGACGCGTTACCTAGATACTTAATGTCAAGCAATCGTGCTCAGAAAGTCTGAAGTCAATCTGGCAAAAAAATCCACACCAAATATTGCCACATAGATTTCTAATCGTCCTGCATCGTAACAATCTCAACTACAAAATGTCGCTAAAAGTGTCTGAGAAAGGTTCCAGGTGGCAAATTCCTATTGTGGTCATCGCTGCCGGCATTTTGTGGTGTGTCGTGACCTGGGTCAAGTGGCGCTTGCGAAAGCAACGAATGGAAAAGTACCGCCTTGAGAAGAAAAAGCTGGACGATTTTATCCATTTTCAAAGCACTTCAGGCAAAACTGCGGCAGAGGTTGGTATTAAAATTCATGTTGTCCGAATATATCAAATTAAAATATAAGGCCAATTTTTCTAGGCTCTGAAATCATTTCATGAACGCCAAGAAGCCGAGGGCAGGGCAAAGATGGGGAAAACCCTTTTGGATGAGCTTGAAGAACGCCAGAAGAATAAAGGCAACAAAAAGAAACCGACCAGTGGAAAATATTCGGCTGAAATGGTGATGCATACATATTTACATAATTGACAAACCAGACTATAAATTCTAATGTTTCCCTAATTATTATCTAATCTCTTATAAGTAGTTTGAAGACTCGGTCAGCAAACATGTGAAGGAAGTTGATATCAAGAAAAATACGGGGGACGGAAATAACAACAACAATAACAAGAAATCCACTGATAATGGTGACACCAAGCCGGAGAGTGATCGCTACAAAAGCTGCACCAAGACCAAAAACTTCGTGGCTGAGATGGGACTCAAGGGTATCAATGCCAAAAAAGGTTTCCTCAAGAAGAAGGATGTCTAGTGTCAATATCGACCATTCGTTAAATATTTAATCTCTCACATATTCTGAGTCAGGCGTAAAAATATCCACATAAGAAAGTATCCGAAAGACCTTTTTGTTCATGATGAGTCATTGTTTTTTAACAAAGTGCATGTGTCTTGCACATAAATTGTGATGTTAGTGAACGTGTGTGCTTACTCATAGACTAGTTTACTTATATTATAGCAAGTTCTGCATGTATATGTATGTATGTATGGTATCTAATCTGTATTCAAGTTGGGGAAGTAAATCTGTTCGTATATATGTCGATAGATTGCGAGATGGATGGAGAAGATCATTTACTTACTTTATTTCGCATTTAACCAGACGACATTATTTACTCGCAGAGAGAAATCTATTACACATTTGTTATTCTTCCAAGTGGAAGAAGTTAGTTATTAGTAAATAAATTATAATTGTAAATCGTTTAATACATTAAGTCTTGTGCTACTGAACATTAAGTTCGTAGCCCGGCTTAAACTATGTAGTGTGAGATATTATTATTAAGTGTTTGTTCTTGTTGAATTGCAACTTTGTGTCGAGTGTGAGACTGCATTTACACGAATTGCTTCCTAGTCGTTTATGTGCAATTGTGTGCATCTTTGTCATACACAAGCAGCTAATCCTAAGCAAATGAGTGAATAATAAACTGGAGCGTATTTAACACTGTCAAAACACACTCTGTAAATACCAGAGTTTATTGCAAATTGATCGATATTTCATGTAATAATCGTGTCAAGTGCGATATATAAAGTTTGCTGATCACAGTAATTATTGCAGTGATATAAATATATCACCATACCGGAAATGGCCGTAATAATATTTAGCACTTGAATTGAAAATATAGTGCAGGAGAGTATGTACATAAAAATATGCATATAAAACTGAGGATGAGTGAGATATTTGAGGCATCTGCTCCTCTGCTAAAACTCTCGAGATAAAAAAAGAGGATTATTTATTTGTGAATGAGTCTCATTCGGTGATAATAATACTGCATATGCAATGTAACTGGTCGGAATATTAAAGCCTCTGCATATGCATGTGAAACTTGAATGATATCACGTTATCATCCATCACTGTGCAGAACGGAGATTGAGATATTTGACTTTGTGCATACCAGGTCGAACCAGTAGTTATTGTGCTGAAGGGTAGAAATGAGTCAATAAAAATACGAGAATTGTGTTATTACTCTGTTTTGTGTAGGATATATGGAAATGAAATTGTGAAAATGAGTAAGTGATACTTTATACGTGTCCGTGTATCAAATTTCTGTGGCGTTTTTGACTGGAATTTTCCTAAACGGGAGGTGGTACAGCTTGGATACATATAAAGTTTGAACAAAAGTGCGTACTTGGTTTTAGTCTGAACCGGCTCAACTTGCTGAGCAGATTTTAAACCAGACTTTTATCTATGTGATCTCAAAACACCTCCCAATTTACAATGAGACGTCCCAATTTGCAAGAAGACTACATTCCCGACCAATACCTGCAATATTCCCCCGAAGAATATAACCAATATCCCCCTCAAAACGAACTATCTGGTCGTGGGAGACCTGCACCGCCAATCTGGCTCCCACCACCACCCCCACTCTCATCGGAGGAAAATTCTCGTGCCAGTTCCGCCCTGTCACTTTCTCATCGTCAACATGAAGACGAATTTGACGACGACGAGAATTCGAACTATTCGGACGATGGTGATCGACAGCAATATGTCCCGACTGCTGATGACAGTGACCCCAACCAACAAGCTCGATGGGGTCGGAGTAACTTTACACGGGACGAACTTATCGCGCTAGATATTCCCCTGCAGACGAAAAATAGTAATTCTCGCCCTCCAATTTTCGCATCGAAAACTGTGCAACTGACGCTGTGTCAGAAAATCGTCATCACAATTATCATCATCCTTCCGGCGTTATGTTTCACCGCGGCGGCTCATTTTATTAACGATATCATGACAGACTTTAAACTTTTTAGTGCAAGTTTCTCCGTTTTTCAAGGCGTTTTCTGGCCATCGTTCATATTTTTGGTGATTGATGCCATTTCCGGAGCAACTTTACGGGATGGTGGGGACGAGCCTTCGTCGCGATGTCTGGGGCTTTGTTGGGCGAATGGGAGGTGGAAATTGACGCTTTGGTTGATTGTAAGGATTTACTCGTGATAAAATGTTATCTTAATTTGTACATGTGTGTGAATTAATTTTGTTGATATTTCAGTTTCACAGCATTCTTGCCTCAATCTCCGTAATTGCTCAACTGTTATCAATTCAACGATTAAATATCAGCGTGTCTCTGGCACTTTCCTTTAGTTCGACGATATTCGTAATCTTACTCGCGCAGATAAATCGAGACAAAAGGTTTAGTCTTGAATTGATTGCGTTTTCGATTTTGGGATATCTCGGTTTTGTCGTGGTGGGAATTCCTGCTATGACATCGACTCGCCGGATGGACTCTGTAGACTTGACGGTAATTAGAAAATTAAGTTAGGAATTCTAGGAATTAGAAAATTTAAGGTGGAATAATTACGTCGTAGATTTTAAATCTCACTTCATTCATACTCTATTCTATCTGCAAATTTAACTGCAAATCCCTAAAAATGACACAAATTCCATCAGTTTTTAGATAGCTGCAACTTTTACTTTTTCTGTAAAATTAATTTTTCGTACTACAAGTATCCATTTGAAGAGAAATTGCGAATTTATTTCAAATCGATAGTTTTATAGTGCCAAAAATTAAGTTGACATTAAAGTATCAAAAGTTACAGTTATCTCAAAACTCATGAAATTGATGCCATTTTAGAAATTTGCATTTAAAGACATTTAATAAAGTGAGATTAAAATCTATATGCCACATCAAATCATCATCCTACGTAACCTTAATCCAACGACTTAATATTATATTTACGATAGGCCGGAGTGATCGCATCCCTCATCGCATCTTCCACCGCAGTCCCGGCCACCTTCATTTTAAGCAAGCTACGCCAAGAAAAAGTCGCCGATTCCGTAATAGCGACCTCTTTCTCCTTTCACGGCTCTGTGTTCAGTCTCATCATAAAAATTTGTATAGACACCTCCCCCCATTTTATCCCTCGGTTTGACCCCACGTCGATCCAGTGGGCGGCTGCAATCACGGCACTCGTCATATTCGGCACCGTTTTCACCATATTGGAAGGAAAATTCAGCCAGAATTACAAACTCAACGTGAGAAGTGATGGATTCGGATATTGCAACATTTTAAGACTGCGACTCCTCATTTTTGCGTTCTCGTGTGCCTGGGAAATTATCCGACAAGGGATTTGGAACACTTTTCCCGACGCTTTCGACATTTTTGGCAGCGTTTTCGTCTTCTCCGCATTTTTACTTGCGGTCGGATATGAAGCCTGGTCACTCCGAATGTCGGAAGAAGTAAAGAATTCCAGTCGACCGTTTCAATTCTTCCCGTGGCTTTTATCCACTAAAAAATCTCCCAGCAGTAACAATACGTGGAAATGAAATGCGTACGCTGGATATACGATTTAATTTATTGACGAAAGTGCCAATTTTTATGACTGATCTGAATTTTAGTTAGCTATTTATACAAACATAAATACGTAGCAATTAGCAATAAATCTCGATAAAATGCCATATACAAAATAATTACGAATTATAGCATCGCTAACATAACGTGTAAATCATTTCAGTGTAAATGGCTTCATGATAAGCTCTCATTTGTTTAATATCAATTGCATCGTTCAAAATCTTTATACGCCATTTGTTCAAACCCGACAATTCTACACCTCGAAGCTCATTACTGAAATCATACGACGACGAGTACAATAATGACATGACAACGCACACTGTCACGAAAACGAGAGTACGAGACGACAAAAATTGGCAATTTTCATAATGCATCATCTCGAGCAGCTCTTCCACCATTAAAATTTTAGATCCCACCACGCCCATCAACTTACAGGATGGTGGTGGAAGACGTTAAGAAGAAGTTTGGCGAGTGGGTAGACAAATACGACTCAAACTCTGACGACTATTCGACCTTCCGCCTTCAGCAGAACAGCAATGGTCCAAAGATGTCACAGCCACCCGCGTCCGCCAACACGTCAGAATGGGCTGGTGTCTTATATGACCTTACGTACCTAACGTGCGTCTTCGTGGTGAGCATCTTTGCGATCCATTTCCTCTTGGAAATTGTTCACTTCTTTCGAGACCAGCTTCGTCGGAAGGTCGGTCATAATGCGGCAAATCGAAAGGTGCTTTTTGAACCTGTCTTTCGAGAGGAGAGTGCCAGCTGGCCGACTGGGGCCGCGTTGGCTTTCACGTACCCCAACGACAACCGAGACGGTATTTACAATTAGATAAAGTTATATTTTTAGTGATGGATGCATTATTCATATTGTCCATGTTTTTCCAGTTTCGATAAGATTTCGACCACCAGACCATGGAATGGCAGCTTTCGATTTTACGTAATAAGAGAACATATCTATATGCTGTTCGCGCAAAAATTGTCGGTTGAGAAAGCAGTCGGAAATAGAAGTTAACACCTTCGTCCGAAACATAAATTGTCTATGAAAATCTATGAAAATTCGAGAAAAATGAGACCCCAGGAAGTCTCATACATATCTCCTAGAAATAGATCCGACCACGTCTCTGGCTTTGAAGGCGACAACTTTTTGCACAAACAGCTGCAAATGCATATCAGTCAGTTAATAATAAGATACTAATTTTATAATTTTGACCCAAGGAACAAAGATGACCAGAGAACAATCACGTATCTCGCCCAGTACGGCCCCATCCCACGCGTTTTTGAGGAGGGACCATACATCGACGACCACAAGCCTCCCAGACCACCAACACCTCCGCCACCACCACAGGCTGGGGGAGGAGGAGGAGGAGGAGGTGGCAATTTCTTCTCAATGCCATCCAGCCCTCACCGTGACTTGTGGTCATTCAACGCTGGCGTTCCCCACCAGACACGACCTGGTTTTTGCTCCTCCACTTCAACGCCTTGCCTGAGCCCGACTAACCAAATGCAGAACCAGTGCTCGAGAGGACAAAGGATTCACAGAGGACAGCAATCCAACTCCACCATCAATTCGCCATTTTTCTCGACGGGAGGAAATCGCTTTGGGTGCGGAACAACACACACAAGTAGTAACACCAAGTCAAACGTTGGACTTGGGGTTGGACGTGGACATGAGATGACCAGTTTGCGCCCAAAATTCACAAATTACAAGCTAATGTGATGCATATCATAGGTGCAAATTTAAATGCAATGCAAACTTGCGACGTATTTAGAACCAGGAAATTCCAAAACGTATAAAGAGCAATGTAAAAATATGTGTAACTGAACTGTCTCAAAATGAATAATTTTTGCTCGATTAATAAACCAAACCTCTGCAATAAAATATTTTGCCAAGTTGTCACTGTATTCGATCACCAGACAAAAAGTAGCCTAATATAAGTGCAATGGGGGTGGAGTTGTTTCTATGGACATGTCCGCATAAAAACTAAACGGGGCCCACTTTCCACATTCGCATTGCACTTTTTGAATTCCAAAATTCCACTCCGAAATGTCTCATTCGGAAAAGAACCATTGGGACGTGTGGTCCGCAGACCCCGATTCTGAAGATTTTGATCAACATCACGGTCATCGAGTGAGTTCACCTCCTTCTTACGGTCATGGTTCTCCCTCTGAAGGAGGAGCGTCCTGCTTCAGAACTTGGTTGAAGACGGCGACAAACTTTCCCTTCCTGATCGTCTTTATTATTCTCGTCGTCTGCGTCTCGTCATTGCTTTTGCCAATGGTCAAATCTCTCTGGCAATTCATCGTGTCCCAGTGTCAACGAGAACTGGGATATCAAGATAGGAGGATTTTTTTCGAACCAGTGTTCAGCAAGGAGTCTGGCATTCCCACGGGAGCCGCGTTGGAGTACAAGTACCCCAAGGATGATCGGAATGGTAAGTAATTTTTATTAACATTTGACTCGATGAATCATGACAAAAATCGTCAAAATCAACACATTCTTAATCATTTCTCGGCTCTGGGAATTTATTTTAAAATTCTGGACGAAAACTTTGTAGTAAGCTGGGTAATGGAATGGGGTGAGTTTTTTCAGCCAGTTTCGACGAGTTCCAATGTTTCTGAAGGCTTCTTAAACATGAAATCTACTTAAAAAACTGTCGAAATCTAGATTATATGTCTTTTAAATGGCATCAACCTACTCTATAAATTTATCGTCCGGAATTTTAAAAGTTTAAAAAATTCCCAGAGCTGAGAAAAGATTAAAATATGTTGATTTTGACTACGAGTCATCACCTCCTACGTTATTAACTTTGGTAGTAAATATTCCCGTTTTGAAAAATAACCTATTATTTCTATTTTCTGCAGTCTCCATACTATTCCGACCTGCGGACAAGGGGAAAGTTCGATTTGATCTCATTCAGCGAGACATTCCTGACAAAAAACCCCAGAGCACCGGTCTTATCGGGAGGATTATGGATGAGTATCAGTAAGTATTCCCATCCTTAGTCCAACTGACTTTCTGTGACTTGAAATACTTCAATTGTTACACAATTTTTAAGGGATCTCTTATCTTGTCCCGAGGACGAAGTGGCGACGAAGCACAGCAACCGGAAAATGATTAACTACACCGCCGAGTTCTACCCAATTCCGAGATTGTATGAGACCCGGAAACCACCAGGAGGATTTCATGACCCAGGGTTACCACCACCGCCACCACCAGGAGGAGGAGGCAGAGGGGGTGGTACTAACAACTTGATGCCATCCAGCCCTTACCGCGACTTGTGGTCGCCACCAAACACTGGAATTCCCCACACACGACCTGGCTTTTTCTCTGCACCGCGACATCAGTATTATGAATCAACTCCAGGAAACCAGGTCCCAACATATTCAGACTTGGACTACAATGTCATCAATCGAAGAAATGGGACAACGAATTTTGACACCACTTACCAGTCATCTCACATTTGGAATAATAATAATCCGAATCAAGGCAGGCAATTTACACCTTCCATGAGAAATGGGTACACGAGAAATTCAGGGATCATTTATGGCGACTTTTTGTAATTTGACGACTCTCAGAATGACCTTACATTTGAACTGTGACGTGAAAAATATGTAAAACAAAACAATCTGTCCCTCTAATGATTACATAAATTTGTACCAATCAATTTAGGGATTTGACATGATATACGAAAACTCTGAAATAAATAGTCACAAAAAATATGTTCTTTTGTATTAAGGCTTTATTATCACTATTCATGTTTGACTGATAATCTGCAAATTTATCTGCCTCAAATCTTCCCTTCTCCCCAATTCTTTTGAAAAAGAATGCACCACGAATACGGAGTAAAGTTGTAGCACGATAAACCAAAGATGAAGGACTTGGCCAACCGATGATGATGAAGATGGAGTTTGCCTTGGTATTAGCACGTGGTCAATGAAGAGGTACAAGCTGAGGGCTACAATCCCGTAGTGAATATTGACCCAATGGTCAGTATTGGTTTTATTGCCCTTCATAAAAAATGTGACGACATCAAAATATGTTTTTCAAAATTTTACAAGTATTAAACCTATTCCAACCTTAATGCTTGCATCCCAAAGTAAAATTCCCAAGATAAATATTCCAATTGAGAAAAAAAGTCGGGCATAAAGTTCCGCGATAAGCAGGAGAGCTGATTAGTTATGAAATAATTAGTGGATAACTTATCCAAGATAAGAATATTTACCGATGTTTTGCTTACTTGCCCACCCTTTCGTGTACTCGAAATCTTGCAATCTTCCGGAATGATCACCTTGAAATAATTCCGATGTCCACCAAGAATGTGGGTAATGTTCTCGGATTAAATCCTTGTCCTCCTTCTGACTCGTCATTTTACCAAAATTGATAATAATTGGGGTTGCAATGATACAGGCGAGGATAAAACATCCTGATAAAGCCTGCGTAAAATACCTTTAGCTCTTTTGTGATAATTTTTTTTCTATGAAATACGGTTTATTTATGTACCATTTCCATCATGGCGATTAATTTGACTCCCTTTCTAAGCGAGTATCCACAAAAATTGACAAGTGGGATGCACGCCATGATTGATTACCAATTTTTTTATTATGTTTTATCGGTTTGCATGTAAATATGAACTGATAATATTTTATGTCTGTTCTAGTCTGATGAAAGCGTTTTGTGGTCAAATTTTTATGCAAATGTTTTCCTCGTAATGTTAATGAATTAGGAAATTCGTACAATTCCAGGATTTCCGAGCAGGAAAAGAACAATTATTAGTTTATTACGAATAAGATATGAATAATGTACGTACATTGGTTAGTTTTATGCAATTTACAACCATGCCTTGATATTACACCCAATAAATATTAACATAAATCGGTATATGTATTAATTAACATACATGTTAAAATAAGTATTATTATGTAAATTCGTCAGAGATAAAAATTGCCAATCAGATTCTGGGTATATCTACATCTTGTTCCATGGTATTACTTAAAACTGGCAAAATCCGCACATCGGTTCCCCCCGAAGCAGTCGGATAAATGCGTACACGACAACAAGCGTGTACAACTCGACGACGAACTCGGTGAAAGTAATAAAAATCCAGAGTGCCCCGGATGAGGCGTCGACGAGTCCTCTAATGAAGGAAATGAGATCCCAGGTCATCACGATGTAGCGAAATAATAGCCAAATGTGACACTTTCGAGCACAATTCTGAAAATATTTTACATAGTTTAAATCACTTGAAATTTCAGTATCAGTTTTGTAATAAAAATGACTTTACTTGATCCGCTCCCTTGTAAAGAATGGCCCCAAAAATGACACCAAGAAATCCAATGATGCTGATACCGACCCCATTTACGAGCACTAATTAATAAGTAGTTACACTTTTTCCGTACCACTCGGAAATTTGAAGAAAGTTTCCTTACCAAGTTCCACAGATTGAAAAATAGTTTCAGGCTCAGGAACCTTTTCACTTTCTTCGATCGAGAAGTAAATGTAGTAGCTCAATCCAAAAACTGCCATCGTAGAACTAAATATCTGTTCATCAAATGTAATAGAATACTTAATTAGTTGCCCAATTTGTGTTAATATTTTACAAATTCATCCTTAATTTCCATTAGTCTTACAATATCTAGAATTGCCACGACTTTTGTGGCTGATTGCGGACTGAGTAGGCGACAGCAAGGGTTACATGATGATGATGATGACGACATGATTAACTGATAACGCAAAAAAAATAATTTAGGAAATTTACAAATTATCAGGAGAGCAGATTTCTATCTAGATTTTATTTACCGAAGAAAGTGACATGAGTTTTTTAAGGTTCTTTGACCGAACAATGATTGTCACCCTACTGGAAGGAATCCTGTAAAATTATTTGTTCTTATTTGGCATCCTCTTCTGCTCCGTCTGGAGAAATGGATTGGATGATGATTGGATGCGTCGCAAAATTGAAACCCGATACACCTTCAGAGCTCTTGTTTATGTTATTCTAGTCCTCATTTTATTTTATAGCTTTGTTTGCTCACTTCCCTTCAAATGAAGTAATGATACCGAGAAACGTAGGGTTTTAAATTTTATTGAATGAGGATAATTGTAGCAGAGAGGATCATAAAAATGAATCTGTTCCCCATTAAGAGTTGGGGACATAAGATCAGTGGTTTAATGTAATTGTGACATCATGGTTATCATCAGAGGGCGGATATGTATTTATTTCCAACTTTTTCATTTGATGATGATCGACTTTGTGGGGGCGTGTTTCCGAATTTTTGCGGGTGACAAAAATTTCAAAATGTTTTTACATATTGTCGCATATCTATTTTTAGGTTTACAGACATAAATATTTACAAATATTTCCGCCATTGTTTGAAAAATAGGTAATTTTTGTAGATATTTTTTAAATACATATACCTAAGTATTTTGTAAATATTTGAACGCTGTGAGTCGTGAGACGATTTTTTTGCTCGAAGAAATTGGACCACAAGAAAATCAAATGTATTCAAATGTATGAGCATCAAATTCAAAAGTATGAATTTTTCGAAAATCTTATTTGTATGGTTTTGTTGGTACATATTTTTCGAAAATCTTATTTTTATGGTTTTGTTGGTACATATTTTTTTAAATATTTTTTTCCTAAGTATGAAATAAATAACCGCCCTCTGATCATTATCTCTACGAAGTCATAAAGATTATTGTAAAAGTTTGTGTAATAATAATGAGAACAAGAAAATTCTGGAGAAATTGAGACGGGAATATTTAACAAGAATCGTTTTCAAAGCCCTCGCATAAAGGAGAACACGACGAGGGCGAAATATGTGTGAACAATGACGCTTCCCAGTATGATTGAGATGAAGAATGGGTTGGTAGAATCTCCAATGGAATTATCGCCATCATTAAAAACTTGAGGAAATATGATGAACACTCCGATTGCTGCGATGATGATGGTTATCATTGTGAGGTTGATAATCATCCAAACTTTGCACTGGATCCGATTTTTCTGATAGAAAAAGTTACAAAATGATATTCTCGCCAGTGTTAATAAATAGTCGAATTTCTTAATGAGAACTCGATGACTCATCCGGAAAATCGGCACATTTTTAATAATTTCTCGGCTCCAGGAATTTGTTTCAAAATTCTGGACGACAAATTTGTAGAGCAAGTCGTTCCCAATTTTTTAAAAATATACCGTCCAGATTTCAACAATTTTTGAAGGAGATCTCAAGTTTAAGCAGCCTTCAGAAAAGCATGGTTAAAAAATTGAACCTCATCAAAACTGGCTTAAAAAAACTCACGGCCATTCTATTAATCAATTTACTGGCTACAAATATGTCGTCCGGAATTTTAAAATTATCCATTTCCGAGAAATTATTAAATACGTACTAATTTTGACGATTTTAGTGACGAGTCCTAAGCACGTTAATAAGGATTTACATGTCTAAGGAGGGGAGGTTGTGTACTATCAACTCCCGGATCTCGATGCCCTTTGGATATGTTGTAGTGTCCCATGAATGTACAAGAACCCTGAAGTGGTTTGATTCCATGGCCACATTTGCGCCCGCCACACCCACTCAAAGGTGCCCAAAAATCGCTTTCACTCCAGCTTTCACTTATTCAAAACCACGCTAAAAATCCAATTTTACTCCGATTTTCAAATTTCTTTCACCATTATACTCCCAGATAGTTGCTTTCTTATTTCCAACATCAAACTCAACTTTTTTGATGATTATTTTGCAGACATATTTTTTTTTGTTAATTACTACAACATTGCTCATTCAGAATTTTAAATTTTTTAAATACTAAGAATTTCAAAACGTTGAGTTTGATGTTGGTAATAAGAAAGCAACTATCTGGGAGTATAATGGTGAAAGAAATTTGAAAATCGGAGTAAAATTGGATTTTTGGCGTGGTTTTGAATGAGTGAAAGCTGGAGTGAAAGCGATTTTTGGGCACCTTTGAGTGGGTGTGGCGGGCGCAAATGTGGCCATGGAATCAAACCACTTCAGGGTTCTTGTACATTCATGGGACACTACAACATATCCAAAGGGCATCGTGATCCGGGAGTTGATAGTACACAACCTCCCCTCCTAAGAAATACATATATGTACATACATCTCGAGCTCCTTTGTACAGCGTAATGGACGCCATAAAAGCCACCAAGCTCCAACACACGATAGACATGAGCATAATCCAGTCTAAAATGTAATTTAAATATGTACATATTTAGTTACAAATTCAAAACGAGGTCTTAATTTATGAACAAACTACGTACCAGGATCATTTTTCTCCTCGTGGTGTTCAACAATTTCTGCATCCTCAGCATAATCAGATTTAACCGGAAAACAAACGAAGCGAAGAATCGCTAGGGTTGAAGAGAGCATAAAAATCGCCAAATAAACTACCTGCACGTTTCATAGTGTCGAATAATTTAAAATTATTAGTTGAAATTACTTCAAAATAATTTTTTTCAAAATCGTTTTTTTTCTCATACCACTTGAAATATAGCGACGACTTTTGTCCCAGTTTTTATCGACATCCAGCCCAAACAAGGGTTAAAATTAGCGGAAGATGACATGCTTATGCACTTTTCTTCCTAAAAGTGCAAATTTTGTGCAAATTGTGCAAATTTTCAAATCCTTACTAAAAATATGTATGTATGCAAATGAACTAAAATATGTTCACGAGATGACTATGCACTTTCTTTTGCTGCTGGTGTTCTGAAACTGGAAAGAGGTTTGACAGATGGACGAAGGGATGTTGTGGGTGTGGGTCCTCATGTTCTGCCTGGTGATAAAATCCTGTGCCAGACCAAATGGCTGTTTTTGGACCATATATTATTTATGCATGTCAGAAAAAGAACGAGAAATGCTGAACGTGTCAGTCTCTGCTTGCAGTTTGTGTGAAATATGACATTTCACAGGAATCTGGTCCTGTACTTGGAATGGGAAAGTGTATAAGTGAATGGTCTGTTACATTTTTGGAATGTGTGTTACAGGAATTAACTTGGAATATTTATTTATGACGGGATGGAATGGAATGCATATCTCTCAAAGTACAGATTTACATAAATGGTTTCGTTGCCCTTTACAAGATAAACTGTATTTGCAATTAGTGAATTTTTGTCATCCATGCTGATTTTTTTCAAATTGGTTTTTTGTACAATTTGAAAGACGAATTTGTGTTTAATAAAGTTTAATATGCATCAATGTTCCACTTTCACCAAATCAAATTCATTTCAAAATGCGTTTATTTCTGTTATGCAATAGCAATTTCTGATTTTTACCTAACCATAACACAAATTCATTGTGAAAATGTAAAAATCAGACCTGACTCAATCCAAAATAAACACATACTACGTGTCAAATTCACTACTTTCACCAAAAATAGAAATCAAATTTGTTTTCAATTCAGAGTTTCCAACCAGCAACTTGTCAACAAAACTAGTCGAATTTACTTTTACACGCAAAAACATTCCTATACATATTTACGTTCATAAGTGAATTTGGTCCATTTTTAGCGTACTAAAATAGTGAGTGGGAACGAATTACATGAAATTCATAACTCATGTCGTGCCCTGTTTTTTATACTCGTCCTATTTTTAACCCTTTATTGCCACCAAACCAACTTTTATTTTCATGCAGTTTCGCAGATACACAGAATACCAATAGTTATTAGACGGTAAACAAGTGGTGGTGGTTTCAGGTTTGTGTTGAATGAAAGGGTTGAATTGAAATGGTGGTAAGAATCTGAAAGAGAGAGAGATGAGACTCTAAAAGGATGTACTACAAGTCTCTGAATACGGTTTGCACATCACGTACACATTTCTCGTTAACGTGGCTGGTGAACAACGGATGCGGTGTTTCTTCAACTGCAACTGGTTTCGGTCGTATTTTGGAAGAGATCACATCCCGTCTGTTTCTGATTCGGAAACATTTCTCGATAAAATTTTGGACAAATAAATTTTTAATCAAAATGCTGAATCCGTGTTGTGGTCGAGATTTGGCCCATGTAGCGAAAACAGTGGCTGTCTTTGACGTGGTACGTAGTTACATACACGTGCAAAAGTTGAATTTGGCTAATTACTCGGAAACCTTTACTGGAAATTTATTTAATTTGTTTTCGCAGATATTGTCAATTCTGGAGCTCGCAGCCGCAATGGTGTTGGAAAGCACACCCGTGACAATTCTCTCGACGGATGTGGCAGATCCGGAAAAACGAGATGTGAACTACGTAGGTAAAATGCAAAAGTTTTTATTTACCTACAGAAAAGTTGAAAACTAATTAGTGAAAGTGACATAAAATGTAAAAAAACGTGGTGTTTTGCAGTTTCAATGACGCTGTTATTTGGGATTTGTCTCGTTATCATGCGAATCGTGCAGCTTGGATGTTCAATTTTACTGTTGTATGGAGTTGTGGAGGTTATTTTACATTTAAATTTTTTTGTAATTGATGTAAATCAACGTTTAATTTAAAAATTTTAAATCAAATTTTGTCTTATTTTTTTTTCAGAAAAACTACAAAAAATGTGAAGTCTGGTTCATCTTTAGCTGTGTCGTAATTACGCTGGCAGCTCTGCAGATTCTGTACGAAATCATGGTCCGGGACAAATTGGTGGGACAAGGGGCTGAAACAAGTCCCCCATTTCTCCTCAGAATTGCTGTCCCTGGACTGGAACTTTTGCTGACGTGGTACTTGATGTGGGTCATTTTGGCGTTTATGCATCAACTGAAAAGGAGAAGTATTGAGACACAGACTTCATCAAAGGATGAGACGGAAATGATGAAGATATAGAAAACCGTTCATTGTATTATCAGTCTGTTTTTTAAGTATGTATTCATGTATTTTGTGTTTTTTATACTTGAATTATGCATATTTTACTCTTGTTACAAATACAAATCACAAAATATGTTAACTTTAAGTGACAAATATATCCTAAAAATCGTCCATTCAATCAATCCGTCTCCTTGTTACACACAAAATAGTGGTAAGATTTCAGGTAGGATAGGTTCACAGACCAATAAGTTTCCCACTCATCCATGACTTTGTTACTGGTACCGTACGCGTAGATATACATGTACAAAATCCTATCTAGTTAGTTAGTCGACTACTATTGTCATAGACGTAGCAAAAAAACGGCAAAAAATCCCACCACTACTACTGCCCCGTTTCGTCGTTCAACCCGATGTATGGTATGTACCACTTACATAACTTGCAGATAATGCAAGCTGCAAGTTAAATGCAAAAATCCAGATGATTCTCGTCCTAACGCCATTTGCTAAGTAAAACCATAGGCTAACCAAACCTTGGAAAATGTCTCCCACGAGTTGTTGTTGTTTGTTTAAAGAAATTGTTTAAATAAAGAAATACAAATTGAGGATGGATAAATTATTACCAAATTCATTTTTTGGTCGCTCGTTACAAACTGGGTGTAAATTTTCAGCTTTGGTTCAACTGGTACATATTTACACTTTTAAATTCATTGGGGCATATTACTTTCATATTTAAATTAGTGTATTTCTCAGATTGTTGCATTTCCCCTCTTAATTCTGACCATTAAAGACGTCGTGAGTTATTCAAATGGTAATAAGCATGTATTTACAATAATTGCAAAAATAAGTACATGCAAAATTCCTTGGTACAAAACCACATGTAAAATTTGCAGCCATAAACATCACAATCGCCTCTGGAACCTTTGTCGCAGTTCAAGCTCTCCAACTACTCTTTGCAGGCTGTCTCTTTAACGGGAGCAAAGAAGTAACTAATCAATTTCCTGCCTGGTTAAGTTTCAATTGTTAAAATATGATTTTTTCTATCAGAGAAATCTGCAAGTCTGCCAACTCTGGGCTGCAGTCACCTCCATCCTCACCGCGGCCACGATTGTCTTCATTCCATACCGAATTTATGCCGGAAGTGACCTTTCCGACCAGATTCGCAATTCCTCCCCATTAATCATCCTGTCAATCTTGAGCTTATGTTCAAATCTCGCCTGCTTGTGGGTGGGCCTTGGATTTATCAACGTCCTCATCGAAGAAGGCGAAGAAGGGGGCACCGTGTATAACACGGAATGATCAGTGTTTCGGGTGCAAGAAATAACCGCAAGAAAGTGATTTCTTGCAGAAATTTATTTTGACCTGCATGAAATGTAAGGTGCAAAAAACTACTTTCCCCCGATATTCCTTCATACTGCTTATTTTGCATATTTTTGCACTTTTTTGCAGTTTCTTGCACCTTACATCTCTTCCATTTCTTGCTTTGCATGCCTGAAATGTAGCAAACCCGCAACACTGCGAATGACAGATGAATGATTGCCTCTGATATTTTTTTTGTGAAAATCTTGTCAAAGTACAAATCTTGTCTGATATAGATCACTACATAAAAGTGACGATCATGTTTTCATATTTGTGCATATGCCGCAGAATTTCAAACTCAATAAATAATCTCACATTTTTGATCATAACATAAACCCATCCGACAATTTAAGCCGAGTCGATCTATAAGAAGTTAAACGACTACCCACCCGGAATAACTGGTCGTGGCAGCCAGTTGAGAATTTTATTTTGCAACGGAGAAGGACTTAGTTTGGTGGGTGAAAGCGAAAGTGAAAGTAAATAAAGTAATCCGCTTAGTATTGTCGACTATTAATAGCACCACGACCATCCAATGTCTGTCTGTGTGACCCATTGGCCGCGGAAGCTGTGGGGACTTTAACATTGTAGGATAGGGGAGGGCGGGGTTTATATAACATGGGGAGATGATGGGGACATCTAATACCCGTGGGGACATTGTCCCTCTGTCCGCGGCGACTGATGTGTCCACGTCTTATCTCCACGTTCAGAGACACATTACTCACAACATTACATTACATCAATTCAATCCCCAGCAAATATTGAGAAAGCGTAAATAAACCATGGCATGACATGACACGAAGTGACACTGGAGTGGGTCCATTAAAGTTTGATGGTGGATTGCATACCCCATAAACCTGTGATAATAATAAGTAATAACACTTAAATTGAGAGAGAGGATATCAAGTAATTCTTCCATATACATTTCCCAGTTTTATACGCCGAGGTGAATTTGATGAGGGATTATGGCGCAAATAATAAATCCATCTTATAATCCTAAAAGCCTTCTCATGCGAGGAATTAAAAGGCGTAATGGTGATGGTTATCGTCATCAACGTCGTCATCGTCGTCGTTGTCGACGTCGTCGCAGCCATAATAATAGTTTCTTTTGAATTTGGGAGTAACCTAAGAAGAGATGAGATGATGGAAATAGGAGGAGGAGGAGATTAAATTACGGGTTACCTATAAGACCTCATTATTCACGGCCACGTATTTACAAATATATTTACAGTTGGCGACATTAGTCAGACAGAAGTATTAATTCTAGAGGGTCTTGTTATTTATATCGCAATTATTTTAACAAAGGATTTAGAATTATGTAATCACGAGATTCTGAAATTAAATTAAATTGGGGAGAAGTTGCGAAACCCGATTTGTTAAGCATCTTAAAAGTGAGTCGTTAAGTTTTAAAAGCAGAAAAGGGTAAGATTAGAGTGAAACTGGAATTGAATTATCTTTATGAATTGCGAAATAAATATGTAGATACACAGTACACGTGCAAAAGTAAAATATTTGCTGAAATTGTGCAATATTTTTTATTTACTTGCCATTTTGCTTTCCATTTTACAATTTTATTACTAAGAATTCTGTATACTTCAACTTGATTCCAATTTTTGCAGGGAATAAATAATTTTGGCATTTTGTATGGTTTAAAAGCCAAAAATGGAAATTATAAATTAAAATATAATTAAACGTAATGCATTTCAGATGAGTTAACGTGTTTACTAAATTCAAATTATTATGCATACGTACATACATCTGCAAAGCATGCAAAATCTAAATATTTTCGCATGCAGCACATCCATTCGTTCGCAATTTAGTGATCTCCCAAGAGGCAGAGCTTTTACTTACTCCACTTTCCCTACGTACATAATTTGTTGTGAGAGTTGCGGTTTTGTGGTCCATTCCACCACCGTCATTTGGAAAACAAGGTCTTTTTATCCCCGCTGTGCTTTTATGGAAATTCGCCACGCAACGCCACGAGAGAGGAAGCCAAGCAGGATTGAAACCTGTCATTCCGTGTACATTTCAATTCTCCTAAAAACACTCAACCCTCAAATCTGCGACATCATTTCAATTCAATGTAATGAGATGGAAAAATAGGGCCACTTTATTCCTCTCCTCAAGGTTGCAGATAAATTCAGTCGAATCAATCTTTGCAAATTAGACCCCATTTTTCAAAACATGTTTTTGACAAGCTTTACAAAAAGTGAACAAAAGTAGGAAAATTGGAGGATTCGGAGAAATCTATTATTTCCTTTCTTTCTCTCGCGTCATAGATAATAGTGGATTGGAGAAAACATAGCAAAACCAACTTCTCCCAATTTTTTCTTTCGTGGAACGGCGGACGGAAAAAGAAAAATTAATTTTAGAACTTGCCAAATTGGAGAAACTTTCAAGAGCTCGAAAGTCAAGTCAAAAAGTCAAATCCGTGACACGATCTCTGCCAACATCTGCGTCTCAAAACGCTTTATTTTTCATAGCGGAATAGGCGAATGACGACGTGAATGACGAAATTGGAATTTGTCATGATTGAAGTCGCAGTGAAAACATGGTAATTGGATTAGATTTCCAGTGTGGGTGGGATACATGGTCTGTCGGACATGAAAATCGAATAACAATTAGCTTTGATGACTAAACCCTGTCTGACGCCTAAGGTTATTATTGTATTTCGCACTAAAAGAGATACTGACATTTGTACATACATACACTAAAACTCAATAAAGTTCAATTTAATTCAATCTATTTCTTTGACGAGCTTGTAAGTAAATCTCGGAAAAAGAATGCATAATGAAATGAATTGCTACGTAAGTAAGAAGAAAGCAGGGAAAGTACGTGGCAATCCAACAATAAAACAGAGTGCCTGCCGAGTTCCGATAATTTATCATAATCAAGTAGACCTCATTACACGGACTGAACTGAACATGGACTAATGTTCAGAAGAGAAGAGTTAATGGAGGAGGGAAACCCAGGGTCAGAAATGTGTACTGTACGTACCGTTGCCTGGCTTTTCTCAACCGGAAGAGAATGACATGGATTGGTTATGGTTGGCTGGTTGCATTACACACCAACCAGAGAGAGAAAGATGTGGAGAAAGTGTACGTATGTAGCTAATAACCAGCAAACCACCACCACCACCGTCATCATCATCGACCACGTACTTATAGAAATGAAAACTAATAAAATCGAGTCGGATCTATCTGGTCATGACAAAATCTGTGGTGGTGGTGGTGGTGGTGGTGTCGGTGGTGGTCGGTCGTGTGGGTGTATCGTACTTGTCAAGTTGATTAGAACCAGGTGAACGGATCCTATTAAAGTTGATGATTTCGTCCATCTGCTAATTTTCGTGTGGTCGGAAGAACGACAGCGGACAGAAATTCATACTTAGCAAACAAATGTTTTTGTGGGTCTATCCTTTGTACGGGTTGGATTGGATGGATGGAACTTGTTGATAAATCACGACAGGTGTTCTGGATTTGTTTTCGTGGCGTGGCGTGGTGGCGTCTAGCCTGGAGGGCATGAAAGAAAATGTGGATTCAAAAATATTGACGTAGATGAAACTACTGGATTTGATTGGTGGCATGAAATTTTTTGAAATCACATCATTTTCTGTTATTCCTACCAATAACCAACTTGTTATTTTCTGTTCTCTTTGTGCCACAGTTTTTGCACAAAGGGAGCCCCCAAAAACAGATCGATGCTGCTCCATGGTGAGTTGGCATGTGGGCATGTGTGTACATATGTATCTAGGTGTGCAGGTATGTACGCTAGAAATTGTGCAGATGTAGACTAATGTCGAAAATGGAGGGATAGATGGATGGATGGATGGATGAGTTGTTGTCAGGATAAAAAAGAGGAGGAAACGAGGATGTTGCTGTTAGTGAAAGTGCGAGTAAGATTGGAGGATAATTCCTCCCGCTCATCTCCTCCCCCTCGTTTGCTCCCGCCCAACCCCTCCCGCTCGTCTCCTCCCGTATACATTTTCCTCCCCGCAATATCTCCTCCCCGCTGATCTCCTCCCGTATACATTTTCCTCCCCGTTGTGTCGCTTTTCCTCGGTATTCTATTTTGTCTGACTACCCAATGTTATAAGATCCGAGATTTGGGTCCGTTCAGATTAGGTGGCACGGTTTTGGGGATTTTTACAAATCTTCAAATAATTATGAATATCATCTACAAAAATATATATTTCTGTCTTAAATTTTGATTTGAAAGTTTAAAACCGAAATTTTACCGTCTCCCACCATATGCATAAAGTTGATTTTAATATGTCTTCTGAATTCTGCATATTTTGGTACCAAAAGGTTCAAAATCAGACAATTAAAAAGTTTTTCCTATGACATTTTCAAACTATGTCCACGCTAAAGTTTCCATGCATATATTTATCATTTAATGATGCACACATCAAATTATTGCACGTTGTAAAAAGAAATGCCTCACCTAAGTTTGTTTTTGATTTTTTTTGTTTTAAATTATGATGATATGGAAACTCGTAATGAATACCCTCAATTATTTAAAAAATCGTCAGAACCATGTCACACACTTTGAACGGCCCTAGATCCCCTATCTTGAATATATTGGGTAGTCAGACAAAGTTGAATACGGAAGGAGGAGACGCAACGGGGAGGAAAATGTTTACGGGAGGAGATCAGCGGGGAGGAGATAGTGCGGGGAGGAAAATGTACACGGGAGGAGACGAGCGGGAGGGGTTGGGCGGGAGCATATGAGGGGGAGGAGATGAGCGGGAGGAATTCTCCCATCACCTGCGAGTAAGTGCCAAATAAACTTTCTCTCTCCACGACCTTTTCCACCGTGTGTCATCAGCATCCCCGAAATCCAAACCTAATCCAATCCTCCTCCAGCTCAGACAGAACTGATTGCGAACTTTATTTTATTTCGGCTCAGTTTACCAAACTCTGTAGTTCCTGTTGAGGAGTGTGAGAAAGGGCAGCTGAGACAAATAGCAAATAAAGCCGGAGGAGGAGATGGATGGGTGGATGGAAGGCAAAATACATTTTCAGATATTATTATTATTCCGGGGGAAGTGCAGAGAATGATGAAATGCAAATAATAGTAATAGTTTGACCAATCTGAAAACAAACAGAATTTTGAAGGGGGAATAACTTTGTCTGCCACATTTTAGCCTGACTCGGGGCTTACGTTCCCGTCATTGTGGTCTGTCTGTCTGACTTTGTCTATCGATTACGTTCGTAAAATTTGCATACAATCGGCTTCAAATTTTGCATACATGTAGAATTCGCAAAATTAGGGGTCAAAATTGGAAGATGGACAAAATGTCTGGAGTAAATACAAAGGTTGTAGTGGTCGTACCCACCTCAATTATTAATAACAACCTGACTCGGGCTAAATACCGTTGCACGGTGGGTTTTACGTACGCAAATGAATCATGGGCGTAGAATAACAATATGCAAAACTAGACACAACATACCCACCATGACACTCTTGTAGCTACATAATAACTCTTCATTACCCACTTTCGCCTCCAACCCAACGTCTTCCCTTCTTCTTCGTAGTTGGAGAGGAGAGGAGAAAGTCGACATAATTACAAAGTGTCATTTTCCTCTCTCTCTCTCTCTCTTCTGAACACGATAAGTGACACCCCGAACTCCACTTTTCCCAATTGTGTATGTACATATACCTGGAGAAAGTCCTGCCTACCTGCCTATTTAAGACCCACTCACTCACTCAATGCAATCCATACATGAGCCAGCCAACCAACCAACCAACGAGGCGCAAGTTGGCTTAAGCTGCACTTTTCTCAAGTCGGAAGCAAACACGAGATTGAACAGGTAGACGGACGAAAAGGACACAAAAGAAGAAGCTCAAACTCGTAATGGAGCTACGTCGCAGGTACATTCAGTACATGCTTTCTTTTCTGGAAGGGAGAAAGTGAGGTTATACATACATAGTCGGGCACGTTATTTCGGTAGGTAGGTAGCCGTGCAGGCACAGTTGGATAGCACAGCTTAACTACTTTCATCGTCTCTTTTCTCTCGCCAGAGGAAAGGTTGCTGGGAGAAAGTTTAAGGTAAAAAGTGCTTTTGTAGAGGCCTCCAAATATCACAAGAATTCATGATGGGACGTTTTGATTCCCAAAAACAGTGGCCATGGAAGGGTGGGGACAGAGGGACAATGTCCCCACGCTTATTCGATGTTCCCATCATCTCCCCACGCTATACAAACCCCTCCCTCCCCTATCCTACAATGTTAACGTCCCCACATCTTGCGCGGCCACTGCCCAAAAGTACAATACATATTTACCCAACAACATCCTCTCTCTGGGGTAAATATCTCCCCATTTTTTTATTGTGGAGCATTATCCATCCCGGATTTTTGATACGGAGAAATATGTGGCACTGTTGTCGAAGAGTAAAGTGAGCCTGGATCCAGATTCTGCTGAGGTCTAGATCGAGATATTAAACACAACGGGGCTTTTCCACGGCACGTTACCAAAAGCTCGACGACGACTCGATCCCGGAGCTTTCTCGTCGTCGCACTTCTCTCTCTCAGCTAGTCGAGTTTTGCTGGTTGGCTGGGATTGTGGCATGGTTCTTGGTGGTGAAAGTTTTTTTTGTATCGTCGTCGTCGTGGACGAAAAAGCAGCACTCGTCCTGCCACAGAAAAGCTAGGTCGTCTCAAGTCGGAAGAAACACGTTAAGTTGTTGTAGTGCAGTAGTTCATAGAGATTACTCCTTTCAACACTCATCACACTTTGCTAAATAAGTGGAACTGCTGGGGTGCTGGAGAGAAAGTGAGACAAAATTCACCAAAACGTGGAGAGAAATCAATCGCAAATCTTTGTCGTGCTGCTACTGCTTTCTCCAATCCATCCATTCATCCACCACGAACACGACTTTCTTCTTCCTCCCCTCGCTCTGAGGATAAGAAAGAAGGGGAAGATCGACCCAATGGGAAATCTAATCTCAGAATTTAACTCCAGATTTTCTTCCTTGCCAAATAATAAAGTACTGGGTGGAGTTGGAGGTTGGCAGAGTAATTTGTCCCAGAAAAGCTAAATCCAGAAAAAATATATATCGTTACTACAACTTATAAATAAGGAGAGAAAGAAAGTCAGCACCATGATTTCGCCCTGTTGTGGGTCGTCTCTTCAACAAGGGACAAAATTCCTGGCCATGTTTTCAATGGTAATTTCATTTTATAAATACGTAAAAGGAATGTTTGGACTTTATTTTTTTGATCTCTATTTGTAGATGCTGTCCGTGGCCGGGATGGGTATTTCATCCATCATTCTTTTCAGCCTGCTCGTAGGTGGCCCCAAGTCGAGAGGTTAGTTTTTAGTGACGACTCAGAAGAAAGTCTGCTGTGCCAGCCAACTTTGTCATAAATTATTGATATCATTTCTTCTTCTTTCTGAACATTTCTCGTATTTTTTTTTTGCTTTTCAGGAGAGCCCGGTGAAGGTGAAGACGATCCGACCTCCATCGGGATCAAGTACTTCATTGCGTTGTTAACCTTCATATTTAATCTGTTTCTTGCAATCCTGCTTTTTATCGGGGCCGAACAGGTAATTAGAGTGCACTAATGGACCAATTTGTGTTGTACTGACGTTAGATTCTTGTCTTTTTTTAAGAAAAATCTCCGCCTCTGCTACGTCTGGTTCAAGGTGACGATATTCCTCTTCTGTTTGGACCTCGTTCTTTTGGGGTTTTCCATCTACTTGGACCTGGCTGGGATTGAGGACTACGTGGTAAACATTTCTGGAATTTTTTACTCTCTGTACGAACTCTGGGTCGTTTTCGCTTTCACCACCGAGATCAAAAGCCAGAAGGAAACTATTTCCGGATGTCATACGATTAGCACGTCGATGACGGTGTAAAGAAAAGAAAGAAACCAAACTCTCTCCTAAAATTTAAGTTAAGAAATATTATGATATGTAAGAAATGTTTTATTCCAAAGATTTTTTCAAAATTTCTAAAAACTTTTGCATGGGATGATGAAACAGACTAAAAGTACATACATTTACGTAGATAGGTAGGAGGAGAAAGTGGAGGGAGAGAAACGACAAAAATGGAAATTGAGGAGTAAATGGAGTGATAAAGATGAGAGGATGAATGATTCATGAGGCAAATTGAGATTCATAGCATGCAAGTTATTTATATAGGAATCAATATGCACGATATTCATATGTACAACTACTATGTATTGAGTATATATACCCATAAAAAAGAAAACCACACTTTTTTGCATGCAAAAATTAACCAGTCTAAAAATAACACTATTAATTTTCGCACAAACTAACATGATTCGACGTGAATTACTTAATTATCTATTAATTAAATTAACTGCAATGCACGGACCAATGAACACAAATTCAAGCTTATATAAATTGTGTATATGATTTTTCTCTACCATTTCCAAACTCTCACTGAAAAGAAGATGTTCAAACCTGAGATTTACGATTATTAAAAGACTTCAAGGTGTCGTTAATGCAGGACTCGATGACTCATCACCTAAATCGTCAAAATCCGAGCATTTTAATCATTTTTCGCATTTGGGAATTTATTTTAAAATTCTGGACGATAAATTTAATGGTGAGTTTTTAAACTAGTTTTGATGAGTTCCATTTTTTTAAGGCTATGTACTTGAGATCTCCTCCTTCAAAAACTGTCAAAATCCTGAGTGTATGTTTATAAAAAAAATGGCAACGACGAATTTTCTATAAATTCGTCGTCCAGAATTTTAAAATAAATTCCCAGATATGAGAAATGATTAAAAATGTGCTGATTTTTACGATTTTGACAATGAGTCATCCAGTCCTACTTTAAGTAATTAACGATGCGAAACTAAATCGACCTTTACTCGAAACTTTCACTCTCGTTCAAAATCTCGGAACTATTTATAAAATTCTTGGAAGTCTCAGTCACTCACATGATAACGATGATTTATGTAGCTTGATTCAAACGCTTCTTCTAAAATTACTTTATATTTACTCTACAAGCAACAAACCAAACGTAAACCTATGCACTTTAACACAAAAAATCACCAAAAATTAACCCACAGTCTGCGGCACGGCCTTCTTGGAATGAAACTGGATCCATAAAAATATGTATTTATCTCATGGTTTAGTTAGTTAAGAAATTGCACGTCACTTTCTATCGGCTCATTATTGAACACGGTATATTAATTCAACAGAATGACATTTTCAATTTTGAAAAAAATTGATAATACTCAAATCAAATGACGATCCATTTAAAACGACGATACTCATTTTACTTACATACTCAAGGAAAAAATAACCAAAAATATTTGTAACAAATTATGTAACGTAACTGACTGTAATTTAGCTGATTGAATGTCAAATTTAGCCGTAAATCAGGAAGAAAGTAGAAAAGAATCGATATCCAGAAGGGAAAAAATGAGCTGGAGTGTAAAGTTCGTGAGATTAGAAAAAGAAAGTATTTTTATCTCAAATTACTAAATGGTGTCTCATCTTATTGATGATGCAACAAGCTATGTTAAGGTGCTAAATATGTATCTGTTACTAAAAATGTGTCACAATCTCTGTATTAAATTTTGGTGTGCATGCAACTGTCATGAAGTAAAAAGTGATTATGTGACGCAAAATGAATAAAAAAATTGTGTATAAATTGTTTATTTTTGCATATATAAACTTAATACGTACACAGTCTAATCAAACGTAAATTTTACAAGTGATGCACGGTAAATAATGATGAATAGTTTAGCTTTGAAGTTTCCAATGTTTTTGAGGCGTATCGGAACATGAGGAGGACAATGAGGACAAGGACACCGCCAAAAAGCAAGTTGCACATCAAAATGGTGGAAAATCCTGGGAGAAACTTGACCATGGCGAGAATCCTGACCTTATAACCGGCCAGGCTGGGAGGGGTGGGAAGCGTCCAGATCGCCGTGAAACATATTACGTAAACTAGAATTGCCCCAATGTTGAGAAATATCCACTTTCTTGCTCGGTAAGTGAATGTCTGCGTGGGGAAAAGGTCAATTAAAATTTGGAAAAAATTTAGAAGCTCAATTTTGAGTACCTCGAAATTCTCTGCGAGAAGTAGGTACGCCGTCAAGACGAACTGGATACTAGCCATGATTCCACAAATGATGGAACTCGTGGTCAAAATGGAAATGAATTTTTCCAGAAATACTTTACACCTTGCGATCTGGAGGACTTCATGGGATCCGGACGCGTTGAGGAAGACTTGATGACATTTTTCGACATGGCCGACATCAGAATATTGATGCGTGGTGAATATACAAATGCTGATGATGAATGTGGAAGTGGCCAAAAACTATAGGGGAATGTGTTACATACAAGTTAATGAAGAAATGAAAAATGAAAATTATACGTATTTTTTCCATAAAAGTTATTTACTTACGACACTGGTGCATCCGATGATTTGGGTTAAAAATGGGAAAAGCACCACGTGTTTTATCTTATTGTTCATAACGGACTCAAAATTACTTGAATAGCTTCTTTTTCTTACAAGTTCCTCGGATCCGGATAGGTTTTGAATCATTTGCAAATATGTCACTCGTAAAACAGGTTGGACATCACCATCAATAATTTAAAGGGTTGAATTTTCTAAATATATTCTCAATGAATTTTAATTACCTACATATTCATGTAAAATATTTAGTACAGAATTTATTCCCCACATTTACACATATTACGTAGATAGAAACGTTACAAAGGTATTTATGTTAATGCGGTTTTGTGTGGTCTTGGTAGATTGCGGGTGGTTGTGGTTAACCAAATCGAAGGTTTGAGAGTTGAATACTTTGGGACAAATTAAGTATCTATTTTTATAGAGATAAAGTTAGATATGTACTTATTAAGCATGAACTGGATATTGTTGAAAGTGCATAATATTCAGTATACCAAAATACCACCAAACCCAGCTTAAGTCATATGCACGATTGACTACTTACAGAGCTACTTTTGCAGAGATGTGTATTTACCCAGGAGTAGCATGAATATCTTGATAATTATATGTGCAAGTTTACTTTTCTTGAGACTAATGTTGTGAGATGGGATAAGGAAACGATAGCTGTTCTGTGTATTTAATAAAGATGAAACAAACCGAGTTGGGGACACGATTCTGCACTAAAATGTAATGACTACGGATAAATGCAATGACTTCTCGTATTACTTACATGTGACAGAAATACTGAAAATGAATGAATCCTACAGTATATGTATGTATCCGGCTCGCGTCAGGAATGATAATATTGTTGATATTTTATGCATTGTTCAACTCATATGAAATGCGGAACAGATTTTCGTGCGACTTTAACAAATAAAATAAAATAGGTTATTGAATGTAGACTGACCCGGTGCACACAATTGATTGCATGCTTATTATTTATAATTTATTAAGTTACCATATTGTAAGATTTTTAACAGGTCAATAACATTTTACTTTTTTATCTTTTCTTCCGAAGCACATTTCAAATATCATACAAATAGTGATGAAAAATTTATTAAATAATACCACCGTGAATTACATTGACTGCTACAATCAGGAGGGTCAATGGTTTTGCTATTGAAGCTGGAAATTCATTTTTGTTAAAGATACCTATTTGTTTTTAATAACTACAGAGAGAATGAACTACTACAAAACTTAAATCCTGGAACTTCTGCTGAGAAACAAGTGTGCATACAAATAAATAATGATAAACTAGAAACAGGCAAATTGAATACTAATACAAAAAATATTCTTAAATAAGTTTTGCTCGCTTATAACCATTCCTTTTAACCATCGTGCAATTAAATAATTTTTCTTAGTTTTCCGAACGTATGTATGGTATTTACATTTGCGTTTGTAGAAAAGGAGGAGGTACATCTGTAAGAAAAATACAACATTTGTTAGTTAGAAGTGACATTTTGTGATTTTTTTAAAAATTGCTACCTAATGATGAATATTTAATCTATTATTCGTCGAGAGTAAGGGGATCCTCCGCTGTTCCTTCAGTTAGGTTCATCAAACCGGGTGGGGCACGTTGTATTCTGGCATTATTTAGGAAATAATTTGGGTTCGGTAGAGTCTGAGGCATATTTCTTTGCGGAAACATTCGTTGACTTAGGGAAGGAACTGGAGGTCTGCGGATAGTTCCTGGATGCTGAACGACGTGCTGCATGTTTGCCATCATTTGACGCTGGATCTCTGCGACTTGAGCAGGATTATGATTTGCCATCATCTGATTCCTGTTTTGACGAATAATGCTCGGATATGTTTGTTGATTGTTGTTAAAGTTTATTGGGTTTAACACTCCGACAACACCAATTCCTGGGCCATTCCCGTTGGTACTGTTATCGAGTGGGATTCCACCCATGGCTTGTGAAATCCAGGCTTGAAGTTTTTTAATCTTTTCGTCCAAATGTCTTCTGGGTCCTTCAAGCATGGTGGGTCCTTCATAATTCAATCGTTGAAGGAGTCCTCGCAATTCTTGTATCTTTGTCACAACAATCACCGCACTTGCAACAACTTGATCATCGGTGGCATCGGGGAAGCGTTCGTGTAGTTTCAGCTTCACCTTGTGGAACGTGAGAGCATCATTTTGACCCATATTTGGAATTGGAGGGGGACGATGTTCATTCTCGTGTCGGTACTCCTCCCAAGCCTGTTGTCTCTCTTCCTCTGTCAGCGTTTCATCTTCCTTATTAACGAGGAGGGAGTCGTGTTCAAAGTACGTGTCGATCCAGTTCTTGTGTGAAATAAGGAGGTCAGCTAGGAGGCGATCCTTAGGTACTGGTGGCGTTGGTCGGTCAGTCTTCTCGTCTGGATTGTATTTATACATTTCATTTATGTCGTCAAATTTAAAGTGCCGTTCGACTTGGTGCTCATCCACAACGCGGGATGACAGGGCCAACTTTACAACTTGCCGATTGTAAATTTTTTCTTCCATGGTAGCTTGAGCTACGAACCGGTAAATGTAGCAAGGTTTCTGTTGCCCGAATCGGTAGACTCGAAAGATGCTTTGCATATCGTTCGAAGGATTCCATGACGCGTCAAAAATGACGACACGATTTGCACCAAAGAGGTTGATTCCCAAACCTCCAGCTTTAGTTGAAATAAGGAAAAGTTTGGCTCTGAAATTGAATTCATAAAATACATGAAGCTTTAGTTAACTCTTGTTGTTGTACAATAAATTAATAAACTTACTTTGAGGCAGACTTCTTATTAAAAGTGTCGCAATGCTTTTGCCGATCATCCGTCTTAGTCTGCCCGTCGATACGGAAATATTCAATATTTTGTCTCCACCTTCCTTCAGATGATGCCACAGTTGGTGGAAATGTTACAGGGGCAGCACCCTTTGCGGCTAAGGCTTTAACCGCATCCTTGTCCCATTCTGCCAAAAATTCTTCAATAATGTTCAGAGTGGTAAGATACTGACTGAAAATGAGGACTCGATCTCCAATAGCTTCACAGGTCTTCAAAATCTCTTGAAGGACGACCAATTTCCCACTCAAATTTGTGTCATACATGTCTTCCTTCTTTGCAAAGTGAGAGCACCACCAGGCATTACCTAAGCTAGTTTTTGCTTCCTCTTCTGACTCGGCAGGAATTTCGTCTTTGCGACTTCGAGTCCTAATTTGACGCTTTTTCTTTTCTCCATCCAACCACTCAACGTCAGATCCCGATTCGGCGTTTGGAGTTACATCGTCTTCACTTGTATCGTCGCAAATGAAATCTTTTATTGATCCTTCGTCTTCATCGGTTAATTCATCGCTTTCCTTTTCTTTCATGAATGTGAGCACAATTGGATGAGCCAATATTTTGACGAGCACAGAGTAGTGTAGTAGAATCTTTCTGCTTCGCTCGACCAAGTCTTCGGAAACATTTTTGGCCAAGTAGTCGCGATACAAGTCCTTCTGTTTATCAGATAACTTGATAATAATGCAATATTCATGCTTGGTGGGCAGGTATGGGGTCAGTACGGAGTAGTCGAGACGCTGTACGCATCCGTCAAGTTTGCTGTGAAGTACGTGTGCCCGTCGCTTCATAATTTTGACGTCATATTCGCTGGAATCTTTACACTGTCCATTTTTGATAGGGTTAACGAAACGATTTTGAAATTCTTTTAGAGATCCCAAGAGATTCGGTTTTACAAAGTTCACCATGGTGTGATACTCGACAAGATTGTTTTGAAGTGGAGTTCCAGTTAAAACGATACGTCGAATCGTTTGAATTTTGGAGAGAGCTTCGGACAACTTGGACTTGTGATTCTTGAGCAAGTGACCCTCGTCACAAACTACGATATCTGGTCCGGGATCGAGCAGTGTTTCACGGATGATGGTTTTGTTAGAGGAGCTGGTCTTAGTCTTGGTCTTGGCAGTACCCGTTGCATTATTTACCAAGAGTCGGAAAAAGTCGTAGTGCATAATTCCTACGCCCCCGCGACGTTTCCAAGTCTGCAGAGCACTGGTGCGTTGACTAATTGTCTTCCCTTCCCAGAGAGCGTGGAGCCTTGGTCTTCTTTCTGTCTCGATTTCTTCGAGCCAGGTTTGATACTCTTTATACCAGTTGCCTACTGTGTTGAGGGGACAAACGATCAAGACACATTTAGCATTTGTCAGTTTCCTGTGGTCCAACATTGTGTGGGTAAACGCGACCGTCTAACAAAGACAAATTATTACTCAATAAAGTTTGCCTTAATATATTGTTTTAATTAATTACAAGCCAGACTTGTGCTGTGAAATTACCTGCAATGTCTTTCCCAGACCCATACAATGAGCTAGAATGCAACCTCCCCCTTTGTTTCTGCTCATCTGCTCGATGCTTTCGAAGCAGGTCGTATACATGAATTTGATCCCCTGCACTTGATGGGGCTTCAGCTTCTTGACGATTGACTCGTCCACTTCGATAATAGGTTTCTTGGTGATCGGGTCAACGTCCAAGACTAATTTGGTCACTTTGCCATCTTGAACGGGAGCATTTTCAAAGATTCCGTTAAACTGGAACAATTATATAAATTAATCGTCAAAATTAGGTGAGACATAAATTAATTATAAGAAAATTATTTAATTATTATTAAAAATACCAATTTCTGTTTCTCTGCCACTCGCCGTTTTCGTTCCTCTTCTTCCTTTTCAGCCTCTCGGGTAGATTTTTTCAATTTAGAGTCGTCCATGATCTTTTTAATCTTTTTTCGTTTCTGTGAAGAAGGAATGACCTAGAAAAATACGAGAAACCATCAGTTTTAAAATAAATAAACAGAAATATAAAGCAAGCTTATGTCTTTCTACCTGAACATCACTATCGTCAGAATTGATAGGTGAACCATCAGAGTCTTCCTCTTTTATCCTACGACGCTTCTTCTTCTTTCTGTAGAAACAATATTGAACCACATAATTAGTCAAATTAAGTCGAAATGCCTAAATAAAATTTAAATAACTATATACGTTTTCTTTCTATCTTCATCATCGTCATCGTCGTCGTCTGATGAGCTGTGTCGACCCTTAGGCTTCTTTCTTTTCTTTTTGGAATCCTTAAAGTCCGAATCATCGCTAAACACGGAATTGTCGCTGTCACTTTTGATGCTGATACTGACGTCATCATCAGACCCTGATTTTTTCTTCTTCTCTTCATTAGAAGAATCGTCGTCACTCTCCAGCTTGACTCTGAAATTTCATTATTCATTAATTTCAGTTCAGCTAATTTGATTTAATTACATTTGGTTGTTACACCTACCGCTTTGAGCGAGTTGTCCGCTTTACAATGACTTCGCTATCACTAGAATCACCAGAGCTTTGCTTTCGCTTCTTCTTACTGCTTGGAGTTTTGGAATCGCTATCCTCCTTGTCACTGTCGCTGTTAGCGAGGACATTCTTTTTCGCTCCAGACTCTTCATCACTGGAGCTGTCGATAGTAATTTGAGGTGTAACTGTCTTGGAACCCTGAAAATGAGGCAAAGACAAACAATACAATAATAATACGTAATTGACACACCTTATCTTTTAGCTGATAATATATACTGACCTTTCCCAATTTAGACTTCTCCGTCTCGCCACTCACTTTCTTTTTCTTTGATTTTTCATCATCATCCAAGTCGGGCAAATCGTCCATCTCTTCTAATTCGTCATGGTCAACAATGTCTCTCATGTTTTTAAGCTTAATTGCAGGTCGGTCAGACTCGCTACCACTACCAACTAATGCAAAACAACAACAAAATTAGGAATATATACAACCAGTTCCTTCTCCAAACGACTGATAAAAATGAACACATCATTGCATACCTAGTAACCCTTCTTTCTCCTCAGCTTCACTTGCTAATTTAACCGTCTTCTTCTTAACAGTTTTTTCGTCCTTTTTCGAAGCTGCTTTGGTTTTCTGGACTTTCTCTCTTCGCTTCTTGGAAATAATAGCATTCTGTCTCGCCATTCTAAAAATATAAAAAATAAAATATTTAAATTTAAAAAAAATCCATTGCCATCTTCCCATCATAATAAATTGAATATAGATCGGTGTGATTTCGAAAGCTCGAGAAAGTAAAGTGAGCGTACCAAGCAAATTATGTCATTCAATAATTCCATTGAAAATAAAAATAAAGTTTGCCTCTTACTGTGTTATAGCACGATCCAATTTCTTTAGGCTAGAATCAGAATCTTCATCATCGCCGTCGTCGTCGCTCAGTTGGTGATCCTTCCCAGTGACAATGTAGCCTCTGTCTTCGAGTTCCTTTTGAATTTCGTCAGCCAACCTGACAATTTTCACAACTGCTTTCTTGGACAGCTTTGAATCGTTTTTCTTATATTCGTCAGTGATGGGTCCTCGCGACTTGAACACTTCATCATCATTCTCCCCTCTCTTTAATGACTTCCGCTTGTGTCGCTTAGGTTTGGCTTTCTCGTGATCAGATTCATCAGAAGAAGTGTCTAGTACGCCCTGTCTCGCAGAAGCCTCATCCTTGCCAAGTCCTCCTTTCGCTGAACCAGACGACCTGTTTTTCATATCAAGTCGCCTTTTTTGGCGTGCCATTTCAGCAACCACCCGTTTGGAAGTTGAAGGTTTCTGTATAAGTAAATTATTAAATTAGGTATTAATTATGGAAGTCAAATGTAAGACCACGTTATATATTTAAGTCAGTCAGTCTATTTTTGAGTGTTAAATTAAATGTAAACCAGTCAATAAATTGTACTGATCAAGGAACAACATGAATAAATGACTACCAATCAACCAACCTGTTTGTCCACGAGCAACTTGACTGGGTTGGATTTCGCAGGTGCTTCTGGATCCTCGGTTGAAGAAGAATTCGTATCCACTTTTTTGCGATTTTTAAGTCCAGGGGCTTTTGTCAGTTTCACGTCGTCACCAAGCGGTTCTTCTTGGGTGACATCCGAATCTTCTGAAGAATGCTTGGACGATTTTTTTCGAGGGGCAAAGACGGTCATAGCTGGACTAAGAGAATTTGTTGACTCTGGTTCTTCTTCAGTTGGGAGGGGAACAACATCATCATTAATATCAAGAACTGAGTCGACTGCCTCAGACGGCTCCACATCTTCTTGTATATCATTATTTGGCTCTTCAGTTGAGGAACTATTGGACCTATTTTTGCGACTTTTACGAGGGGCAAAAACTGTCATAGCTGGACTGGGAGGGATACACTGTTCTTCTTCGTCGTCACTTTGAAAGTGAAGAATGTCGTCAATTCCAATGGCTGGGCCCGTCGGAGTATGACTGTCATTGCGGTCTTCCGTAATTGTGGAAGATATGTTGGATCCTCTTCTCTGGCGTTTGCTCCGTATAGGCGCACGAATCGTCATAGTTGGACTAGGAGGACTGGAACCTTCGCCATTTTGAAGAGGAACGACACCATTAATTTCAGGAATTGGGTCGACAGTATTCAAATCCCCTTCAACGTCACTACTCCCGAATAAATCGACACTTCCGGCATCATCGTCGTTATCGCCTGCTTGATCGACATGCCCATTTGTGATGACCGCTTCTTTTTCAACCTCTTCATAGGTGACCAACTGGGTAACCATTGACTCATTGTTGGGGGGTGCAACATCCTCGGTAATTTGTGTACTGCCACTACCACCACGTCTCATTAACCTCTCACAACTAGAAGGTAAATAAAAAATTCAACGTTATTTATCACGCAAACTCAACAAATTATTTGAATTCAAACCACACTTACCATTTCCTTAACCCATGAGCCTTTTGCTTCCAATACTTAATTTCTGCCGCATAAGTTGTAAACTTATTCGGAGGATGGGAAAAATCCATGAGTTCGTCCATATCCAGAATTTCGACGTCGTCCCCTTCGCCCCCGTCGACTTGTAGCTTTTTAGTCGACCCCATTTCAAATTATATCACCTCACTGTACGTTTTTAGCACATTTTGTGTAATTAACTGTCAATTTTAAACACAAATTTACACTTTGTGAATAAAAAATCAAGAAAAAAATGATCACAAACTGAGGTGAAGAAAGAGAGAGAGAAATGACCCGCTGCTGGCCGGGGAGGGACTTGCAAACGTCAGTGATTCAATTTTCTCACTCAAACTCAACTTGCCCCATTAAGGCTGTGAAAATACGATTAGACTCATCCTGGTGGTTGGTTTGCAAAAATGATCTTATCTTAGATAAGGCATAATAATATACCTTATCTGATTCTTATGGGATGACTACTTCCTCCAGTTGTCGTTTTCTAATTTAACAAAATTTAGATGGGAACATCTTTATGAAACGCGAAAATAACACTGTTTTATGAAGCGTTTAACGATTCTTAATAGAACGTTTTAATCAAATAAGATATCAAAAGAGTAGAAATTTTTAAAAATGTAAAATTATATTTATTTTGAAAAACGTTTCCACCAGGTCGGAGCCACTGGTTGAGTTCAATCACCTTAAAAATGCGAGCAAGACAAGATCAGTCCTCCTGTCCTCCTGTCCATTGGCTCGCACTTTTGAGTTTTTCATGCCGTTCACTTTTCTGCTGAGTGAATTTTTTTTAGATCTTCACAATTTATTTGAGAAAAAAGTATTCAGCTTTTTTATTAAAGTAGAATTTTTAAAAGTTTACAAAGTGGTTAAGATAATTGGTCAGAGAGATTTGAAATGTACGCACAACAAGGTCGGGGGTCACAGTTGACCATTGGTTTGCATCAAACTGCGAGGGGCGACGGTGACGAAGTTCTGTTGAAGGAAGTCAATCAACTTTTGGATTTTTCCACTGCTCCGACTTCCTTGTTGGAGATTTACCTGCAAGAAGTCAACTACTGGAAAGAGAAGGCTCATGGATTGAAGAAATGGTGGGGATGGTCATTAGATTAATATATAAATTATAATTTACAGTAAATAATATTGGATTTTGGATTTTTTTCCAGTTGTGAAGAGCTGATGCAACGTCTTGGCAGCACTGGCGATCAAGGTGCCGTGGCTGTTGTCCCCGTCAACAATGATCCAATTGTTGCCCAGTTGGCTAGCTTTGAAGCTGAGGTTGATGATGAAGCTGTCTTGCAGGCTGGACATGACGATGTGGCGCCGTTTGACCAGGTAGTCGGTGTTGAGCTGAACCAGAACGGTCAAGAGCAGAAGGAACAGGCTGATTGCGTCGATCATCAGCCTACTCGGAAATTGAAGAAAACGGTTGTTGCGACCATGAAGCAAGCACTGCAAAGTAAGTTAATGTATCTTTTATACAGCTTGTAGAAATGTTTTTTTATCAAGACTTGCATTCATAATAATATTTATTTATGTACAGGTATGCTGGTTAGTAATGAAGATTTTAATCGTCCCTTGATTAATCCAACTCAGACGATGTATGAAACGGATTCCAACTATCGTGCGCCAATCTCTCCTACACCAGCATCCCCGGAAGCACGATCTCCGGCATCGTCTGCAACAAAAATTTCCCCGGTACCAGCACCAATAAAAATTTCTACAGTACCGCCACCAGCAATTACTCCGGTAGCTATACAATCACCAGCCGTAATTTCTCCGGCACCAGGGCCAGTCCCAGCAGTAATTGTTCCGGAACCAGCGCCAGCAGTAATTGCACCAGCAATGATTACTCCAGCGCCAGCAGTAATTCCTCCAGCGCCAGCAGTAATTCCTCCAGCGCCAGCACCAGCAATGATTACTCCACCACCAGCGCCAGCAGTAATTGCCCCACCGCCAGCGCCAGCAGTAATTGCTCCACCGCCAACGCCAGCAGTGATTACTCCAGCACCTGCAGTAATTGCCCCACCGCCAGCACCAGCAGTAATTGCTCCAGCACCAGCAGTGATTACTTCACCACCAGCGCCAGCAGTAATTGCTCCACCGCCAGCACCAGCAGTGATTGCTCCACCACCAGCATCGCCAGGAATTTCTCTGGTAGTAGCACCACCAGTAATTTCTCCGCCAACGGCATTATCAAGTGCATCTGAAAAATCTGCTGACGAGCCGATATATGTACCTTCACGATATTATCGACCTGCTCCACCCCCGCGCCCAATGCCACCAATGAATTGGGAAGACAGGGAACATTATGGTTTGGCTGCTCTGCGAGCTATGCAGCTCGAAGATTTGTACAAGGCTCGAAATCTAATTGAAGCTGGATTGAAATACGAACAAGAATTGGAAGATTGGAGCGAAGCCGTTATCACCGAAGTGCACAAGGCTGCTGCGCATGAAGACCGACGATGCATGTTGAAGAAACGAAACGGTGACTACCAGCAAATAATTTTCTAATTTTTATATCACTTTCTGAATCATTTTCTTAGAATTCTTTTAAGTTAGTTAAACTCCTACACAAATCTGGTACTTAAATGAATCATAGGGTAGCATGATTTGGTTAGGATAATCTCTGTAACGTTATCTGCAACGTTTGGTACGAGAAGGGTCTAAATTATGTTGTTTATGCAATACGAATTTTCTATGAAAATTTTAGGATATTTTGAGATGATGTTAATTCGGCTGATTAATTATACATGCTTTAATAAATGGAATGTCATTTCTGTTACTCAATATTATTTTGAATATGTAATATTAAATCTTTATATCATTGCATTTTCCATATCATCATCATCATATTCAGATTTAGCTTTGCTTTGATTAGTTATGTTTCTTCATTTCTTAAAGTATATTGTCCATTAGCAAATTCGGAGCATTTATTTTGTAGTCAACTATTACGAATTTCAATTATATAATTGCTGCAATTAGCGGCGTATGTATGTACAATAGTAACATTGCATAAGCATTCATCTCTATTCCAGGTGAGAAAAAAGATTTCAGCTAATTACAAATGATTGCATTTTGAATACGTGCATAACGCTGCATAATGGCGATGATGTGATGGTTCGAGATATACATCGAATAATATTTTGTATTATCATTTACGAGTCGTGTGAGTTTAGTTGACTATGAATTAGACACTAATCACCCACCACGAGACCATTATTTCTAAAACTGGGTACGTGCATCCTCTGTTCACATTGTATATTTTACAAAAACATGGCCTGGTTACACCCCGCGTGTGGATGTCCCACCCCCTTCATTGCAAAAGTTATAGCTGTATGCGATTTGGTGAGAAACGATATTTGTGCAGTTGCCAATTTCTGAGAAGTTTATTGCAATTGAAAGTTTAATATTTTTCTCTCTTAAATAGATTTTCGGACTCATCGGAATATTTTGGTTCGTTTACATTTTGGAAGGATATGATCTTCTCATGAAGGAACCTTCCTCCATATACGAGGCTGAGACTACGACGACGCTCCTGATGACGACGTCCAAACCAATTTCGACTGGATTTATTAATGGTACAAATTGGAATATGTCGACGATAGTGACCTCATCCTCATCGACATCTACCAGTCATAGCCCCTTCGTGACAATTACTTCCGGTGGTAAGAAAATACTGCTCAATAATGTGCATATTTTTGCACAGTTTAATTGGTTAAGCTTTTTACTAGTTTCTCTGACTTTTTGTGTTTGTTTCAGGGATCATGATAAACGGGAAGAATTGTAATATTATCCTCTCCGCATTTTACACGATTGTCAACCTGGTGGCGTTCGTTCTCTTGTTAAGTGCAGCGAATGATGTACGTATGATGGCTTAAAAAATTATGATATGCTAATTATGCATTCTCAAATTTTAGTCCTGTTTTTGTTGTTACTATTCTAGAAAAATATTTGCAAACTAAAAACATGGTTTGCCATCCGACTTTCAATTTTCACTTTGAAATGCTTCCTCTATGTGATGTACATCGTCGTTGGTGCGAGATTGTATGACCACATCCCTCACATGCTGTTCATGTTGATTCATCTGTACGGTCTTTGGGTTGTTTACGTCTTCATCCATGAAATTAGGGAGGAACGAAGGACTAAAAGACTGAGCAGTGGAGCTAGCAATGTTCCATATACTGTGGAGAACAAGGCAGTCTAGTTAATTAAGCAAATGGCTTACAATTAATTTTTATTCTTTAAGTTTGCCCTAAAACTACAAACTTGTCTAATAAAAAATTGTACAAATGCATTTCTTACAATAAGAGTGCCTAATTTTAAGGGAAATTTTGTCATGAATAATGGATCAACGCTTCGGTTCGTCTTCTTCTGCAACAATTTACACTGAATCCCTTCAACTTTTTGTATATTGTAAAGTCTTTTGTACTAATTTATAATCAAACTTTGTGCTCTTTACTTTGCTTTTGTTGGGCGTGAGGAGAGTTCTAATTATGTCAAATTCACACATTTTGTTATACGCTTTGGGATTGCATGGCTAAACCAGAAATTAGTTGAGGTATTTGCATCATTGTCTGTGTAGAATCCAAATTGGCCCTCTTCCAGTTCCAGTCAGTTATTTGAAGTGAAGGTGGAAAAACAGTGAGTTTTTTTGTTGGAAATTTTTGTAATTTTTGATACCAAAATGGGACTCCATCCAACATGCAACGTAATATCTTTGCAAAAAGGGGCAAAACTGATGGCATTTTTGGACATGGTGAGCATTTCATAGTTTTTTAAATCTAGATTAACAGTTCAAGTATATAGTTTTTTAAATTTTGCAGATTTTAGGCCTCTTTGGCGTCATTTGGTTCGTCGTCATGCTGGGAAAGTACGACATCATTTCATTAGACCCATTTGAATCCAATATGGACGGGAATAATACAAAGATTTCAAAACTAGACGAATTTCCCGATGCCATGTCCAACCGGAAAGGTGCATAGAGATTTGATACATAATTATTAGTACACAAATTGGTTAATATTTTTGTCACTAATTTTATTTCAGTGTCAACAAATCACAAAATCATAGGACTTACATTATCCGGTCTTTTTACTGCGATAAACTTGCTCTTATCTGTCGTGCTCCTGATCGGAATTCATAAGGTGAGTTGATTTTCACATATATTGAAAATTCCCAATAATTTTTTATAATTTCATAACTTTCAGAAACACGTTGGCCTTTGTCTCACCTGGTTCTACATCCGATGTGCCGTCATGGTCTTTAAACTAATAATTTTCACCATGTACCTGATCGCTGGACGTCCTCTATTTTCACAAATCCCTTTCATCGTCTTCATGCTTATCCACGCCTACGGTTTGTGGGTGGTCAACAACTATATCGAAGAATTGAACGGCTTCAAATACGAGAAGGAACTGACCGCGAGACAAATGCGGAGCAGGGATGAGAGCGTTTGTTCCGTGTCAGAACGGGTCAATGGGATTGAAAAGTTAGCCAAGAAGCGGAAAGAACAGTATGAAATGGGCAAAGAAGGTCAAGGAGAACACAACGAAGGATGTGTTTAGAATATAAAAATAAATAAAAAATCTTGATTTTATGTGTGTTTAAAAAAATACACAATCACGTAATCAGTTTTCATACTGAGGCTGTTTACGTCACTGGAATTAATTATGGATGCTAAATGCTAATTTTATGCTTTTCTAATTAAAGGAAGAATCTAATTAAAATTTATGATGCGCTTTAGTTTTACTTTAACTTGGCAGTTCACCAAAGTTCCATGCATGCTTTTAGAACATATCGAATACGGATAAATACAATTTATCTCTGGCTTTTACAAAATAATTTCGCTGCAAACAATGAAAAAATAATTGAGAATGATCATTTCTTCATGAATTGAATTATAAATGACGATAAGTTTTGCATTTCATATTCTTCTTTCATCTTTTATACTATTTAAAGTACGATTTAAAAAATCGAAATTTTTTTGACCGGTATTTCTGTCTAAAACTGCTTATGATTTCTAATGGTAAACTTTTTCTATTATTTCAGGAAAATTGGAGTCCCTCATATTAATAATATAATTCCTAAGTCAAAAAATACATAATGGATAAATAATGGCAATAACGGCAATGAATGTTTTATGCAATCCTTTATTTAACTGTCAACAAATGAATTAAATTAAATGCATGTATTATGTAATAAAATTATATGTACATACATCAATTAATATTTAATCACCCAATCTTATCAGTAACTAAATCCATGACCCTGGTCGATCATTGGCTGCTACAGGCATGTATAGGAGAATTTAACAAAGAGTGTACAAAATGCACAAATCCTGATCAGAAAGTAATAAAATAAATATCCAAAGAATGGATAACAAACCATCACTAAATTTAAAATAAAAATATTATCATAATTACTAGAAAAACTAACGCTTTTTAGTTTTGTTTTAATTTTTCAATGGAACAGTTGGGGTTGGGATGATCAGCTTCACGAGAAGATTCTTACTTTCGATCAAAGATGTTGTAAGCATCTTGTCCATACACACGATCCAAGCATAAATTAAGTTATCCACAGTTTTGAGATACACGGTAAGCTCTTGTTCCTCTGTAAACTTTTCAACATAGTGATAGACCTCGTCTTCACTTACACCGGGGAGTATTTCGATTGGGATTGAGACTTTAAGAGCAAACGCTTTGTCCTTGCAAAAGTAAGACGGGAGGGGTTTTATCATTGTAGAAGTAATGACATCATAATTTCCATAATCTAGAAAAACGACTTTGTACGCGTTTTTGGCTGGACAAGCCTCTAAAATTTTAGCTCTATAGTAGCGTAAATCATCTTCAATGTTTTGCCTGGCCGCGACGTAAGTTCCATTGGTCAGAGATGAAGGATCCAGTTGAGGAACGTTTTTCCAGTTATTCAAAAATTGGGTCAGTTCTTCACTTACTCCATCCGCTCGATGGTCGTCACCTTCTAGCTGAATACAAATCGAGTCATAATTTTCTATGAAAGACACAACTCCTTCATATTTAACTCCCGACATATATGCTGAGGGGCCACTAAATAATTCCTTCGCAAGATCCTGGTCGATCATTGGAAATTCGTGGTCAACGTTTGTATAGTACTTGCAGAGATTTGGCTTTCTTAAGCCAAAATCGTCAAGAAGTGGCGTCCCTTCTTCTGAAGCGAGGGTCACTACACACCTGGTGGAAGGAGAGAGACGAGTGTAAAGGTTAAAACGCAGTTTAAATAAAATAAATAAATCTCTACTTCTTTTCCTTATCTTACTTTCGAATTTCTCGGGGATCAACGTCATCAATGAAATTTACATGACTAATGTAGCATTCCAGATTTTTTTCAATAATCAACTCCATCAATTTGCCGTTAGTTTCATCTGAAGGAAGTTTGCTCGGGTCCACAGCCAATAGTTCAATTAAGTAGCAGGGTGTGGCTGCTTCAGGAATCTCAACGAGTTCATTCGGAATTTTGAGCATCTAGGACATAATTTGTGACGATTTAATGGGGCATGAACTATGTCATCAGTCAGAGTTGATTAGAGTTTCTATTAATACCATTAAAACTTACGTCTTTTTCCTGAATATTGACAAAATCTCCATAATCTACCAGTTTCACCAAGTATCCAACTGCTGACTTTTGAATAATTGTAGCTCGATAATTCATTCTATCCTCGCCATACGCAACAAGAACAGCATCGCCAATATCCTTTGAAAAGTCCTTCGCCTTTTAGAAAAGTACACATTATTAATAACACAAATTTAATTGAGTGATAAGAAAGTACAAATAACTTTACGTTTGTACAATGCGGTCTTTACTTCGCAGTGACTAGGGAGTAATATTACTTACCTCATTGGAAGTAGAGTCATACTTCAACATTCCAGCTTCAACAGCTTCCATTATAGATGGATGCAGCTGAAGATGAACTTTGAAATTCGATCCCACTTTTGAAACCTTTGTCCCAAAGACTCCGATTTTCTGTCCAATCCAATCACTGTAATCATATCGAGGATACTTTCCAAGCATTTGTGGCTCTAAATTATGTAAAAAAATTACAATATATTAATATATATATATATCTAATTCAATAGTAATATCGCACAATCAGATTTATTAGCAATATTAATTGAGGTCGATCAATATTATGTTAATGAATTGGGAATATTTTACCTTCATCATTGGTGGCATGAGTACTTAGCGGAACAAAATCAGCTAAACCCAAATTCATAACAATTTCGAATCCAACATCCTTCTTGTCACACGTGAGCCGAACTTCAGAGACTCCACGGTCAATTAGAGAAATTGAGAACACGGATGTATTCTTCCCTTGGAACAGCGACTTGTAGTCATACTTTTTCCACTTTTCCTTTTCCTCAAATGGGACAACTTGAGCAAGACGACACATTAGCGAAAGCTTCGGAAGTCGCAAAAGCTCAGTTGACGACGGATATATGGAATCTGCTGAGATTAAAATATCCACTCCTGAATCCACCATATACACGTTCACGCCCTTCTCGTCAACTAAATTGACCTCTGCTCGGTGAAGTTTCCTATGAAGTATACAAAATATAGTTATTATTTTATCGTAATCGTATCGTATGCTAATTAGCAATGACATAAATCCCATTCATTATCATATCATACCCATCCTCAAATTTGACAGTTACAGGAAGTCCGTCCTTCAGACAAGCAACGTCAACCGGTGCACAACCGGCAATTTCGTGCAAATGAATATCCATTGCCTCCTTAATCTGCCTTTGAATCACCACGGAAGTATAATCCATCACGATGATTGAAAAACTGTCCGGGCTAATAGCATTCAGCAATTTGTACGAATACTGCTTATTAATCATCAGTGGACGATCCGGATAGCACCATTCGTCCTTAAGAGTATCCAAATCCTTATCAAGCAACATTTCGGCGTAATCACTCGTCGTACTTGTTCCTACAACAAGAAAGAAAAGAAACGGCGATATTTAACTCTACTTACAAATTTATCTCTAGTTACCTGACCTTTTGACCTACCTGCACGTATTTTTTCTCCCTTTCCCTAACCAAACCTTCCTTCAATTTTTTGTCGACAGGTTCGTAAAAAGATAACCAACGCTTCGATAATCAATTTTTTTTCCTAGAGGCAGTTTTCTTCGGTCGGTGAGGAGAACAGACCAAAATGGTGACTAACTTTGAGTGAAGGAAGAGTGAGAGTGAGGCGAAGTTGGCAATGCCAACTTGGCATGTAGATTATTACAAAAATTATCACAAGGTGGCAGATGCAATATTATGGGATATTTCACTTTCACTTTCAAACTTGCGACTCCCAATCAAAATCAGCGACCAAAAAACTATAAGAGTCGACATTTTCCAACGTTGAAATAATTAATTGAATTACTAAATAAATGTGTTTGCGGCGCACAAGTAGATGAACTAGGCTTACATGGTCTTTCATGTAAAAAAAGTGCTGGCAGGCACTCTAGACATACGCAAGCCAATGACATTATAAAGAGAGCCTTAATTTCTGCAGACATACCAAGCATTAGGGAACCATTAGGGTGTTGTAGGACAGATGGAAAAAGACCGGATGGTCTAACACTAATACCTTACAAACAGGGACGCTCACTAATATGGGACTTTACATGTACAGACACTTTTGCCCCCTCTTATCTCTCTCACACACTTAGACATGCTGGCACAGCAGCAAAACTAGCCGAGACCAAAAAACACAAACTGTACTCTGAACTTAAAACAAACTATATCTTTGTTCCGGTGGCTATCGAGACATCAGGAGTATGGGGGACGGAAGGGTTGAAGTTCATCCAAGATGTTGGGAGGAGGATGAAGGATGTCACTGGACCAATGTCGACAACTTTTCTCATTCAACGGATTAGTTTGGCAGTTCAACGCGGGAATGCGCAATCAATCATGGGAGCTGTCCCCAGTCAACGAGGATTAGAAGAATTATTTTATATTTTAAATCATAGGTCGTTTTATTTACAAAAATCATGTAAGGGGCCGAATGGTGATCTCGGACGCCTATCCGGATCAAGTAAAGGTTTTCCCAACCCACCAACATCGGGTTTTTCCTCTACTCCCCAAGCCAACTAAGTGTATTTCATAGTTTATCAATGCTTATGTTAATAATAAATAAATTGAATTACTTGTAACAATTGTAAACACAGGACATGTGAGGTGTGAGGAGGTATGTTAGGTATGTTAGGTATGTGAAGTATGTATGTATGTGCGTACGGTATACACATGTCAGCCATACATCACCCCTCGTTTTGAAAACCCCCGCTGACCTTTTTGAAACTTTTAATGCACTAAATGCAAGATCATACTGCCCTACTACCGATAAATAGGCTGATTTGATCATTTTCAAGTCCGGTCATTGAAATATTTTCTTCCAAAGATGACCACCTTTTGTGGTTGGGGGAAAAAATTGCCTGGTACTAGTGCCGTTCCTCAATTTTTTTAGTCTGCGGGCGGAGCTCGTGGGGGATGGACGTGTCCCTGGGAGAGCTCCCCATTGCAGCTGCGCCCCTGGGCTTTCCGGCCTCTCTGGGGAGTCGGGCCCGCCCTGCCAGTGTCCGACTCTTCCCGTCGGAAGGTTTGCTCGGGGACAAAGCTGTAAGGGGAGAACCTTACGGGTCGGTCCATCTCTTGAATGCTCTTCCCACTAAGGAGTAGAAGGTCACTACTTGTCGGGCCCAGATTTCGATCTCCTTTGGATATGTTGTAGTACTACATGAGTGTAGAAAAAGTGAAGGAGGGTTAGACTCCATGAGCCCATTTACGCCCGCCACACCCCCTCAAAGGCGCCCAAACCCCCAGAGTTGCCGCACTAAAATCATCGCCAAAAATCGAGTTTTGCTCAGATTTTCAAAAAATTTACATTTTTGTGATCCCAGATAGTTGCTCTATCATACCCAATAGCAAACTCAACTTTTTTGAAATTTCGATTTTTTTCAATACATACCCTTGGTCAGCAAATCTTCGAAAATATTGAAAATTTCAAAAAGTTGAGTTTACCATTGGATATGATAGAGCAACTATCTGGGATCACAAAAATGTAAATTTCTTGAAAATCTGACCAAAACTCGATTTTTGGCGATGAATTTAGTGCGGCAACTCTGGGGGTTTGGGCGCCTTTGAGGGGGTGTGGCGGGCGTAAATGGGCTCATGGAGTCTAACCCTCCTTCACTTTTTCTACACTCATGTAGTACTACAACATATCCAAAGGAGATCGAAATCGGGGCCCGACAAGTAGTGACCTTCTACTCCTAAGTAGACTCACCGGGTGGGGGGCTTGCTGTATAGCGGGGGCGCGCTTGGCAAGTGAGAGGGCCCTCTACCTCCAACTCTTGGGTGACCGGGCTCTTTAGCTTGCACTCCCCTTGGGGCTGGCCGGGTTCCCGAGTTCGAAACCTTAATGGGGGCCGATTTACGGGTGCGTTCCCACCTCGTAAGGCGAGGGTAAGACGAGCCCCCTAGGGGAACGCGGTCGCAGAGGCGGTGACGTGGGCAGGGTTTTCTCGGTCGGCGGGAGGTAGACCCTCGCGGACGCCTTCGGGCGCGAGTGGGTGCCCGCCCGTGCGGAGCACGAGGGAGCGACGTCCTCGTCGTGTGTTCTGGAAACGCCCTTCTAAGGGCGGCCAACAGCTCCCATTCAATACATGCATCTACCCAGAGATCCGTGATTAATTAATCGTGATTAACGGATTAAGGATTGGGATTGGATTAATAATCCTTAATGCTTAATCCCAACAAAAAAATGTGTGAAATCAATCCTTAATCCTTAATCCCGACGAAATATTTTTGCTCCATTAATCCTTAATGCTTAATCCCGACGAAGCATGCCCAAATTATTAATCCTTAATCGTGATTAGGATTAATTCTCACGAGAGATTAATACTGCGAATGAGCAAGGTAACAGTTATTCTCAACCATGTGATATTTTTCCATTCTTTCTACTTTCCTCTCCTGAAATTATCTAGCATGCATTATATTTTTTAACTTTATATTGTTGCTTCCATAAAAGTACTGATTCAATCGTTAATCATGGCGAACAGGAATCTAACTGAACTGAAAGGTTTGCCATTCGTTTTGACCGGCACATTTTTTGATGTCGAAGAACTTGACAAGTCTTGTGGCTCTGTAAAGGCCAGGGGCATAGCTTGTGCACCAAAACTTGCCGTAATTGGCGGGGATATTATTCCAACATTGATTTTTATTACGTACTTAACGCAACACTACTATATATTGCACGTTTTGTAAGTATTTGAGATTTGACACATTAATATCGCTGTGTCGATAATTCTGTGCAGGAAAATAAAAATTATATTAATCCTTAATCATGAATTAATCAGGATTAATTAATCCTTAATCCCGAATTCAAAAGCATTGTGAATTAATCCTTAATCCTTAATCCCAGCAAATTGAATTATTTAATTAATCCTGGACTAATCTAATCCCGGAATAACATTAATCCTTAATCCTTAATCCCACAAAAAAATTCATTAATCACGGATCTCTGCATCTACCTACATTAGTTGGTTGGTAGAAAAATAACAATTACTATAATTAACAATTATTATTATTAACAATTTTTTAGCAGTTCGGAAACTTAGGTTCTCTTCTTCTCAATTTAATTCATAATTAATTAATTACTTATCATTGGAGCAATATAACAAATACGAGCATTTTTAAGCAGTCTTACTCTTACACAATGTTGTTCAACTGAAAATAGTATACATAAAGTGAACGAGTTATGTACTGTGCGGGTGGAGCTTAAACCTACGGCCTCCTGAAGTACCTTGTGCTGAGACTAGGGTTTCTCGTGAGTTTAGCTCCATTCGCACAGCACATAACTAACTCACTTCAAGTTTAGTTACAATTGATAAGGAGTTTTACCAATTTTGCATGGAAAATTTTTCATGAACAGATGAAATGCTCTTGTTGCCCTGTTGTTCAAATGCGGGTGCGCAATTCAATCATCCTGACAGCAAAGCAAATTAAAATGTATCCTTTTGTATAGTGAGATTTTAATTTGTGTAACCAGTTTTAATTTGTTTAAATGTTGATCAATTAAATTGCAATAATTGAGCAATAGGTTAAAGTGTCAAACCTGAAGAATGGGTGGGGGCAGTGGGTCCAAGTCGCGTCACAAGGGGTCGTCGTAAGTTTATATATAATTTTACATTTTTTGATGTGATGTTTTTTTTATTTGAATATCATTGAAATTAATTTCGATTTTTTTAAAATACAATAGAGCCACCAAACAGCCCTATGTGGCATCCAAAACGCCAGAGGATCGCTCAATCTTGGACGATATAGAGGGAACTGGGCGAAAGAAGAAGACACTTCCACCCACCGTCAACAGAACTGCCAATGACGACGACGCTGATTGTGACGACTTTATTCGTGATCCGTACTGGTCGCCGACCCCATATTCTGCTTTCAAACTACTCATTTCGGCTAGATTTGCGGCAGGTTTATGGACAACTATTTCGGATTGTGACGAGACATATAATTACTGGGAACCGGTACGTGTTGAACTAATTATTACGAGTTTTCTATTCGGTGAACTAATTATTTATATCGCAGGCACACTATCTTTTGTATGGGAAAGGGTTTCAAACTTGGGAATATTCACCGGTCTATGCACTTCGATCCTACACCTACATCTTATTCCATGCGGTCCCGGCAAAAATCTACGACTACGTTTTAAGGCCGACACCACTGCTTATCTTCTTCTTTGTGAGATGTTTCCTCGCATTTATTTGTGCCTGTGCTGAGGCATACTTGTATCGGTGGGTAAACTTTACAGATAAATTATTATATGATGAGTTAAAGTCATCTGTCCTATCATGTACTAGATCTGTGCGGAAAAAGTTTGGAGGAAATGTCGCCAGAATCACGCTAGTCACTGCATTGTTCTCGGCTGGAATGTTCATCTCGTCCTGTGCGTTTTTACCATCCGCATTTTCGATGTGAGACTCGTTTTTTGTTTGGACTTTTGTTTGCAAAAATAAGATATACATACAATGTTTTACTTTTCTAGGTACATGACGGCCTTTGCGTTTGGAGCATGGTTGGATGGGCTGGATGAATTGGCAATATTTTCAGTAGCCTTGTCTGGATTATTGAGCTGGCCTTTTGCGGCTTTGACTGGGTAAAGCAATTGGAACGAAAGTAGCGATGGGGCGATGAATACATTTTTTATGTAAATACTTTTTGTGTGCTGTTTTTAGTGTCATAATAGCAGTGGACATTTTGTTGATTAGAAGAAAACTCTTGCTGTTCATTAAGTGGTCAGTCGTATCATTGTTGGTCATTCTGGTATGATTTTGGACGATTTGTGAAACAATATTGCTATTGAAATATTATTTTACTTGTTCTTATGCAATCTGTGTTATGTACCTCAGATCCCAGTAATAGTTTTGGATTCAAACATGTACGGAAAACCTGTGATTGCACCTTGGAACATTGTCAAGTACAATATTTTGTCAAACAAAGGGCCAGAACTGTACGGAACGGAGCCCTGGTCTTTTTACTTTACGAATGGGACACTCAACTTTAATCTTGTATTCGCATCCGCCTTAATATCTCCATTCCTCATGTTGGCCAATTATAAAATGGAGTCAAATTTGATGAAAAAGATGGGAATTGTTGGAACTATCTACGTGTGGTTGTTGGTCTTTGTTCTGCAGCCGCATAAGGTTCGATTTAATAAATATAAAAATTTATTTCATATTTTGAAACCTTTTTTATATCTTTTACAGGAGGAACGGTTCATTTTCCCAGTATTCGCCCTTATTCCGGTCGCAGGTGCTCTTGGAATTGATGCCATGCAAAAAATTGCTGATCTCGTCTGTTCTAAAATTTTCCTCTGGTGGATCCAAAGAGTAAAAGACATTAAAAAAGTTAAGGTCTTCGACTACAGAAAAATTGTATCATCCATTGGCGTCGCTGCTATTCTGACTTCAAGTGTGATTGGGAGTTCAAGAATTCTTGCACTGTATTACGGTGAGTATATACATATATAGCAATTTTACTGTTAATTAAGATATTAATAACTAATTAAAAATTATTATTTAAATTAAGGATATCGAGCCCCATTCGACGTTTATTTCGCTTTCAATCGCGACGCTTCAACACAACGAGCCCTCGCCACCGGCAAAAATTACACCGTCTGCTACGGAAAAGAGTGGTACAGATTTCCAAGCTCATTCTTTCTCCCCAGTTTGGCATGGGATGTACGATTCATCGAGTCAGACTTTAAAGGACAATTACCAGACTTGTATTCACCCTTCGATCCGGCTGGCACGAAAAGAATACCGGAACATATGAACGACTGGAACAGAGAGGAGCCGACTCGATATGTGAGAAAATGTTAAATTAATTGTACAAACAAATTATTATAAATTATACTAAATTATTATTGTATGTCCAGGTCAACATAAGCGATTGCGACTATCTCGTCGATCTCATCGATCCGGACAGATTCTCAGCTAAAGAACCAAACTATGCCGCAAATACTGCCGACTGGAGAATTTTAGCAGAACAGGATTTTCTCAATTCTGCAAAATCACATCAATTTTTTCGTGCATTTTACGTTCCCTGGTTTTCCTCTCAATACACGACCTACGATTCTTACGTCTTTATGAAACGAGTCAGAAAGAAGAACGCCCGGCAGAAAAAAAGAGGAAAGGAATTTACCGAAGACGATATTTGAAGAATCAATCGTAATAAATGAAACTATAACAGCAACTTCAGCGTTCCACCAACCAATAATAATTAGATGGATATAGTAAGTATCTCTGTTAATTCAAGGTTTTTGCACTTGGGGGATTGCTTGGGGATTAATTTGATGCTAAATAATACATATTTACCCCCAAGGAATCCCCCAAGTGCAAAAACCTTGCTGTTAATTATTAGCCTTGTTAATAATTGCTCATTGTTTTTTACTTGTAAATGGTCATGCTTATTATTTAACTAACAATGGAACCTTTTTTCAAGCTACACGAGATAAGCTTAGTGACATATGCTAAAAAATCAAGCTAAAAATTAGAAATGACGTGGTACTTATCTTTCCGTTGAATGGGCACTTGGAGGTCAAATATTTGAGGGCAAAGTTCACAGTAGCGGCAGGTTTTTTTCTCAAGCGGGTGAGCGGAGGAGTGAAAATTTTCTCCTTCGAGGTCACTCTCGCACGCTCGCACTTCATTCAATGCATATTATTTTTGACAAAATTTCACAATCTCGTAAATTGGTGTATACATTCATCTAATTTTATATTTTCTTTTTAAAATCCTACTATCCACCGATCCGTAATAAAAAAGTGCCGATATGTTCAATAAATTATTATTATTTATATTATAAATTAAAATTATAAATCGAATATTATCCTCGAAAACCGCAGAGATGACTACTAAAAATTATAACTGCGTCTAATTATTTAATTAATGTATTAATTAGAAATCATAATCCTTAAAGTTGACTTATTTTTATTGCCACATTTCATTGTATATTTTTGGAAATGCATACTACTAACGAAACTAGCGCGACAGTGAAGGGAGCGGAGTGACCTCGAAGGAGAAAATTTTCACTCCTCCGCTCGCCCGCTTGAGAAACAACAGGCCGCTACTGTGAACCTTGCCCTCAAATATTTGACCTCAAAGTGCCCATTCAAAGGAAAGATAAGTACGTAATTTCTTATTTTTAGCTTGATTTTTTAGCATATGTCACGAAGCTTATCTCGTGTAGCTTGAAAAAAGGTTCCATTGTAAGCAATAAATTAGTTTAGGCAAAATTAGTCAATTGTCATGTGTTAGCCTTAGTCAAAGAAAGTAAGTAAAAGAAGAAGAAAATTGATGTTTGTACCATTCCAAAGAATCCATATAAAGACATTGCTAGTTTTAACGGGGCATTATAGTTTGCTCTGGCCGCTCTATCAGCCAATACAGTCTCTCGCTCAATATTTCTCCGTATGTTGACAACATGCATAATTTTTTGCACAGCTTTTTTACGTTGTCATTCTTATACCGAGATTAAATGTGCACTCAAAAATGTGGAATTTGTTGAATTACAACTAGTGATAGTTGCGCAACAAGAAAATAAGGCCCTTTAAGGAATTGATATGCTACTTTTATTTATATTAATCAATTAATCTCGAGAAAAACAAAATTTTGATGGAAATTGATTTTCGGCATTTAATATAAATAAAAGTAGCATATCAATTCCTCAAAGGGCCTTATTTTCTTGTTGCGCAACTATCACTAGTTGTAATTCAACAAATTCCACATTTTTGAGTGCACATTTAATCTCGGAATTAGAATGACCAGGTCAAGATTTTGCATTTTTTCCTGATTCGTCTCAACTTGTCATAGAGTATGCGTGGTGGGAAGCCACCACCACACATACTCTTCCCACTGGAAACCACTAAAAACATAAACAATGCCAGATGAGATTTGCAGTTTTTTGCAAAAAATTCAAAATTCCCACCGAAACTTGTGAACTTTTTACCCCACCGAGTTCATCAGTTTCGCCACTATGTGATTTATGAGGATTGGTTTAACATAAAATATAGTCAACTCTTAAGCAAAGGCGTGCTTTAGCATGTACATAAAGTAAATATGCAAATAGTGAGTGATAATATTTATGGTTGTGTCCATACGTTTACAGTTGTGGCGTAGTTTATTAATTAATAGTTATTTATTTATGATGATGATGAATAATGCCGCAATAAATCAGGCACCCAGAGTGCAACGATATGCATATGAAATCAAATGAAATAGGATACCAATAAGACATGAAAAATCACTCGGTTGTTAAATTTTCTAAGTGAGTGTTTCTTTAATTCGTAGTAAAGACTTTAGAAGAAGACTTTACATGGTAAAAACAATTTAGAAGATGGATAATAAAAATCCGGGGGCGGTCCAGTCAATTATTTTTCGATCAAATCAGTCATCTACTTCTTGAAGTAAGAAAGTCCTCCGTAGCTGTAAGCTGGGTATCCAGAGTAGCCTGCGCAAAACAATTAATAATTTAGCCAAATCGTTCAAAATCTCATAATTTTGATGGTAAAACCAATATATTTAGCATGCATACCATAGACTCCGCTGGAGTAACCGGTGTAGGCAGGGTAGGCATAAGAAGAGTATCCGTATCTAGAAATGGGAATGAAAATTTAAATCAATATTTTTAATTTTGGAACGAATTTTCAAAATTATCTTTCAAAAACTCACGAGGGAACGTAGCTGCCATAATAGCTGCCGTAGTATTGGGCAGAGGCAGCGGCGACGATGGCGAGGAGAACCAACTAAAAGATTCAAAATTGTGTAAGGCTCGAAAATATTTTCGAAAAATGGGAAATTCCACTCTTTTAACAACTTACGAGCTTGAACATCTTGAAGATTTTGTGGGGTAGCTTAAAGCTGAAGTTTACGAGAAGAGATTAAGATTGCAGTTGTGGCGAAACTGAATTGATAACTCGTACCTGGAATAGCTTCGTATTTATACCTGAGCCCCAACCGGACCACAAGCCGACCCCGCCCAAACATACCAAGCTGTGCATCCAACAATACATACTGAAGACGCTACCTGCCAACCAATTAGCTGTGATTCCTCGCAGGTAACAAATATGTACACGTTATTACACTAGATGTAAAATTTGGTCATGAGTTGACTTGACGCTATACAGCTTTTGGCATGTAGTACCACCACCCGTTCCAGAAGAGTCGTACGACATTAGGCAAAAAATAAAAATAGGATGATGATACACAACCGAGTTCAATAGATGATGAAGATGATCACTATAAATTCCAGACCACCCCCTTGGCATCAAATATCTGTATTCTCTCTCAATTCTGTAAAAAAAGTTACATCACTAGACAGGATTAACTCTTGGAAAGTTGTACATTCGGCCTTGACGTGATCTCGTCTTCTTCTTCTGGATTGGATCTGGTGGGATACATAATTGATGGAATTTTGATTGTAGATTTCATCCCAAATTTTTTGAGGTGGGTTTGATGATTTTATACTTACTTATATAACTAACTGCTCAATTTTGCATACTGGATTTATTGTACCGGCCGGCTCTGTAATTTTGTGGCGTGGCGTGGCGTGGTGGTGATGATACATTACACATGACCCACAATTTTTACAGTCATTATTTTATTTATTAACCATCCGTCCAAGTTTCATGAGAGGTTGCAAGTTAATTATTATTGCAATCATCATCCGTAATAATAAATGTTACTGGTTGAGATCATATTCTTAATATCGTATCATGCAGAAGAATCTGATTTGAGAATTTTCTTCACAAATTTACCTGCGGTATCGCATCTTATCTCTGATCGATTGCAGTCCGTATAATTTGCAAAATTTGCATGATACATCCACGTGTAATTAAATATGTAGGTAGCCAAAATTCATTCCAGTTTATAACAAAGTTACATAGGTGTTTGTGTTGATATTATTTTATATGGAATGCTTGCATGGAAAAGTTGCAAATCGGGTTTTTGAAGGCTGTTGAAGGTTGCCCTAAATTTTTTGCAAGACTGGAATTTAGAATCTTCTGCCCATGCAATGTGCTGGCAATCTTACCATGAAATGCTGCGATTTTTTTGTATATACGTGGATTGAATCTAAAAATCTTAACGTGCTAATTTGCATATTAGGAAAAGTTAAGTTTTCCCGTCATTTCTAATTTTACGGCAATAATCACTGCGAAACTTGAGATTTTATTGGATACATATTACTTATTTCATGTTTGCAATTATTGAATATTGCCAAAAATTCAGGGCACAATAGACCAGCCCGTTTTAGAAATATTACACGTAACGTGACATAAATGGGATGTGACGATCACTATAAAATTAGTCCGACTAAATGACCAACCTTACCACACCAAAACTCAAAACACACCACAAAAGACGTGGTGCTACTATTTTTATTAATTTACGTTTGTCATGCTCGCATGTGTAATGACGTGGCTTTTGGACTATTATGACTCTTCTCGAAGAAAGAAGAAACAGGTTGAAGGTCACACATACTACATAAATTAGTAGCCACTTATTATGTATGTACTATTGGGTAAATATCAAGTGGAAATTATGGCTAAAACTGGTCCAGGCAAATACATTAATTTTGTATTTGACAGGAGCACAGTCAGAAAATTGTGGAGATATTTTATATTGACGTGGGTTTGAGAAAAATGAGAAAAATGAGACGATCAAGTCAAGCAGTGCTCACAATGCGAAGTTCACATTCATCAACGAGGAGGCAACATGAGACGCTTCGATTATTTAATATTCTGCGTTGAGCAACATACATTTTGCGTACGATGAGAATGAGACGGCGTGGAAAATACATTATTTTTTGCTTCACATTCCGAAATTTGATCATTCCCATGTAAGTATTTGAGCTTGAGGTTGATGCCTATGCTATATATTATGCGTAGTAATACCGAAAATTCTGCCTGATTCTGCATCTCCAACTACATCATGTACATGCAAAAAGCATCCGGGTGAGAGGTACCATGTATGTACTAAACGTTTGCAAGGTCAATCTTCTCATCACATAGTTAATATCACAATGGCAAAAGTGACTGGTGGGTGAGTTAAGCATGTTATGTATAATATCCCAACTTTTTTCAGTAGTCCAGTCCAAAATGCTTTGTTTCATTTCATGTTTGTCACATCACAATCGTAATAATTTTGTCACGCATGAATGCAAATTTACTTCTGATCTCACACTTTATTCGTTATTCGTTCAGCTTCTGTTGAAAATGTGTTGTAACCTGGGAGCGATTTAGTTTCCAGTTGATCCGATTCCTTCAGCCCGCTTTCTGAATCTTGGACCAGGGTTGGGTTATCGAAGGCCATGTTGGACCCTTTTCTGGCCTCATTTGTGGTAACATCGTCCGGACTAATGGTCAAATTTCCTCTCCCGGCGCCACGTCCCCCGACGACCAATTTCCTCGCCAAGAAGACCCTGAGACGGTACACGCCCCATCCCATGACCAAGTGGAGCAGACCGGCCCCCAAAATCCCGACGACTGAGGCGACACTCGCCATTCCCGGCTTATGTCGCCAGTTCAGCATGGAGTAAATATATTCTAGGCCTTGCGCGTATTGTCCGTTTCCTACCTCGTACATTCCTCTGGATGGATAGATATTTTAAGATAAGATACAATTTTTAGGTAGGATAAGGTAAGATAAGGTTGTCTTACGAAAAGAAAATGTACAGAAATCCCACAATGATGGGGAAGATCATGTGACTTATTCGGATCGGGACCGCCATGACCATCACATCCAGCAACGCTACGGGAGAGTTGAACGCATGAACGATAAGATCACTCGCAACCTCGCAGGTCGTGTGGTCCTTGAAACCTGGGTGAAATTGGGGTAGAAAATTGGTATAAATATTTTTAGGTTAAGCTTTGTCTTTAGTGTTTCGTTTTTTTGTGGGTTAGCTACATTTTTTGCACTGCAAAGCAAGAAATGCAAGAAATGCGAAGTGCAAGAAACTGGGAGAAAGTGCAAGAAATATGCGCAATCCAGGCACGCGCCGTGTGAAGTACGGCGGCGTAGTTTCTTGCGCTTTGCATTTCTTGCAGGTCAAAATACCTGCAAGAAACCACTTTCTTGCCGTTATTTCTTGGAAGGTGTTTGTTACTTGCACCCGAAACACTGTTTATATTATTTAAAATGTACATATTTCTATATACTCACTTCCACTAAAGATGAACATCCAATACCCCAACGTCACGACGTACGGGACGACCACGATGAGGTTGACACCAACCCAGATTATCTTCTCCGCCCAGGGGAGACTGGGGTCGGGGTTGACGGCGGAGCTGGAAAAAAGACGATTTTCCACATTTTCTCGCTTCCACCGCACCCACACGAGTCGAAAGAAGAATAACGCCGTGTAGATTAGTTGGAGGGTGAATGACCAATTTGTGAGGAAGATGAAGTACAGGTTGATGTCTTGGGTGCAGTACATGTTGTAGATCGTGCCCCCCAGAAAATAGGCCAACATGCCGAACCGGAAGGCGAGATAGGGCAGGGAAACGTTACATAAGCGATCGGAGGGGTTGAAACGTTCCCACTTTGGATAACCCAAATTTTAAGGATAAGCTTGCAGAATAAGGGGTTATGCATTTTTGCTTACCTCGCTTTTCCAAAAGTAAATCTCCTCGGTCGTATTCATGTTAAAGTTGGCTTTTAATTTTTCTAATGGCTTCATTTTGCTCATTTTGGTAATATTTATCTAGGATTACACGATTTTACAGGTAAGAAAAATTTTGAATACTAATTAATCTCGGTATGAATTTAGGTTCAGAATAGAATTTAAAAAAATTATTAATGCTATAATGTAAAATTTTAAATACAAGTAAAAATTTGACCCGGAGTTGGTCCTGATTTTTCTTGTAAAACAGAAAACTTAAGACTAGACGCTTATTTTAATTTCCATGAGAAGTTCGAAAAACAATTTTTTAGTCACGTACAAAAATTTTAAAAATATCACTTTCGGAATTTCACTCACTCAACCACTAAAAAAATTCATGCAAGTATTTATTAACAGAATGGAATGTGTTGTTACTGTAAAAATCATCATGTGCTCGAAAGAGTTACGTAACAGCCTGCATGATAAAAGGCTTATCTTGCCAAACAAAAATGATTAATGTTATCAAGCAAATATTTAAATGTCAAGGTAGTAAAAAATGTGACACCTCTTACGAAAACTTACAAAATATTTAAAAACTTGTAAGTAATTAATATTGATCGATTAATTGCACCAATAAACAAAATTTTTCACCTTGTCGTTCTCCATAAATTCTTTCATGAAGGCCGGATCCAAGCTATTTTGCGAATGCGACTAATTTCAATTGTATTAATTCAGCCTTGCCCTCTCAACAAACAAACAATTTTATGCCGTGAAAAAGCCGTTAAAGAAATCGTATAAAATACCTAATTCCATTGTATTTTTATGAAAATATGACAATAATTATTTTCATTATAATTATTATCCTGCTGACGTATATCCATTTAAAAATTTCATTTTTATTTTTTCCACAATTTTTCTCCACCCACAAATTCACCTTCTTCTTCTTTTATTCTTTTTTCCTCCCTCACATTATTTATTTATTCAGAGTTAATTGTTCGTTGGCGTTTGATGTCTTGTTTTATAAATCTCATAATTTATGTAAACTTTACATTGCGTCGCTGGCTATTGTAAAATCATCTCCCTCGACATTTTCCAATACATAATATTTAATAATAATAAGTAATAAATAATACTAGATACGACCACCTTGATTTATACTTTCACTGTAATTAATTATTGTGTAGTGAAGAATTAGTTAATATATTTTTAAATATATATAAAATGAGAAAATGTATTATTTTACCTGAAAAATCATAGTTTATCTGATTCTTTTTTTAAGAAAAAGGTTACCTCATCTGGATTATTTAATAAGTAAGTTAAGTAGGTGAGAAAGACAGCATCTTCTTCTTCTTCCAGTTCAGTACATTTACAAGTAATTTATAAAATACATTATCCGTTAAAATCACATTTTTCGTCAGATGCTGCTAATTACTTCTCTGCCTGTTTGACTGGATGCTTAGTTTTCTTTCTCAGTAATGAGTAGTTTTTCAAAGTTGTGGATATTTAAAAAGAGAGAAGACGTTAATGTTTCGTAATCCAGTTATTTTTTTGCAAGTTTTTTAAGTGAATTTGGAAGATATTAAATTGATTACTTATTAGTTACAAAATTGCATAAATGGGTATTTGAGAAAGTGACGACGACAAGGTTACTTACAGTTTGTGTGGCTATTTTGTAACATATTTTTATTAGTAGTACAACAGTACGAGTACAAGGTGCGGATAGTGATAAGTAATTAAATATTTGATTAAAATTTACACTAATTAATTATTTACCCCTACGAAAAATCATGTTTATTTAATAAGTCTCACTGCGTCATCATATTCATCACTCAATATCATCATCATCATATCATCATGACCTGACAATTCCTAATTTTAAGACTAGAAAAACCAGAATATTTTTATCACAAATTATTAAACCATCTGCTCTCATTAAGAATCTAACTAAGAATTAAGAATAAAAAGTTTTATGTATGTCTTTGGCACCTTGTTCTCATCCTTCCGTTAAGAAAACTAAGTATGTATGTTAGTCATGAATTGTTTTTTAAGGACTAAAATGTGTTGTGTGCTATTTTACATAATCGCTGTATTATTATTTTTAGCTTAATAGGCCACCGCGCGACTATCATTATTTATTATTATTATTATTACAATGTAGAATAGTTAATTACTACATATTTAAAAGTCGGTATGGTCATTATTTGTGTACTTATTGGGAATGTTTTTATGGGTTAAAAAGTATAAAATTTTTTGGTGTTTTCAACTGGTTTGGTTGGTATTACAAATCAGAGAGTAGAATAGATTATTATTTTTTTTCCTAGGTTTTGTTTTTATCCTCATCCTCAAAGGTTTTGTTAGTTTTTGGCATATTTTCTTGGTCAATAATAATTCATTGATGTTGTAAATATGTAGATTTTTATATACAAATTGGAATCTACATCTTAATTTATGTTAAATAACAATGATAACAACAAGAATAATAATAAAAAGATCTCATTTTGGTGGTTTTAAATGGCGGATTCCTTATTCCGTTCCTCATCCGCGCTCGAGGCCGCACTGGAAGCGCCGCAAATATGCATTTCAATCTCGGCCAAACGATGCTCAACTTCCCACTGTTGCTGGGAAAGTTTTAAATTAAGAGTTGCATTTTCCGTCTCCAATGTCACGAGACGTTCCCGCAGGCGGCGAATTTCTTGGAGGAGGGCGGCATCCTGTGTGGCGTCGAGTAAGGCGGAGACGCCCATCATCATGTGACTAGAACTTCCCGCAGATCCGGATAATCTTCGAACTGGAGGAGATACAATTTGTATTTTTAGTACAAAAAAAATTTTAATTGAAAAAATTAATAAATTTCCGAGAATTTATATATTTCCTTACCCGTGGAAGGATGAGGATGATGGTGCTGCTGGAAGAAGACATGGTCCGCGGAGAGGGGTGAAATTGAGAGGTGGGACGACTCGTGGTCCGGCACGTGTAGGAATGACGACGGCGTGACGCCACCCCCGCCCGGGGCAGCCATCAAATTAGCCGGGGAAAGGACGGTGGCCGTACTTCTCGATGCGGCAGATGCCATCCGAGCATCACTTTCGCGTGAGGAAGTTACACTGGCACCTAGCCAAACCAATTACCAAATTATTACTCCAAAAGCTGAAAAAGAGAGAGAGCTAGGTTCCATCCAGACGAGGAGGAAATAAAAAAAATGGGGTGAAATAAATGCAAGAAAAGAAAGAAATGCAGTTGATGCAGTGTGCGGGTGGGTGAAGGAAAGTTGGATAAGTAATGGAGGATTGAGAGGAATTTGGCTAAATAGTTTTTGGAAGATATTTGTGACAGAATTGTACCCAAGTCCACCAGGCTAATCAATTCAATCATGTCTACATAACAAACAAAATTCTCTCATTTTCTTTACGAGACAAGAATGTCTCTTAAAGTTGAGCTTTAAAATCCAGTCCAATTTAAAGTTGAGTATTTCACTTTGCCTTTGACTTTCTCTTTACTTTACCTTGGTCTTCTTCTTCTTCTTCGCTTTTCCTCCATCCAAAAAACCTGATCGATCGATCACTCTTTCCTTTTGGCTGCGTTTCTTATATAACTTTATTTCTCTTTCCGTTTAGCACACGGAGGACTCGGCGGATCGTAGACTCACTCAACTTGGGAATTTGGACGTGGACCAAGAATAAGGACGAAGAATGTGGACATGATATACACTCGAATTGGTTGTGATACCTTGCCCCGAGTGAAAGTGAGACTAAGCGAAAATGGACAACTTTTCCCCTCCTCTCAGGCAGGTATCATATTCTGTATCACTAATTCAGATCATGTGTCAGACGGGGATTATTATTGATAAGTTGGTAATTATCGGTTTTGAATATAAGTACTTAAGTAATCGCCTTAAAATGCGGGGAAGGCTTTAAGTACTAGTGGAAAATATTATACGTATCGTGCCAAATTATGATCCAGCCTGAATAAAATGCAGTTTGATACGATGACAAGCATACATAAGCACTTTTGATGGCATGATTAACTCCACTTTTTCCAGGATCAAACAATTTTGGTCATGTAAGAAAATATCGTCCATCCAAAAACTCGAACGCAGCAGCTTCTTATCCCAAGAACCCAACAACCTTCGTGGCTGAAAGACATCGTCATAACCAAAATGAGGCGTCTTTTCCCCACAAACAAAGAAGCGAAAAGTGGAAAAGAAAGCCGTGTATGTAGCCGTGTAGCTACTTAAATTTCGTGAAAACAGTTCGTGACTACAAACCACCAAACTTTACTTTATTCTCTTTTCTCCTTTGTTAATGCCGTCTCAAAAAATTGTAAATTAGCTGGGTCGGCCTGACTGGCTGGGCTGCTTTGTAGGGGAAAAAATTACTTACTTGGGGCTGTAAGCATTAAAAATCCACTCTATTTCTCTTTTCCTCCTCCTCCTCCTCATGATGAAGCTGGTTTGCATTCTAATCATGAAAGTTCAAGGTGGTTGAGTATGTAGAGAAGAAAGCGCTACACTGTATGTCCCGGCATGTGCAAGTTTCCACTCTAAAAGTGTGGAAAGGCAGAGGCAGAGGAGGAGATGGAATATATAACTTGTCTTAAAAAAATGGGAAATTACTTGTTCACCAAGGAAAAGAAGTGGATGCATGCTTGAGATAAATTAAAACTTTGCCAGCCTAAAACTACTCATACAGCAGCAGCTTCACCTCATTTATGTGAACAGGCTGTTGCTACTGCATGAGAGTTGATTGGCTTGGCTTGCTGGGTCTCATTTCTTCACGGAGAAAAGCATACACTTCTGCCTCGCACATCGTGAATAAAATCGAACGAGAGATGAGCTAATAGTAGTTACTAAGTAGGGAAGGAAGGAGAGGAGAAAGCAGAGCCACCGTGCAAGAAGTAACTAGTTTTAAATAAGGAGAAAACTTTTTCACTCGAGCCCAACAACTAATGACTTTCACTACCGTTTTAGGAATTAAGTGTGCAGTTTGGTAGGTAGGTAGGTTTTACCGTGTATTGAGAGAGTCGGTGCCAATTATGTATGTTTCGAGAATTAAGTAATGTGTGTATAGTATGTAATGTAGGATTATACGGGGAGGAAATATTTGGGGTAAAATGGGACAGGATTTGTGAACAGAAAAGAACTATGCACACTCGTAGAAAACTGGTATTAATTTATTACTGGCTGGAGTACATAAATATATGACTCTTCTGTCGGTACTGGTAATAACGGGGGTTACCGTTTAGTAATGTTGTGGCAATGAAAAATTTACTCCTCAGAAACAAACTACTACCAATACGGTAGGAATTTATTACCAAATCAATACCAGTCCGGAGTATATATGCCACTCTACCGGATGCTTTACAGTGTATATAACTCTGCCAAAGCGGTATTAACAAGTACTACCGTGTAGTAATGGCTCAGTACTAAAGTTGTACCATATCGGTAGCAAGTTTACCACTCACCAAAAAATTACTACCAATCCGATAAGAATTTATTACAAAATCAATACCAGTCCGAAGTATATAAGTAACCCTACCATATTTCCAAAACTATCCATATTTTTACCTGAGGTATAAAAGTTAATTTTTGGAAGATGTCCCTTATTCGACTTGTCCTCCTCGGACGAGGGTATGGAGGAGTTTGAGGTGGCCGAATTTTGTCCATGTTGTCCATGACTGTGATGGGCGGCGGAGGACATTATTAAGGGCTTGTTCTCGGGTTCTTCAGGGTTGACCCACATCTCCTCGAGAGGCACTTGACCCAGCGTCTCCACCAAACCTGGGGTCGAGTTACAGCGGCCCAAAGCGGCTACATTATAAATATCAGAGAGAAAAGAGAAAGGATTCATGCAGACAAGACGAGACACGACACCCACACACGTACATCACTCCCCAGACTGGGAGGAGTTTTTTTTGCGGTGGAAAAAGTGCAGAAAAACACACAAAACTCACCTTTCTCCAAGGGCGCTTTCTTATACTTTTCGAGTCGCTGTGTTAATTAGAATAAAAAAATATTAATCACTCAATTACAAAGACATATTAGAATAAAAGTACCAATTGTTTGTTACCTTGCAAGCTATTGCTTCCAATCGGACCCGCGCTGCAGGATATTCTTTGAGGACATCCCACATGTCCGTTTTTGACAGGACTAGAAAAAAATGTAACATTTCTTATCAAATAAATTCCAAACGCATCCATATTTTGAGATGTACTACTAACCGAATAAATCACTGTAACCCACAGATCGAACTGAAGCTGTCCGTCGGTTACCTGAAAAGAATAAGAAATAAAAGAAGCATGTAGGAAACCCAAGAAATATATTTCATTCTTTTTCTAAAATAAAACACGAGCAGGAGACAGAAACTCGACTCAATTTTTTCGTCTTAAAACAACTAAGGGAAAGTTAAATACTGCGTAAAAGTAAATTCCCTTCCTCAAATTCATTTCCGCTTTTACTCCTCCAAAATTAATGCGACTTTGTCGTCGTCGTCAACGTTGGGGCAATTATACCGAAGCGAGTAGAGTAAAGTGAGTGGGCTTGTTATGCAGAGAATGAATATCTGTCCATGTTTTATGTAAAGATTTTAAAAGCTTTTCCTATCTCGTCCCATTTGTTCCTCGAGTGTTGACTGTTTGTCCAATTATTTTGAGAGTCAACTTAAACAATTTTGTTGTTTGGTAGGCAAATGAGCGAGTGAGCCAGCGTAACGTGAAGGAAAAGCAAGGTTTGTTTTTGCTTGGATTGGATCCCTTTAAAATGTAAAGTGGCTCTGATAAATGAAATGTGGCATCAGTGTCAATATCAGGAATTACATGTATGCATTATGTATTTGCACAATAAATACGTTCACTACAAACCGCACCACGAGGATATCAGCCCCCGCAAGGTGAACCGTTTCCCAGCATTTGGCGTGTATGTGGTCGGGTATGATGTGTATTTATGTAGCTCGGAATTGCAAATAGTGAAAGTAAATTGAAACTGGGTCTCTGTTCTTGTTGGTCTGTTGGGACTTGTACTTACCTTATCCACCATATATATATATGCATATCTGACTATTTATACATAATGTCGCCCTGTGTGAATATACGGATCCAATCCAATCCAGCAGCCAGCTTTCACCAAGTCTGCTTTTACCAATGATTGATTGCTAATCCAACATAATCTCGTTCGCTCGTCGGGTACGTACGTTCCATAACTAACGAAATAAGCTAAGGGAAAGTTGGGTGTGCAATTAATAAAGCCGGTCTGAAACCAACCAGTGAAATTGGTTTAATTTCTGCAAATATTTAGGTTACAGATTGGGAATATTATGCCTTATGTAAGGCACATATTTGCAAAATGACACATTTGCAAAATTTCTCTCTCTCTGTGTAATATAAAGTAAACCATTTTTTATTCTCTGCGAACATGACTGGGAGCAGAGAGAATAATATAAGAAATGTGAAAAATCCGCTCAACTTGTTCCTTAAGAGGGGAACCACTTTGGCACTAAATCACCCGATGTGTCTGTCCTCACCGTGCTCTAAATCTCCAACTTTTACTTTCAACTGTGACTTGTGACTATGCGAATACTGAATCAGTCGCCGCGGAACCAGCGAGGGACAATGTCCCCACGGTTGTTCGATGTCCCCATCATCTCCCCATTTTATACAAACCCTTCCCTCCCTTATCGTACAATGTCAACGTCCCCACAGCTTCCGCGGCCACTGCATGAGAAGCATGAGAAGTATATCGGAGCAGCGGTGTGTGTTCAATTTTTAATGCCGGTCTTCAATTCCTTCTTATACTCCTCGTACATAAATCTATTCATGTCATCAATCTGTTGGGCTCAAACTTAGTTTAACTTATGGAGCTAATCTCTCTCCCCTCTTTTTCCTCCATCACGCACCACTACCACTTTATCCTCCGCCTTCACCTTTGCTTTGGGTCGGATTGAAATTGGATAATTTGGATTTTGGAGAGAGAAACTAATCCGAGACGACATAAATACTTTCACTTCTCGGGGGCCTTCTTTTTCCGTTTTGCATATTGTTTTGGCACAAGTTTTACTTTCTACGACGTACACACGTAGGGAAGGAACTTTTACTATTTTGTTGATCGACCCCCTGCAATCATAACTAAAAACGTAGCTGGGTAGGCATGGCCATGGCACCTGTGTAATGGGAAAGAAGTTATTCTGACTTGCCCATTTAATAATGCGACTTTCTCCCCTTTTGTGTACGTAAGGACAAGAATGTGCGTGCCGTGTTTGACGATTGTGGTAAGAATGTGTCCCAGGCATGCCATAAGTTGGGTGGAGGGGAAAACTATGGATGTAAGTTGGCACAAAACTTTTCATTTTTAATGCTCATTTCGACAATGTCGCAATAAAAAGTATAACCCACGGTGCAGCCCTACATATTTAGCTAGAGTCAACTTGTTATTAATAAGTAATTGAGGTGGGTAAACTTTTTACATTTTGCGACAGATTTTGTTTAGCTGCGAAATTGATTCCTAATTTTGCATATTCTCCTTGTGTGCAAAATTTCAAATGGATTGAATAACCGTAATCGATAAACAGACAATCATGACGGGTACTACATAAGCCCTGACTCAGGATAAGGTTAAAAAATGACATCAAACGAAATAATTGAACCTGATCAATCACAACCGAAAATAATAAATTAAATATTTTTTTTTCATATGAAACATTGGGCAAAAATATAAAAATCTCATCGCTAATTCATGCACAGCAAAAATAAACACATAACATACTTCACAATCTTTTTCTCGTCTAATTTGTGCTACTTTAAATTCCTAACACAAATTTAAATCAAGTATGACCTCCAAGTCCAACAATATACATTTCTGTATTGATTTTAACCCACATTTTCATAAATACTCCAAAAATATTACACCCATGAAACATTCGTCTCACCCAAATGCCTACATATTTATGCACGATCAACATATGTACCATTCCTACACCAAGTTCCCTCCCCAACCAAATAATTTCTCCGCTCGTATATGTCCACACAATGGTTTTCTTTCCCTACTTTCTATTTACCTACTTTACTTTCACCCGTCACACAGTCCAGTCACGCCAAGTGGACATAATGTCTCTTACTTTATTTAGGAGTGAGTGAAGTGAGAACAGAGTCCGTGTGTCACTTTCAACAAAGCTCCTGCTGCTGCTGCTGCTGCTGCTGCTAATTCCTTTGTATTTGTTCCCTTTCTCCATCCACCACCAACTTCCTCTCTCTCCCACTATTATTACGTGGGTGAAGGGTGGGTGGCAGGCAGTTGTACGTAAATAAACAAGTCACAAGAAACAATAATGTTCTGTTTTTTTCTGTGTGTCCCGTAAGTTTTCCTGTATTTGAGCTGACTCAACTTTTCCCAGGGAAGAGAAAAAAAATCAGCAACAAACAAGAACTCGAGAATGAGTAGTAAAAGTCAAAGGAGTAAGTGTAAAAATGTGCTTTTCCCTTGTCGTAAATACATATGTCACTTTCAATTTGATGGGAATTTCATTTCAGTTATTGCGTAATGGAAACGCATCAAATTTTGAGGTTGGTTCGTAGTGAAAATGTAATGTAATGTAAACTACACCAAGAAGGAAATCAGGAGCGGAGTCGTGTTATCTATCCGTCCAGTCAGTCAGGCATGTGGGAATCAATCTGTTTTTCGTTCAGGTTGTTGATGTCATGTTCCAAATTGAATTTTGAACCGAACCTGATGTAAGGTAGGAATAGTTTCGTACCTGCAGTTCCCATATTGAGGATTGAGATTTCTCCGAAATATGAGCCCGGCTTGAGGGTGGCGAGCACCGTTTTCCCGTCGTCTGCTACTACTTGGAGTCTTCCCCGGTTCACGATGTACATTTCTTTGCCAACCTCACCTATTAATTAAGGAAAATATAATTATAATTATGACGGCGTATGCATTTCATAATCATATTAAAAAACTTCGTTATCATGAGTATGTTAGTGGAGGTATGAGATCATTTTGACCTTTAGACTCATTATAATTTCGCTATTTTTAGGTGATATTTTGGCAAAATTGGTAAGTTCAAGGACAAATTTTTTTAAGTCGGCTCACTTAATTTAAGTGTAACTGTATAGAAAATCTTAAAGTAATCATGTAGCCGAATAAAGGTTAAAATTTTATAACGGCGTATACCTTATTCTAAACTGAGGTAAATAATTTAGTAGAGAATTTTTTAAACGATATGAACTTATACGTTTTCAATAATAATGTAAAAAGTGAACATTTATAAAAAAACTTACCCTTTCTGCAAATGTAATCTCCCGGAGAGAATAGAACAGGCCGAAGTCGTAGGACGAGTTCACTGAAAAGTATGTAAAGTAATATACAATATTTGCAAAAATATGCCAAAAATACCTGTCATCTGCAAAGTTCCTTATTTAGCCTTGAATAACATACCATAGAAAACCAGCTTCCGTGTTTTGGAATATTTCCACTCGTCGCAATGTGTCCAGATGCACGTTGATCGCAATCTCTGCCTTGAGTTTGTCTGAAATTTGAGAAAAAAATCGTTCAAAAATCAAACACAATTGAAACCCTCGCCTGTTTCTGAAGCGTCAATAAAGAGTCAAATAAATAATGAAACTTTATACCTCATAAATTCTCAACTTTCAGGAAATATTTTCCACACAAAATACGTAATAAACAAATACCAGAATAAAATCTACACTTTCCACGTGGGGAACAAGCCAAGCTAATAAAAAAACGGGTAAAATAGTTTAGTCGATGGTGTTCAGCATGCTCTCCGAAAAGGTATCGGATATCGGCCAACTAAGAAAACCAGGCTGTCTGGCTGTCTCGATAGGAGAGGAGAGAGAAAGGCCTGCTTTCTCTTTTCCCTCTATTCATCCATCATCATCACCACGACCGCAAACTTCTTCTTCCTTCACTTCGCAGCCTGACATGTTCACTTATAAAAAATAATGAACACAAGTCGCCCACACTTATCGGCACAAACACCCGATTAAATAAGGAAAGGTTGGTGGTTTTGCAGATGGAAAAAATTTCACAATTTTCTCTCCAGTAAATTAAGATCTTCTTCCTCTCTTGCTCAACCATTTCTGGAATGATTGGATTGGAATTTAGTGGTCACGGAAGCCGTGGGGACATTAACATTGTAGGATAGGAGAGGGCGGGGTTTGTATAACATGGGGAGATGATGCAGACATCGAATAACCGTGGGGACATTGTTCCTCTGTCCACACGCTTCAATGGAAACTGGATTGGATCCTGGTGAAAGTGAGGAAAGGGAGAAAAATTGGACAATTTTTAGCCTTGATGAGATGATGCTACTACATACACAATACATTTCCTCCTGTCTCGTGTGCACCTTTTCTGGCTGGTTGGTTGGTTGGCTGGCCTTGTTTTGTGATTGAGAGGAAAAGGTTTCGAAACTTTTCAAGTGTCAAACGTTCACTTCATCAATCATTACGAGAGGTGGAGGAGGAGACGTTTGTGTGGCGAACGAACAGCAACTTTGTCTTGATTGTTGGCTACTTTTTGGTGTTGTTGACTCGCACTTTCCTTTCAGGGCCAAAAGTGCTCGTTGTATGTATTTTATATATTTTAGAGAAAGGGCAGGCAGGAAATGATGGTGGAGGGTTTGGTGGGGATGATGTGTAAGGTTTGTTTGGGGTAGAAATAAACAAATAAAATAAAATAAAATCAAGTGCCAGTGCCCCACAGATCAAGGTATCTATCTTGTTATATGGAAAATCCCCCACCAATCTTTTGATACTATAATTATATTGAAAATTAATTTTTTCACTTTTAGGCGACAAAATCACGCAAAATATATAATTTTTACTTTCACCAATATTATGTTTCATACGAATTAACGAATTTATATTATTTGATTCTCAAAATTTTCAAATAATTCAAAAAAATCTGAAAATTCTTCAATTTCGCCAAACACTATTTACTCCTCAATTTAATGAATAAAATAATATACAACTTTGGACACGTAACTTGCGTAGCCAACAATAATCTTTTAATACTACAGCTATATTGGTAACTAATATGTCTCTTTTTGGCGACTAAATCACACAAAAATATATAATTCCTACTTTCATCAATATTTACGTTTGATTCGAATTCATATTATTTTATTCTCATAATTTCCAACTAATTCAAAAAATCGACAAATTCATCAATTTTCCAAGCACAATATATCCTCCTCAATTTAAACCCGTAATAAAACACTGGTCTAAATAAAAAGGAAAGATTGGAATTTATTACTTCTCCCCATCCCAGAAAATTCGACGACTTGCAAATCCATTCATAAAAAAAATATAAAATATGAACGTAATTTATAACCCATCATCGTCCCCTTTTGTTACCCATATTTGACATTTCTTCATTTTGCAGCCTTCGTGAAGGGGGGAGCAACAGATAAAATAAGAATATCCCAGGCAAGCCTTTGCTTTCTCTCAAACTGGGGTAATTTCCAGCAAAAGTCATAACAATTTAATGGCCCCATCCCATCCGCGATTGAGTGGGGGCATCACGTGAATAAATGAAAGATCACCCACTATCACATGCTTGCCTCCAGACTTTACTGCCTCGCCATGAAATGAACATTACATTCCAATCCAGGAGAAGAGCAGGCTGAAAACTGACAGGTTGGGCACATCGCCCACGAGAAGAAGCAACTTTTATTTGCTTTCTTCCTTAAAAACAAAACCATTTCATCATCCTATTCATATAACTGGACATGTTTATTACACTGTAAAATGGGATACTTGCATAGAAATTATTATGACAGAGTCTGGTGACACTTACTTCTCGAACGAAGGGAGAAGGGAAAATATCTTTTTGTTAAAAGAAAAATCGATCAGGTTAATACTAAATTTTGTGCGCATTTTCAACACAAATTTATGTACAGGGTGGTTTAAATGTCTCGTTACAATGGGAAAAATTCGTAAATTTCCATTAGTTAGAGAAATTTTGCCCTTGAAATTCAAAATTTTAAGAATTTTGTCAGGAGTGTTATATCAATTTTGATAATAATTTGTAAAAATCTCACTCCTAAATTCTAATAATTAATGACGATTTAGGGACTTTCCCCTTATGCAAAATTTCCCATTGTAGCGAGACATTTAAACCACACTGTACATCTATCCGGTTCCCTATGTCTGAATATTTAGATAAAAAAACAACAACATAAGAAATCAACAGGGTGTTAGTCTCAACAAATAAAGAAGCTCTTGAGAACAATGAATTTACGTATGTATGCGTCTCCCTCGTTCAACAAAGAAATGATCCCTGTACTCCCCAAATTCGGATAGGTTTAGGAGACGACGACTAAGCTACTAACTCCATAAATAAGAAGTCTAGTGAAACTTAAATGAGCACTTCTTCACCTTTCCACTTCTCTTTGAAGATAACAGGAAATTATTTTATTTTCCCCTATTCAAAACAACCCCGACCCATCCAATTCATCTCCCCGGATGGAGATGGATGGATGGCTGGCTGCACTTTGAGTGAAAGTTGAAGTTGAACAAGTCAAAACCTTGGCTGCATATGAAAACAAAATTAGGTACATAACTTTCTCCCCACTGAAACTGACTTGGATATATACGCTTCTCTGTAGGATTTGTGCAAGCGTAAATAAATATTACAGGAGACGTAATTACAAGGAACAGCACGACCACGGCCACCCTTTAGTGGAAAAATATTTGATTCTTCTCCCTCCACATTCACATCGGGTGTTTGTGGCGAGGGACAAATTAAATTAATTATACACATTCGCCCCACTTTTCTACTACCAGAGAAAATGCATGTTTGCACAAGTCAGCAGAATTTTAAACGGTGTGTCCCACATAGTTGGGCTTCTCGAAAAATTTGAAGCCAGGTTGGAATTAATCCCGGCTTAATTGCACGGTTAAAGGGTTTAATTACTACTGGAATTCGTGAATGTCAGCTATTCCGCTGAACATTATGGGGTGCGAGAGGCAAGGCAATAAATCAACGAGAGGAAGAAGCCCGTCATGTCGTCGTCGAGGAATTTATTTTACTAGAGAAATGAATCTAAATCTATACGTACGTGAGCACAGGTGAACATTATCGTTCAGCAGAAATTCACTACTACACTTGGTGGTAAAAGTTATCACTTCCTCTCCAATAATTTTCTAATTTACAAGCCTCCCTTGCCTGCAGCGATGCGATGAACTGTTGACTTTTTAACTTGACGGGAATGTTGCATGTTGCACGCGAGAAATCTATAATTTTATTCGCTGTGTTTGTATTTCTTGTAGAAAAAACATGTCCTTTTTTAACCAGGTGGTACATACTTTTGGCAGTGTTACGTGTGTACAATCAGGAATAGATAGAAAAAAAGTTTGTTTGTTATTTCATTTCAGCTCGTTTTTTTCTAATGGGGAAAGGAAACTTTGGGGAGAAAAGACAAACAAGTAAAGTTTTTTTGTCAAAGAAAAAGCGTGAATCTCTGCGATTGCGACATGGATGGACAACAAGTTATAAATTGGGCGGGATACAAAGTTTTTGGAACATTACCTGGAAGACAGCCGACCGTTTTATCCTCATCCGAACACTTTTGAGTCAACCACAAATAATCGAACCATTTGATCACTTTGACTTGTAAGTAGCTAGGGACACGTCGCATCCGCATGTAAGTCTTCACACCGTCCAATCGCCCTGAAAAGAGAGATAAAATTGTTTAAAGCTTTCATAAAGTGTCATAAATGTTGGCGTAATAATATTTATTTATGAGGATATTCGGTTCTTTTATGGGGGATCGAGTTTAATTGCAAAGTTGATGAGTTTTTTGGTGATCGAGAGGTGTGTGGGAGGAGGTGGAGGCATGAAAATGGCGACATTTTTGTAATTTAGGGCTTCATTTTTTTGTATCAAATAAAATGATTTAGATTGACTATGTATTTTCGCCATATTGATCCATCTGAATCGACCAGATTGAAGGGAAGAAGAGCGGGGAGGAAATAATAATACATGACAATTTCCACTCACTCAATGATGATTGCTCTGTTACACCCTCCCACCGTCGGCACCAGTGGCCGCGGAAGCTGTGGGGACATGTGGGGACGTTAACATTGTGGGATGGGGGAGGGAGGGGTTTATATAAGATGGGCAGATGATGGGGACATCGAATAACCGTGGGGACACTGTCCCACCCTTCCGCGGCCACTGTAAATCCCTCCTAGTGAACCCAACCTCACGGCTGCCTGCCCATTCTTTGAAAAGGAAGCTCTACTTTGGTCAACTATTTTGTTTTCCTAGAACTGCGAGTACACAGAAGAAGGGGATCAAAAACTACAAGTTATCCGACTGGACTGGACGAAAGAGGATGGATGGAAATTGGACCAAGTCAACCACATAACAGGGAGAGCAAATACAAATCTGCTCTTGTGGGACCTTCTTTCTTCCCTCGCGATACACAATAGGGCCAAATCAAAATCGCCTCTTTTTCGATTTCTTATACTTATTCGGTGAAAGATTTCCTAGATTGATACAATCCGCTCTTGCTCCTCACAATAAAAAAGTAAAGAAGTCACACAATCAAACGATGCTGGAGTCGAGATAATAGAGCAGATTGAGCATTGGGGGAGAAAGTGGGCACACAATGGGCCCCGAAATTCGGTGAAATTCGTCTTTTCTCTCACATTTAATTTTCTCCCTTTTTCCACTTTGCTACTCGGAATCGAAATCAATCTCTTTTCTCCCTGAATCATATTTTTATCTCTTTTTATCTTGCAAATTGTAAGTTTTCTCGTCAAATTAAAAGTTTATTTCGTGGTTAAACCTTTCGGGGAAGTTTTGATAAAGAAAGTTAAACTGGTTGGTGAGGTGCTCGGGCTAAAAATATGTCCCACGAGAGAGGAGAAAAGTGTGGTTTGGCACTCCTACTTGTGGACGACGAATTCAATTTAAAAAATGAAAAAAATGGTATAAATCACTCCTCCTGATGTCCCTTATTCCCATCATGTCCCACCTGAAAAGGAACAAGAAGTGGAGGCACGAACACGTCCGTGATTGGTGTATCTTACACGTTTTCATATGGTTCTGAAGATCATTTCATATTTTTCTTTTGGGTGAAAGTGGTTACGTAACTGGACAATTTTTTGAGCCGCCCACATAACCGTCTGAAATAAAGGGTCATTGTTTCCTAAGTGTGTAACAATCGTTATAATTGTCATTACAGGGATGGGGGATTGACCAAATATTACAGCCTGACTGACTGGCTGTCTGGCCAGCAAAAGTTGAGCTGAATGGTCGATTACCTTTCATTTAATCCAATCACTCCCTTTCTTTTGCTTTCTCCACAAAAACGGAGGGAAAAATCCCTACCGGATTCATTTAAATTCAGCGTGTGTGCCCCCGTCCCACCTACGACGAGATGATTCAACCCACACTATTACTGCCAATTCGAGTACTACTACTTTCTCTTTTATGTTGTGTCGGGCTGACTTGTACTGACTGAGGATGGAAATGGAGGTCTCCCAGCGTATGTTCGCAGGTTCTGAGCAAACTAGTGTCAATCGATCACAAATTTAAGTAATATGAAATTTGCAAATGACACAATCTTAAAATGCTTATTATTGGCAGAGATATTTGCATCTGAAGAGGAGAAAGCGCGCAGTAAATTTAGAAAGTGCAAAATTTGTCAACTTTAAGGCCCGTTTTCTCCTCTTCGGACGCAAATATCACTGCCAAACCTTCCCATTTGAAGATCGAGTCTTCTGCAAATTGCATACTAATTAAATTTGCCATCGATTGACACTAGTTTACTCAAAATCCGAGAGCATACACTGGTCGACTTCCATTCTTTGTTCGCCAGTCTAGTCACTAGTGCTTCATAATAGGCGCACGTTTGAATAGGAACCAGCAGGAATCGTTAGATCGTCATGTCACATCGTATCGTCGTCATTCGAAACGACGATTCAAACATACAGGTCCTAACTTTCACTTTTCGTGATTCCCTTTCAACGCCCTGTGTGTTCCTCGTGGTCTTAATTAATTTGAGGTCTATACATAGAATATTGCTTATTGCATTGTATACAAGGTAGATGTCGAATCATGGTTCAATTACTGGATGGGTGTGGCTGACAGAGCGTTTCGTTGAGAATAATCCGTCCGTTACAATATCGACATTATTGGACTTCTCCAAACAATAAAGTCGCACTGGTCCGTTATGAATTTATACAGCAATTAATTTCTCATGGTCCACTAACCACCCACCCAGTCCACCAGCCAACCTTGTCGTTAACCACACCACATGCACCAAGCAGGAGGGATGAATATTGTAAAGTCAAATGAATTGATGATGCCCTGGAATTTGCGTATGCACAATGCAGCCATACACAACTTTCCTATTCAATTCCTCATTCCGCACGGATGAAACAACTCCTCTTCTCCTGCTATAAAACCAACAAGGTGGAAATTGAACTAATAAATAGCTCCAGAAACAGTGGCCGCGGGACATGTCCCCACGGTTGTTCGATGTCCCCATCATCTCCCCATGTTATATAAACCCCGCCCTATCCCACAATGTTAATGTCCCCACGGCTTCCGCGGCCACTGTGCCGAAGATATTAAACGCAGTATAAAGGTATGAAATGAAGGTTGGTTGGTTTCATGGTGGGGCGATGGTTTATTATTATGGATGATGCGACATGGTGCCAAAATACACCAGAATCGATCCATCTCGCTCTACCTTAGGATGGAATTATGAAACACGTTTTTGAAAAATGGTTTCAATAATGGCCTCTTTAAAGTCATTATTATTATGAATAAAATAATCGTAAATATTTTCCACTTTTTGTGAGTGGGTAGCACAACAATGGGAAAGTTTTGCCAGGGCCCACTTCTCTCACACCGTTTAACTCATCAATATATCATAAAAATTGCTATTCTCCTCATAATAAATGTGACAAGGGTGACACAAGTTGGGGGAAAGTTGGTAGGATTTTGTTAGGCTAAAAAAGTGATAAATTTCAATCTCAGTGACAGCAGAACTGCATAAGTCTCCAACTTATCGAATGTAATCCCATACAAAAAATGGTGCCTGCATAATAAATAAAATGCGAAAACGATACATATTTACAGAATGCATTAATTACCAGGCAGAATATTGCATTAAGCAGGGAGTTATAATGTAATTACGATCATAACACCAGGCCTAACTCTAATCCAACCAAATCCAATCCACACGCCAAGTTTCAAGTAAAACTCATTTGCTTGATTACAATCTAGATAAGGCTAAATTTAGCCTTGTGTAAAATTCCATATAGGCTAAATTTCCTCCGAAAATAGAACTACTCAATTCTCGAGGAGAAAGAAAAGAGGAGAGATTTCGAACCGAGGTCTATATTTCTACTTTTAGTTACGTACTTAGGTACATTCAAGTTGGGGTGGAATTATTGCGAATTATTGCGTGTACGGAATCCTATTAAAGTTACGACATCACTGTAGCTAGCATGACCTATATTATTATTCTTCTTCCCGTAGGAAGTTAGGCTGGCTGGCTGGCTGGTGAGGGAGTAAGTAAGTGAGTCGAGAGATTATTATTGCAATGATGCCGATACTACTCCCACATTCCGTCCCTTTAAACTTTCTCCAAATGGACGAGCAGGAAATCTATGGACTTCCGCGTCTTCTTCTTCCAAAAATAGAAACCAACCACTCTTTCCACTCCACCTTGGTGCTATATCGCCGAGCTAAAAATACACGCAGTCGTCATCAGCTTGTTTATTCAACTAATTTTGAAAGGAATTTCGTAACTATATGCATAGGTCTGGCTTGGTCTGGGGAATAAGAGTCGAGGAGAATATATAAATATAATGACGAGAATTTGAGAGGGATAATAATAATACATGACTTTTGTATGTATGTATGTGCGTCTTCTCTTTTATGTGGAAAAAGTCTGTATGTAAGCTTCGAAGATCTTGTGAATTTTGTCTTTTGGGATGTCAAAGATTTTTCTGGGAATGATGTCATGTCGCTGCTTCTTCTTCCTTTTTACGAAATATTATCCTCATTTCAACAAATAACGCAATATGACACTTCCCCTTCCTCTGAGAACAAGTGTGTGTCGTCCAGTGGCCGCGGAAGCGGTGGGGACATTAACATTGTAGGATAGGGGAGGGAGGGGTTTACATAACATGGGGAGGTGATGGCGACATCGAACAACCGTGGGGACATTGTCCCTCTGTCCGCTGTGTCTGTCCTATAAGTTGGATGAGACACACTTTGATTCAGATGGATTGAGGACATGCCCACTTAAAATGAGAATGGGGAAGATTGTTCATTCCGTATTTGGTCCGTTCCTCGAATCCATTGTATGCAAGTAAGGAATCAAGTAGAGAGAAAGTAAGAGAGGGGACGAAATGGGGTAGAAAGTGGGATGAAATAACGTTTACTAACAACAACAGTACAGCCTTTCTTTCTTCCTCTCTGGGAGAATACTTATGAATAGGAAGCTGCCTCCTCATCTCGGTAAAAGTGAAATCGTCGTAATGGATGCAATTCCCTTTATTTTCCCAGGACCAATTCTTTCTTTCCTCTTTTTTTGTGTCCCTCAAGTGACACACTTTGCCCTGCTGGCAGACCAGACCGACTTTCTTGCTTTCTCCTCCTCCTCCTTTCTTTCGAGGGGGCTTACACGCAGACGAGTCCTATGATTAAATTGTGGTGGTGGAGAAATGGGTGTAGAGCACGGCCCGAAAATGGTGGGTGATCTCGTGGGTGAATGAATGATCTAAAAATTTGCAACATTTCATCTGATTCCCAAGCATGTATTTAGCAGTGGTTCGCGTACATGTAGCCGGGTTCAAAGAAAGAGGAAGGAGAAAAGTAAAGAAAGGGGGAGAGGAACAACAAAGAAGTAAGTGTAAGTCAACCAGGCAAAGTTTTCTATTTGTGTACACTGTCCATGTGTAATGTGGATAAATGTGCTCTATTTTTAGGATTTTATGACTTATACGCTACGCTATAAAGAGCGTGGAGACCAAGGGAATCGATTTCTTCTTTTTGCAAGGCCTTCTTCTGGCTGGTTATTCGGGTCTGTGTTACTTATTTTGTCGAAGAGATAGAAAGAGAAAGATGTGAATTTTTAAAGTTTGGCACATGATTTTTGCAAATTGCAATATTAACATTTTACATATTGCAATTTTCCATACTGCGAAATTGAGTAGGTCAGAAGGGGTATGCAAATATTTCCATTTCTATTTCAGTTCAGCATTATTTAATCCAGTAGAGCAAAAAGATTGTGAGAGAGAGAGAGAGACCGAGAGATGCGAATTTTTGCACACGATTTCAGCATACTGTGAAATTGAGTAGGTCAGAAGACTATGCAAATATCTGCATTTCCATTTCTTTCAATTCAGCATTATTTAATCCGGTAGAGTAAAAAGATTATTTAAATTTTGACGAGACAGAAGGAGACAGAGGATCACATGAATAATTTAGATTTCAGTTGGAACTTCGGTGACCACGGTGCTTGTAGGACCGTCAGTTTCAGTAACAGCCGAGGTTGTCTCGGTAATCTGGATGGTCGTGGTTTCAAGAGTGGTGGGTTCGGCAGTCGATGTTTCGGCGGTGGTGGTGTCAACTGTTGTAGTTTCGGCGGTGGTGGTGTCGACCGTTGTAGTTTCGGCGGTCGTGGTGTCGGATGTAGTTGGTTCGGCGGTAGTTGTAGTTGGTTCGGCGGTAGTTGTAGTTGGTTCTGCCGTGGTGGTGTCGGAGGTCGTTGGTTCAGCCGTGGTAGTTGAAGTCGTCGTGGTCGTGGTGGAGGTGGTACCTTGATTCGAAAATGGTCACGTGAATAATGCATGTTCTACATAAATCTAGGACCTCGTGACCATTAATTAAGTACCCTGAGTCGTGGTGGTGGTAGCGTCATTGGTACATTTCCACCTTGTGCTCAAAAATCCTGCATGCTCACACTTGCAAGTTTTCTTCTCGTTTGGGAACTTTCGTGGTTGACGGTCAAAAATTCGGCTACAACGGCCTACATTTTTACACGATTTTTACTTTTTAGCCTCCTCACTCTTAATAATAAAAAAACGATAAGATTTTGAACCTACGCCCTTCGAGATCCTTGCTCGTCCTGGGTTCCCTGGCCAGCCCATCGATCTGTGGGTGCGCCTGGATGGCGACGATGCTGGCGAGAAGCACAACTGCGATAAGACCCTTCATCTTTCTTATGTTTTTACCAAAATGCAGCTTCAACTAACTTGTTGAATTCTACTTTGTAGTTTAAATGATGACTTTGACTGGGAAAGGGGGGCTTGTTTTATACCCCGAGAGAACATTGTACTTTACTCTGGGAGACCATTTATCACCCCGAAACAATAGGATTTCGACAAGAATACGGATATTAAACTTTTGGCATTGTCCGACAACGCGACTCAGGGTTTAAACGACGCAAAATATTCGCTCGCATCCTGCCCATCAATCAATAAAAGTGTCGTAAAAATACATATCCTTCATCATTTACGCAACAATAAAAATAAGGTGACCGCACATTTATTTTTCACATTAATAAAGTCGGGCTGGCTGGAGGAGGGATCAGTGCCAATAATGGGGTGCAGCAATTTATTGTTAATAAATTTCCAATGGGTGACGTTTTTACGAGCGAATTAATCATATCGGTGGGAGCACATTGTCACGTCATGATCATGCTTCGTGTCTGGTCCGCGTCTGTTCATGGCACAATTTTCAGGTAATTCTGGATCAAAATTTACAACATCGGTGATATTCTGGTACGTATTAATTAGCATAATTCCGACTTTCCGTAATACTCAGGTCACAATATTCTCCTCATAATTCTGTTCTGCAACGATTGATTCGGATTGAATTTCTGGGGAGAAAATGTCACTTAGTTGTTCTCCTCTCGTCCTCCTTCTTGAGGCATTTTCATCCATGCTCATCCATCCATTGGCAACTGTGACGCTTCCTTGAATACTAATGTCGTCATGTCTTTTGTCCATGATTCGTGTTCCTGTGTACCAACCACTACTTTTCACCTTTTACTTTCTCTCTCTCTCTCTCTTTCTAGCAAACCCAGCGACTTGTTGTTATTCAAATGAAGTCAAGTGAGTGAGTAGTCACATCCGGAATGCGGTTAATTGGCTCCTGATTAATAATGGCGGTTCGTCTTCGAGTGGGACATGCAGCTTTAATTAAAATGAGAGCACATTCAAGCATTTGTCCTGATCCATCCGTGGAACGCTCTCTACACCGAAATTAAATTGAGTTATGCAACTCTGGTCCTTATTTACTTAACAATCGAGCAGAGGAGATACCGACCGCAATGTGGAGGGTGACCTTAAGTGGATGCATGCATGTAAGTAATGAGGAGGGGCTGCTGCTGCTGAATATTTTAGCAGGGCAACGCTTTCTCCCCGAGAAAAAAGGCAGAGATCAGGAGATCCTTTAAGTATTAAGCAATCTGTAAGTGGGCGCGTGTAAGATGATGAGTTTGCGGTGGTGGTGGTGATAGGCATTTTTTTGGCGTCCTACCGTCGTCACCACGGGTTTTGAAGGAAAGTTGTTGACTTGTTATTTGTTCGTCGTCGTCCTCTGAGTTGGTTGTACTTTCACCTTTCTTTCTCTTCCACATGAGTGGAATGATTCATTGAAAAATGTCGGCTGTCTTGGAATCTAAGTATCCACTTAAACAGCCTCGTCGCAGCATAGGAGCTACCCCGGTGAGATGCTCACTCACAAACACTCAGCGCACGACATCAAACAAATGGCGGGACTAGATTACTTACTGAGCCACACACCGCCACGGCACGGTACTCTCGGCTCCTGATTTATCGAGGGTTTAATGAATATCTCTCTTTCCCTCGACTCTCGTGAAACCTGTCCCCCCTTCCCTGCTTGGTGACAAATCCGTGAACATTACCGTCTTATTAATCAAAATTGTTAATGTGCAGTGGCAGCAGAGTGTCATCGCGTACAGGGAGAAGGAGATCGTGTGTCATGCATGGGGGAATTTAGGGTTTCGTTTGTGGTTTGGGTACATTTTTTGCACGGGGAAAGGGAGAAATGCGAGGTGCAAGAAACTGGGAGAAAGTGTAAGAAATATCTAGCCACGTGTCATCTAGCCATCTAGCCACGTGCCGTATGAAGTATAGCGGCAGGGCGTAGTTGCTTGCGCTTTGTATTTCTAGCAGGTCAAAATACCTGCAAGAAACCACTTTCTTATGGTTATTTCTTGTATTTAATGTTTCGTTTTGTGCAGATTTACACACATTTCTTGAACTGCACAGATAGAATGCGAGGTGCAACAAACTGGGAGAAAGTGCAAGAAACTGGGAGAAAGTGCAATAAATATGCGCCAGCTAGCCACGCGCCGTAATGTATGAAGTATAGCGGCGGGACGTAGTTTCTTGCGCCTTGCATTTCTCCCAGGTCAAAATATTTACCTGCAAGAAACCACTTTCTCCCCGTTATTTCTTGCACGTGGTTACTTTCACCGGAAACACTGGGGAAATTGTGTCTGAATTTTTTGTCACTTTTATTTAATTTCTTACCTTGGAACTCTTTCCGTGCCGCGGACACGTTCGTGACGATGTTGGCGACATGGCCCAAGACGGTGGCGAAGAGGAAAAGGCCGAGGAGGAGTTGATAAATCACCTGTTAATTCAAAGTAAAATTAAGCTCTGCAAAATGTCATAAAGAGACACACCACGATTACTTGACTTTATCCTAGTAACGCTCTCTATAACGGTTGCGCAGAATGGCCGAGTTATTTTTAAAATATTTATTTTTGAAATCATTGGTCAAAAAATGGCCACTTTTTGGACCAACTCAAAAAAAATCGAGAAAATCGCTGTTGTAGCCTTTCTGAATTTGTAGACATGGAATGAGAACATGAGAAAATGTACACCCGCGCACACTAAAATAATAATCATTCCTCTTGCCATACGTTGAATACCAAAAAATAATCAATCATTAAAAAATGAATTTTGAAAGGACCCCACCCCCTGCAGGCAGTGCTTTCCGGTTCGAAAAAATAGAAGGAGGAATATGGTTTGGACTTGAGGATTCAGTAGTTTCAAAAGGTCAGTTCGAAATTTCAAAATTTGTGCATGTTAGACAATATGTAAAATTATGATTATTTACTGCAGATTATTGTCAATATGGCATGGAGTGGACCGACAACAATAAAATCCTCACTGATGATAGGTCAATTGCATTCACAACAGGAGATATGCACAAAGCAGCCTCAGCTGTTCAATCGAATTCGACAAAAGAATCGTCCCCCGAGTCGAGGGAATTATGCAATGGGTGCAGTCTTCGGTGAATATTTTTTTAATATATATTAAATAATTAGATTTATATAATAAATTTCAATCTCGTTTGTTTGTTTGAGTGACTTGTTTTTACTACTCTGGACAATGAGACCCTTTCATCTCTATATTTATACGTCGTCCTTCCAGGAAGCTTGTTGGGTGAAGTTTGCCCTAAAGGACTTGTTTGACGCATTTGGGGTCATCATGCCTAGTGAATGTTTGAAGCTCATTCTCCCTCATGCCGATCAATTGTTGGAACATTTATCAAATGTACCGGAACTGGCTAATTTAATGCCTGAAGCAACTCGCCGTCTGAAGGGGAAACCAATGTCCCAATTACTGAGGCGAAAATTCTTTCGTGAATTAGTCACCAAATACTCAATGTGTAAAGCCGTACTATAATTATTATCCTGATTTATATTTTCATTATAGCACCAATTAATTTAAATAATTCCATTCCAGTGGCGGAAGAAGAGAATATTTCTGAACCAGTGAATGAACGGTCGGTCATGATGGAAATCAGTGAACAGAAAGTTTACACCAGAGTCGGAAAAGGACATTTGGCCCCCACAACAGTAAATAATGAAATATCAGACTGGCTCATTCAGAAATACGAGCACGTTGACGACGAAGAGAAATGGATTGGAAAATCAGTTGTCCATCAAGAATATGTGAATCATTTTCCACATCCGGATCCAGATAAAATATTGGTTTATAATCGTTTCGGCGCCCTTTTCATGTCCAATTTTCCTCTCACAAAAACCAGATACATTGGCACCTCTCCAAACTGTTTCAACGTATATGCCAACATTCAACGCAAGATTCCCGACGCCACATCTCAAGAGAACATGACAATGGGTACTATAGTTAAAAAGAAAGACAAAATTGAAAAAAAAGTGAACCCGTAGAAATTCATGTCATGGTCTCATTTGAAATACTTAATTCTATTGTTGAAGTAGGAAAGAATGTGATACAAAAAATCTCAGATAATTGCGACGTCAAGATTACGATCCCGAAATCCAAACAGAAATGTAACCGTGTTCAGATTGAAGGAGATAAGGTCTTGGTTGAAAAGGCAAAAAAATTGTTCTTAGATTTAGTCAAGATTGTTGAGTAACTTAATATGTAGTGACAATCTATAAAGTTCTTGTGAATTATAATTTTACGCTTCTTCCAAAGGATTCAATAAATCTTTTGTTTTGTATTGATAAAATTTTGTAAGTAGGCAATAATTTTTCATTTTCTATTAAAAACTCACATAAAGGTATTCCATCTTGACTCGAGGCCGGGGCAGGTCGCCGACCATGGACAGAGTGAGGGTCGACCAGTAGAAGCTCTGGAGATAGTGCATCACCACGTCGGACGAGTTGTCCATCCGGTACACCCAGGAGGGGTCCCCGAACCCCTTGTTCTTCTGAATTATGTGGAAAATGCAAGCATTCCAGTGGTAAATGGCGAGCAGGTAGTGAACTAAGCTTATTGACCTGGAATGAAGTTATTAATTAGTATTTTGGGCTGGTTTTTGGGGGTCTAAATAACCACCCACCTGAATACATTGGGGTAATTAGTATGTCTTTCAGTTCGGTCCATGAAGGCCCAAAATCGATAAATCTTGACCTGGAATTTGAAGATTATTTGTACAACTGACGATGAGTAAAATCCATTAATTAACTAAATACTTGCTAGATATTTTCTTATAAAACTCTTTATGCTAATTTCTACATATATGCAAATTTTCCCTTACCAGTCGGAAGCACCTTAGAATGGAATTGAAGCCGATGGAGAGGTATAAAAAGTCGAGTGGGAGGAGGCAGAGGCAGTCGATGTAGAACGTGGTCGAGTTCATGTAGTGATGACGCAGCTTGGTGGAATCCGTTTGGAGAACGCCATCCTCCAAGTAACCGGTCCGGAAGTGGACCCCAATGTCGATCAGGTACACAAAATCGGCGCAATAATCCAGACAAAACCAAACGATGAGGGTTTGTGGGGTGATTTCCTGCAAAATAGAAAGAAACAGATGGGGTTTTACTACAGGACTGAACGTGACGATGAATCCGATACATATTATTATCATCAAAATATGCGGAATTGATCTACGCCCCACTGTTTGACGACATCGTAGGTGGCGAAATTCCGTCGTCGGTGGTGGTGAAAGTATGCAAAGAATTTTTTTGTCACACATTTCTTTTCCTTGAGTTATGGACCTGTTTTATCATCCTTCTCCAATAAACGTGTGTCGGTCGGTAATAGTATCACATCGTCGTATCATTTTCGTATCATCGTCATACAGCAATTTGCACGACACTTTCCTCGCCAAGGGGGAGATAGATAGATATTGACTTTGTGAAAACTGGTATCAAATCGACCCATAAAACAGCACCTGTCACCTGCTTCTTCTTCTGCTTCCATCATAAGTAATTCCTCCACCGTCCATTCCCGAAATTACACTTTTACTCGGTCGGTGCAGCAGCAACAGACAGAATAAATTGCCAACTATGTATGTAGTACAAGGTCCAATTCCTTCTCCATCTTATAACTAAATGACCCATCACGCGGTGGAAGAAGGGTCGTTATTTCGTCCATAAATTGTGGACTCATCTATTGCTTCGCCCCATCGGATGGAATTATTATTCCGAATTACATGCATTTCTACTCTGATGGAAAAGCTGAAATTTTTACGGCTGCTGGTGAAAAACACCATTCGGTTTTTACTGGGAGGATATTATTTTGTGGGTGCGCGAAGGTAAGGCAGGCAGACAAGACTGACTGACTGACAGAGACACTCACTCAGGGAGGAGAAAGCTTATCAATAATTTCGGACGGACGGGGAGTGAGTTAGTCAAGGTCGTGGATATTTTGGGACGAAAATAAAATAATCTCCATCTCTCCATGTAACGAATGTAATCCTTCACCTCTCTCCGTGTGCAGTAATAAAAGTTTACCGTGACCAACTAATTGTCCATCTGCCGTGTGTGGTCTACTTCACTCACTCAAACGGGAGAGATAGCGACCTTACAGGCAGACTATTTATTACAGAGGATATAAAAAAACCCACGGGGCAGACTTATGTAGGTAGCCCGAGCCAGGTATAACTTTTTTATTTTTGCACATATTTTGCCAATCTTTCAAATTGCCTCGTAATTTTTGCATGTGCAAAATTCCAAGTGGATTTGACAACTTTTACGAGCATGATCGATAGACAGACAACCATGACGGGTGCATAAGTCCCGATTCGGAGTATAAAAAAGTACGATATGTTATTATCCTCTGGGGTGACCTCGTTCATATCCAGACTAAAAATAGGGCAAAAGTCATCATCATGTCATTCTTTCCCCACTTCCTTCCTGTACCCTAGTTCTCATGGTAAATAAATATCAGGTATGTCTGCCTGCCTTCCTAGTCGCACTAAACCGCGTGTCTACCGTGCAGGCAGGTGCTTTTAATATGTGAGTGATTCAGTCTCCGGCCTGGCTGATGATAACGCCGTCGTGACATGATGAAAACGCGAATAATGAAACTTGTCCCTGTTACGTTACGTTACACAAATGTGCACCAGCCGAGGGAATCATAAAGCTTGATTTGTTGTGTTATGAATATAAATGTGGCAGTAATGTCATAAATCGCCCCGTGCCATCCAATCCACATCTCCCCAGAGATGAGATGACACTTGTCAAGACGAAGCAAACGGAGAGAATGATGCGATGCATAATAACTTTACTCCTTTTTACAAAACATGACATATATATTGCGACTCGAGAACAGGAGCCGTGGAAGCCGTGAGGACATGTGGGGACATTAACATTGTGGGATAGGGGAGGGAGGGGTTATATAACATGGGGAGATGATGAGGACATCGAATAACCCTGGGGACATTGTCCCTTCATCTTCCGCGGCCACTGCACAAAAATCTACACTGATATCATCTCTGCTCATGCCGCACGCCACACACATTTTGCAGAAAGTGTTTCAATTTCGGGATAAAATGTTTTAAAAATATGTCTCCTTTGATCTTTTCCCTCAGTTTCATCTTATTTTACTTTTGAATCTTTCTCCTCAGTAATCCCGTGACTAATCTGGACATGGTTTTCCATACGACCACGACCACCACCACCACCCACCACATCATGAATGGCGAGAAAGAGAGAGAATAAGAATAGGAGAAACATGTGACTGCAAATTTTCGGATTCCAACCGACTGGCATTCTTCTCCTTCTCCTCTTTTCTCTCAGAGGAAGGAAGGATTAAGATGTCAGAAAGGATTGACTGCTTCCTGAGGGAATATTGCTGCTTATGTACACTCTTAGCCTGGTTTGGTTTCGATGCGAGCGAGGAGGGAGACGAAGAATAATGAAATCTGAGAAGGCTCCCTTTCTCATCTTGCAACAACAAGAACAAAAGATTGTTGGTTATGTGGTCTGGTGGCTCGACTTGACTGGTATTATTTCGAAATATGGACATCCCAAGCATACCCAAGTAGTATGTGTAAGTCGTCGAGTACACACACTTCTCTCCTCCGTCGTCACTTATGTACGAACGTCATAAAATTGTTGTTTTAATTTCCTCCACTTTCACCTTGGATCTTTCACATCCTTTCAGTCGTCTTCTTGTATCCTTCTTTCATCATTTCTTGAGTAGTGAGTGATGTTGACCTAGTTGGGGTTAGGATTAGGTCCGCCGTGGTGATGGTGGTGCTATGGTTTGTGGTGGTGGGTGAGACGGGGTTTGTTTGGAGAGAGGAGGACGTAATAGTATGCGGGCGGTGAACCAACCTCGTCAGAGTATAAATATCACTGCATCGGAGAAGACAGGGCACGAAATACTTGTGGCTTTTTCGCCAAGGCAATGAAAACAGAGAGTGACACGACCAACACTTTCGCCCAGCTTGGATCCTTCGCTTCTAATAAGTCGGATGTAGAGCGTGGGAAAGGAAAGTAGACGAGGACATAAGCACTCGACAAAGTCCACAATGTGGCGTGGCACCCAGAAAGAAAATATCTTCTCATAACTTCTTCTCTTCTCCCCTCCGAGAAGAAAGTAAGTAGTCCTAAGCCGGTTGTCATGTCACGATAGATACGCCGTGAGCCGGCTTTGATGATGCATTCATACAAAAAGGGTCATTTCACAAGTTATTTACTTATTTATACACACCACGCCAAATGTCACGAAATTATTGTGGATGACATTTTACAAAGTTGTGCAACTCTTTGAAACAAGAAATCAGTGGGGGAAAAGTCAGGCTCGACAAGGAATAATGGGTTCGCATTTGTTTCCCATTTTAGTACAGGGACATACAAAGAAGGAACGGTACGTACGTACGGATGTGGATGAAGGTGGCTGGAGTTGAAGGAGTCGTATGTACAATGTGTATGAAAGTATTAAAGCACATTAAATGTTGGAAAGTTGCTTCAGGGCCTTGAAATATTTTGACTTGATGAAGAGCTTTTACCACAAAGTGAAGTGTTCTCTTCTCTTCTCTTTCGTATAATAAAGGGCGAGGCAGCCTTGAAACTCGCCTTCTTCGCTCTCCGGCTCCCTTGATTTATTCATTATTCATATTCATAATTTACAATTCACAATTTTGAGACAAAAGCATCCGCCGTGCAGATTCTACGGCCGCCTCCTTCGTTATACGAGAAATGTGTAAGATTTGAGGAATTTTGATGTAAAAAGTATGCCCTTTAAAAAACAATTCAGTTTCAAGTGCGGGGAGACGACTAACTGCGTCGTAATAGAGAAAAGTATGTCGTGAAATTCACGCTTTTACAGCAACAGTCTTTTGATAAGTTCTTATCGCTCGTATAATCATCATCACCATTATATTATCACTACTAGTATGAAAGTAGTGAGACTGCATTTCAACGGAGGTGATAATGGTGCGGGTGGATGGTAGACTTTTAGTTGTCACACTATTTCACTTATCGAGGATGAGTCTTCTATTCAGCGGGATTAGGCTCAGTCACTTCCATCCATCCGGTCTTGGTTGACTTGATGATAAGCTTTTCATACACAACTTGATTTATCCAATTCAACTTTCTCCACCTCCCACACCGCCGACGCTGCCACGACCATTTTAGTCTCGTTGAATCTCCACCTCTTTAAATTTCCACTTATTCTCTCCCAATTTACTTTGTGCCACATTCCCCGCTTACGTACGTACTTTCTCCAGTCGGAGAAAGTTGTGAGATAGAGCTGTCAGTGGCCGCGGAAGCGAGGGACAATGTCCCCACGGTTATTCGATGTCGCCATCATCCCCCCATGTTATACAAACCCCTCCCTCCCCTATCCCCCAATGTTTATGTCCCCAGATATCAGCTTCCGCGGCCACTGCCACCGTCACTTGCATCCGTCTCGTCTTCTTGGATGGATCCTCCAATCCAATCCAATCCACACCTACTCGCTCACTCAAACACGCTCTGCCTGGCCTCACGAAGAAGGATAAATCTCATTATGTTTCCGCCGCCACCATCTTGAGTGAATGTGCCTTTCCGATTTTATTATTACGAAATTGAGAGAAAAGGTTAAAGGTGCGGGTACACTTTAACAAATCGAATGAGTGAATGAAAAAGGGTGAAAGCAGGTTTTGTTTTTGTAGTGATGCGTGCATATGGATGAGGAGAGAAGAATTTGCATATTTTGTATGTAGGTTTGCCATTGGCAAAGTAAAGTAAAATGTTACGGGTATGGATATGTACGTGCACCACCCACCAGAAAAGATGAGTCAGATGACTGACTACGTAACACGGTAAGGTTTTATATACTCACGTCGAAAATATGGGTGTACTAAAAAATTTAATTTCCGGAAGATGTGTCAACGATAATAAACCTGTACACTTGTTGAAGGAGTGGCATGGTTGTAAAATTCGAGGGAAAGTCAGGTAGTGATATGTATGGAGGGAAGTTAATTGAATAAATTTAGAAATTTTATGTGTAACGAAATGTTATCGGGAATATTTCTATCGAACGAAACAAATACCTTGCGATCTAGATTTTAAGCTCTAGTCAGGACTTATTTACCCGGCATGGTACTCTGTCTGCCTATAGATTAGGCAGTAAAACTCGTAAAACTTATCCAATCAACTGGAAATTTTGGACACATGTAGAATACTTATGCAAAATTATGAATCAAGTTCGAACATGTGCAAAATCTGTCGAAAAATAAAAAAGTTTTTGCGATGAAATTACACCCACCTCAATTATTTACAACTTGACTCGGGCTAAATAAGTGCATGGGTCTCATATCAGAAACTAGTTCACATCTTCTTCCCCCGACATGACTCCAAATACTAAAAAAATCCCTACCTGGAACGCAAACCGGTACAGTAGGACCCAGAAATTGTATAGAAAGGCGAGCGACACGACCATGGACCAATAATAGCACAATCTTCCAGCCGGGTCGAAAACGAAGGTCCAACGGCACCCCGTTTTCTCCGAAGTGGTCGTCGAATTTTCCCACTTGTCCAGCTTCAACTTACTCCTCAAGTCTTTCCTCTTGTCCCGCGACCGTTTCGAGGACACGTCCAACTCCGAGGCGGACGCGGGTGTGTACTGCGACTGTAAATTACTCCGCTGGTTACCACCCCCACCGCCGACACCCGCGTTCGCTTGTGCCGAGGCGGAGAAAGACTCGCGAGAGAAGCGCTTATTCCTCCCACCGAGTCCGACACCCTGCAAATATAAAAACATAAAATTACTTCATCAAATTAACCAACTTTTTCGCAATATGCAAAAATTATTTCGCCAAAAACTCTTTAATTCCCACCCACATACCCACATCGAGGCAGATATCACTCCGACAACGCCGCGTCGTCAACCCACTACCACCACCACCACCACCATGCAAATTCTTTCCTCAACCCATCCATCCACGTTATGAAAACGGAAAAACGTCTACGAATCCACCACCACCGACTAAAAACTAATTTGAATTTTTGACTTTCTCTCTCTCTTATTAATCCTGATCCCAACTTCTCTTCGCACATATGAATTAAATCAAGAGATCCAATAAATAAATTGCTTTCTCCAACTTTCTCCCGAACACTGCAACTCCTAAGACAATGGGAGCAGCAGTAGCAGTAGCAGCCTCCTCCTAACTGCACACCACCACCACCACCAAACTGGGCGAGGACGAGGACACAACTGTTACAACAACCTTTTAAATTTGTGAATCTCATCTTAAGCAGGATGGCTTGGCAATGTTATGTATAAGGAAGTGGAGAGAAGAGAGTCCATGTGCTGTAAGTTCGCTTCTGCAAACAAATTCAATACTGAGACTGAGCCAAGTCATGCGAAAAATAAAAAGCGTTATTATTATCATCCACTGCGATGGAGCAAGAGGCAGAAGAAGAACAAGAACAAGGACAAGACCAGGAAGCAGAGCAGGGTATGAGTATAGGTTATTATGTTATGCAGCAAAATTCATTCCGTGTTCTTCCTACAAATTCGAATTCAAATAAACATAAGCCAAGTCCCGACGGAGTTGGAGGGTTCACACACAAATTGAGACTGATTCCTTGCCTCTCGAGAGGAAGGGAGAGACGTGTCCCAACACGACCACGACCACGACCATGCCTGCTACTTGGTCGGGTCGCTAAGACTACTTTGGCAGAATGAATCTTCAAGTGACCATAAAAATAGGAATAAGTAGCCAAACAAAATATGCCTGGTTTGGTTTACTCTGCTCAGTTTTTGGAGGAGTCAAGTGGTATTGTGGGAGGAGGAGGACGGCATATGGAAAATATAGAAGAGATGAAACTTTCTCCTCGTATTATTATCCAAATGAGATCCTCGTGTGCGGCATGTGCATGCAGTTATTATCAAAGATAGTTGACGCAGGGAAGGTTCATGGATTTTGCAACTTTCACTTGCAATTTTGATGGCTCTGTTCTTTTTTTCATTTATCTTATTGCACCACATCCTCAATTTTGTACATATTTAGATAATCGCCTCTCTGTGTAACCCGTAGGGCGAAGAAAAAAATACAACATGGCATCCAATCGGACTCAAAAAGCAGTAGCAAATTCACATGTGGACCACGACGAGGACTACGACATTACATTATTCAACTCTAAAGTTTCTCTCCTTTTAGGAGAACGACTCGGGAAATGGAACTCATATATCGGGCTATTTACTAGCCAGGGAGAGATCCAAGCCAAATCCTGGAACCAGTGGCCGCGGAAGCTGTGGGGACATTAACATTGTGGGATAGGGGAGGGAGGGGTTTGTATAACATGGGCAGATGATGGGGACATTGAATAATTACCCCTCTGTCCCCACCCTTCCGCGGCCACTGCCTGAATCTTGTCCACTCTCACATACATACAAAATAGTACATATGTATACCCACATCTTTATCTTTAGTTACTTTTCCCCATCAAAAAGAAACTTCAGTTTCACGGTCCACTACGAGTCTTTCTTCACGAAGGAAGAAAGGCGGAGAGGAGAAGAATGGAGAAAGCACAAAAAATCGGATGCAGCAGCATGCAAACTTTTTTTATAAGAGAACAACGACGACCAAACCAGCCCGATGGTCAGGTCGGGTTCAGTGTACGTAAGATTCCATCAGACAATATGCATGAAATAGTTCCGACATCCAGCCCAGAAAATGGAATATTGTCCAATTTTCTAATCTAATTATGCATAAAGGAAGGATTCAAATAAATTCAAAAAGTTGCCTTCATTTTAAAAAGTAAACAAATCTTTTTCAAAAAGTTGGTAAGTAAATTTCATAAAAATTTGAACCCTTGCCAAAAAAATGTATCCATTTCTCCCTCCTCAAATCCGAACCATCCACTTGACGCCATGGATTGCATGCCTTGCAGCCATCCATACCCGTAATTGATTCGGATAATCTATCAATTCACATGCACAGCAGTGTGCCCATCAAAGTCAATAAATTTGAGACGAGTTTCTCGCTCTACGTATGAACATTTCTTTCCGTGAACTTATCAACCTTCCTTCATTTTCTTGCGGTCTATATTTATTACGAACGAGCGATGCAGTTATGTAGTCGAAATGAAGTGAAAGAAAAGACCAGCGTATAATTTACTCGGCATGCGAGGAACAACTAACTGCAAAATAAGTCGATTCATGTGCAAACAAAAAGTAATACGATTTCGGGGAAATTTAGCAGTGTTTCGGTTCTGTCGGGTTTTGTAAAATATATTTATTGCACTGCAAAGAAAGCAATGCAAGAAATGCAAGGTGCAACAAACTGCAAAAAATATACCATATTCACGTATCATACAAATATACGCGTTAGAAAACTGGTATCATTACTGACCAGAGTACATATATAACTCTACCGGCACGGTAATAACATTACGATTTAGTAATGTTGTGGTAATAAAAAACTTACCACTCGGAAACAAACTACTACAACTCCGGTAGAAAGTTATTACCAAAGCAATACCAGTACGGAGTATGTAAATATGTGACTCTACCAAATTTTTAACAGTATAACGGCATCCCGTATTTTCTAGCACCTTGCATTTCTTGCAGGTCAAAATACCCGCAAGAAACCACCTTCTTTCCCCTATTTCTTGCAACTGGCTACTTCCACTCGAAACCCTGGGAAATTGATGGAGGAGGACTTGACACCAAAAGAACGCATAACGCCACAACGCCAGCTAGACCACCACTGATTTAATCTTTTCCCAAATTTCTCTCCATCTTGCCCTACTAATTATAACTTGGTTTTGTTGATTGAGCCCAGTTAATTGTGACGACGACGACGATTTGCCTTTGACTCTCCAATAATCAACCCCGGAAGGGAAAGCCATATCAAAATTTCCATCTAAAAACTGCTTACTTAATAACCTTGAGATTAATTAACAAAGTTGTTGCAGCCCCCTAACTTTTCCCGTAGTCTGGCAGAGAAATTAGTCTCCTGCCCTGTTTTTAGTCCGGCTTCAATCCCCTATGACTAATTATTATAATTATAATTGAATCTGCAATATATAATTACGGGCCGTGTACTATTTCCGGACAATGTAATAATTTATTTGCTCCACTCTGTCCTCCTAAATAAGATGTTATATGGCTTGTTAAATTAAATGAGGGAAGAGAAAGGTCGTGCACTGTGGTGATGGAACTAATTGGAAAAAGGAGAATGAAAAGGTGAAAGCAAGGTTGGTAGGTTGGTGAAAGTACGGCCTGTGACACCCACTGACCGCAAATTATAGGAGGATCGATATCGGGAGGGCAGATATAATTATCCACTCTTCTACACGGGATGCAGTTCTCAGCTATCTATGTTTTGGGAATTTTAAGTGGCAGTTTGGTTTTTAGAAGGGTTTCTACTCGATTTTCTTCTCAAAGGCAAAAATGTGTTGGTGAAAGTATTTATTTCTCCACCACCTTTCTCTTTCAGTTTGGAGCACAATCTCATTTTAAAGCATGATTCCACTCCAAATTGCTCCTCCTTTTGTTGAATCCCCTGATGAAAATGAACTACCACCTCGAAAGGTGAAGTTTAAAGTAAATGCAGCGTCTCTCCACACATTCATCTCTTTCTCCTGTCTGCCCTCCTTGATTTCTCTAAGCTGCGCTACTACTACCACCACTACTACGACTACATAGTAGTGATATTGGTAGTAAAAGCGTGGCCTACACTAGTCCGTCCGTCTCACTAAACCATCATACCTACTAAAGCACTCTGCTCTTTCTCTGTGGTTTGGTTTGGTTGAGATTCCCTCATCCATCCGTCCAGCCTCCGCACTGGGCTGGCTGACTGGAGAAAGCAGCAGAGGGAGGATCGATACGGAGAGAGAGAGAGCAGACCCAAAGCCAAGTCATTCCTCGTCCTCGTCTCAAATTAAGCCGCACTTTCTCCTACAATTCCTTGTTCTCGGAAAAACACAAACTCTCAACTTTCTCCCTCCACTTGAATCATGGGTTGAGGACGCAGTCAAGTTGAACGGACGGAGGGAAGAATGGAATACTTGGTGGGTTAGGCTTTTCTACTCCCAATCCAACAAATCAATCCTTCCTATTTGTTTCGTATTTCTTTAAATCTTATTTCAATGCATGGATATGCATCATCTCCTGAACTGGACGGAGTAGTAACTTTGGGACCCTGTTTACATACTATGTAGTACGACTGGTTGATATATAAATACCCCCCACCGACCAAGCCGGCCTGCCTACGTTGGTGGATTAGGTTTTGTGTCTTTGAGAACAATGTTATCTAACAAAGGTCGTATTTATTTGTACCGTACGGTACGTTACGCTAGGCTGCCGCAAATCTCAACTATACGGGTTCCACCACGAATCTATTTGTTTAAAACTGATTGATTGTGAAGGACTTTGTTGCGTAAGGCGGGTATCTAAAAGTAATAATGGGTCGGGACCATTAAGAGAAGAGGGTATAATTACCGAGGAGGAAGAAGGAATAGCATACGTACATAGTTCTTTCTCCTATTTGGCATTACTTGCTTACACCGCTTAACGACATTGTGACATATGTCGACAGAATGTGGATGACAAGGCCAATTTATTATTTACAAATGTGTCTCTTCCATCCAGTAGTCGACCTAATTAACTAGTTTGATTCTCATCGGTTCAGTTCTTGTTGTGGGCTTTGTAACAAGGAATAGTTCACAGTTTTCCTTTGTTTCATTAAAAGAGGGAAAGTTGTCAAACCAAATTGTACGTATGGATGGATTCATTCGTATCAGTCAATGGCCGCGGAAAGGAGAGACAATGTCCCCACGGTTATTCGATGTCCGCATTATCTGCCCATGTTATACAAACCCCTCCCTCCAATGTTAATGTCCCCACAGCTTCCGCGGCCACTTCTTTGTCCATATATATCGAAAATATGGGGGATGGATAATTAGAGACGGCTCTTTTTTCACCCAGTATTCACCAGATTATTGCATCATCGTCACTATTTTCGATGTGTTGATGACAAGGCGCAGCTTATATTTATCTCCTCCTCTGGACAAAAACAACGAACTAATTTAGACTTGAAAACTAATTCCCTCCCTGAATCGAACCTTGTTCTCGTTGTGTAACGTGGCCTGGCGAGTTGGGAGAAAGCTTATAAATTTGTGTTAAATTGTAAAAGAAATGATTATTATTTGCAGCCTGCTTTTCCACTCTCGCGAAATCCTTGGCCTAATCAAAAGCCTACTTTTTACCCCGGTTTTTCAGTCAACTTAGGAAAACTAGGGAATAAAAAAGAAGAAGAAAGAGAGAAATAGAAACAGAGATAAAACTGTTGCTTGTTTTTTCATGTTCCACCCGGGAATTGGACATTTATCACTGTCAACAAACAACATAAAGTGTGGAAAGAACTGCATCCAAATAGCCTTTGCCGTGTTCCATTTCGTTTTGTACGAAAGTACGTAACACACTTTTTTATCAAAAGTTGTTGCAAATTTTGCTCACAACTGGCTAGTCGAAACACATCAGTCTTGTTATTTTTTTGCGATGCAGTTCCCTACCAATCGCGATATGGAGAGAGAAAGTTTGGTTGGTGGTGCCATTAGGGACGAAGGGATTTCAAAAGGTTGGTGGTGGTGATGTTTTGTTATATTTGGTTTTGTTGTTACTGGTAAAATTGTACAACAAATAGTTCAGACACCTTTTTCTTCTTGTACATGCATCGTCCTGTCTTCGCATGTCAGGTGTGGATGTGGATTTAGCATGGCTAGAGAGTGAGTGAGATGAAGAAAGAAAGACGAAACTTTGCAACAATTTCATCACTCCGTTCCAATTTATACGAATTTGGGAGGAATGAAAGCAAAGCAATTTCCCACTTTGGTAATGAATGGGCGGAGGTTTTACCAAGTATGTAGGCAGGCAGCACTTCTTTCTCTCTTCTCTCGCATCTTAGGGCAGGGAGAAAGAAAGTGTTATCCAAAGTGATAGACGGACGAAGGGGAGGCGGAAGAGGTGGGGGACATTGCCGTAGAAATTTGTATACGCTCAATAATTTTTTGGTACGATTGTTACCGACGGTGATACTAATTCTACCGCGTGGTTACAAGTTGTCTTCTGAGGGTAGGAAATTGCCCCCGGTGTCGGTAATGTTTTTACTAGCGGATCGTTGACATTGTGGGCTGAGCAGGATTTAGCCTCTGTATATTTGTAACCCTTCGGTGATAAATTATTACCTATGCGGTAGAATTGCTTGGTACCTTAGCCGGTAATAATCGTACCGTAAAATTATTAAGAGTATATCTTCCCTATGTTGATAAGCCCCTCCTCCTACTTCTATCTCACAATGCTAATGTCCCCATATGTCCCCCAACTTCCGCCGTCGCTGGACCTACTTAGAAAGAGAAAAAGAGAAATAATCCTCTCTTCACATTCACATTGAGAGTCCAAAAGTATTCAGAATAATCCATCCACACCGAAAGAGGTAGGTATACACATGATGTATACGAACGACAACGACACAATTTTCCTAGTTAGTTAGTTAGTTAGTTAGTTGGCGAAGAAGAGGACGGAGTGACAAGGAACGAAGCTATCCCACCACCACCACCACCACCACTCGCAGGCAATTACTTAGTGTGTCAACAGAGACTAAACTAATTCCCAAGAATTTCATTATAACAAAACTTGTTTTACTTTTCTCTCCAAGACGAAGGATGATGACAAGTAGATCGAAATAGTAGAAATTCCCGATCCTCCTCCTTACATACTTATGTACAAACCAAACTTTCCTATTTTATGCAAATTATATCCATACAAAGTAGGACACGGGTCGGATTACTTACTTATTTGCATGAAATGTTTAAAATTTCCATAACTTATAAGCCGATAAGTTCAAAAAGGGATGGATTTTCATTAAAAAAAGTTATTTATCTACTGTCCGATCCGTATTTACTTCTATATCGAAACTCGAAACTCGAAACGAAACGTGAGAAACGGCATAAACTTGCCTGCCCGAGAAAGCGGAGGTAGTTTAAGACGTAATAAAATCTAATGCCACCTTGACTCGGACGAAGAGAAGAAGGCGTAGTGTTTCTCACGGGTCGGGTTCTTGCAAATCCGAAACCCGAACCCGAACCCGGTACCACTGATCCGAAACCCGAGGCCAACCCGAACCCGAAGAACCCGTACCCGTTTGCAGGGACCCGAACCCGAACCCGAACTGGCGGTTCAAATCCGAAACCCGAACCCGAAAACCCGAAAATATTTTTAATTTTAAGGCATGGGCTGAATTTGTACTTAAAAATTATTTAAAAGCTTAAAAATCAACAATATTTATAATATTTCAAAAACTGCCCCAGAATGGCTTTCCGAGACCTTTAGAAATTTGAAAATCAGTCAAATTGGATTTGAAAATTAAAATTGGATAATTGTTTCCAGTTTGACGTTTCCAATATTATTACTTATATCATTAGGTATGATTCAGGTAATTGCATAGCAAAATTAGGATAAAAATTCGATTTCTTTTATAGTTCGCACCGTAACACTAATTGAATCAGGCTCTTGTAAATCGTTTACCTTTTTGGAAACCATTGAAATTAAACGAATTTAAGACAACTAGAAATTGGAATTACTTACTTCAGTATTGCAACCGCTGAAGAACATGTAGTTCAACAATTTTTCTAATATCTTTTTGTGATATCGATCCAAAAAAGTTTGATTCGGGTTTCGGGTTCTTAATCCGTACCCGAACCCGACCCGAACCCGAAATTTTGACATGACATTTTTCGGACCCGAACCCGAAAGTTTCGGGTTCTTAAATTTCGTATCCGAAGCAGAACCCGAACCCGAACCCGAACCCGAACCCGAAACCCGAAGTAAGGACCCGAACCCGTGAGAAACACTAAGAAGGCGTGCCCATTTATTTCAAAAAGGGGAAGATGATACCCGAATACGACCCAATTTCAGTTTATGGGCAGCTTCTTCTTCTTCGGACTTTCATCTTTCCTCTTAATATTCCATTCTTCCCGACGTTCTCCTCCTCCCTTCATATTCATGGCCCATGAAAGAGTAATTTCTAAAAGAAATTTACCCAACTTTCTCATTCAACCTGGTCGAGATAACTGGTCTTTAATGTAGTTGTGGATCCCTGGAGAATATTTGGCTGGATGGGTCGTAGGGATAATAGTAGACGGACGTAGTATAACAATATATAGTAAGTAGTGCATACATATCTGACCAGGGAGGGATTTAATGGGCGACTTAAAAATCTCTAGTACAGATCCCTTCCTTCCTTCCTCCGCTGTCTGTCTAAAGTTTGAGTGGAGTACGGATTTCCGGGAAATGTTGTTATCCTCGTCATGACAGTTTTAACGAGTGGAAGTGAAATTGATGGACACAACTTACCCCGAGGGAAAGGCCACCAGAAACTCCTAATCGATTCCCGACCAGATCTAACAGACTTTGTTTAGAGGCTGATCGCGCGTTACGACCTCCACCGAGGGAGGCGCGGGCCGTCGCGCCGCGGCCGGTGAGGTAAGTGGGTGGTTCACCAGCGCCACCTCCGCCACCTTCGGTCCCATTGGTCAACTCGGATCCGTTGTGGTGTTCTCCGCCTAGAAAAAAAATAAAAGTTTGAGTTTTATTTGTGTCAAGGTTGAGACAAAATTCAGCGAATTTTTCTGGAGGGCGAAAAATGCATCATTTCGCAAATCGAGGCTTTTGCTGTGCCCACTAAAATATTGCATTTCCCTTCTCCAACCTGAAAAATGATTTTGCAACCACACTCGTAACACGGATTTGACCTCAGGGCTATCAATTCTCGAATAAAATCCGTCACAAATGACAAAGTTTGATACTTGGTGAGAGAGACGTAGTCATCATGAAACAAGTCTGAAGCTATAGCCGAATACAACGCATTTATTTCCCGAGAAAGCTTATAAACTTGTTTTATTTTGATTCCCCATCAAAGCCTGCTGAGTTGTTGGGTTGTTAGTACGTAGGACATGACAAAAGAGTCAGCATCACCCACCACGAGGTCGTCGAGATTGAGCCACATTCCAGATTTTATTTAGCAATCCGAGATAAAATGAGTGACCACTCTGTCCTGCTTCCCTTTTGATCTGCTCTCGTCCACCGAAAATAATATAATATCTGGGCACAAATTCCACCACCCGGGTAATAATAATTCCCACCCATCGTAAATAAAATATAGGGGGAGAGAAACAACAATCAAAATCCTGTCACATCTGCCCAACCAACCAAACAAAATACAGATACAGAGTAGTGCCAACATTTATCTCTTCTGGGACTGCTGACTCGTAAATTTTTGCAAGAAAAGTGTATACGTACGTGGGAACGTGTAAACGAAATAAAAATAAAATTGGACATAAAAATTTACATGAAAAACAACATACATGTCACGTAAAGTAAAGTAGATGGATGAATATTCTTCTTCTCCTGCGTCATGTTGTGCTGAGTGAGTCGTTTTACCCGTGAAATTACTTGATTGCATGACAAAGGTAGGCAATTTCATGGCCCAAGTAATTTGTTCCTCGCACTGTCAGTCAGTCAGTGTCGATCATAATAATTACACCAGAGTCAGTTCAGTGTCACGTCGGTGGAATCGGCGAATTATTCCGGAATCGGAGTTATTTTTATGTTTGACAAATTCGGCCCGATTTTTACGATGTGATGTGAATAAGTGGGGTTATTTTCGCTCTCTTTTCTCGGGGGGCATGGGAAAAAAATGTGACTGATTCTGGGTAAGGAAAGTTGACAATGTTATTTATTTTGTGCTTACCCAGGAGCGGACTTCCGACAGAAAGGCTTCCTTGGTGCTGTAAACGTTCACTCACTGTGCCCACGAAGGAGGGTGGAGGACCTCGGGTTCCGGCGCTTGTGATTATTCCTGGAAATTTAAAAATTTAATTCAATTTTAGGAAGTAACTTTTTTAAGATAACTTTGGTTTTATAATTTCTGTAAATTTGTTCTCCTGATGAAGGGTCAAGTATTGTCTTGAAAGCTTGAGTATGATAAATATTCTAAAAAATGACTTCCTTGCACTCTACTCAAATTGCAACTAATTTTTAACTTGATAACTTGTATTGTATGGTGCTATCCACTACCACTGAAAAAACACTTATTAGGAAATATTGTTAAATTAGTGCGCTTTGCTCGTCCAAACCATTTATCTTTTTGATGTTTACTATATTAAAATATTCTGCGATTCAATTTGCGGCTGTTAACACACGCAATTTCATAATTTCTGTCTTTCTTTATTCATACCAGGATTTATTTAATTTGCAAATTGGAAACATTTTCTAATTATGATCTATTCAAAGATGAAGATTAAGCCGAACAAGATTAATAATACGTGTCTTTTGTTACATTTTAATAGATCATTGATTTATTTTTCACCAATCTTTTCCCCACAGGATGCCCGCCATGATTTGGTTATAGGTCCCCCGTTTTAAATAAATAGCCCCGATTGCATCAGAATTTCCATCTTGCGCGTCATACGTATAATGCAATTCAGTCCGTGTGTGCGGAATAAATCGTAAAGTTAAACTAGTGCAGAGATCCTTGTTACGAAATCTACTCACTTTCTACTTTCTCTCACTTTCTCTCACCACAAAGTCTCTCTCTCACTCACTCTCTCCTTAATGTTACGATGACATGGATGGTGTGTTACGCCACACGTGGGCAGGGGCTGGGTCTATATCCATAATAATAAGATAGTACCTATGTATGAAAGTACGTATGAAAATGATACCGTTTCTACAACCGACCAGATCACCTTCTTTTCCTCGTTGAAACTTTTTTTTTTTCATAGAAATTCTACTCGTGCTGCGATATTGATATTGTGATTGTCCTTGCGAGTCCTCCTCCTCCTCCCACTCGTACGAGTACGAGTGGGAAGTCATGGCTCGATTTCTATGCAAAGTGTAAAAAGTGGATCGAGACTAACGACTTGGAGAAGCGGAAACGTGATCTAGCTTTCTCTTAGGGCAGAATGTAGTGGTGGTGGTGGTGGAATGTCCAATATTTACAGTATTAGAAAGGGGTGGAAGCCCTTTATAGGATCGTTATGTCCGTCTGTCCGTTGGTCCGATAATGTGCGATAACGGTCGGATAGTAGAAAGTTCAAACTTTCAATGTAAGCTCACAACCTTAAGGCGCATAACACATTCGAAAATGGACACTACAGGTCACATCCGTCAAGGTCAAAAAGGTCAAAATAGGTCACATAAGGGTCAAATTGCACACATTCAATTGCACAGTCAGTTTAATAGGAAATTTAACCTCAAATTCAATGGTGGCATCAACTCATACTATGTCTCAAAAGTCGAAAACAAATCAGATATGTCAATTTTACCAGATTTTCGACCAAAAAGAATGTTATATTCATTTCGAAGTGACAAACTGCTTTCACCCCTTAGCTACACGCGTTGTAACTGCTTATTATTATTATATATGTACATATCTATCTATCTACCCTCCACATTGTGGGTCTCCTCTCAAGGGAAATAATTCCACATTTATGCCCGGATTATCTATCTGTCCTGATTTTCAGAATTATTGGGAACATCGACGAAGGAGAACATTTCAGTTTCCGATCCTTCCCTTCCCCCACTCGAGATACATACGTACACGCGAGAGCTTCATAGATAACAAACACATGCTGGCTAAACTAAAATTCCGTAAGGAAGACGAGCCCCAGCACGCCGAAGAAGTAGGAGCAGCAGACAGGGGAAATCAGTTAACAAGATTTATCGTATTTGGTGAATAAACAAATGGAGATAAACTCTGTAATAAAGCACACACCAGAATTGGATGGGAACGAACAGTGAAAGTGGAAATTATTTAACGAACAAACACAGGATTTTGGCAGGGCTGAGTTGTAACTTATCATTAACATGGAGGAAGGAGGCTATAGGAGTGAAAGTAGGATACCAGTGTTTACTTTGCTATTGTATTCTGCATAATAATGATGTATGCGTGGCAATATGCCGTCCGTCCCTCGTTCTTTTCACGCCAGTAAAGATTACGAGTATTATTATGAGGAGAAAATGCTAACATTTCGGATTAGGCGAGTCAAGGAGTGATTTACATACTGACGAGATCCGCATGCACGTAATTTTACGGCATGCATGCAAGATTTCCAGAATAATTCCACTTTACAAAAGACAGAAACAATTTATTTTGCAGTTTATTTTGCAATTTATTTTGCACAAAAAAAATCTGCTAGAAGATTGTGACGTGACAAGTCCATACATTTTTAGTCCGACTTCATTCCAGGGAACATATTTAGCACAAGTTTAGAAGAAAGTTGATACGTATTGATCTCAGAATCCGACAAATACAGGGTCTCCTCTCACAAAAGTCGTCATGATTTATATAAATCCGAAACTCTGGCCCGATTTTTGCCTCACTTTCAATGAGAAATATTCTTCCTGTCACTTTCACCATTGCGTGGTCCATCTCAAAGGAAAGGCTGGCTCTCCATTTTTCATGACGAGGAGGCCTCCCCCAACCAGCCATCCATCCACTCCATCCAACACTTACAATATATTTCTTCCTCTGTCGTGTGAAGCACAACTTGTAGTGGAGAAGAGAAAAGAAAGAAAGAAAGAAAAAAGAGAAACATTTCACATTTCCGTTTTAAAAATGTCTATCTTTTCAACTTGTGTCGTTCGTCTGGATAGAATTGTGTTGTGTTACGTTTTCGTAGTGGGATTGATTTTAGGTTCCCATCGGTCCCGGAATTTGGTTGGAATCCGATTCTAATTTGGTTGAAAGTGGTGGTAGTAGTTGGTTTGGGGACCTCGAAAATTCCAAGTATTTGCACTCTCTCGCGGAACAGTGGCCGCGGATGGGTGTGGACAGAGGGGCAATGTTCCCACTGTTGTCTGATGTCCCCATCATCTGCCCGTGTTATACAAACCCCGCCCTCCCCCTTTCCTACAATGTTAATGTCCCCACCGCTTCCGCGGCCACTGCTGGTTTGTGAACTCATTTGTGTTACACAGCGTTTCTTCCATTCAGCACGAGAGAGTTGGTTTGGTTTGGTTTTGTGGACTTAGATTGGGAGGCATAACTAATGAGTAAAAGCTTCCATAATAATCAGACCATGCCAATGCCACACTTCGCTCCTCGTGCAACTTTCCAATCTTATTTCCTCCCTTTTTCTCCCTCTCGCTCTCTCTCTGGTCTTGGCAGTAGTGAGAATGGGTTGGTTTTCTCGGATTGGAATAATTCTGATGCTAATTTAACTCCATTTTCTGGCCGGACTATAAAATAAATTCTAATCCGATGCGATCCAATCCTGCTGCATACATGAATCTGAATAATATAAAAGTGCTCCTCCTGCCAATTTTTATTTGCCAAGGGTAAGTAGTCGCCCAGTTTTCGTGACATGGCGAAATTGCATTTTATACGAGTCTTCCGTAATAACGATAATTACGGGAGGTTAATAATACAATTATTACTGGTGCATACACTCTTAGGAATACACTCCTTAGAAATCCGGTGATAAAGTAATACCAAATGGTAATAATTAGTCATATATGACTCTGTCAAAGTGGTATTGATAAGTAATATGGTGTACCTAGTAATAGCTCGGTATTAAAGTTTTACCATGTCAGAAGCAAATTTCTACGGACCTACATAAGTTTAATATCAAGCGGTAGCAACTTTAATACCGAGAAATCAATACCTGCCTGACGATACCAGGTTTCTAACAGTTTACACTCTCAATAATTTTGTAATACCATTGTTACCGGCGGAGGTACTATGCAATTCTACCGAGTGGTTACACTATTGAGGGCAAGAAGTGTCCTCCGGTGTCGGTAATATGGTTATTAATAGATGGTTGACATTGTGGGTTGAGCAATTATTCTTCTGTAATAAATTATTACCGAAGTGGTAGTACCTCCTCCGATAAGAAATATATGTACCATAAAATTATTGAGAGTGTGTACTACATTCGCAGTCTTGAGAGAAAGCTGGGCACGAATTTTAGCAAAATAAACAATTATTGGCGTCTAGACAAAGGCCAAATATGCTCGAGACGAGACTATACAATTCTTCTCAGGATCATGATATTGCATCCACGCCGTAATAATAATAATGTATAGAGAGCAATTCTAAACATTTGCTGCCACCCTCCTGCTGCCTCCGCCTGATCGAGAAAGAGTGCATTATAAGCTCAGCTTTGTATGTACGACACCCACGAAATGGCAACTTTCTCCGGCTAATAGTTCCGATACAACAGCTCCTAAAAGCAACTTGACTTGAACCCGTGGAGAGAGCAAACTGTTCGTACGGATTCATTTCATAGGAGGGTGCAAGTCTTTTCTCTTTTTATTCCTCGTACACAAAATATTAGTGTAACAACCCATTTCCTTTGAGGCGAAATTGCAAAAGTGAAGAAATAGAAATTCTTATTGCTTTGAAAATAATGAAAAATAAATCAACCTCAATAAAAGTAGTTCAAACCCCATCAAAGGAAATATTGGATTGGACGGGATAGAAGAAGTATGTAGGACTTTAAAAATATGGTTTGATGGACAGTTAGCATAAGCAGAGAAAGTTGAGGAGCAGACGGTGCTGTTGGAGTAGCAACACTGAATAAAAGCAGTGTTTCGGGTGCAAGAAATGCAGTTGCAAAAAATAACGGGAAGAAAGTGGGGTTTTGCGGGGATTTTGGCCTGCAAGAAATGCAAGGCGCTAGAAACTGCGCCCCGTCGCTATACTTTATACGGCGCGTGGCTAGATGGCGCATATTTCTTGCACTTTCTCCCAGTTTCTTGTACCTTGCATTTCTCGCTTTTCTTGATTTGCACTACAAGAAATTTAGCAAATTATCTAGTAAATAACGAAACACTGATTGCAAGTAACCATTTGCA